CTACGTATAGCCTTAGGTAAGTTTCTATAATCTAATTTATCTACTTAGTTTAGCTGTCTATCTATAAGTAAAATACTATAGATAGCTTTTTCTTTGTTCTAATAGTTATAACAAACAATTCCTAGAATACTAAAGTAAATAACCTGACCTAATCTATAATAATATTATCTAGTACGCTATACTTTATAATAACGTGTTTTATAAAGATATACATAAACTACTTAGAGGACATGTCCTTTTAGTATAGTACTAACTTAATTTCTTTTGTTAGTCGATATACTATAGCTATAATAGAGTTATAGACTAAGAGCTATAAGGATAGTAGTAGTAGTAACATCTTCTTTTATTAAATACCTATACTAGGTACTATAAGAGTTTAATCTAAGTTTTAGTATACATATAGTTCTATAAGAAGGAAAGAAAATAAAACCCTCTTACTAAGGCGCCGTTATATTACCGGTCCTTTTGTTATGTCCTTATCTTCTTTATATAAGCCTATAGATATCGCTATAGATATAGTACGCCTTATGTACACTAGACTACTTCTAGTACTCTACTTTGTTCTTAGATTAGAAATAAGAAAATAATAACTACTTATAGTTACTCTAGTTCTTACTTAAGGGTTGCCCTTTATTTGTTTATACGCTATTCTTTTAACTCCTAAGATAAAAAATTCTAATCTTACAAGCCTCCTCCTCTCTCTATATCGTAAATTACTTTTATAACTACCTTAGGTACTAGTTTTGTACGCGTGTTAGGCGTAGCCTTTATTTACTAGCTAGGACGTTACGTAGGCTTGTCTTAATATAGGCCTAGGGCTGTCTTAATTGTTGTTCTATACTAAATCTAGTTTAGTTCCTGTCGCCTATTTAGTTACTTACTAGTAAGGGGTCTTTATTGTGTTCTATATAAACGTCCTACCTCTTTACCTTTCTCTTTACTAATTTACTTATAACCTTTTCCTTCTCTCTATCTACTCTTAAACTTCTCTTTCTAAAACCAAAATCCTAAAGTAACTTTAACATCTTCTAATCGTCTCTTCCTTTAAGATACCTTACGCTACCCTTACTGTAACCCTATAGAAGTAAGGACGCGACTACTCCTCTCTACTTTACTAGTCTACTAGTAAGCGTGTCTGTACTAGTAAGCCTTCCCGGGCTAGTTCTTCTATAGTAGAGACATATAGAGCTATAAGGATACTAACTTATTAGACGTTACAAAGTCTACTAAGTATTATAAGGGTAGTAAGTCTGTAATTAGGTTAATAAAAACGCTTTTCTATAGACGCGTTAGGATTAGTAAAGAGGAAAGCTCTCTTACTTACTACGTAGTTAAGGCCTTAGGTAGCTCTCTTATATATAGTATACGTTTAAACATACTTTTTAATGTCTAAATCTATACTTAGCTAGTAAAGGGTATACTTTATTAAGAGGATCGTACGATTACGTCTAAAGTAGCTAGCCGTTAGACTATTATAAAACTCTTATAGTAGTGTCTTCTTTAGCTTTTTGTCGTTAGGAATAAACAGTCTTATATTATTAAAAAACTAGAGACCCTCTTATTTAAGGAAGTCTAGACCCTCTAGGTCTAGGTAGTACTCTTGTGTCTACCTAATCTCTTTTATAAGGCTAGTAAAGGGCTCTTCTTAAGTATCTCTTAAGAGATCCTCTATTACTACTAAAAAGTCGGCCTGTTCTAGTACCTACCTCTTGTAGTCTATTTCTGTTAGCTCTTTAAGTATAGTATCTCTACCTTCTTAAAGTAGTTCTAATACTATGTCCTAGATAGTATAAATGTAATCCTCTTTTACGTCTAATAATAGTACGTAATCTAGCTCTACTATTTGTAGTAAGGGCTAAGGTAATAGTAGAGACTAAGTATAGTCTACCTGTTAGAAAGGGCTGTTAGTAAGGTTCTTTTTTCTAGGCCTATACTTAATAACAAAATCGATTATAGCTAATAAGGCTACTTATCTTACTTAACGTCTTGTTAAGGTATATGTTACTATAAAGTATTTAAGGTTATTATAATTAGTAATAATCTTAACTATAAACTAAGCTCTCTTAAGAAAGTGTCTCTAATGTCTTACTAATTCTACTATAGCTAGTAGCTCTTAGTTAAACGTCTTGTAGTTAACCTTTACTAGAATAAGCTTTTATAAGTAAAATGTAACTAGATGTTAGTAAGTATCTGACTACGTCTAAGAGAGGATGTTACTTAGCGCTACTATTAATACGTTATACTCTAATATAATAAAGAAACATAGGTTATAGTATACTAGTAACAGTACTTAAGTAAAGGCGTCTTTTAATTATAAGAAAGCCTGTTGTACCTTCTTTATCTAAGTAAATAGAATCTTGTCTTTTAATATTACTATTATACTAGCTATAACACTACTATATTAGTATATAAAGTAGTAGTAGAAATTACAAAACCCTAGAAACAAGAGTACCTCTTAGGTAGATCTTAGGGTAGGCTACTAACTAATAGTAGCTACTTGCTTTAGGTCTATATTAACGCTAGTCGTTAATACTATATAGCCTAAGAAGCTAATACTTGTAACGTTAAACTTATACTTCTTAAGTTTATAAAAGAGACCTTATTCTAATAGTTGTTCTAATACTTGTCTAACGTAATAGCTGTGTTTAGATAGGTCGGTTAAGAAGATAAGGATGTTATCTAGGTATATAATAACAAACACGTCTATAAAACGTTATAGACAACGGTCTATATATACCTAGAATATAACTAGGGCGTTATATAGGCTAAAAGGCATTACTAGGTACTTAAAGGATCTAAAACGCGTTCTAAACGCTATTATCTACTCTTAGCTGTCCTTAATCTATATTAAGTTATAAGCCCTCTAGAGATCTAACTTAGTAAACAACTTAGCTTGACTTAGCTAATTAAGGATCTCTAAAATAAGGAGAATAAGGTATTAGTTTAGTACTATAACTTTGTTTAACTTATAGTAATCTACGTATAGTTAGAGTTCTCTTAATTTCTTTTTAACAAATAGGATTAGGGCCCTAGCTTCTAACGTCGATTCTCTAATAAAGCTAATCTAGAGTATCTTGTCTAGATACTCCCTTAATGTCTATAGCTCTTACTTAGATAGGTTGTATAAGAGACTAAATAGTACTTTACTACCTAGTCGTAGGTTAATCTTATAGTCTAGTCCTAGTTAATGTAGTAGAAGTTTCTCTACCTTATCCTTACTAAAAACTCTCTCTTACTTAGTGTAATCCTTTAGGATTTAGGCGTCTTTCCTAAGAGCGTCCTAAGAGCCCTTTAATTCTAACGTAACAAGCAGATATGTTAATGCCTAAATCGTGTCTGTCGGCTAATCTTAAGGTTCCCCTTCTGTCACTATGTTAGCGTCCTGTATTAGGTTAAGGTACGCTAGAGCAGCAATTGTTTTGTTTAGCACCTTAGGCCAGACTCTTAAGTAAACAGTCTGTATAACGGAAAAATTTTTTAGCGCGCGAATACCCGGCTAAAAGCGAAGTTAGAAGAATAAATATGTTAAGGGTTATGTATATATTCGGGGAGGTATTTATGTAGTATAATTATTTATTCTTACAGATCTAATACTAGGTCTAACATCCGGGATATAGGTATGCCTTACTAAGCTATAGCTTAGTCATAGGTACGGTGCCCTAGGCACTCCCTAGGAGCCCCCTGTGACACCTAGTATTACGTAAGCCTTAATTCTTTATAGAATTGTCTTTATCTTATTGTTACTACTACTCTTACTACTTACTAGCTTCTTGTTATAGTTTTCTACTAAGGAATAAGAGTACTAGCTCTTACTTACAAGTAGGTAGTACTAGCTTTATTTAAGTCTAGCACACCTACTATCTGTTACTATAGGCTTACTTATAGTTTACTAGCACTCTAAAGAGTATCTAAAGGCGCTAATTTTAAATCTATTGTTTGTTTCTAAGTTTTTAAGGTAATAAAGGGCGTAGACGATTTTTTCTCTTTTTACTTAATCTTTATAGAAAAACGATTAAAGAATATAATATATAATAAAGAAGTATAACGTATAATAAAGATTTCCTAGATATTAGACGCCTTAGCTTAGCTATAAAGCTATAAGTAACCTACCTTATATTATTACTTATATAGTTAATAATTTTCCTCTTTTCTTTTAGGCTACATTCTTAATAGAGATCCTTTACGCGATCTTACTACTACGTAACGTTAAAGCTACTAAGAGCCTTAGCTTTTAACGATAATTTCCTTTCTTATTCCTTAGGTTATAAAAGTAGAGTTCTGGCCTAATAAGTCTATAGTGTCTCTCTTTTTACCTAAAAGCTTCTAAGAACAAAAGCTAAAAAAAGAGGATATTATATTAAGAGCCTTATTAGAAAAGATTATATAAGGCTTAGAAATTATATATAAAGGCTTAGAAATTAGAAGTAGAGTAACTACGTTATACTATTAAGGGAACATAAAGGATTCGTAAGGTATAAGAAGGAAGAATAGGCCGGGGAAATTAAGGGGATTTAGAGATAAGTTTATAATTAATACAGCTACCTATCTTTGTCTTTAAATATACTATACATCTGCCTTTAACTCTTTTACTCTATAGACACACACCTAACACTTAGAGTATTCTTCTTATAGAATAGAATAACACTTACTTAAACATCGTGTTATTAGCCTCTAATACTAACGCTCTTAAAGTAAACTTATAAGTAAGATACTTAAGATAATATCTATAAGATAAAAGATTAACTAGTAGGCTAGCTACTTATTAAACTAACTTCTTACTAGAAAAAGCTGTACTAGCCGCCCTTATAAGCTATACTCTATATAGTTAATATTAGTATAATTAGTACTATTAGTTTCTACTTTAATATATAGTAACCTAAGAACAAGCTCTTTAGTACTAGCTTATATAAGATTAATAAACTCTTAGAGCGTTAAGATCTTCTTAAGAAATAGCCTATAAAAGATAATATAAACTAGGTTCTTAAAGCTTATACTAACTACCTAGATATATTCTCTAAGTCTAAGTCTAATAAGCTACGTAATAAGGCCTAGTGATTTCTTACAACAATAAGACAATAGTAAAGAATAGACTTTATTAACTCTTTAATTCTGATTTTAATCTGTTGATTTCTCTCTCTTCAACAGTTCCTACACCTGCTGCACTCCTTAACCTATCTAGCGACTCTATGTCTTTTACCTTAACCGCTTCTTCGGCAGCCTTAATGCGCATTCCACATTTTTCATACATGCCTACTGTGTCGCCGGGTTGTAGCGAAGGTGCAGCTTTAGGAATAAAGACACTGGCAAGTTTAGGATTGCCGGCTGACAGAATAAGACTAAAAAAGGGCTACAATCAAAATTAGCATCATGAATGTAGCAGACAAGCAAGATAACATACCTCCCATCCAATTGGGGATTTGCGGGTTTTGGACCACTCTTCGAGTTCGTTCCAATCACGCTTTGAGACAAGAGCTCGTAGTCTGACCATGTGATATTAGAATAAATCCCTACAGAGAGCATGAGTGACGTACCTAATCCACCATGCGGTTTTCTCTGGAACCTTAAAGTCACTCTGTATCTTTTTAGCTCGATTCGCATACCCCAACCTAATTAGCTTGAACATAGTTTCATTAACGCTCAGACCCGTAAACGTCTCCATCGAATCTCGATCAAAGGCCTCCTGTGTGCGGAGCAAGGCACTCGCTTCCTGAATGGCTTTTAGTTCGAAACTTGTATCTTTCGAGTCGGACAACAGCTTTGAAGCCGATACCAATTTATCAGTTGCTGTTTTTGACCCTGGCTGCCTCAATGCTTCTCGAGTAAAGACGTTCGCGCCATCGATGCGCCGGTCATCCTGGTAGTATAGATCCTTCAGTAATTCCGCATCATCGGACTGAGCCGAGGACTCAATGAGCGCTGTGGCTACTGGCCGGGTATTTATGACGCGAAAGAAAGAGGCCAGAGGAAGTTTCTCCTTGAGATGCAGGAGGACGAAGAATATGAGATCAGAATCGCCACTCTCAATAGCTTTATCAAGAGCGATCTCGTCTTCCTCCATGGCAAGAAGGAGAGGGACTTGTTTTCCAGCTCGTGGTTCATGATTGAGTAGCTCTGTGGCGAGCCGTCCCCGTCCTTCATCGTGGGCAGCGCGTGCAATTGCTTCAAATGAGATACCTCTCTTCCCAGCGAGTTTCTTGACAATGAGATGGCAGATAGTATCTTCATCCTCGGAGCTTGTACGGACCTTCTGCGACGCCCAATGTACGTAGATGTGATCTGTAGGAAGACGGAGATAGACTGATATGCGAAGAGCTAACATATACTCCTGACGATTGACCAGGCGCCGTACAAGTTTTTCTGGCGTGAGACGGAGATACTGTTCATATGATAAAGGCAAGCCGATCTCGTAATAGCGTACCGCATTCAGGACTCGAAGCGTCTCGCACATGTCGACAAAGTCATCGCTGTTATAAATGTCCAAGACAGACTTGCCAAAGGACGCTGCCTTGAGAAGTTGTTTTTGCCAGGCTATACTGAATTCGTGCCCAGCTGCTTTGACCTACAAAATTGGTCAGATAGTCTAGAAGGGCCAGAATCTAGGAAGACTAACGCAAGTGTCGACGGCTTCTACCAAATTAGGCCGTATTAGCTGAATATTGTCGTCAGCCTTCGGCGACTGGTTTTCGAGTTGCTCGACTGCATCGAGAAGTATAGATGCAGGTGATTCGGTGTCAAATCTAAATACTTCGTCGGTCACTTCAGGGACTTTGTGTAAGAAATCGCAGGCATCGTTGGTGATCAGGCGAACTCCGTCATGGTCTGCAAGGTCTTAGCCCAACCCTTCATAATCTCCTACTAATAACGTGTCAACTTACCTGCAATAAGATGAACTCGTCCGTCGTAGAAATATTTTACTGCCGCACCGTTGGGGCCAATGACGTGGACCTCATCTTCCCAAGCAACGACCACTGCATCGTTCCCGCACCACTGGACATCCTTCGGTGGCGTTCTTGACTTCGAGTTATGCTCACTAAGTCTGTTCTGGAAGTCACTCGTAATGACAAATGCCTTTCCGGTTTCTGTATACAATGCTACGAATCTGCCATTTGGAGATACGCTAATGTGCGTGAAGGGACCAATATCTAGCAACCTATCTTCTGACTCGGATGAATCTACAACATGTATCGTTTGGGCGATGTTCAGCAAGACTTCCACTGATCGAGAAAGCGTGTACGATGGCGGAATGAGTGTCCATGAGTGAACCGCACCCTCTGGGGGCGTTGCAAGCAGCCTTGGGCGGGGCTCCTCATACTGGGCGACAGATATTAGATGGTTATTTGACAGTAAAGCCACAAACCCGGTACCATAAAACCTACGTGCGCAGTGAGCTGGGGATTCTCCCAAGAATATCTGGAAGATCACAAACCTGCAGGAAGTGACGCCGTACTCCTCAGCACCGTTTCCCAGAGAGAACTGGGTGAAGTCTCCTTGCAAGTCATAATAACAGCGGACAGTGCCGTCTGCAGTGACGACAATGAGCCTTTCATCCTCCGACCACCCCAGCCCTTTGATGGAACCCTTGTCCCAATTTATGCGCCGGATCAGTTTGCCGGCGCAGCTGTAAATGTCAATACTCGACTTTGACGCCTGCGGACCTCGGAAGGAGTGCAGCTTGGTCTCGTCGCGGTGCAGAGCAATGGCACCTGCATATGAGCATCCCGTGACGATATAATTGTCCAGCTCGAGGTCCTGATCGAACAGGGCCGTATACAGCTGTATCTTGCGATAGAACCTATCACCGACCTTCTCCCAGTCCGCCGTCGGGATGGTCATTCTCGCCTAAGCAGGACAACCTCAACTCACTTCGTAGTGGTGGAGATGCTTATCTTGACTTAAGAATACCCGTAAGCTTCAGGGTGGATCTAAATAAGGTGTGGTCGAGGCTTCCGGGCAGAGCCGCCATGTGATATTACCTAATCAGTCTTACTCCGTACCTACTGGTGGGGTTGCTCAACTCCACAGCATCAGGAACGACGTCCGTACCTAAGATTCGATACTCAAGTCTCAAGTTACATATACCTACCTGAAGCTTGGGTATCTCGGGACATCTCCACGCCTTTCAATTGCGAGTATCGATCTTGGACCTGAACAGATATGGACGGTTGACCGCCTCTGCTCTGTCGGTGGCCTCATGGCAGACCCAGCACTCCTCAACCGGATCCATGAACTGAGCGACCTGGAACTTGCTGCGTTGATATGCTTCATTGCCCGGGAACATTGCATCATCGATACAGACCCGGACTCCATATACGAACTGCTTCAGGAGTTGGAGTTGGTAAGGCACAGTTTAGTTAATATGAAATGGTCGATACTCAGTAGCTAACGGTTTGCAGGTTGCAGCGAACGTTTTCGGCCTATCGCATGCAGTAGTTGACTGCTCCGAGCATATCACAATCGACGACTTCGCAAACGCAATTCTTTCCCCGGAGGGCAGTCCTGCTCGATCAAGCTCACCTGTGAGAACCCGACAGGACTCATACTTTCTCCATACTCCGGCCTTTCGGTCAATCTCTCGGTCGCCTCTCTCTGAAGGTTTCGGGGATAATAATGGGATTGCCAATGTAATCATTGCTAAGAATCTTGACCAAGCACCCAGACAGGTCCAAATTCAAGCCCTAGAGCTCATGCGAACGAAACGGATATATACGAGGACATCGGTGCGAAATGCCCCCAAACAATTTCTGTTTATTGCCTTGCTATCAGGTGGAAGGGGTCCAAAATTAACCAAGCATCTGAATGATCATATGTTCATTTCGCATTTTCACGGCCCTGAAGATGGTTTCCCAAATTTGGAAGATATGTATGATGACGGAAGTTCCATCTCATCGGTGGTCAAGAAGACTCCAACACCCGAGTCAGAATCGCAAGCTTTGCCAAAGATTTCAGCAGCGGTTCGTTCTCCTCATTGAATTCTTAGGATGTTTACTAATGAGATCGAGCCAGGATATCGATCAGTTGGCTCAGCTGAGTGATCTCACTACGGTCAGTGTGGAGGTAAAGCAATACCAACAAAATATTGTTTCCTTTTTACGTCTTCACCGTGCAGTCGCCGGTGGCATCTCTGCTGTCGCCACAAATCACCTTGATAAGCTTGCAAGGTCTGTTTCGATTCTTATGCCTCAAAATGCACAACTGATCTATAAAGGTGTCTCGCCCCACTTCACGGCCTTGGTTACACAACACCTTCGCTCATTACTCTCGCTGCTAGAAAGATATACCAACACCGCATTGCCGTGGTCAGCCCTGAAAATGAACGTAGCATGCAGTGGGGGAGCGATATCGATGCTGTCGAGGTACTATTGAAAGGTGTTTGTTCCGATGATATTATTGAAGACGTTCTGAACAGATCAAGCATTGAAGTTCTGTTATAACAAGGCAGTACCTACCAACTTCGAAACCTTTACAATTATTCAGATTGTGAGTAAATGAACTCGATTTTGATGACTAGGCATTTGCCTAGCAGGTGGTAATAGTATACACGAATTTGATGGATGTGCTTCGTTCGAAAAGAGGTCTCCGTTTATAGTGTTTCCAAATAGTGGCTCAGCAACCTCTTCGGTTCTGCGAGGACGCTAGTCTTCCTTGCCTACCTACCTATTGACCAGTGCCTGCAAAAAAAAAAAGTGCCCAGGCAGGTGCAAAGAAGACTCGCTCTTGAAACATATGCTAGCTAACGAACCAGATATGTTCCTGTTAACGCCATTATTGCCAATCATTTGTTATATGACAGTGCTATCCATTCCTTTCCTCGCATTAAGTAGTTACTGGTAGTGGATGTGAGCGTCCACTACTTGTTTGTCCATTATGTTGTTATATTTACAAATGCTCTTTATTACACATGATTCCACGCCTGCCAGTGACACGCCCTGCTAAATTGCACGATTTTAGCACAAATGATAGGTTGATTATGAGGAGGATTGGGGAACGGGTTGCTGTGGAGTATCTGCCGCTGTATCCAAGTCTAAACTTGCCACAGTTGCTAGTCTGATATCTGACAGTCTGCCTGCACTTCCGTCAAATACGAAGGGTCCCACGTCGTTCCTTGGGGTCATTGGTCCTTCAGTGCTAGTGACGACATCTGTCATGGAAGATGGTAAACCATTTGGACTCGGTGTGCGAATCGTATTGCGATCAGTACGGGAATCGGGATTTTCGAGGTGGGCGGAAGCGCCGACGGAGAGGCTGGAGACAGGGTTCTTATTGACTATCTCGACGGGTGGGACAGTCGCATTTGATACTCCAGGAAATTGCGAGGTCGATGAGCTAGGGGGAAACGATGGCTCATCGATGTTTAGATGGTCAATGGCCTCTGCTGCATCTTTGACCCTTTGGCCAATATCTGAATCATCGCTAGCCTCAACTATGTCACCGTCACTATGGCTCATCTGATCTTGATCGGATTCCTCCAACGCCAGTTGAGGCGAAATGTTTGTATCCCTGTTGCCGCTGACCTGGCGTAATTGACGGGTTGTATTCGCAGGTTCGGGGGTGTCGGAAGCTTGTATGCCGACATTGGCATCCGCAGCTTCTACCTCCTCCCATCCACCGTCTGCATATACATCGTCGAGTTCGGCTTCCAGATCGGCAACGGTCCGACAATTAGGGCAAACGAAATGAGGCCAGTGTGGACCGTTTATGATAACTCGAATGCACTTGTAGTGCCAGGTATGGGAACATGGTGCAACAAACAGTGATTGACAGGGCTGAGGAAGACCGGTTAGCCACTCAAGCAATCTCAAATGGAAGAATGGAAACTCACAGCAATTGGCCCCAGACATATCGAGCAATCCTGGGACGAGCTACTCGTCGGGGACTTCCCCTGGCTATTCAATTCTCGCAAACGTTTATGGGATTGAACACTGCAGCATGTTAGGTCAGACTCTCAACCTTCAACTTGTATGGTGTTATGGTGTTACATACTTAAAGCTGCTCGGAGCGCTCTGCCATCCTTTATTGAGCTCAACCTTTATCTTAACACATCTGAAGATCATTTCCTCCCCTCCCTTGAAGTCGATCCCTAACTGCACAATGTCGCCGTCATTAACGGGAAAGGGCTTTGACTCGGTACCGGGTGAACTGAGCCGTATGTGATTCAGAAACGTCCCTGACGAGCTCTTGACGTCCTTGATGAACCAGCGACCGCCCGAGTACCAGAACTCACAGTGACGCCTGCTGACAACTTTTGACTTGAAACCAACCGGCGCTGCAGATGGCACATTCGCAATCTGGGCAGGCTGATTATCTCTTTCCGAATATCGACCGACTTTGATTACCTCGTTTCCGCTGGGCAGTACCCGTGCCAGCGGGCTGAAAACCAGAGACGGCCGCGGTGCTCTAGGATCTTGGTGTGCTGTGAATCGAATCGAGGGTAATTGATGAAGCATCCCGTGGGTCCCATCCTTCCCATTAGCTGCGGCGGGCGACTCATTTCGAGGGCGCGCATCTCCACCGCCATCGACTTGCGGCATGTCTGTAGCGCCACGGATTGTCGCCGAGCGCGATCTGGCCGTCGAGGCTGAAATATCTGGAGACGCTGTTGCTTGAGCATTAACCGAGAGAACAGCGGAAGAAGAGGCAGCTGTAGATTGGAGTTCTGTTGCAACTCGAGACACCCCGCTGTGCTCTCCCACGGTCGGTAGCCAGCCACTTGTTGATCCCAGATTATCCGGATCACTGGATCCCACAAGAGGCGAGTCACTCGTAGGTTGCTGCATCGTAGGAGATGCCTGTTGGGGAATATCTGAAGATGCAGCAGGCGGCGCTGTTGATGTGCGACTTGTACTGGGCGCTGATGGAGAAGTCGGCGACGGGGAGCTTGTTGCCCTTGCAGTCGACGTTCTTTGACTGCTCGAGCTACTATGGCTTTCTCGCGACAAGAGATGAGTGTGTGTATAGGTTCGTAGATAACTCAGCCCTCTTAGTCGGCGTGGAGGTGAGGCTGGGGATGCAGGAGGTGGGGATTTGGACCTGGATCTGTTTGGAGGTGGACTAGGGCTCCATGGGGAACTAGCCATCGATGAGTACATTGGGCGACGACGAGGTTATTGATCTCTGAGAGGGGTTTGAGATGATCGAGGGAGCGCATGCATCGAAGTCAAAAAGGAGCTGTTGCTGGCCGAGCCAAACATCGGAAGAAATCGAAGTCAACAAAACCTGGGTTAGTCTACGAGGATGAGTGTCTCTGCCTCTGCCTCTGCCTCTGCCTCTGGATCTGGATCTGGATGTGTAGGTTTATACCGTGTGCGCATCTGACAGGGTCGGCGAAGGGTTCTCACCTACACCAGACCCAAGAGACCTCGAAGGGTGTATAAGGGTAAGTAAATAACAGGTGAGGAACGGTGCCCTTGCTTTGTCCTGAGGCGGGAAAAAAGGGACCAGGTCCAGACGCGGGTTACCGTAGCACGGTCAAGATGCCTACCTACCTAGGTACCTACTAAGAAGTTCCGTACAAGCTTCACTGGCATCGAGGATGGGCAGAAAGAGAGACATCACTAGATCCATCTCTATATTTCTATTTACACCTCACACAGGCATTCTGAGGCGCTGAGAGGAGACCCTCGGTCCCTGAAGAGGTACGTAGGTAGGTACTTTAGGTATCATTGGGTCTCCGGAACTTTATCACGTGCAAAGCATTTTTAATCAGATAAGAATTGCCCCCGAACTGAAAACGACAACTCCTCTACCTCCACCTCTTCTGCACAGTAGCAGTATCCACGATGTTAAAATGCTCATCTCCAAGAGCTTTGCCCCGAGCGCTTTTGTCGAGGAAGAGTCTAGCTGGTGCGCTCTCGGTCTCTCGCCGAAGAAGCCTGGCAACGGCTATTGATCCCCTACAGAAGGTATACTTTCAGCAACCCCAAACCAGGCCTGTCCTTACATGCTCACGCGGTACTAGGACCCGGCAGAGCTCGACCAAATATCCACTCTTTCAAATGGCGTGCGAGTTGCGACCGAAGCCCTGCCGGGACACTTTTCGGGTATTGGCGTGTATATCGACGCCGGCTCGCGGTATGAGAACGAGCATTTAAGAGGTGTGAGCCACATTATGGATAGGCTTGCGTTCAAATCCACAACCAAGCGGACAAGTGATGAGATGCTAGAGGCGCTCGAATCGTTGGGAGGAAATATACAGTGCGCCTCATCGAGAGAATCGCTCATGTATCAGTCCGCAACTTTCAACTCGGCTGTTCCTACAACAGTTGCCCTGTTGGCAGAGACAATTCGCGACCCCCTGATCACCGAAGAAGAGGTAGGGCAACAACTGGAGACCGCCGCCTACGAGATTGGAGAGATCTGGTCAAAGCCAGAACTTATCCTGCCCGAGCTAGTACACATGGCTGCTTACAAGGACAATACACTGGGCAATCCCTTACTTTGTCCCAAAGAGAGGCTTTCCCAGATCGACAAAAGCGTGATTGAGTCCTACAGACAAACCTTTTACAGCCCAGAAAGGATGGTCATTGCCTTTGCGGGAGTCCCGCACGAGCAGGCTGTGAGACTGGCCGAACAGTACTTCGGAGACATGCCTAAATCCGACATCTCTCGGTGTCAGACAGGGTCCGCAACATCAATAGACTCATCTTCCAGCCAAAGCAGTGAAAGCTCTTTCTCTTCATCTTCGTCAATACCGCCTTCGCCCCCCCAGCAACCGTCAAAACTACTTTCTCGGATACCCTTCTTTAAAAACATCTCCACTTCAGCATCGAAGGACGCGTCAGTTCAGTCATATAACGAACTTCCGCCTTCGCCTCTGGATATTCTGCAACCATCCCATTACACTGGCGGTTTTCTTTCTCTGCCTCCTCTACCGCCTCCGGTTAACCCTTCAATACCACCGTTGACACATATCCATCTCGCTTTTGAGGCCCTACCCATATCATCGGAAGATATTTATGCTCTTGCAACTCTCCAGACACTCCTTGGCGGCGGTGGCTCTTTCTCTGCTGGTGGCCCTGGCAAAGGCATGTATTCACGACTTTACACGAATGTTTTAAATCAACATGGCTGGGTAGAGTCGTGCGTGGCATTCAATCATTCTTACACGGACTCAGGACTGTTTGGAATTTCTTCCAGCTGCTCCCCTAGCAAAGCTATGAACATGCTCGATGTCATGTGTCGTGAATTGCAAGCCCTGACACTTGATACTGGGTTTTCCGCGTTACAGACTGCAGAAGTTAACAGGGCAAAGAATCAGTTGAGATCTAGTCTGTTAATGAACCTCGAAAGCAGGATGGTGGAACTTGAAGACCTTGGACGGCAAGTCCAGGTCCATGGGAGGAAGGTCGGCGTAAAGGAGATGTGCCGGAAGATCGAGGAGTTGACTGTCCAAGATCTTCGCAGGGTTGCGAGGATAGTTGTTGGTGGCATGGTGGGCAATGCAGGAAACGGAAGTGGCGCTCCCACCGTGGTACTGCAGGAGGGCGACGAGGAGGGGATCGTAAGAAAGACCTTGAAGTGGGAAGAAGTTCAGGACCGAATCGACCGGTGGAAGCTGGGTCGGAGGTAAAAACATGCATGCTTCCACGATGTAAGGCGGTGGCCTCGTAGGCCTGATCAGTGGCTGCGAAGATCATTATAAGACCAGAATTTGTACAAGTACAGTTGTTGTATAATATGTATGAGCCGGCAAAATGTAGCATAGAAGGCGTTGGGTACTTCATCTATCTCATCTGTTTCTTGGCTCTTGACCCCTGGGTTTTGCTGTAGTGTCCTAGGACTATTCGAGAATTGTCCTGTATGTAAGTATTTGGTGTTTTCCAATATTAACTATATCAATTTGCCCAATTTACAAGTGTCCTATTCGCAGACAACATTTCGTCTGAAGCTTTGTGCATCGCATTCGGTCAGTCAGCACGCCGCTCTTTCCCGGCCGCCAATATTGTCATTAAACGCCTTCAGCCTCGGCCGACAAACAATTTGGACCAATCATACACTAGGTACCTAGGTAGTTCTAAGGGTACCCTAAATAAAGCCTTGGTGAACCTGGTTTCCTGAGTAAGGCTCGCGTGCAGCATCATGTCGACTCTTCCGTTCAGTTTTAATATTCAAATCTCTTATTACCCTAAGGTCAATTTCAGCTGCTAGGTTCCAAGTTGCCTAGAGGAAGGAGGAGATACTGACTATTACTTCGTAGCAATATGCATCAGCTATTTGAAGTATATGCTCTCTCGATCAGTCCAGACGTACATGTGTCTTATACTTTTACTTTCTATGGAGTCATAGTACCTGATTGCTGTATTAGGACAATGGGAAAGGCATTTCTGGTAAACATATTGACCAAAGGCTTCCTAATGATCCCCATTGGAATTTTAAACAAGCTATTCTCGTTACTACGGAGGATGCTGGCGAGCCTTTGATCAGGCATGTTTTTTGCCGCCCTTTTTCTGATGTACTGTAGTTAGGATTGCACTCAGGAGCCCGAAGGCTGATGAAAGGATCGAGCTCGAGCTCTTTGATCAAACGACTACGCAACCAGAGGGACTATATCAATTTACTTGGGTGTTCAGGTTGCTCAGTCGAGGGTGATCAGTAATTCCTTTAGTACTAGGTAGCAACCCGATTACGATACCTGGGGGTGTTAATGGATTAGAAGAAGATGGCCGTGCCTAACTAAGGCAAATCAGCATTGGCAAGCCCGACTACGAAACTGTGGCTAGATCGCAAAGATTAAGCGCAGCAGACCCAGCGCGAGAAAGGTTGTCAGAGCCTGTGGATATCACAGGAAGAGAGATATGCGTTCGCGCAGCAAGGCTGAGGTTAAAGCGCACCGTGCCGTGCCTAGCGAGATATTATGCTGTACCTTCCCTCGCAAGCACCTACAGTAAGGTACCTTGCTCTCTCCGATTCCATTTGAAATTTTACACACCTCTCACGTTGCATTAGAGCCAATCGACACAAGGCTTATCAAGTGTCTCCTTGACTCCCAACCAAGGTTGCGGTGAATTTGAATCTGAATCGTGCAAGCCGCGCCAGCAGTTGAACGATCAGGGGAAGATGAACAAAATGGCCACAGCTGAACTCGGAGGCAACACAACACAATTGAAGCCTGCAGACAGCCCCAATGGACCACCATCTTCTGTGGCTACATCACTTCGGAGGAAAAACCCAGGACCTCTGAAAACACCGATCGTTGACCCTGTCGAATCCGCGAGACCTGCCCCGGCTACTAAGCTCACGCCCGATCAACAATCAAAGTATGAAGAACTGCTGCAGACCGTCAGGTCTTGGAAAGAAATCCCCTCGTCGCAGGGGAAAGGAGGTGCGATTACAGAGGACGAGATCATGTGGTTGACAAGAGAGTGCCTTTTGCGGTACCTACGAGCCACAAAATGGTCCACAGCAGAGGCTGCAAAGCGTTTGCTTGGTACACTCACATGGAGGAGAGAATACGGCGTTGAGAGTCTCACGGGTGATCACATTTCGCCTGAAAACGAGACGGGCAAGCAGATCATCTTAGGCTTCGACATCGAAGCCAGGCCATGTCATTATCTGAATCCTGGAAGGCAGAACACAGAGCCAAGTCCCAGACAGGTTCAGCATTTGGTATTCATGTTGGAGCGTGTTATCGACCTCATGGTGCCCGGCCAGGAAACTCTAGCACTATTGATCAACTTCAAGTCTGGCAAGAGTCGCACCAATACCGCACCAGGAATAGGGCAAGGGAAAGAAGTCTTGAATATTTTACAGACACACTATCCGGAAAGATTAGGCAGGGCACTGATCATTAATGGTGGGCCTAGCTGGACCATCTAGAGTTCTTGATAGCTAACCCTTGATAGTTCCGTGGGTCGTCTGGGGCTTTTTCAAACTGATCACTCCATTCATTGATCCTTTAACCAGAGAGAAGCTGAAGTTTAATGATGACATGCGAAAGCATGTTCCTCCTCAGCAACTGTGGACCGAGTTTCAAGGAGATCTCGAATTCGAATACGACCATGCCACCTACTGGCCCGCACTTATAAAATTGTGCGAGGAGAAGCGGACAGAACACCGAGATCGCTGGGTGAAGGCAGGAAAGCATTATGGTGAGAGTGAGATATATATCAAAGGAGGGGACGCTCCGAGTATTGGTGGTCAAATAGCGGCTTCAGAAACTTCTGCGGCGTCAGAGAAGGGCAAGGAAAACATCGAGCCTGTTGTGAAGATCACATGAGCGAGAGCATCAGAACAGGACCACGTTACTGAAGTCACTGGCAATTTGGATGTTGGGACTTGCGCTATAGACAAGGTTCTGACGACTGAGGATGGCAGGTCTGAGAAACGGCAGAAGTGAAGCGTTGCACATGCAGTCAAGACTCAATAATTTTAACTTAGACACTACTTTTGTAGACACTATATCGTATATACACCTAGATTAAGGGCTCGATCTGACGCAAAGTCCTGACTTCCAAAGAGTCATGGCATCTACCGCTGTATATGGCGATATCACTTTGTTCATATTTGATCGCGCTGGCCCCTCCCTTCGCTTGCACCAAACAACCTCAGTCAAAACCCTCTTCTACAGTACATAGGTACCTGCATACCTGCATACCTCATGCGCCAGCCCATTCGATTTCACGTATGCCATCTTTGACAAACAAGTAGAATGGCATCCTCCCAGCCGGCCAAGCCACCGCTCATCGGCCAGCCATCAAGCGCCCAACGAGGCTCGCAGCCAGGCCTACGATACCCTGCGAGCGGGAAGACGATATACCATAGGCCCTTAAATCGCAGTCGAACGCAAGAGCTCAGCCAGGCCAGCTTTGCATATCTGTTTGGGGAGATGGTCAGCTATGCGCAAAAACGTGTCACTGGTATTCAAGACCTCGAAAAAAGGTACCGTCGTCCATAGTTCTCGTGTAGAAATCCAAACGGAGGTTCTACTATGGAAAGTATATTGTATTTCTAATCGTATTTGCTTCCGCAGATTAAATACTCAGGGACACCCTATCGGTCTCAAACTCCTCGACCTCCTCCTCTACCGCGAGCCTCCCCGCACACAAACCCGTCCACTCCACATAATCGCTCTCCTCCAATTCATTACCACCATACTCTGGAAACATCTCTTCTCCCGCCCAGCCGATGCCCTGGAAAAATCCTCTAACCCAGAAACGCCCGATGAATACATGATCTCAGACAATGAACCGCTAGTGAATCAATACATCAGTGTACCGAAAGAGATGAACCAGCTAAATTGTGCGGCGTTCGTGGCAGGCATTATAGAGGGTGTATGCGACGGCTCGGGATTTCCAGCTAGGGTCACGGCACATAGCGTTGGAAAGGGAGAGGAGGGCGAGTTATGGCCTGGAAAGACAGTTTTCTTGGTAAAGTTTCAGCCGGAGGTTGTCGAGAGAGAGGCGTATTTAGGAAGGACTTGAGAGAGGGCTAGGATTGCATATTGGCATTTGAATGGCGTTTATTGGGATTAATGGAGTCTGAAGGGCCTAATTGTAGCACAGGTAAAGGCTAGGAGTTGGCCATATCAGAACAAGACGAAGGAATCATGAACTACCTACGTATCATAGTCTTCAACCTCACGGTTTCATTGTCAGGTTCATTATTAAGAACTTGATTACACTGTGATGTATTCTTGTCTTTGCCAACTATTCTCATCGGGCATCGTTCGTCACCTCCAGAAACTCCTCCCACTGCAAGACTAACTTGCCATAATACTTACTTCAGAAGGGCAGCACCCCAGCCCATGCTTTCTCTGTAGCTAGCACACAGTTGGCCAAATATGACCTATCACTGGTAGTCTAATAGCCAAGCACCTCAGCTAGCCTCTCTATCTCGGCATAGACCTTGAACTTGCTTTGAACGCCGACGTCTCAGCATTCTTGTCTGGTCCCTTTTTCATCAACTCAGCCAATCCTAAATCCTTCCAAGCCGTCTCCTTCGGCTTCTGCGTAGCTCTCTGGATACCAAAGGCGGCATGCTGGTCTGGCACCACATCATCTTCGTCTTCCGGGTTGATAGGTTGGTTGTGAGGCGGCACATAGATCTCGTCGTCCGGTAACTTATCTTTGCAGAAATCTTCAAAAAGATCTGCATCTCGAGCACGGTTGAAGTGTACGTAGGTGTGATTTGAATCTTTAGACTGAGGAGATGTGTCAGTTGGAGAGTCCCACATGAAGGGTGATAGGAATACCATAGTGAAGACCCAGTGTAGCAATCATAGGGAATTCGTGGATGTTCCTGGCACGGCTGCAGCGTCAATCCTTCTGAAGATGCTTTCTCACAGCACTTGCTAGGCGATCAAATTTGAAGGTGGTGCAACCCAACACACCATTCCGAACCCAATAGGTAGGTAAGGTAATTGCAAACAAACACCAACACCAACCAGCTTACCTGCCTTACCTACCTTACGGAGCAAGGTAGCGTATCTAGCCTTGTCTTACCGATTAGGTATAGCTCTGGTGGGATGGAACAACAAAATCCCTGCACGTGAGCTGAAGCCCTGGCACGTGTCTGGATTGGCTCTTTAGGCGAAAGGTTGCAAAGCGCACAAACTAAATTCAATCGCAACTTTTGACTTTTGATCACTCAAGTGAGTTGACGCATCCTACGAATCCAGGCCTGGTACCACCAAATCGCAACCCTCTTCACCCAGAACAACCTCAAGTCTGCAAATATGTCTCACGAATCCGTCTGGAACTCGAGGCCCCGTACCTACGGCAAGGGAGCTCGCGGCTGGTATGTCTCCATATCCATCTGACATGGCTTTGCGATGCGACGAGGAGGTTACCAAGTGCGATAATAACTAACATTGAATTACTCTAGCCGTGTCTGCACCCACAAGGCCGGTCTTATCCGCAAATATGGCCTTAACATCTGCCGTCAATGCTTCAGAGAGAAGGCCGCAGACATCGGTTTCGTCAAGGTATGCCGTTCGGGCAATGTCCCTACATTAACGAGATCTGACGACTTCTGCAGCACCGTTAAGCACCCACGAGATGTTAGTAGCCTATCGAATCGAATCGAGTGATGGGCTGTGGTACTCGGATCGATTTTACTCATGGCATGGAGTTTACGGTTGGTTGAACCAAAGAAACTTTGAGATTGGAGGCTTCTCAGAAGGGAGGGGAAAACTCTTGACAATTGGTAGAATGAAATGCCGTTCGATGGATCGCTCTCGGATACATGCGTATTTTCACTGGTATTGATGTGAAGTGGAGGCCGCTTTCGTTTTGCCATTGGCCAAGGGTCACAAGTCTCTGGCTGTACCGCGTCAGCTTTCAATGCCATTCCACATTCCATAAATTCCCCGGAGGTCCTGGTTCTTTCTCTGTTTTCTGATTCTATGAGAAGCACCCTGGAGGTAGATTCAAGGGCTGCCGCCATGTTTGGCCTTGAAGTCGTGATAACTCGAAAATCGCCGGACTAAAAGTAGGTAAATATATGGAGACTAACAACTATCATCTCAAATTCTCCAGTGAGGCGGGGGGGTTGGCTCTTTTTTGCTCGATTGCTACCCGTCATCTCCAGCACTTCTCGGAATATTCTGGGCCGATATCAAAAGGGCATTCGCGACTAGGTGGTTTAGCTGATTATGCACAAGGGGTTTTGGGCCCGGGTCTGGAGCTCCTACTGCAGAGTTCCCCAGGCAATGAGAAGCTGAAACTGTCCCAGTCGATGCTTGTTCATACCTATATCCAAGGCTATGCAGAGTAGGAGAAGAGATCTGAACCCAGGCGCTATGTACTTGCACGCGTTAACGGCCGGACTACGAAGACACCTAAATGCCCAGGTATAGAAAAGACCATCGTTCTTAGAGGAGAGAATGGATAAGAGAGCATCGTAGCGGGAAGGGTCTGGAAGCTAGAGGCACAGCCGAAGTAAAGCTGTATCAGCGCTGGCAGTGCTAATCATGATCCATCGGCCCTATTTCTCAAGGCTCCTCTTCACACTGAGCTCCTCTGCCCCTGAAAAGGACTTTGCTGTGATTGTTCGTAGCCTCGTTTACAACACAACTTCTGTTCCGTAACTTTGTTTTTGGTGGGGTGGGCGGAGGGTCAGCGGAAGATGTCATTGCGGACTATATTCATCAATCCTGAAAAGGGTTGCTAGGTAGAACAGCTATTTCGTTGCGAGGCATGCATAGGACGAGCATATATCCTCGTATCACTCATTGCTCCTCCAAAAACATCCGTTCATATCACACCCAGCCAGCCACATCAGGTTTACCCTTCCATATCAAATAAATCATGATCTTCAGCTCAAGTTCCCCATGACCACGTTCTATTTCTTCTGGCACAGGGAAGCCTTGTTCCAGAGCTCCGGGTATTGTTGATCTACTACCGAAACCAACATTTTCTTGCCCCTATTCGCACTTCGAGTTCATCACTTGCAAGCGATCCGCCATCAACAGACCTAGGAAGACCTTTACACCATGATTCACTGCTTTTGGCCCACACGGTACTATCTTTGGCTTCTCCTTAGTACGTAGCTCCATCACCTTCCATCTCCCAAAGCTTCAACTTATATCCGTCTTCGTATAATCTCAGATAGACCATGATCAGTTTGACATGCTTCCGTTCACGGATTAGCCTTAGTTCCGGCTCATCTTGTCGCCTCACCCATATGGCACGAACCCACCGCCCCCAAGGCGTTTTTGAGGATCAAAAACATGGCAAAACTGGATTTCCCGACGAGTAGTTCTCCTACAGTATCATCTTGCCGTGGTATTGCTGCTCGTGGGCTTCAGCTGTGAAGCCGGGAAATAGGAGACGGACCTCATACTCGATAGGAAATAGGAAATAGGAAATAGTAGATTTCCAGGGCTCTGTTTCTATTCCATAACCCGCAGAACAGAGCTTACTTCTTAGGTCTCACAACCACCTCTCTCCAGATTCCACCCAATTCTGGTCTCATTATTTTAATGTTGTGTCTGGTAAGGGCGGTCAATGTTCACAGGCGGTTTGGCATGTCTGGTGTCCTCGGGTCTCGAATGATCAAATCCAAACCGACGCTTATCTTCTAGCACTAGACGCTCTTTTGATCATCTTCCACTGGGATAGACGATATATCGCATAGGAGGGAGATGAATAGGTGTGCCCTAGTACGGTTGGGGAGAGATATGAAGGACACAATAATCGATTCCTCAAAACAGACATGCCCGGAATTGTTCGAAGATGAGGATGGCCAAGTCGGTGAAAGAAAAGACAGAGTATCGGTTACTGTAGAGCTTTATTTGAGGTGATACATAGAACGATGCTTTGTGGTTCATTACAGCCATGATTTTGTGACAAAAGTTAAACTCTGAGATATTCCGTGGCTTCTTTGATGTCTAGAAGAGTGCTTTCTTACGTCTATGAACCAGCTTAAGACAACACCATATTTGAAAGTAGACTGAACAACTGTAGAGTAATATGTATCTCTCTTTCGACGATATAGCATCAATCGCTGAATTGACTATGCCAACTTTATGAAATATGCCAACGACAACCTTTCTTCCATCTCCGCGCCCGCGTCTATTTGACAAACGGACAAGAGACTAAGAGCGTAAGAAAATGAAAAGAGTATACCAAGCACTCCAGGACCCCGTAAAAACCCTCCTAGAGTAGTTATGGGTAATTAAACATCTCTAGTATATCGTAAACAAGGCTCGTCATAAAATCAGGACCACTCCTTGTAACTCTTCTGCCTTTGACGAGTATTCCAGCCTAGTTTCCCACTGATGCTATTAACCCAATCCTCGGATCTTCTTCCCTGGGGCATAACATTTGCAAAAGGGTATATACTTGCACTAATTGTGACATAATCCCCAGGTCTCAATTGAACTCTTTCCCTACCGTCGAAGCTCGCCCAACTGCTCGTTCTCGCGTCGTAAGGGACGCCTACACGGAGGACTATCGTGTCAGGTAGGATGATTGGGCGGAAGGAAAGCGTGTGAGCACAGATAGCTGTGACAAGGATGACTGGATTCTCCGGATGACACAGAGAGCCGCCAGCAGCGAGGTTGTAAGCAGTCGAGCCGGTGGGTGTTGCGACGCAGACGCCGTCTGCCTGAATCGATGTAAAATGTTCGTCGTCACCAAATAACTCCGTAGAGGTCATCGCTGGAAGGCCCATTAATAATATGCTGTGTCGTAAAGAGAAAGAATACTTGCTTGGATTTGGGCCGCGGTCTACGACTATGTCATTCAAGATCTCATATGTTCCATCTGGACGGTGGGTTCTTTCGTCCTCCTTCTCTTCTCCTACCAACTCTTCTACCAAATCCCGGGGTTCGTTACCTTCCCCCTCTTCTTCTTCTTCCTCTGCGGTCCCGTTGCCCATTGCGATCTTCTTCCGTTTCTGACTCCTCATTACTGTTCCCTCAAATCTTAACCTAAGACTTATGGTGACGCCGTTGTCGAAAGCATTCGTTAATGTGTCTCTGAAATTTTGGTAATCAAATTTGGTCAAGAACCCCAGACTCCCCAGAGCGAAACTAAGCACTGGGGGGACGATCCGCTGGAAGAGCCAACTAGCATATAACACGGTTCCGTCGCCCCCAAGTGTAACAACGAAGTCGAAGGTGTGTGGTCTTGTACGACACATTTCGGCATTCCAATATTTCAACCTTTTATCCAGTTTCTTCACTTCTCCCTCGGACTTGCCATGACCAGAATATGACCTCTCGAGGTCGTGAATCAGCCCCTGGGCATCAAACTTCTTGTTGTCTCGGAGGATCTGCTCCACGTATACCGTGTATCTGACATCCCTTTCCGGACTTAACAACCATTTAACCACATCCCTTGTATTTCCAATAAGAGACTCATCATGCGCCTTCGTCAAGAGGAATACGCTCTTGACCTTCAGCTTCAATTTGATGCTTCCCAAACGCTTACTGAGCTCCCGCACTCCCCATGCCATATCGGAGAGTTGTCTTTTTGTGAGCAGGCGACTGTGGACTGCTGGTTCTTCTTGCTGTTGTCTGTCCATCTGCCTGCCACTAGCGGCTGTAGCTTTCATTTGTCGCCCTTTAGCTTCATGCCGCTCTCGCCAAGCTCTCTGATCTTCTTGCCCTCCATGCGGAGTTTCATAGCCATCGCCAGTCTTTGGCTCTACTGCGGCATCACCGCCCGAGCTTGTCGGCACAGATCCTGCTAGCCCGTGCCCTCCACTTCTTCGTTGTTCCTCAAGCAAAGCGTGCACATAGCACTCAGTTTCCTTCCTCCTTTGCATGAGATGTGCGGGAGTATCGCCCGGTACGAGGGATGATTTTCGGCGATGGGAGTTGTGTGGATCGAATACTACCTGTGCACACGTACCAAGCGTTAGCAATTGACTGAATAGAGACTGGGTCTGGATGGAAATCAACTACTTGCCTCGAGAGCGTGCTGATATTCGGTTTCACTGGCACTTGATTGCCCCTATTGTCGTGGTTAGGACTCGAGATGTTGGAGATACAAGGCTGCATCACTCACCTCTTCGTGGGGACTGCGAGGCCCCGTGGCGCCGGCGTGGTCCACACCAGGGGGCAAGCCAAGTTCTGGCTGCGGGCCAGGTTGAGACATTGTCATGAAAGCTTATTGCATTTGAGAAGCTGTTATTCATCAATACAAAGGTTTATGTATATCATCCTATCTTGCGTGGCGGCGTGTATGACGCTCTCTTGTGTAGATAATGGCGCTAAAGATAACAGGCATGGCGACCATTATGCGCAGCCGACCGGGCGTCCTTGGTTCAGGACAGTTCGGGACCAGGTAAGGTACCTATCCTCCGAGGGGATATAGGAGGCCGAAGAAGATGTCCGCACCGTATATACACACCCAGATCGATAAGTGGAATGGGGAGTATGTATTATGATTTTCCTATGGAAATGCGAGCAACGATGGAACCCCACATTCCCCCCTTATCGATAACGTGATACGTGATACGCCTTCGGGAATCATAGGTACCTTACCTACGTAGGCTTGATTCTCCTTTTCTGGGCTGATAATAATACCAATAATCAAAAAGAAGCAGGCGGGCAGAGAGAGACAGCAAGGGTAAAGAGGAGAGAGAAACGAGGGAGGAAAGGGGAAGGTAAAAATCCGTATATATATAAGGAGAGACGTTAAGGAGACAACCAAAAACAGATACCCGAGAGGATTATGCTATTAATTGCCTACCTACCTACGTATAGGCATATATGTATCGACTCCATAGAAGTTGTGTTGTAGCTTAGCTTAGCTAACTTGCATTAGATACTCAATTGAACACCTAGTAATGCAAGTTAAGTCTACCGTTGAGTCTTCTATATCTACCCTCACTTGTCTGTCTCTAAGCGGGGCGGCGTGCGAACATGATAAGTACCTTAGCTTAAACTTACACTACTGCCTCGGACCCTCGGTATAGTTTTGCCCTGACGTCTGGTGCCATGCCTCTCGATCGACATTATTAGAGAGAGACACCACTAGAACCGATTTTCCCGCTAGGTGTAGAGCCGTAACTTTGCGATGCCCGAGGCTTCAGGCCCAGAGGCTGCTCGGAGGCTGTCAATTATTCAGCTCAAAGAAAACAGTGCCGACGAGGTTCAGGTATGCAGGTGGGTATGGCAGGGAAATGTCATTTTATATACCCACCCTCTCGATTTGAGCTGGGTTGGGATAAATATTGGATCCGCCATCACATGCAGCACGCCAGCGGGGCTTGACGATGAGGCTTTTTCTTGTTTTATTCCCTTGTCTCTGCTGCTTTCTTCTTTCTTCTCTCTTCCCTCTTCCCAGACTTTCCCCCTTTCTCTTCCTTCCCCCTCCCCCTCCCCTGAATCCCTGAATCCCTGAATCCCTGGCCCCATGCTGCCACGCTATAACTTATCTGCAATATGATTGACGCCCGTGCACTATGCTCGCGGGGCACGCAGCACGCTCTTTTGGTTGGCTTTGTCTCGAGGCCACACATATGGCCCGACACCCGAAGGCTAAAGCCTCAAACCAAGGGTGTTCTCATCCGCCACGGCCCTGGCTGTGCAGTGTGCCTGCCCATGGCCCGCCCCATGGTCTGTTGTCGGTGCTCGAGAGTCGAGACTATTAACTGCATACTGCGGAGGACCGCTGTATCAGTACCTCATCGGCTACGTGCTCACACTTCGTACAGTATGCAGGGCGTACAAAGTACTGTACAGAGTCAATTCTCGAGCATCCTATGACCATGGACACATAGATGTTGCCGGCCGAGGATACGGGAGGGGACTTACGGAGCACCTTGTCCGGAGTAGTGATACTAGGCCAGCTCTGTCCTGGTCTCTGGTGGCATAGCGTACTCCGTACAGTAAGGTAAGTACAGAGTGGTAGCAGGCAGGTCAGCACTCGAGGCGCGAGGTACAGTAACTAAGTGTAACTTGGAACTTGGAAGTTGAAGTCCCGAACCCGTACTCCGTACTCTGCAAGGGGGACGCTATGATATCGACACACCCCTCGCCGACCCCCCTGCTGGGCGAAGCGCCCCGTACCTAAGGTAATGACAAGCGGGTACGTATTACGAACAGGTGGATTATTGTCGACGGGTGCCAGTGGATAGCAGCTGCTCCGTACTTGATTAGTCTACCCCCTAAGTGCGACGAAGGGGGAATCTCTAGCGACCTCCCTAGTCTGGATTGGAGCTAGCATGATCACATGATCTCTCTCCGTCCTCTCCAGCTGCCACTTACTCGTATTTGATGCGCCCACTGCTCAGCCCCTGATTCCTGAACTACAACCGCTTGGCCCTTGGGTAGAGATAGTCAAAGGGCCAGATGGAGGAAGGTTGTCGCCCAGCCCCTGGCCTGCCTGCAACGTGCAGAGTCCCAGTACGAAAAGCTGGAAAATAGCCCGCAGCCCAGACGCCAGAAGTTATCAGGCGCATTATTTCCAGGTTTGATAACCAACAAACCCTACCCGAGTACCCTGTCCGCTGCTGGCTCCATCTCATCTCCAGCCAGATGACACAAAAAACCTAACTACTACATACTTACTTGCGTCGTGGCTCTGCTGTTGTCTTGCCGCTGTCTAGCCTTCCAATGGAGATCTTCTCGTGATACTGTAGAGGCTAGCATCTCATTTCCGCCATCCCATAGCTAGCTATGGACTCAGTCGTATGGGTTTCCTCTTGTCTTGCGGATGTTGATATATTGATTGCTCGCAGCATTTCCCGCTCTTTCGGACACCCCCCCGTCGTTACCACAACTATACTACAACACAATGACGAGTCCGAATTATGATGCCTCGGCGTATGGTAGACACGCCGTGGGGTACTCAAGCTTGGAAACACTCCCATACGTTGACGAGGCATCCAACTTCGGACGACGCTGCTCTCGGGGATCTGGTGGACCGAGAGCTGTTGGCTCGATGCGTATCGTCAAGTCCAATGGAACCAGCAGCAGTCCACGAAGCTCAATGGGGTTGTCACGGCGGAGGACGGTGATGACTGATGCGAGACGAAGAATAGCCACGGTCGATCGAGGTGTAACTCCGGAGGGATTCGGCTCCAATGATGGTCTACACTTCCGCACGAAATCAAATCGACCCCTCAGCTGGCATCCATCCTCGATCCAACAGATGGGCTCTTCAAACTGCCCAGCGCCTGGTCGCAACATAAATAACGAGTTCTATATCTTCGACCTCCCTCCAACTCCTGCTCCTTATTCGAGATATGCATCACCGGCACCAGCTTTCCCCCCTCTACCATTGCCGTTTTCGAGCTACGACCAGCAACAATACCCTTACCCAGACGCCCCCCGTCAATACCCTTCAAATCCAAATTATATATATCAACCTCAAAATCTTGGACATCAGGTCCCGAAATATATATCAGCACCAGCAGGTAGCACGCACGCACCTGTGTATTCTCACTCCAATTGGAGCAGCTTTCCTCGTAAGGTCTTTGAGAAGCCTACCGCGCCACCTACCCCCGAGAAATTCTTTCCAATACAACACCCTGGCCCAGCCCTCCCAACCGACGAAGCAATCCCGTATCGCCCACTTTCAGATACGGAGGCAGAGGAGGACGGAGAAATCTTGCGCGGTCTGGGATTGTATGACAATCCCGAGGCAGAGAAAGTCGCTCCGTCAGATCCACAGTTAGACAACTATCGGTCGTCGATGTCGCAACTTGTTGGGACTGATTACCGGAGGGAGCCAGCTGGGAAAGGGCTAAAGCTCGAAGAAACTTGGAATCCGCCAACGCCTGATGACGACTATGATAATAATGACGGTAACGAGCAAGATGCAGAGGGAGAAGACGAAGACAAGACGAAGACGTGGCGAAGACCGCAAAGAATACCACCGAGGTCACAACACAAAACAACAACGGCAGTTACTATATTAGCCATTTCGTCCCCCAATCTGATCCCCCTGCTCGACATTACGACCATAACAGCTGGATATGAAATGATAGGAGCAAATTCAAAATTTGGGAAGGATACATGAATTTAGTCATTTTAGCGTAGCGTACATAGCGTTTGCAATAAGACGGGTCAGCGATGGAGTTGGGAATGGATATTGTCTTGTCAGATTCACGAGCACGGCACAACATGATTGAGCACATGAATTTTCTATATAGTCTATAACCACCTAGGTATTTGACTGAGCTTGGAGATGAGGGATGGGACGTCTCTTCCTGTGGGTGTTCTGTACTGACTGGGGCAATGTAAGATATCTCTAAGGTGCCGTAGATAAGGTAGGACAGTAAACGACAGTAAATTCTACCGTGAGAGATGTGACGTACCTCAACGACCAGAACATACACACGCATAGATGCATAGATATCTAAATCCTATCTATCTGAGTAGACAACCTCGAGGCTCGATCTGACGGCTCAAACGGCTTTTGCGTTCGAGATTTAAGCTTCTCCGCTTATTGCTAAGCGTTCAGCCCCGCCGGCAGAAAATCGACTTTCCGCCAGCTCCAACTACTTCACTTCACCATCTTCAAGAGGTAAATAAAGTATCTTCAGTGAGCTATCATCATTTCACCATCACCCCCACCAATCCCGACCTCTCTTTTCCTTCTTCGCCTCTGCTCTCAAAACTAAAAATGGTTCAATATGTCATTACGCCCTGGAGAGACCGGAGAGAACTGCTGCGCGTGCGCGAACAGCTATATTCGCGTCCAGGAGACCCAGCATATGACTCGAGCCGTCGCCAGGCCGTTTCGCAGGTTTCCGTATGGGTAGAAAGAGGCAACTGCCCCCACTTGGTAGAGTCAACTGCCATTCTCACATCTGCAATTCTCAATGATGTGCCTGGTAATTCAACGTGGTGTATCCGCGCAGCGTACGCCTCAAGTTTTTCACGGTGAGTCGCAAGCTTTTCCCCGTCAGCTGTAAACCTTTTTTCCACTTATTTGCTCTCTGTTCGCCTGGGTCTAGATCAACAGTAGGCTTGTTCCATGTGCCCCTAGTTGTATTATAGTGCTGAAGCATAAGATCTTCGTCGTCCGTTCGATATATGTCGTACGCATTCTTACTATCAGAAACACTACACACAAACCCTCTTTAAGCTGAACCAAAAAGACGCTAATGCTGTACCACAGATTCGTGACTGGTCTATTAGATAGCCACCAAGATAAGCGTCGGAAGCTTAGCATGTACTCAGTTGCCAAAACTTTAGGGCTTCCAGCGACCTACGTGGAACTTCGACACCAAGCTACTCATGAAGAATTGCCCTCTCTCCAGAAACTTCGGACTGCGTCCCGGAAAGCCTTACTATGGATCTGGGACTACTACTGGGTTCATTTGTCGATTGACGATGAGGCTGCAAGTCCTGAAGATCTCAGAGTCTATCTCCGCAAGCTTTTGGAGGAAACGAATGAGAAAGTTCGTGGGGAAATGGAAGCGCGACTGGTTCACTGGACGCAAGATCAGCTGCTTGATGCTCTGATGGAACTAGAATTGGAAGCACAGGATAGCGAGGCATTCCTCCGGTTGGTCAAACTTTCCAAAAAACTCATGAATGGGAACGGAGAATCTGCACGTGAGGACGAGTTGGCTCCGGAGATGAAGGTTAACAGTATTGAGGAGCTAAGGAAGGAGTTGACCGGGGTACAAGAGAGGCTTGACGACCCTGTTGTAGACGTGCCACAGAGGGTTGAATTATCGCCCAATGACGACTCGGCAGTGAGTGGATGGAGTATGTATGAAGGCGCCTGGGTTTCGAAGCCAATCGGGACAGTTTGTTGATTTATCACCGCAATAATGTTGGTCTGCCGCTTTATGCCCTCGTCTTCGTTACGCCTATCCAATTGGTGGATAATCAAAGCCCGCCAGACAGGAAAGTCTAGGGAATACAGCTTCCAGGACTCAAATCGGAAGTCCCATTTTCAAAAGATTGTCTACTATGCAGCTTAGTATGTGTTTCTACGCCCACGGAAAGATGTGGTTGGAGCCGCCGTCCTACTGATAATCTGGAATACGAGACAAGACTGGAGCCAATTGGAGATTTGCAGCAAATGCAGACAAAGAAAGGCATCGAATTGTGTCTCACTATTACTGGCAGAACATAGCCGTATCGTTGATTGTTCAACTCCCCTCGAAGCCAAAATTCCATACTTCATTCAGTCTTATCTTCCTATTAGTGCTTGACTGGGCGGGGATTCGGATGCAGGCGCCATTGGATCACCTCACCCTAAGCTACCTTCGGTGCAACCTCCTCAACTCTCTCTGGAGACCTGTTGTCATGACTGGCTCTTATCGCAAATTTCTCCTCAGCATCAAACTCTCCTCTCTCCAGGCGCACAACAGTCCTGTCGACATGTGTCTTCCAAGCAGGGGTCCCGATGTACTTGATGCTGCCAGGCGTGGAGTCGTCGAAGATCTCTTCCACCTCTTCGAGAATCTTTTGACTAGTTTCCGGGAACAGGAATAGGACGTGGAGGAACATGCTAGCGCAGAAGACAGCGAAGACCACATAAACCTCCCAACGGATGTTTGCAAAAGCCGGTGGCACGAAGTAGGCGAGTGCAAAGTTGAAGATCCAGTTGGCGGACGTGCACAGTGCAACGGCCTTACCTCGAACGCGCAGGGGGAAGAGCTCAGGTGGGTAAATCCAGGAAACTGGGCCCCATGTGGGTGCGTAAGAGGCCACGAAGAGGTAGGTGCACGCGATGACTGCCTTTGCAGGAGGGCCAGTGATCGAGATAGACTCTGCCGAACTGTCGAATTGGCCCCGGTATGGTTTTTTCCCGTGGACTGCGAGAACGCCAGCATTGATGGCAAGGAAGGTTAACATCAGGGCAGCACCGATCAGAAGGGTAGGACGGCGACCCCATCTATCCACAAACAACAAGGCTGGCACTGTCATGACCACGTTGATGACGAACTGAATGGATGAGGGAAGGAGGACATTGCTGCCCACGCCCGCCATGGTGAAGATGTAAGTGATATAATCTAAAGTGGTTATTAGCGTCTTGCGGGTGTCTCGCACTGCCGGGCCTCTTACACATCATCACGTTCATTCCGGTGAGTTGAGACCAGATTTGGCAGAAAACACCAATATGAGTACGGTTGATCATATTGGGTTTGAGGAGCTCCCAATAGGTCACGTCGGCATTGGCTCGCTCGAACTCAACCACTTCTCTAATCTCTTCCACCTCTTTGTGAACGAAAGGAGAGTTGACATCGCCCCCGGCGTGAACTAGCGAAGTGTCAGTACCCGGCCATGGCTCAAAGTGACTTTCGAAACATACCCAGAGCAAGCACACTCACAGCTTCCTCCCAGCGGTCGTGTTTCGCAAGCCACCTATATTCTCCCATTAGTTCAGCGCTCTACGGCATGTCGCTGGAATGATAAGAAAAGGGCGTGCCGTCAAGTATTGAAAAATTAGAAGCATCAAACATGTTGATGGTCAGGAGACACAAGAGACAGGTTTCCTTACCGGGGAGATTCCGGAAGGAAGGTCATTGCCCCTAGGAGAAAGATGGCAGGGAGCATTTGGAGACCCCAGGGAAGTCGGAACGCTGCAGTGCCATCGATGTAGGAACATCCATAACTGATGTAGAACATAATGAGAATACCCCAGGTGATTGCCCCTATTTCTAAGGTTAGTTCTACTCGCTCCTGCTCCAGGAAAGGCCACTCACATTGTTGGCAGCCGACCAATCTTCCACGCTTCGATGGTGGTGCGACCTCTGTGATCTATCAAACCCTATTAGCCTTGTCCGGAATCAATGAAGACACGGTTAGGACACAACTTACGTATACAGGAACCTGTGCAGAGCAGATTCCAACAGCAAGCCCGTTAATTATGCGTCCTACGATCAGCATGCCAATATTGTGTGATGCACAGACAAGGATCGAGCCAATACACCTGGATCGGTCTTTAGCCCCATCACGTATCCCACACTTGGGGGGACAGGCTTCGCCTTACCAGATGATACAGCCAATCTGGATTGACTTCTTCCTTCCCAGAATATCAGAGAGGTAACCGGAAATCAGAGCACCGAGCCATGAACCTCCAGGCATGGAAGCGGTGATGCCACCTGGTAGCGCGTCAGATGAGGATCCTGAACGTGGAGGGTTCCAGAGGTTTACCTTGCACGGTTGGGGTTGGTCCAGAGCACTTGCCATCAGTCTCGAGGTAGTTAGGGCCCTGGTTGAAGTAGCAAAGGTACGCCTTTGTAGAGATGATGGCGCTCATGGACGAGATATCGAAGCCGAACAGGGCGCCTCCCACGACGGCGACGGCCGCAATGGCATAGACATTGCCAACCACGTACATCTTGGAGGGGATTGGCAACGGTGGATTCACAGCTGTGCTTTCTTGGGTCGCGCGCTGGGGAATGCCTCGCTGCGAGTGCAAAGATTTAAGTGACAAGGAGCAGGAGAGGAGGAAGATCAACTGCGGGGAGGGCTGCTTGGGGATTATATTATATGCGGTACGTACTGGGGCCGCTGCGTCGTGCCTCCCTCCATAGTACAATGGCCCGCGTAGTAAGGCCGATACCTCACCTCTCTCGGACGAGCTATGGGTAAGGTCGACTGGGATCCTGCCCCAGGTCTGGGAGCAAGATCACGATTCACGCGCGATACCTCCTGACCGGCCCCCGCAACCATCTGGCAGGAGCTGCGGCGAAGAATAGCCCGGCGTCTCCAATGAGGAGGGCGGATTTCTCGTTCCCAGGGTTGGAGCGCCAGCAGCAGAAGCGTTAGCGGGTGCTGATCTTGGGCCTTTGAGGGCATTCACAGGGCGACTAGTACCAATGCATAGAGTGTACTCCGTCTGTCAGTCAGTCCGGCTGTCAGCTTGGCAGACGGGCCGGGGCTGGTGCGTTGGGTGATGGATACTTCGCAGTAGGCGGCACTGCGTAGTAGTCCCGGAGTACATAGGGGAGGTAAATCGACGGGGACGGGCCAAGAGATGCTAGAAGGTCGAGATGCGAAGCTTGGCCCTCCAAGACATGCGTGTGGTGGTGTGTGGGATGTCCACAATAACCATAATATCCCCGATTTCCCAGGAAAAGTGTTGGCGCCGTCCGGGGTGATGGCTGATCGGCCTGGAGAAGCCCCAGAGTCCAGAGACCATGGGGTCCATACCTTACGCTAATAGGGAGGTCGTTGGGGTGAGGACAGGTAATTTCGCCGCATCACACGTGGATACGAAGGGGATTTACCTTGGAATCTTAGATATAAAAGATATCCAGAACACCTGACCTTACACAGCAGAAGGCGGTAAAAACCACCAGCCTTTGTGTTGTGTATTGATTTTCCGGTGCACGACCACACACGGTCACGGCAACGTAAAAGACGAACGGGTAAGAATAGTGACATACCTACCTACCTACACACAACAGTACTGCAGAAAACACGGGGAGCCTCTCTCCCCACAGCCCAGCACGGAGCTCTATCGTCCGCAGAACCCACCAAGACCAGGTTCTCGGGGGGAAGCAGACCGAGAGGAGGGCTCCTGACAGGTCACAGGAGTTTTGACAGTCGAGTCGAACACGCCGAGGCGTCAAGCCACGGGCGTCAGGGAAGGGGGAGCGAAAAAAAGGCGTCAAGCAGCAAAGACGCTGATCATCCGGGCTTCACCCAATGACACCCCAGAGGAAGCAGAGCAAACAACCGCAGCTGCTCGCAAACGGTCCGAATGCAACGTTCCAGCCGCAGAGAAGAGAATCAGAGCAGGGCCAAGGGTTTTTGTTTTTTTTTTTTTTTACGTAGGTCGGTCAGGGCTCGATTCGTTGTTGGTTGGTGGGTTTTATTACGACGGTGGGGATTCGACTTCTTTTCCCTGCCGGGTAAAGCTGCCCACGGGTGTGGGGGGCACGTGATGCGGGGTCTCCGCAATGGACGGGGCGACCTGATGTTGGTGTTGGTGATGATGTTGATTGTCGATGTCGATGCCATTGTTTGTTGGTCTTGAAGATGTCTCAGACGCTGGGCCCGAGGCTTGAATTTTGAATTTTGAATCCCGTCGATGCCATATCATCATATATTGAAATCTGATTCCCCCGAACGACCTAGTCTAGCGGCCACATGACTTACCTGATGACTACAGAGCAAGAATCGGGACAGTAGCACAAAGAAACGGGCCGTCGTAGTGGCTTTTGGTGTTCAGTGTCAAGACCCGAATCCAAGGAAACCGGCTCAGACGGCGAGATGCCATTCTTTCTCTCGATCCTCCAGATGGGCCAGGCTTGCGAGACAATGCCATCATTCAATATTCCACAGAAGACAACTAATACCGCCACTCCCAAACTTCCCAGATTCCCCCTCTCTCTCTTCCTCTCAATACCAACTCTCGCGGCTCTCCATCACCGGATGCCATCTCCCACCGCCATCTCCAGGCTGCGAATCCACGCATGACCCGTGCCCGTTCCAAAAGCTCCTTCTTTTTGGAGCTGCAAACCCATAAATCTGATTACTCCTGAAACACCCAAGAAGCGGTCATAGAAAGGGAGAGAGACGATATATTATAGAAAAGACCATCTACCTACTTCTTTTTTTTAATATATAAATAGGGGCGTATTGCTTACCTTAACCATCAACAGAAATACTCGGCGGGGCAGTCCCCGCCACCAGTCCGAGATGCGATAACGTCCTTTGAGATTCTGTTTATTAAAGTATACAGGATAGGATGGATGCCCCGAGAATTATACTTTACGAACCCGAACCTGTACAATAGATGCCTAGGTAGGTAGGTATATAGAAAACCCTCATCCATGTATGATCAAAGTCCCCAGGTAGCGAAACTCCTGTGATGATCTGGGGGTTGCCAATTACTTGAAAATTCGGAGCAACTTGACTTCGGTGGGAGGTACAATGTGGGATAGGATGATGTACTCCGTCAATTGCTCAAACCTCTCAGTAATCGGGTCTCGGGCAGAGGTACGATATGCCTACATCTATCAGGTCACGGCGGCCATGTCACTCGGACAGCTCTTTATTCTGGGAAGGAAAAAGGGGTATCAACCACGATCGATTCATTGTTCATTCCTCGTTCAGCTAGCCTACTATCTTCAGATAGGTGTTACCTGGTAGCCGTGATTTCATTCCCTTGGCCAACCACATGATAGGCCATAATCCTTTGCTTCCCCTGCCAGCTATTAACACCAGGTGCCCTGTTTCCGGCCTTTCCCCTCCCTTTTTTTGTTCGATGATCCCAAAAAAACCCCCTTCCTTCTCCTCCCTCAGCGCGAAAAATTTCATAAAGACCATCGACCCTACGCCATGCCATACGTATTGTGTACTGTATAACGAGCCTGACTCCGCCGAGTCAAAACAGCCATTGCAGAACAGATCCAGAATCCATTACCAGACATCGAGCCGGAGCAGGTGTTCCGACGCTCAAGATACCGGGGCGGAAAGGTGTATAAAGAGGCAACGAGTGTCCAGGGGGTGTCATATCTCTAGAAGGTAATTTCAGCCGCCGTCAGATCCGACAAGATATCCCGCAATTATGCAAGCAACCAAGTAGCTCGGTGTATCATAAAATCGTGCAATCGTCCAACATTGTAAACGCGAAGCAGAAAAAGTAGCGCGCCAAATCTCCAACGGATAGCTATCCACCCACATATGTATGAGCTAGGTGAAATGGTGAGGTGTAACCGGATGCAATAGTTTTTACAAAGAGCCAGGATATGTATATCCCAGGAGGACACTTTTGATGTATGTAATTTTCTTTTTTTTTTATCTCCTTCAAGGAGTTTATCTTCGCTTTTGACGTCGCAAACACTGCTTCACGGAAGAGTTCTAAACGGGTCGACCACTATTCCCGTTGAGAAACAGAATCTTCGGCGCGAGCTCGTATATGGTTGGCCTGTGTCTCCAGGGCACGTGCCATGAGGTGTGTGACTATCTTCAGTCAGTAGAAGTTGTTGGATCCTGAGAGATTATCTTACCTGGCCACACGGCGGCTCTATCAAGCATGTAAGCCGTAACTCTCAATATCTTGCTGCCGTATCCCGAGTTGTCCGCTGTCGGAAGTCTCTGGGCGGCGTTCATCTGGGCAACAGCGCCCATGCCGGCAAGCTCATAGTTCATCTTGATCTCGGCACTGTTTAGCACCTCTTGTATCTTGGTGATCAACTTGCAATCTTCCTCTTCAAGAAGCATGATGCCAGGTACCTGGCTCAGATCGATGTCATCTTTGCCCAGGATTCCAAGATAGCGGCCGACTCGCTCCTGCACCGTGGCAATCCACTCTGCGAGAACTTGTGCACAGTCAAATGCGCACAAAGCTGACTGCAAGGGAAGCTCCCTCGAGGTGAAATCTGCAAAGGTGACGCCGAGTTTGTCCGACATCGACAGCGAGTCTGCGGCGTAGAAAGCGGCTTTCCGGAGAAGTCGTTCACGCTTCGACGACGAGATGGCCTGACCTGACACTTGGTTGCCACCATTCGAGGGCAGTCTACCTACTCTGAATTCTGGGGAGGATGTCGAGGCGGGCGGAGAGTCGACGAAGACAGAACCGTAGGCGGAATTATCGGAGGTGTCCGTGGATTCAGCATTGGAGTCTGGTGAGTGCTCGGCATGCTGTATGACCTCGCTGCCACGTGACAATTCCTCCGCCATGCCATCAAAGTCTCGTTGCCAGAATTTCTCCTTCGATCGGCCCAGGTTGATAAAGAGCCGCACATAGGCAAGATCCAGGAGAGGGATGCTATCTGCAGACAATGGCCCTAACCCGAAGGGATTTGGGCGTTCCAAGCCTGCAGGATATCGGGTTAATTTTACTTCAGAGAAAAAAAAACTGCTTGGGGATGTACTCACTGTGGTGAGGATTGCTCGCCCAAGCAGCTTGCCAGGCTTTCAGTGCGGGATCGATGTGACGATGCATCTTTTCCGTCTCCTCGTTTGTCCAAATCTTATTGTGATGTCTCTGTCTCGTCTCCTGAGGAGTAGTCAGCTTCCTGATCAGCCAGAAGAAAGGACTGGAAAAGCAGAATCCGGGACTTTTAGAGTACCCCTCTGCTTCCAACCAGGGGGGAGTTACGTACCCAGATATAATTGTGCAATGCATTGATGAGAATCAGACATCCAAATGTACTTGGCCTGACATCACTTTTGGGGAGATCGGGGGTATCCATCGCCTGTCCAAATCGTTGGCCGTTCACCGAATTATTCTGCTGTTGCTGCTGCTTCTCACTGGTCCTTAGAAGCTCGCCTAAAGCATCATGGAATGTCGTCTGGTTGTGATCCGCCATTCTTGCGCCTCCCTTGGCAGCGAAGTTGCTCGCGCTATCTGCCGCCCAGAACTCTTCATCGCAAGGCAGGTCGAGGGTGATCTCGGAATTAGTCAACGCTGGGGTATGGTTGTAGGCGGATACGAGGAGACTCGAAAGGATGAAAACAGCATAGAGAGTCCGCTTTCGCTCTTCCCCATTCTTCCAGTTGTACCATTCTTGAAGCTCGTCCGAGACCTCGCTCTGGGAGCCGTTCTGCCAAGCTTCTAACTCATCACCAGTCATCTTCACATCTTGTTGTGGTGGGCTACTGTTCCGCGGCGGTGGCCGAAGCAATTCAGCCGCGCGAGCAAGAGATACCAGCGCCGCACAATGGGTGCTCGCGATATCCCCTGCCGTCTTGTCGCCACAGTTGTGACCGTAGACGACGTTCAGCAGCATGGCCTGAACGAGCCAGACAGGTGTGTGGACTGAATTCTCGGGGAGCCGTGGTCCATGATCCACTCCCACCTTGCGATGATCGGCCTTCCGTACATCGGCCTTCCGCCGCTCCTCTAGATACAGTTGGATCATCTTCTTTGCTGAGTCGAACAGATCCTTGGACTGGACGTGCTCCATCTCGTACAAAGCACCAATAGCAGCCATTGAGAGGACAAGGCAACCACGGCCATCGATCAGGCCCGCTCGCGGATCATTGGCAAAGGTCGGAACTTCAAAGGAGAGGGTGGGTATATGGAGGAAGGGCAAGTGGGGATGGAAATAACGAATATAAGCTCCGATATAACGCTGCAGATCGTGGGTGCTCGGGAGGGTGCGGGTAGGCTCGCTGACCCCGTTCGTGCGGCCCGCGAAGTGGGGAGAGAGTGGTGAGCCCGTGGTGGGGAAGGAGTATTTTCGCCCACCGAAAGGGGTGCACTGCGCGAGGGCGGATAGGAGAGATTGGCGAGTGGATTCGGTAATGGTAGATAAGGGGGGGCTGGAATACATGCTCCCGTTCAGGGACGCGGGCGTCTCGGGGCCGAGATTCATGGGGGGGTGGAAGGACTGCGTGCCGAGTCCGGGAATCACGGATGGGCTCAGGGAGCTCATCGACGGTGGTGGGGTTGAGAAGTAAGGATCGTTGGCATTCTTCGGTAAGCTGTATGGGGACATCGGCCCTCCCGTCAGCAGATCCGGGAAGCCGGTCCCGCCGAGATCCAGGCTGAAGGGATTCGGTGTCATCAGCGGAGGAGCCATCATGGACTGCTGCCACATCGAGGTGGACGAGGCCGCCGGGTTGTTCGAGCCGTCCAGCATGACCTCGCTGATGCCGCTCTGGCTGGCGGTGCTGATTGCGGACGGGGACGACCCATCGATGGCATTCTCGTTGGCCTCCTGAAAGGACATCTGATGTTCAAAGCCATTCATCCAGTCAAAGTTCTCGTCGAGCGCCTGACCTGCGGACATATCTGGGAGACCCATGTGATAAGGAGAGGTGGAGTCGATCGCCATGGATTGGGGAGAATCGCTGTAGTGGAGAGCATTCGGATTGATGGTGGAGCCGGGCCCGAAGAGCAGTCCCTCAAAATCAAAGTCCGCGTTCAATCCGCCCATCACAGGCGCCGTGCGCAGACCGCCCCCGAAATCCACATTGTTGAAGTCGTGAGTGTCAAGCTTGGGCAATCCGTGATGACTGGTGCCGCGCTGGTCCATGGCGGAAGACATGCCACCAAAAGGGTAGTCATTCTGCATAGGTAACCCAGCGAGGCTAGGGTGACGGCTGTGGGTTGGGACAATGCCATTCCGGGCAGTCGGGGGATTGGTGGTAGCAGCCACCAGCTGCATATGAGCGCCATCAACATGGCTGATGGTGTTCGCTCGCGGTCTCATCGTCGCGGCACCGTGACCGTTGGCCACCGACCCTTTCCGTACCCGTCCTGGCCCGGCCGCGGTGCTACTCGCGGCGCTCTCCCGCCGATTGCGCGGTCTCGAGGAGGGGGTGGTCGTCATGTGTAGCTTCTGCTGGTGCCGCAAGAGGAGGTCCCGGCGGGCAAAGCATCTCGCGCATTCGGGGCATTCGAAGGGCTTCTCCTTCGTATGTGACCGCTCGTGCCGTTTCAGGTGCTCCAGTCGAGCAAAAGCCCGATCACACGTCCCACATACATGAGGTCGAGGCTTGTCGGTCTTGGGTGGAGGGAGGGCGTTGGCAGCCTTGGGGTTGGTATTCGGGGAGGCGCCTAGATAATTGAGAGACTGCGTTAGAACTGAAGGGTGGAGGAGGATGAGGGGAACGCAATGTTATATATATATCACTCTGTCTGGAATGATCAAGAAAAAAAAAAAAAATGAGGGGGAAGAGGGGGGGCCACCTCTCTCGAGATGGCCGATAAGACAGATATCGAGCTCGTACCATTCTCAGCGGGAGCCACCCCGCCGTTGGCCCCGGGCGCATTAGACGACGTCGCGGCCGGCATGACAAGTGATTGATGTTGATATGTGGTTGAGTCGCTCAGCATCGTTGTCGTCGTCGGTCGGTCGGTCGGTCGGTGGAAGGTCTACCTACTGCTGCTGCTGGGAGAGGTCGTCTATCTGCAGACCAGCTTGGAAATCCAGACGGAAGATGCCTTGGGGCATGCTAGAGAGCTCTTTCAACATTTCATTCGTTTCCAGGCCGGGCAGCGCAGAAAGACCGTGGCAATGCTAGGGAAGGAAGAGTTGATTGGAGGGACAGAGGACTTACGAGGCTTGCCAGTGGACAGAAGGCAGAGAGCAGCGGGGGGGGGGCCTGCAGTCGAGCGATGCAGCAGGCAAATGGAAGGCGGGCTTGCCACTCACGCGTACAAGGACAGTTGGGGACGGATTCCGCTGTGGTGTGCCTGCAACGCCGAACGTTTACTGCACCGTAACCGATCCGATCAGACCGATGCACTCGACCCCGTCGATTCCCCAGGGGAATCAGGTGCTCTGAATGGGCGGAGCGGGACCGAAGATGAGAAGGGGGGTGGTGTTAGATTTCCGACGGGTTTTGTGTGGGTGGAAGGCGGGAGAGGAGAGAAGGATGTAGGGAGCGTTCTCTTCCTCTTCCAAGGGACGTACGTACGGGTAGGTTCTCTGCTGGGCGCGAGAGACGGCGGGGCGTTGCGCGGCGTAAGGTACGAGAGGGAGTCTGTCGTAGTTCGCAGTTGGTAAGAAGCACGGGAAGCAGTAGCACGCTGCGCTGTAATCAAAGCAGCTCTAGAGGCCCAGCGTCGGGCACAAGGGCAGCGAGATTGGGGGAGGGGAGCTCTGGCAGACGCGGTTGAACCGTGAACAGGCTGGTAGCTAGCCGTGACCCTGGGCGCGCGCTCCACCAGGGAAGAGAAGCGGCGGAGGCGGAAGAGGAGGAGGAGGAGGAAGAGGAGGGAGAGGGAGGTGGGGAGGATCGAGGAATACGGGAGCGGCAAAGGCAAAGTCCGGGCGAGTCAGAAAATAGCATACCAGAGGATTGGAGTGGGATATATCATTAAGGAGTGTTTAAGTTGTAACAGAGTAACAGAAGTGTGAATTATTTGAGGGAGAAGAAGGGCGGAATTAGGTAAGGTTGGTGGGTGGTGGGTGGTAGATGGTAGATTGGTGGATGGTGGATATGATGGGCAGGTCAGGGTAGCGTGGGGATCTCTCTGGGCTTTCGGTGGATGGAGCGAGGGGCGAGGGGCGATGCGAGGCGATGCGATGCGATGGATGACGGGTGATGACGGATCAAGACCCAGTTAACTAGGGTCAAAGAAGAAGAAGTCTGAGAAGTTCAAAAAGAGCATTGCCCATTGGCCATTTGACCAGCGACTTATAAATGGGCCAATTGACATTGACCACTGCCCGTCGTCCCCGTGGGGCCTGGGGAGCACCATTGACCAACAGCGACTACTGGTAGTGCCGTCTCCACGTTACGGTGAACCAGCGTCCGGCGTGTGAGTCTCGGTGACTGCCAAGTTGCAAAAGGGCAAGGTAGTCCCTGGACCTGAACTCTTCCAATTTCCAGCTTTCCAGATTTTCAGATTTTTAAATTTCTAAGTTTCCATTTCCAAACTTCTAAATCTCCACTCCTCGCAGCACATAATCCCAAGCAGGAATCCCCCGACGCTCGGGTTTCCACGCCGCCGTGTGGCACTGGCGGGAGACTGGGGCCGTGGAGCACTGGAGACGGTGGACACTGGACACTGGATGGGCCCAGATGGCTGGCCTTAGCCCCAGCGTGACGGGGCCATCTTGGTCCTTGCTGCCTGCATTAATATTTATAGAGGTAAAGCTCCAAGTGTGGATCAAGTTCAGTGCCCTCTGTCCCCCAGACCGCGCGATATAATTAATGTGTGTTGGCGCGGTTGCACCGGGGCCGTGGATGGATTGGGAGGGATGCCTCTGTGGAGAGCAGAGAGAGACGCGAGATTCGAGAGATGAGAAGGGATGTTGGATGGGCCATGGCACTGCACTGCACATGATGTCTGTATGCACGGCCGGGTGTACAGCCCTCGTGCTTGCAGATTCCGTCGATGATTGACCAGCCTTTCAAGGCCATCATGCGTGTGTAGTGTAGTCTGTGTCGATGAAGAACGGCACTTTGGTGGCCGCCTATGCAGCGCCTGTGAGTGGTCTGGACGGCCAAGGGGGGAACCCCCGGGGGAGGCAGGGGACGGCGGATCAGCGCAAAAATCGTGGGGAACTAATATCGGGGCAGGATATACGGGGGGGGGAACGAAAGGAAGGGCGGGAACTATAGTGACTACAGAGGACTTGGGCGAAAGGGGGAAAGGATAGGAGAGAAGGGGAAGGGGGAAGGCGAAGGACAAAGGCAAGGGCAAGGGGAATATTGAGAATGAAACAGCGTGCAGATAGATTTGGAAAAGGTGGAGTCAATTAAGGTAGAGCAGAGTAGGAGCTAGAGAGCTATACCATCGTGAAAAGGAGATTCACCCTAAGAAGGTACCAGGTAGGGAAAAGAGCTAGGCGGCTAGAGCAGGAACAAGAAGAACAATACGAAGCCAAGTCAAGCCAAGTCAAATATGATCAAATATAATCAAGTCAAGTCAATCAAACCAAAACTAAAAGCAAAGAAAATGAAATGAGATGCCTTAACGTGTCACAGAATTGAAGCGTTTAAGGAGATCACGTGCATATACGACAAAAGGTGGGATATGCCCGACGGACTGGGAAAAGCGTCGGACTGTCGAGAGGACAATCTGGTGGGGAAGGGGGGCGTCTGCAGCCTGAGGCCCACGCCCCCTGCGTCTCTGCGTTGTTAAGGACCAGTGCTGACCTAAGATTTGTGCTGCGACTCTACTGGACGGCCACACGAGGCTAGAAGAGGCCACGCTGCCACGCTAGTCCCCCGACCGGGCAAGCGCCAGCCTCCGGCCAGAGCGGCGCGAGGCTAAGGCCGCTCATGTGATCTTCCTGCTCCGGATGCGGGATGGGGGATGCTGGGTCAGCGCCGCCTAAGGTAGTCCAGGGCCAGGGAGCGCCGTAGATTATGCCCCTCTGTATGAGTATATCTCTCATGGACAGGGGATAATGGGAATAACAACAATGACCATAATACAACAGCTTAGTGATCCAGACGGGAAGAGTATCAGAATTAAAGTACCCTGCAGAATACTCCGGAAGCAGTTAAGAACAACGGACCCCCCGGTCTTCCCCGTACTTTCGCCTGCCCCTGTCATCCGAGCCCAAGCGTTGGCTTACGGGGTCCCTACCTACGGAGGCCGAGGACGGCATTCTCCGTCGTCGTCGCACCCGCTCCTATGCGCGCGGTGTCCCCTTCCCAGAGTCTGCAGCAGTAAAACACCTGCAGTGACCACCACCAGGAACGTTGGCTGATGGCTGAGATAAGCTTGCAATCAGGTGATGGTGCAACAAAGACACAATGATATCATGCACCCGCCCAACTCAGGACAGGAGAACCCTTATCCCCCAGATCCCCATTGTATCATTGTATCATCTCAGCATCATATCCCCAATTATTCCCGGTCACGCCGCGTACATCCCACGCGTACATCACACAATATCCATCGGCGCGCCCCTAATCTGCATCCGCCATCGATCAATAAACTGGGGACGGAACTCTGAGATACCGTGCCGTGCTAGGCCGAGTAGGCCAAGTAGACCGGTGGGTTATACCCAGTAGATGCCGTGGTGGCCGGAGTGCTACACGTAGTAGTACCGACTACTTCTAATAATGTGGTCGAGTAGACGCGTACCGTAGTAGATGCTACAACAATCTACCCCGGAATCGACGGAGACTTCATTCATTCCTTCATCGTCATCCATCATCCATCGCCCACCACATGGATGCCCCTGACCTCACTGCTGACTCGCGGCCCCCTTTCTCATCCATTTTCAGACCACGGACATTCCCCCCCCCCTGATGGAATCCCCGGATCATCATTTGCCAGAGTCTTGAATTGGCCTGTCACGAGTCACACCACAGCTCTGCGTGCCTTTCTTTCATTCGCGTCATGTCGCATCGCCTTCCTTCTGGAAAGCCGAAGCGAGTGAGTGACATCTGCTATCGCTCCGTACATACCTGGCTTTCCCCAGATCTCCAGATTCCAGGACCCCCCTTCCCCCCCCCCCCGGTCCGGAGCTGTCTCCAGATATGTACCGATGGGCCAGCCGCTCAACCACAAAACTCTCCTCCCCGACCCGATACCCAGCCTTCGCTCTCCTTTTTGGGCTGCTTGCTGGCTGGCTGGCGTGGCCCATGGGAAGGGTTTGTTGGGAAACGGCGGATGGATTCCGTGTGTGAGGTCATTTATCTCTCTCTTCCTACTCTGTAGAGTCTGCACTTTTCCCTTCTGTTCACCCATCCCCCTTCCCTTCTTCCCCTATCCCTTGGAGTCCGCTCTACAACAACCTTCTCCCAGGCATCTCCCTGAAAGGTTACATACAGTATAAGTCTGCTCACCTGATTGATCTCTATGGACATTATATTCGAACAAATTCATTCCCTTCAGAGCCTATCGCGTGTCTATTATATATCTGAGGTAGATGGGTAGATGGGTAAGGTACCTTACCTTACCTTACCTTAGATAAGGCTATGGCTAAATCTCCGCCACTATGCTGGATCGGGAAAACGCAGCATCTCACGACCAATCAGCATCCCGTTGCCATACCTAGGTAGGTAGTATAACGTAAGGTATGCTGTTGCTCAAAAATCAAAACATCCAAAATTGAAGCTATTCGCAAGTACCACTCACAACGTTCTATTAACGTTCTACTGCCAACGTTCTACCAACATTCTACTACCAACGTTTTACTACCAATATTCTCCTACCAATACTCTTCTACCAACGTTCTACTACCAACGTTTGTACTACCAACATTCTACTATCAACGTTCGACTACCAACGTTCTACCACCAACAACACCACCAACACCACCACGCCTGTTCTACCACCTTATTCTGCAATGTCTTCTACTACCTCCGACGATTGTGGGCCCGCTCCTGCTGAAGCTATCTACCCTGATCTTACTACTGCGTTTACTGCTATCCAAGAGCACGCAAAAGCCAACGGTTATGCCTTCTACAGACACGACAGGAAGCCCAATAGAGCTGTCTTTCGCTGCGACCGCGCCGGTAAATACGACTCCAAGGGCAAGAACCCCAATACGGATCCCTCAAAACAGCGATCCAGTAGTGGCTCCAAGAAGTGCGGCTGTAAGATGGGTGTTGAGTTGCGCCTAGATCACATATCGGGCAATTGGAGTCTCAAGGTACTTGAGGCTACACACAATCACCCGAGATCAGCAGATCCCAAGGTCCATCCTGCCCACCGAATTGCGGCTCTGGCGCCACACATCCATACCGTAATCTGTGCCCTAGGACGCGCTGGCCTGTCGACGAGGCAGATCGTGTCGACGCTCCAGAAGGAGTTTCCAGAGGCCTTGTTGACGCCAAAGGACGTGTCAAATATAGTCCAAAAGGCAAAGCTTAAAGACCGAGAGGACAAGAAGACTTCAACATGATAGCGAGTGGAGTTGGAGGTAGTATTACCTATCTAGTCCCTTCCAATTCCCCCTTTTATTTACCTGCCTTCCTACCTACGTACCTAAGGTACCTCCTAACTAATTACCTACTACAGGAGCTTCAAAGTAGAGACTTTTAACCCTCGATTCTCCCACACCACATGTCTATTATATATAGAGATGGGTAATTAATTACCTACCTACCTACCTATCCATTCACAGTAGGTAGCGAACTATCTCCACGGTAGATCATACAACAACCCCCCCCATAGCTGAGGTTTGGACAGCAACAAGGGGAGAAACAATCCCAAAACCCTAGCTGCACGTGCAGAACCACCGCGCCGCTGGAATTCGACAAGCGCACCGGCTTCTGCGAGACTGGGGCGGTGGATCAGGGATTAGGAACGTCTAGTGGATGATGGATGGGGATGATGATTGGCATGATTGCGGCCAAATACTGAAGTCACGGCTTGCTTGCGGATGTTGCTGTAAAATTTGATATTATTCTTTGTTTAATCGTATGTAAAACTCGACAGGAGCATTAATATGTTATGTACTCAGTCATCCATCCATCCATCCATCCGTGGGCCATTATTTATACCTATTTTACAGTCATCATCAACCGGGGCAGGCAACTCCAGACGCCATGCTCTCGTAATGCAGCCTCCCCCTCCCAATCGCGGCACACTTCCCATCATCTGTCATCATTATCATCATCGTCGCCCGTGCATGCCACTGATGGGATGCTTGCTATCGTACTTATCCAACTCGCTGCCATCGCCCGAGTAGCCGATCCGGTCCCGGTTGTCGTCGATGACCCGCGCGTACTCCAGCAGGAGGCGGAACGTGTAGATCTATCGATGCGCTGTTAGCATGCTTGCACGTGGCTCAGAGTGGGCAAGGGGCCCGGCTCACCTCGATATCCTCCGGCCGGAGGACCTTGGATGCCCATTCCCGGCCCTGCTGTCCTAGCTTACGGCCCTCGAAATCGTGGCGCTGGACGTAAGGCACCCCCTCCTTCCCAGCGTCCGATGGGCTCCCGAGGCCGATGAAATAGGTCAGGATGCTATAGAGCTCGTCGAACCGGTTGTCCAGAGGGACAAAATGCCTCCAAGCAAATAGCCGCGAGTCGTGCCACTCGCGGAAGATGGTGCTCTTGATCCCCAGGCTCTTGCTCTGAAGAAAGGCGTGCCACCTTCCGGAGAAGGAGTGGCCATCAACATCGACGAGGAACTTTGAGATGAATTGCTCGCTCAGCGTCGTCATGTTTTTGAAGGCCCAGATATTGTCGTAGAAGCTGCAATCCGGAACGCAGGCTAAGGCCTCTGTGAACCCAACATCCGTATGCTCCTTGGCGAATGCGCTGGGGTGGAAGTGTTCGAAGTTTTCGTACTGTCCCGTCGCCGGAGAACTCAGACTCATGATCCGAACTTCCTTGTCAGCCATAACAGTCTCGTTGGTCATCAGGACAAGGCGTTGACGGTGCATCTTTTCCCAGTTGTCTGCTGTATTCGTACCCCCGGACGTCACTCCGCGCCAGATCACCTGATCTTCTTTATCATCCCAGTCATAATCGTAAGTGCCGTTATAGGTATAGCGATCATCATTGGCATAGTACATGTTTGCCGGGAAGAGGATATCGCTGTTGACGTTGACTTTGCATTCGCCGAATATAGGTAGGAGTTGCCTGCTAGCCACGACAGTGCTAGGCGCAAATAGGAAGCCATGCTTGTCTTGAATCTCAGGACCGACCGTACATAAATCAGAAGACCGATTGAAGTTGGTGATGAAGCCCCCTCTCGGGTCCTTGTACAACGACTCAGCTGAGGTCGACGATGAGTTGCTAACCCTGGCATGAGACTCAGGGGGACACGCCTCTTTGGCTATCAACATGTATTGCTGGCCAGGCGCAGAAAACCATTGGGGGTCTGTGATAAGCGGAGCCGTGTCGTTATCTTTAAGAAGTCCTTCCATATCCTTTGTCCACTCAGGAAGAACTTCGGGCAGAATACGCCTGCTCTCGGCTTCTTTTGCAAGAAGAGCCTGCATATCATCCCATGGGACGACTACTCGGGGTTGGTCCAGACGGTTCATAGCAATATCCATATCCGGAAGATACTTAACGAATTTCTCCACCAGTTTTGCAAACGTATCCATGCGCCAGTTCGCATTTGTGAGTTTCCAAATCTTCTTGTTGCGTATGTGGAGACCCGAGACGCCAGAATCCGGATTCTCGCTCATATGCGCAGCCAACGATCGGATGGTTGAGGGCTCCACGCCCCAGAATGGCCGCAGATCGTCCATGATCTGCTCAAAATCGTCGACATTGTGGACATTCCTGTTTCGCGCAAATCTGTACCAATCTCTGAACCCTGGCGGCGGATGCCTTCCATACTTCTTCCTGTACTTCGCCACCGTCTCTCTGAAGGTCGTTGACCTACTATCCTCGTAGGCATTCCAGGCCTTATCAGCCTCCCGCATGAGGCCCGCAATTGGATGCTCGTCATTGATGTCTGCATGCCATGAAGGCGAATCTGGAGGCTGTTCTATCTTTTAGCACGGATTCTAGTAAGGATTGGCAGGGACAGCTTACGTCTGACTTTGACTTCCCAGGTATGATATGAATGTCTTTGATTGTTGATCGCGCATCAGTGCCTGTGAGCATAGAAAGATTTACAACAAGCAAGACGAGGCCTACGACCGTCAGGAGGAGAACGATTCGCCGCTTTCCACGGCCAAAACCAAACATGGCGCAACTGATATACTATGCTCGGCAGCGGTGAAATTCATGGAGAATCGGTCCCGGTGGAGCATCATCGAGGCCACGAGGAAAGAATATGGTCGCGCGTCGCCACTTGCACCATGGAGTTCGTTTGCGCTGAGCAAGAGCAGAAGCCGAGGGGGAGATCGAAGACACAGCTGTCAAGATTTACTCGGTCCTTATTGGAGATTAGCTTCACGCTAGGCCCGAGGACCTGGCCTTAGGCACGTACCTTGATCAGGGACTCGTACAGATCCTCGCGTAGGGGTGGTGGTTGCTTATATAATCTGGAATTTGCCGCTTCCACACGGCTCCTCTGACGGCCTGACGGCCTAAGGCAGTCTTGATCTCGCTTTCGCTTTCTCATGTCGACCTGGAAGGCTCAAAAATCCTAAGACGACAGCCTTTGGCCAAACCACACCATGCCTCCTCGATTACCTGCCCTCGCGGCCTCGTGGCGTTCGACGCCCGCCTCGGCCCCCTTGGTAACGTTCTTACTGCCTTTACAGCCTTTCCTGCAGGCTAGGAATGCTTCAATTCTCTCCTCGTTGGCCGACAACCCCGGCGCTTACAACAAACGTATTCGGCGAGGACGAGGTCCATCATCCGGGAAGGGGAAAACCTCAGGTCGTGGTCATAAGGGTCAGAAACAGCATGGAAAGGTGCCGGCGCGGTTCCAGGGTGGTCAAACGCCGCAACATATCGTCCAAGGAGTGAGAGGTTTCGAGAACAAGTATGGCATCCTATCCCTTCTGTCTCGATCCTTGAGGCGAGCACCTGCCAATAATTATTTACTTATCAATTACCTAGGTTCTCGGTTGAGATGTCTCCAGTCAATCTGGACCGGATACAGTCCTGGATAGACCAGGGCCGGCTCGACCCTACACTTCCTATCACTGTGAAGGAATTGGCAGAGTCGCGGTGTCTTCACGGTGTCAAGGATGGAGTGAAGCTACTTGCTAAGGGTAAAGAGCAATTCAAAACTCCGATCAACATTCTTGTCTCACGAGCATCGGCCGAGGCTATCAGTGCAGTCGAGGCAGTAGGGGGGAAAGTCACGACCAGATTCTACACGAAAGCTTCTATCAAGAGGTTGTTGAAGGGCGAGTCGGAATCTAGCTTCACACCTCTTGCTCAGACACCAGCAAGCGAAGGAGAGTCACCAATACTAGCAGCAACAGCGACATCAGCTCTACCATTTTCCTATCGCTTACCAGACCCGACGAGCCGTAAAGATATCGAATACTACAGAGATTCGGCACATAGGGGCTATTTGAGCCACCTTGTTGAAGAAGGTCATGGGCCTAGTTTGTTTTTCAAGACCCCAGGTACTGGAGTCCGCCGAAAGGCAAAGAAGGGTGGAGCTGCTGCTGCTGCAGGAGAGAACAGATTATGGTAGACAGCAAAGTAGCTGTTTCAGTGTATAATAGTGTACATTTGAACCATGTACGAAGTACCTAGGTAATTGGTCACATAAATCCAACGTCACGTGCATCAGACTACACTTGTCACTCTTTCTGCATCTGATCTTCTAACGGGGCCAAATTCTCCGTCTCCAAGCTCAGATTACCCTGTTGAAGAAGAGGGGCATTTAGCTGGCGGTATAACTACTCTTCTGGTCTCGTATTTCAAACATTCGATTTCCCTTAAGGGGCTAATGTACTCGGAAGGACATCAGACTAAAGCAACTATTTCCGGCTATCTTCCCTGGGAGTAAACTGGAAAGGCCTGATATGGCATGATTAGTAGTGATAATGATTACAGTAGCAACAAGGAACCCAGCTGTATTGCGGCGTGAGACTGGGCACGTGTCCCAACCGCTGCTTGATATAATGTACGTAGGTGGAAGGGAGCGACATGTCTGTGGATGAGGCCGTCAAGAATGGAGAGGGGATGATGATAAGAGGGGACCGAGGAAGAGAGTACAGAATATACAGTTGAAACGTGCCTTGGAGCCTTTTTGACCAGGTTATCTTCTTGATATAGTTGGGTAAACACTGGCAGTACATATGCATTCGGAGGCATGGTATCTTGAGAAGCTCTAGAATATGTTGAATTTAGAAAATGGTGATTCCTAAAGGTCCGTTTTCACACTTATATTGTATATGAAATAGCATTTTGCTACGTGTGAGGTGAAGTTCAATATCAGATATCTACATGTACCTAAGTACCGGAAGGTAAGGTACCTAAAAAAGTGAACAGGGGTTATTATCTTTAAGCTTCGTGCTAAGCGCATCCAGAAGCTCCAAGGAGTCCAAGGCGACCGGAGCTTCCTACATACAACGCTCGATCATATATTTGGATCGAACGGATATGAGAGGCTATGATACAACATACAACATTTCTGCGACAGTAATCGCTTGATATACGCACCTTTCTGGGCGTAGCAGCTGTATCTGAAAAGTCCTCGTCGCGATGTCGCTGTTCGGATCATCGTTCGACGAGTCCGCTACAGCGGCAACGGGCTCGAAGTCTCGCCTCTCACTGTTCGACGACGAGCCAAATCCTGCTCTTGGATCGAAGTCTTCTCTATTTGCAGACGATGATGCTTCAGGTGTGTCGCCGTGGGGGATGCCTACGCCGCACAAGCCTTCTCGTGGCGAATTGATCAAGAACCTACTCCCAGCATCAGATGTGCCAGATGCCTACACCGATACGTTCGACAACGTTCTCAGAGGGGGTGATAACGCAGGAGGGAAGATAAGCGCTGCTGGAGTTGCAAAGGTCTTGAGCGCTGGGAAATTGAGTGCCGACGATCAGAGTCGTATTATGAACGTTATCACCAGGGGTGATCAAGTCTCGGATCTTACTAGGAACGAGTTCAATGTTCTGCTTGCATTAATTGGACTGGCGCAAGAGCACGAGGATATTACTCTCGACAGTGTTGATGAGAGGCGAAGGAGTAAGTAAATTTTCTTACTGAGACTCGCTTGAGTCGATGCTGATGATTGCTGTAGATCTACCTGTGCCCCAACTCCCAAGCTTAACATCGACAACAACCCCTGTTTCTAGAGACTTTGCTGCAAAGCCTCCTCAGCGGCCCGAGACCCCTCCCTCTTTTCCAACAGCAGTACCTATTTCCGCCCAGAAACAGCGAGCAATGCAAAGAGACTCCCTCGATTTTCCGGAAGCAGATCCGTGGGGGAGCCCAGTTATGCACAGAGGTCATGACCATGAAGGGAGTTCACCCCAAACCAATGGGACATCAAGAGGGTCAAGCAGTGGTGTTCAGGAACCTGCCAGGACTACAAGCAATTTCACAACTGCTCCAAACGAAGCCTCTAACGGAACTTCTAATCAATCAGACGAGTCTAATGCTCCAACAACTGGTGTCTGGGGCTCTTACGATCGCAACCAAAGTTCTTCAACTTCTTTCAATAATCCAATGAATTCTACATTTGAAGGTGATGGATTTGGGAGCTCGGGGGTAAGTGCTGGACAAGAACCCGGAGCAAACATACCAAGCAGATCTTTTGGTGGTGGTCGAGTCACAGGAGGAGGGGTGCAAGAGAACATTGTCATTACACTATTGCCGGAGAAAGAGGGAATGTTCATGTTCCAACACCATAACTATCAAGTCACAAGTACCCGAAGGGGATCTAAGGTCGTAAGAAGATACAGTGACTTCGTTTGGCTCCTGGATTGTTTACACAAACGATACCCATTTCGACAGCTTCCACTTTTGCCGCCGAAGAGGGTTGGAGGTATGTTTTCGTTCTTCTAAGATCCTACCACGCTAATAGCCTCAGTTAACGGTAATCACCTAGCGACTGATAGCACGTTCATTGAGAAACGTAGAAGAGGCCTCGCTCGGTTCTCTAATGCACTTGTTAGACACCCTGTCTTAAGTCAGGAACAGCTAGTTATTATGTTTCTCACTGTTCCAACAGTAAGTCTCTGGTGCCCGTCTCACTCAGCTGGACATATGGCTAAGGGCAGGCTAATTAGTATCAGGAGCTTGCTGTGTGGCGCAAGCAGGCTACTATCTCGGTTCAGGAAGAATTTGTGGGAAGACCTTTACCACCCGGACTCGAGGATTCTCTATCGCCAACTCTTAATGAACTATTCGAAACCACGCGCTCTGGTATTCGTAGATCTGCAGAACTTTACATCAACTTGTGCAATCTCATGGATCGCCTCGCAAAACGAAATGAAGGGCTTGCTGCCGATCATCTTCGGATATCGTTGTCGCTGCAGTCATTAGCGGATGCTTCTCAAGATAGTTACGCCACTGATACGAATGATGTACCTCTTCTTAACGATGGGCTGCATGCTACGGCCAAACATCTCTCTAACAGCCAAAGTCTCCTGGAGGACGAGGCCAGGGCCTGGGACCAAGGAGTCTTGGAAGACCTCAAAATGCAGCGGGATGCATTAGTAAGCATGAGAGACATGTTCGATCGCCGTGATAGATATGACAAGGACAATATTCCTTATCTAGAAAGGAGAATCGAGAGCAACGAGGCCAAGCTCGTTGCCATTCGTGCGAAGCCAGAAGGATTGATTAAACCTGGGGAGGTTGACAAGGTCACGAAAGCGATAATCAAAGTGAGTCTTCTGCCGTCGTATAGTGTTGGTGTTAGTGCTGATAGCTTTCAGGACAAAGAATCCATTGTTGCCCAGCATGCTCGAGGAGTGTTCATAAAGGAGTGCATAAGAGATGAACTCATCTACTTTCAACAAACACAATACCACGTCAGTAGGTGGAACCAGGATTGGGCGCAGGAGCGTGTGAAATATTCCGAGATGCAAGCCCATAATTGGAGGCAATTGCAGGAGGAGCTAGAGAGCATGCCAATTGGCGATTAGTGCCTCTCTGCACCTGGGGGCTTTTCCTTTTCGTTGCATTTCTCTTTTCCGACTGCAAACCGTGCGATATTGGCAGCATTCAGTTGGCAGGAGGCAATCTTTTGACTCTCGTTATTAGCGTTTGCATACATAATGATGCGTAGAGAAAGGAGTTGAGAGATGATACATAATCCAAAGGTTGACATCTGGCAATTGTGCCAGTGACGGCCACTTACACTGAGACACTGGATTTAAGCACTCAAAATGTGAATAAAACGGTTGAGCAAATGATGAAAATGGCATCTTTCAAGAACCGTAACCTAGATACATCCATGGACCATGAATGATTGGAGATGAGGTACAGTAGGAGAGTAGGAGTTCGCTCCTCGTTTTGCCCCGCACTTAGCGCGTCCCTGTTTTCGGTTACCTAAGGCATCAAAAGCATCGCTTGTGATAAGTCCTATCGATCTCTCACGCGATCGCAAATCATCTTCTCGAAGGGTCCGCCCGGTTATCCAATTCCACAACACAGGTCTGCACATAAACTGGGACGTGACGATATGCCTCCGATCACTGGAGCCCAAAAGGCTGTGTTAACCCAGTTTATGTCCATTACTGGGGCGCCAGAGAAGACTGCAACGAAGGTAAGTCACCTCCCAGTTTCGATCTGGTGGAGTAAGAGCATCTAGCTGACTGAGTCTTCTTGAACAGATTCTCAAGGCGTCGCAATGGAAGTTAGAGCAAGCTTGCGACAGGTAAGCGGTTTTGCTTTTATGTTCTTAGGTTCTTGGGTTCTTGGGTTGCGGGTGTCTGCTTTGAGACAAACCCCTCCTTGCATGGATAGGAATCCGGATGCCTTGTTCAAACACGCAATGATCATTCCTACCGACACGGGATATCTCAACAATGCGCACATCGATGGGTTCTTGCACTACTCTGCCACTAAGAGATATGCCAAAGGAGATACTGTAGGGGGACGTACAAAAATGTCGGAATGGCAGATAGCCAGGGCGTATCAAAACGAGCTCTGGTAGTTGGCAACCCTCCTTCACAACTACTGCCGTGAAACTTCGGCCGACCACCTTCATCTATTGGACGCAACCATTGGAATCCATACGGATCTCATGAGAACGAGGAGCTGGCACCATCTTTAAATAAAGTTGCATCGACGGATAGTCATGAAGGACATGCTATCTGGAAAGATCTGTATTGTCAACAGTCTCTTGTCAACTTTATAGCCAGCTCCAGGGTATGCTGCTCTATTACGGCCGAATATGTTACAATCATTTGAGCAACCAGAAGCACGAGAGGTTTGCTTACATATGAAGCTGGAAGATGTTGCTGGCCATATCGAACTCCTCCAAAGGTCTCTAGCTTCAGGGTTCACGCGAGATTCTTAGATTCAAGAGCTTCTGAGGGTCTAAAACTTCCTTCACAAGGCATCCGGATTCATATTAACTTTTTTAATGGGTCGTCTCCAGTAGCCGCAACCCCTTTTGAGAATTGGTCGAAGGACCAACTCAGAGATGATGCTGACTTATTGAACAGCTACTTCACATCGAACGGATTAGGACCCAGTTCGAAAGAGAGGGATGCATTAGCAAAGCTGTTTGAGTCATACAGAGGTCAGTGCAAGCCGTAGATACCTGTCCACCGGATCATTCAAACTTAGTTTTGTTCTAGATCAAACCGATGAGGATGATACTATCGGCGTGGCGGGCACCATGAGATATTTTGAAGACCTCGGGATCGACTTGGAGTCAGTCGAGTTCTTGGTTCCTATGGAGATAGTTCAGGCGCCAGCGCTAGGAGAAATAACGAAAGATGGCTTCGTGGAAGGCTGGAAAACGATTGGGTAAGTGAATCAATATCCTCAATCTCCCCCGTTTGCTAATTGAGAGCTCTAAGTGCGGATACTATATCGAAGCAAAAGGCATACGTCGCAGACCAAGTGAAGAAGCTCAGTTCCGATATGGCTCTCTTTAAGCGTGTGTACAGATATACTTTTATTTGCACAAGAGAAAAGGGGCAAAAGGCTCTCCTACTTGAAAATGCCCTCATCTACTGGGGATTATTATTCAACCCGCCTGGGAAGCCTTGGGTCACTGCTTCGACCAACTGGACCGAATTGTGGAGCGAATTTCTGAAATCAAAGTGGTCGAAGAGTGTTAACAAGGATATGTGGAACCAGACCTTTGAGTTCTTCCAAAAGACGTTGCAGGACGAGACCATGAGTTTCTGGAGTGAGGATGGTGCTTGGCCAGGAGTCATTGATGAGTTTGTAGCATATGTTAAGGAGAAAAGGGGAGGCGAGCCTGAGAGTATGGAGACCGATTAGACTACTTACTAAGTAAGAGTGGATTGACTTTTCTTTCGATCACTTGAGCGAAGCATTGCACGGTTGCACAAAGGCGTCTATTGGAAGCACCTCAGGGTTTAGATCCCAAGGAACATATCATGAATGTGACATTCGACAAATATACAAAGCCTTAACTGTGCCTGTTGTACAGTCTATTGAGATGTAATTTGGGTCCTTTACGCCTCGCAATACAATATAATACAAACCCCCCAGACAACTAACTGTGCTTCAAAACTTCTCCTTCTCTGCCCAAGGGATCTTCCCTGGGATCTTGCTCAGGGTCTCCAACTTCCCATCCCCCAACTTCACGCTGCTGAACTTAATCATTCGAGGATCCAACCCCAGTGTCTTCCTCACATCATCCTGTATCGCGCTCGACGCATCGTATCTCATAACGAAGTAATGGCCATCGGTGTATTGCGCTTGATGCTTTCTCGTCCGCTTCGGGAGACTGAAGACTCCCCAGTTACTGATGCCGCGGATAGTTCCTCCGGATCTGAGGATGAGGGAGCCGGCAGTGCGGGCAATTCTGGATTCGATCAGTATGCTATGCATCTAGAGGAGAAAAGAAGTCGTGAAGCGCACTCTTTGACCTCCAAGAGGTTGCCGGGCCGGACCTGGGAGTTGCCATTAGCACGTATATCTAAAGGGTTAATGAGATGATACTTACAATTGCGATGAGCTCGTACAACATGTCTGATGCTACATTCGAGGTGATGGTCCTGGACTTTGAAGTCTGAAATGACACTGCCGGATTAAACTTCTCGGAGCGCGGCGCTTGGTTTTTCCGAGCCGTTGCTGTATCGGCAAAAGGAGAAAAAAAAAGCCACAATCTGGAGGGGGTTTGGAATGCCGATTTCTCGATAAGAAAAATAATTCAGAAATACAAATCTGCCTTTCCCACAACGAACCTCATTTCTAGGTCACTGGGAAGCCATGTCCAAACGCGCGGCAGAAGATCATGAGGATGGCGGAGTTCCACTGAAGGGTGGTGAACGGCCAGAAGATGCTCATCTCGAGGACGACGAAGTGGGGGAATTTGAGGACGAGTTTGAGGACGAATATGAGAGCGAGGATGAAATTATCGAGGCAGGAGTGGATGGGAGACCTGATGCAGAAAGGGAAGAAGAGGAGCGAGCTGGTAGGTGGAGGCGGATGCAGTTACATTGCTGGGCGCGCAGAACTCTTCTAATTAATACTCTACAGAAGCCATGGATGTAGACCAGCAGACATTCATAGTTGGTAGACACAAGCTCGAACCTGGCCAGACTTTGGCCCCGGATCCCTCAACCTACGAGATGCTTCATGCGCTGAGCACACCATGGCCCTGTTTGTCCTTCGACATCATCAAAGATAACCTGGGCAATGATCGGAAGACCTTCCCCGCCACGATGTATGCTGTTGCTGGGACGCAGGCAGATAGCAAGCGGGAAAAGGAGAACCAACTGATGGTCATGAAGTTCAGTGGTCTCAGTAGAATGGAGCGGGAGCAAGATGAAGAAGATTCATCTGATGATGAGGACGAGGACGCGGATCCAATCCTCGAGTCAAAGTCGATACCTTTAACTTCTACCACAAACCGAATACGTGCATACCAGTTGCCAGCATCAGATTCATCACGGCCACCCACAACCTTGACAGCTTCCATGACAGAAGCGGGCCAGGTCCTCATCCACGACATAACTCCCCATCTAACTTCTTTCGATATTCCTGGCACGATCATCACCCCACAACAGAACAAGCCGTTGTCTACCCTTCGTATGCATAAATCCGAAGGTTACGCAGTCGATTGGTCTCCTCTCGTAACAACCGGCAAGCTGGTCACCGGAGACAATGATGGCAGCATCTATGTCACTACTCGAACTGCGGGTGAAGGTTGGACTACGGATTCGAGACCATTCACAGGCCACACTGGCAGTGTCGAGGAGTTGCAATGGAGCCCTTCAGAAAGAAACGTATTCGCATCGGCATCTAGCGATGGTACCATCAAGGTCTGGGACGTGCGGAGCAAGAGTAGGACTGCAGCTCTTACTGTGCAGGTCAGCAACACGGATGTTAATGTTATGTCTTGGTCCCGTCAGACCACGCACTTGCTCGCTTCGGGGGCTGATGACGGCGTATGGGCGGTCTGGGATTTACGGCAGTGGAAGCCCAATACCTCGTCCTCTACCCCCGCAAAGCCTACACCAGTCGCGAGCTTCGATTTCCACAAGGAGCAGATTACGAGCGTTGAGTGGCACCCTACAGATGACAGCATTGTGGCAGTTGCAGCAGGCGACAATACTTTAACGTTGTGGGACCTGGCCGTGGAGTTAGATGATGAGGAGAGCAAGGACACAGGCGGGGTATCCGGGGTACCTCCGCAATTACTGTTCGTCCACTACATGGAGCACGTAAAGGAATGCCACTGGCACCCACAAATACCCGGGTGCGTTGTTGGCACCGGCGACACTTTCAACGTGTTTAAGACTATCAGTGTATAGAAATCAAACACAAGGTTAATACAAGTTGTTATCCTGGCCCTTTCATGGCTAGCACGATATCTCCTTCTCGAAGACCACGTGACCTACCCCTGACCCGGCGGATATCATTTTCCCCAGCCTGCCGATGACCAGAGAAGTGAGAGCACAATGATCAGTCGTACCGCTGGCCAGTAATAGCCCGAAGATGCCCCAGTGAGCAGGACGTCGCCGCCGATTGCCCAAGCACAATGCACCTCTCCATCGGTCCCTTCCGGACTTCTCAGACGGCTGGCCCTGGTCCATGTGCTGTCCTAAGAGTCAAGACTCGATGCCTCGGAAGTCGGAACAGGTGAGAGAGAGAAGCAGCGGTGAAGTCACAGGCTTCTGCTGTGCTACCGGCTTGTAAAGCAGGACTCAGGAGAGCGCATCCCCGAGTCGTCAGGAGGCAGGTCGTAGCCAGCCGTGAGAATCAGACAGACACGTACAAAAGGCTTGGAAGAAGCATTATGTATGGTCCTTGGAAGGGCCCAAGAGGGAAAGCCGGGGAGCTGATGAATTTTCACCTCTGCCAGGCTCCCGGTGGCACACGCTCAGAGACTCCGGCCAGTCGCAACTTTTCCTCGAGGGATGCGGCAAATGCAGCCAATCATCGGGCGAGCGCACCGTGCTCGTGACCAGGCCTCTTCAGGGGACGTGGCCCTATTATTGGCTCCCGACTTGCAGCACGCTGTGCAGCTCCCCCGCAAAATAATAGCCAGATCCAAGGTTGTGTGATGTGCGAAGTTATGGGGGAATGCTAAGGCAGGTTGCGTCTCCCTCTCCCTCCTCCTCCTCCTCCCTCCCTCCATTCTCTCCCACCGCCGCCCGTATATTATTTATCTTCCAAACTCCATGAACCACCCGCCTCCTGCCAGCGTTGCCTGAGTCTGCTTGTCGATATCCCCAATGACCGAGTGTCTCACTGTATTGGTCTTCATCGAGGAGATGAAGACGCCCATTTGACCGGGCTTCTCTTCAACACCCTGCGCAGGACTACCCCCAGCTAGCCAAATTAACCCCATGCCACAACGCACGTGAGCATGGCCTGCACTTGCGACAAGAACTCTGCCAACGAAACATTCTCCTTCACGCTTTGCGTCAGGCCCCCTTTCGAGTTCACTTTCGACAGGCCACTCTCAGCGCCTGTTCCAACCAATCGAGCCTTCAAACGTCGGCGAGCGCTATCTGATGTCGACGGCGACGGCAATGAGGGGAGAAAGAAGCGGCGATTACGGCTACACCTCATCACATCACGTCTAAGCCGCCCATACTCCCAGCCGGCCACCAACATTGTAAACCGCGGCATTTCTAAGATTTCCATAAGGGGGAGAAACAAAGCACTTGGCAAGAACCTGTTGAGGAAAGCTGCCATCATGAACCGATTGAGATTGCGGATGGATGCAGCGAATGACCATGTGCGCCGCCATCATGAGCCAAATAAGGAGACGTTGGCGTTGAGTGAGATTGTGGTTAAGAAGCCGAGATATCATGAGGTCCCACTACCGCCATCACCTCTCGGTCTTTCAAACTATGATGCCTTGGACTTGGAGGATGAGATGTCAGATGATGAGCAAGATGGAAGCATCGAGCGATGCTCGTCCATCTATAGTGATTTCAATATCATGGACCCGATAACTAGCGATGGCGATGCCTCCGACTACCTTGACGCCCTCGATGGCATCTCGCCGAATGATCTCCCGGATACACCACCGCCTCCACCATCAGATGATAGTATTGTTGAGATGCTGAGGGAGACGGGAAATCATGGAGAGGGCATCTTCGTGCATGTGAGAGGATAGTTGGTTGTATTCACGCCGCTATATGCATTGATTTGGAGTCCGCAATACTGTATGGGATAGGTAAAGATAAAAAGAAACGGAAAGGAGGTTGCTTGGGTGTCATTGCTGCATATTTATGGTGCCTGAAGTTTAACTGCGCGGTCCGCTGCAATGTCACACATTGCCTTGTAGTCATGTAAATCAGCTTGCAGCTTGACCAATCTACCTCCATGTGAGACCTTACCTTTATAGCCTCTGCCCTCTCTTGCTTTATATCTCCCCTAGCTATCCTTTGACGCATGTTCTCCATGATTACAGGCCGTGACCTTCCATTCACAAATACACTGAAAAGGATTAGCTCCTCAGCTAGGCGCATTGTTGGTTCTGGATTCTTCGTACACATATTTGAGCCCGGGAAAGGTCTTCTCATATTCCTCATTTAGCTGTCGCAGTTGAGCGGCCTCTTCCTCGCCACCAGTATTCAGTTGAGCTTGCTCTGCCTTTGACTGTGCACTATCAACCTTCTTCTCCCCAAGCCGGGGGTGGGCGCCTAGGATCTTGTCCAGCCACTCGGTGTCACTTGTAGAAGGGCTCGCTGCAAGGCCCGTCAACTGGGCTCCAACAGTTGCAATGAGATCATTATAAGTTTGGAATTTCGCTGTGTGGAGAAGGTCGAGCGTGAGCGTGTGTAAGGCTGTGCAAGGCTCAAAGAGGGCGTCGAGAACCGCAACGCGTTCGGCGGTTGACAACGCTGGAAGGTTGGCAATTGGAGGTAGTTTATAGCTCGACATCCTGATCTAAAGGTGGAGGGGGGTAGAGATGGTTCGGTACCTGGGAATGTTGTTGTTGGTTAATGTCGAATGTCCAGCCTTGCCGCCGAAATCTTAGAGGTCGCAGCGAACTAATCCCAATCTGTCTTAGCGATTTCGAACCTCCAAGATTTCTGTTCGTCGCGAGCTCCAATGCGCCAAAGCTCTCTGTCCTGTATTCGCAATATCGACGTGTTTCTTCAAGATGTTGTGCTCAAGTCAGTTACCCTTTGCAATACTACTTATACGAAGCCTCAAGACTGACTTGAAATAGTTTCTGGTGAGGCGCCACAGCATCCCGTTGCTTCATCGAAGTCAGGTAAGATAGACAGAAGGCTCGAAACTGAACGCGAAATTGACCAGAGCCAGGGAATGTTTATGAAAAGCGATTGATTGAGGCATACATTGCGGAGAACCACAAAGACCCCGTGACCGGAGAAGACCTCGAACTCTCAGACCTCCTAGACCTCAAATCCTCCAGAATAGTTACTCCTCGACCTCCTAGCCTTACATCCATCCCCTCCCTCCTCTCCACCTTTCAAAACGAATGGGACGCACTGGCGCTCGAAACATTCACAATCCGACAGCAATTACATCAGACGCGACAAGAACTGGCAACTGCTTTGTATCAGCATGATGCAGCAGTCAGGGTTATTGCTCGCCTCACAAAAGAACGAGACGAGGCTCGAGATGCGTTATCCAAAGTCACTATCAGCGCTGGCGGTGGGGATGCCATGCAAATCGATAGCCAGGGCCTCCCAGAAGAACTGGTAGCCAAGGTTGATGCTACTCAAGAGAAGTATGGCCAACAAGTTACCCCCATAGCGAAAACCAGATGCTAACTCGCGACGAACAGGCTTTCCAAAAGTCGCCGAAAGCGCCCTATACCTAAAGACTGGGCTACCTCGGAAACCATTGAAAAGTTTGGTGTTTCGTCTGCTTCAGAGCCCCTTTATCCTGGTTCCTCTTCTCTCGCTGTTGATGAAGCTGGGCAACAAGTTATCGTCGGCGGCTCTGATGGGGTTGTTGGTATCTATTCGATTCCCGAAAATAAAGTCGAACAGTCATTCAAGGCTGGGAGCGCTATCACTGATGCTGTGTGGTACGGAAGCCAACCCGTTGTATCAACCTCTTCCGGAGCCGTCAAGGTTTTTGGAAAGGATGAGGTCACTTTTACTTCCCACGCGGGCAGCGCGAATGGATTGGCGCTTCATCCAAGTGGTGATATTCTAGCGTCCGTGGGTGTTGATAAAAGCTTTGTGTTCTATGATCTAACCCGCGGGACGGCTGTCACGCAAGTTTACACAGACTCAGGTATGTGACACCACTTGATGTTTTCCCAACTAAACCTATACTAATGGAAGATTCAGGTCTAACCACAGCTGCATTCCATCCTGATGGGCACCTGTTTGCCGCAGGAGGCACAGATGGACAAATTAAGCTTTTCCACGTCAGAACTGGAGAGCACGCGGCAAACTTTGAATTAGGTGGGCCCGTCCAAGATATTGCATTTTCAGAGAATGGGATCTGGTTTGCAGCTGTCGCAAAGGATTCTAATAGTGTTGTCATTTTCGACCTACGGAAGGAGGGTAAGGATGCCGAAGCGAAGGTGTTGGAGATTGGAGGCCAGGTCGACAGCATCAGATGGGACTACACAGGTCAATTCCTGGCGGCTTCGGGACCACGGGGCCTCACTATTTCGCATTATACCAAATCTTCAAAATCATGGTCAGACGTCATTAGCACCGCTGTCCCATCGACGGCAGTGGAATGGGGCCCGGAAGCCAAAAGTTTGATCACAGTCAACCTTGATGGGGTAATTACAGTCCTTGCATGAGAAGGCGGTCTATGGAGTTCGGTTTGATGGAGTATGTAGCTTCTGGGAAAAGCAATATCCGGCATGTACCATAGGGGATGCTGCGTCGTTTAATGGTGGCCAGTGGTAGATTCGTGCACCGGGAAGGGGGGCCGCTTTTGTTAGCTAAATATAAAGGGTTGATTTTCCCAATGCAATCTCTGTTGGTGTCTAAAACAAAGCTAGCCCAGGTTACCTGTTAAAGGCACAGGATTAGGGTCTGGAAAGTCTGCGCTCATAATGCTCTGTTGTGTTCTGCAATATCTTCTTCTACATATTGTTTGTTCATGGTTCCATGGTCATGAAGGCTTGGAAAGTTCTCTTACAAGCAACTAGGCCTTTTCATTCCTCAAGTGCTGTAAATATTTACCTTGCTTTAAAGACGCCGCGGGGGCTTAAAAGCCTGATATCAAGATTGCTGTAGGACTCCCTACCTATTCTCTATTGGATTTTTACCGAGCGGTAGTGGCCGCGGCGAATGAACCTCGATTGCTACTTCGCAACACCATACGACACTACTCGACACCACACAACATATTCCGCCACAGCCCACCGTGGCATAATCACAAACTGTCCCACAGGCAATACTGTAACTACTTTTGCTCTGGCATGCTGTCGAGCATCAGCAAGCGTACTGCTTCTTGGGAGTGAATGTGATGGACGACACATGGCCGCCAAAGAACCAGCGCCACAGTAACAAGGCATGTCCACCCGGTTTCCTCTCCTTGATTCCCTACGTTAGGCAGTACTAACATCAGCTCACCAATACAGAGATCTTTCTCAGACATGTCACAGCAAGCCACTCTTTCACCTTCTCCGATACTCTTCCACCGAGCTCCACCATCTTCAAGTTTCCCTGGATATAACAGCCCCTCAGCCCCTCACGAAAACACCCCCGGAACTGTTGCGCAGCGACGTACCCCACACCCTCATAATCCACCAGTGCAAAGTTTTCACAGACCTACGGGAGATATGCCTGAGCGACCACGATCACAGCTTCGACCGCAACTAGAGCATCGTGCTTCCCAGACTCTCACGATCGATCTTACCGATGAACATGACGAGGCTCCCGTTGCTTCGCAGAATAGTTCTCAATCACAGAGACCGCCACGTCTTGGAAGAAGTGATGCGATAGAAATGGCAGATGTCATAGATCTCACTTCTGATAATGATGTCGAGATAACAGGAGTAACTGCCCGCCAGCTCCCATTACCTCGCCCTGGGGTAGCTCGCCCTCCTCCGCCACAGCGATTCCCACGACGATTCGCCTCACCATCCCTCTTTGTGCCTCAAGACCCTCCTACAAGACACTTCAATAGATTGTTCTCTCAGGATGGTCCGTTTGGCGCTGGTATTCACATAAGATCTGAACAAGGGCAGATAATCATTCGCAACCGTCCAGATTTTATAGAACATATCCAGATGTTGGCTAATGCACAAGCAATGCCTGGCCAAATGGATTATCAACATGGCGCTTTTGCGGATCGGAAACCCGACCACGTTCCCCCTCCGCCTGCCAAGGAAGGTTTTACTAGATCTCCAGTGGAAACAGACGTCGTAATCTGTCCAAGCTGTGAAGATGAGTTAATACACAACAAGGACACAGAGGAGCCGATGGTCAAGAAAGGAGGTAAAGCTCCTACAAGAAAGGAGAGAGAGGAGCATCCCTTCTGGGTAGTAAAGGAATGTGGTCATGTAAGAAGTTCCTTATCCGTCTTTCGTTGTGCTTTTACTAATCTAGGACTAGGTCTATTGCAATCGCTGCTATCAGAACCGTGTGCCATCTAAGCAGCAGCCTACAACAGTAAGCTTTCGCGAAAAGACTGCCGGTGGTAAAGGCAGCAAGAGCATCCCAATGTGTGCTGTCGAGGATTGCCCATCAGAAATCAGGAACAAGGATAGATGGGTTGGCGTGTTCGTCTGATTCGCCTGCTTCGTTTCACTACTGACGATACTTCGCAACATCCCCTCAAACAACACAATTCTGAAGGATAGCGGTCCCGGGGTTTTCACTGAATTGCATTGCATAGATCCAGCATGGAGTACAGCGTGGAGTATGGAAACGGAGTTCTGGAATCATTGACTTGATCGAGGCGTTCAGGCCTGCTTTGGGTCAACAGGCATGGGGCATATGATAATGGGCTACTGTTCCTGGCATCACGGACAATTTGATGGTGCAGTATAACTAAGACAAAGCATTGAACCGTCCATTGACACCATGCCTTGTGCAAGTTCATAAGTCTGGTCTTATATAACTGACGCAGTGCAGCATCTAGTATGGTTGGCAAGGTTATGTTCGAGTTTGCAAAAGTATATTGCGCGCTGTTAGTGTCAGGTATGGCAGGCTGGACTCCGGCTCAAAGCAATGATTTTCGAGTAAGTCCTCATATTTTCTCTTGATTTGAGTTATTTCCCTTATCTCTGGTATAATCATTTGATGTTTGATAAGAGCATTGATATTCCCCCTCAGCGGGTTGTGAGTTGTGAGTTGAGGCGGTAAGTGAGGTAGCCCATTCACTCCTTGTTGTTATTTCCTATTTCGGATATTGATTTCGAAGACTTGATCATACCTGCCCCAAGGTCTTAAGCGACCACAGAACATCGCTGGGAGATCTCAGCCTTCTTCAAAAGGTGATATTTCGATATTTACAAGTCCACGCGTCTCAGATTCATTATACTTTTCCTACCGCAGAATCCATAACGTGTCTTGGTCTCGAGTATTTCAGTCTCTGTCCTTCCTCATCGTCCTCTGCGCCTGCAAGCCAGTCATACTTCTATCGCGCCTGTCAAGATGAACCACGCCCACGAAGCTACCGCTGCCGCTGTCGCCGGTCAGAAGACCTTGGATAAAGCAATGCATGAGGCTAAACCGCGCAAAGTGGATGAACGGTGCGAGGCCACCCGCATGAAGATACGCGCCGAGGCAGTGCACCTCTGGGAGGAGTTGGTATCAAGGCAAGCTGGAGAGAGGACCATGATGGAGCAGGAACATGCGAAACAAATTGCCGAACTGAAATCAGACATCGTCAACAGATCACTTAACGCTGAGAACGATGCCAACTCCAAGAACCTCGGAATTGAAGAGGGTTCCCAGAGGGAAAGACCACCTCTAGACACATATACAGCAAGTCGAGAGACGGCAAAGAGGTTCAGAGGGTCGGACTATTCCACCAACTTATCAACTCCTGCCTCATTTTACAACATAGACAAACATAGGAGTCGGGCGGATCCTGATGGAGATACAACAAGCGGGACTACAAAGGCTTCTCAGGCCATCAACCAGGACAAATCTGATCAAACCCGTCCTCGCCACTCGTCCTTCAGCACTGATGAAGATATCTGGGGATCATCTTCCCATCGTAGAAGTGTGGGAGGAGCTCTGCCTAGCACCCACAGCCAGATCGATCAGTACTATCAAAAGGATTCGCTCGTCGTCGCTCCGAAAATCCCTAAATGCGCCCGTCAACGTCACTCTGATCATCTTGTTGAATCAAGTCCGTATTTACCAACAAACAGAGCTCAATATGATGGGTATCAGCCAAGCTCCTCCGCTGGTACATCTTCGAAAGGCTTTACGGCTACTATCTTTGATAGTCTAACTCCTCCCGATCACTTGTTGCCAACTTCTACTACCGGCATACGTCGAGAAGATCAAAACTCATTAAGAAATCCAACCTCAGCTTCAACCATCCCCATTCTGCGGAGCGTTTCACTTGCGTCAAGAAAGTCAGAATCAGGCTCGAGTGTGGACAGACCTAGGAATGAACCAGGCTTCTCTGAGGAATCAACTCCAGCTTCGGCCACTATCCAGACTCACCACAAGCTTCGCAGAGATTCAACCCCCTGTCCAGAAAGAACTCGTTCTTTCAAACGTAGCAGGTCTGAAACTCCCCCCTCCGGAGAGGAGACCGAAACAATATCGACAATTATGCCACGAGTCCATTCGCATACCTTTTCTAGAAAAGCTTCAGGAAGTGAACCGCGAAAGACTCCAAAGGCCCGTGGAGGAGTCCAGCTCGATAAATTCCGTTTCGAAACGAAAATGCTCAGCTACGGCCCTTCAGAGGCGAGTAATCAGTTGCCGATAACATGGCGTAATGGTATACAGCTCCAGTTAAACTATATGAAGCAGATTTTCGAACCCTACCAGGGAATTGAGAAACAAACTAGCATATGTCGTGACATGGTTCTGAATGGAACTTGGGATGGGAAAGTATTCTACCATTCTGAAAGCGCACGCTTCGAAATCTATCGAAAGAATGGCGCAAGGCTTAGAATCCTGTTTAAGAACAAAGCAGAGCTTGACGACTTCATGAGATACTTCAAGCCCAACTTCAAAGATCGTGTAACGAGTATTGAAGAAAGGTGTGTCCATCTTATTCTTACAATATTCTTGAATCCTCTTATTGCATGTACCAAGCTAACATCATTCTTTCACTCTTTAGTGCTCTTCTTGCTGGTCTGGATAACTTTTGTGTGGAGGGAGCTGAGTCGCATCCAAGCATGTTACAATGACTTCTACAAATGGTGGTAGGATATGATTGCATTACAGTTCAATGAAGGGAAGATCGAGATCACCGTCTACCCGGGGATTCGAAGTCACTTCTGTATGGTTCCCAGGTTAGCTCTCACACATTCTAGCTGTATTGAGTAATAGGTATAAGAAGGTGTATATTGATTGTAATGAATAATCGGCAACGGAAGAGATGCAACATTGCTCACTTTGCCCAAATTTTTGTGTACCAGTATATACCTATGTATATCAAGTGATTTGTCTAGCCCTTTCCTTGGGTCCATACCAATCACCCTATTACTCGGGAGAAGTAGGAAAACAAATGGGGAAAAACTGGTAGGAAACAAAGTCGATCGTTCAATCAGACACCTAAAAACGACATTATCACTGTCCCACCAGCGGAACAATAGTCGCAAGAAGTCACACTGCTACTTAGTAAAGGGCCTGGAATACAGAAGAACGAGGCCCGTGCGCCCCTTCTCTTCTTCCCCCCCTTTTCCCCCTTTTAGACGTGTTGAAACCGTCGTTTCACGGGAATCGGCGTGGGTTCGTGTTGCGTACAGCAATGATCTCTTGCTTTTGGTTCCAAGTGGAAGGCTCGAGTCGTGAAATTGTTACGAACAAATTCGAGACCTTTGGGGGTTTCGATCTTATTTTCACCCATTCTAGCTCACACGACTCAATTCGGTCACCCGTAAGAAACGAAGTACTACTTTCCAATGCTGTGCGCCTTTTCTCTTATGTCGTAATTCGTATATGATCCTTCCAGTCTAGTGTCATTCTCCCCAACTCCAAAGCGCCCGTAACGCCGTGATATATGGCTTTAACACTACCTAACTCACAACTTCGAAAACACAGTCGCTACAGCGCCACTGCCTTCGACAAGAGTACTTCTCTCTCTGACCCATGCCGATAGCCCTCTTCTCCCATTCTCAACACCAACACCACTCATCTTCCATCCTCCGACAGGCATCTCGGCGGGACTTTCTCCCCATGTGTTAATCCAGGTGATGCCTGCTTCCAATTTACTGATAACATAATGGCATTTGTTCAGATCCTTTCCGAACACGCCGGCAGCGAGTCCGAGTTTCGTGTTATTAGCGCGTGTGATGACTTCCTCGAGATTATCCCAGGTCAAGATACAGAGGACAGGCCCAAATATCTCTTCTGTGGCAATCTTCATACTATCCGTACAGTCTGTAAAAACTGTCGGTTGGACCCAGAACCCGTTCTCGTAGCCTGACGGGATCTTGGCAGGTCTTGCGGGGCCACCATAGAGGAGTTTGGCCTTATCAACATCGACTCCGTGATTGATATAACCAAGAACTTTCTTGTAATGGATTTCCGAGACCAGAGGGCCAAAATTGCTATTGGGATCCATTGGTTCCAGTGCGCGAATGTATTCCATCTTCTCCACTAGACGTTTCTCAAAAGCAGCCTTCATGTCCCGGTGAACGAAGACTCGCGTTCCATTCGTGCACACTTGACCGGTAGAGAAGAAATTCGCCATCATGGCTCCATCTACCGCATTCTCTAGATCCGTATCAGGAAGAATGATAAGCGGGCTCTTGCCACCCAACTCCATCGTCACATACTTCATCCCGCCCGCTGCAGAAGCTGCGACTTTCTGCCCGGTCGAGACTTGACCAGTGAAGCTTACTTTTGAAATGCCAGGATGGGCAACTAGGTAAGCGCCAACTGCACCATCACCATGTACAATATTGAACACTCCCGGCGGAACTCCAGCTTCAGCATAAACTTGCGCAAGAATCTGGCCGTGTAATGGAGTTACCTCGGATGGCTTATATACCATACAATTGCCGGCTGCGAGGCAGGGCGCAGATTTCCATAACGCAATTTGAATTGGGTAGTTCCACGCTCCTAGGCCGGCGCAAACCCCGAGGGCTTCCTTCTTGGTGTATATCCACGCATCTGGTCGTAGATGTGTAGTTTCTCCATTCAGACCGCCACTCGCCACCAGGTTTGCGAAATATTCCAGAACATCAGCGCCGGTGACGACGTCTACCGTGCTCGTCTCGGAGAACGGCTTGCCTGTGTCGTGGGTTTCAACTCTGGCAATCTCGTCATTGCGGGAGCGGAGGATCTCGACCGCTTTAAGGAGGATTCGAGAGCGGGCCACGGGCGACATCTGCGACCAGGAAGGAAACGCATTTTGCGCTGAAGCTATCGCGGCATCGACGTCGGATTCAGAGGCCGTCTGCACTTCTGCAAGGGGTTTGGCCGTGGAGGGGTCGACGCTCAAGAAGGTTTTGCCAGATGTTGCTGGCTGGCCTTTGCCATCGTAGAAGAGCTGCTGCAGAGGATAGGACATGATGCAGCGAGGTCGATGTAACTATTGTGCTGCCTTGAGAATAGGAAGAGGTTAGACTTGAAGAAAAGCAGAAAACGCCTTACCGTCCAATGTGTACTGTGAAGACATGCAGTTTGGACCCTAACCCTAGAGGGATGCTCGAGTACGACACGGGAGTACGCAGCGCAGTAGGCACTGTGATCCGGTCCAGTCTTGACGTCCCAAATCCAGGCAAAGCAGACGGATATGAAGACGTGTTTCACGAAGGGTTCGCACTTAGTAATTGATAGCGATTCTTACCTCGTGTTATTATTTCCAGGAGTCGGTGAAGCCGGGTTGGTATTACTTGGCGTGTTGGAGGTGAGGAGAGCAAGGGAAATCGTAGCTGAGTTAGGGTCGGGGTGCCGTGAGAAGATCTTGACATCTGGGACCGTTTTCCAGGGCACACCGCAAGAGATTTTTGCAGCCCCACCGAGACATGTCGCCCCTCCATCCTCTCCTATTGTCCCATTGGTTCGCACCGCCCTTCCCCCGTCCCCGTACAGAGGGACGGCGCCGTCTCAAGGTCCCAAAACTTGCCGTTTCTCGACGTACGATCCGGCCGAAGCCTTTCCGTCGGTCTTTCTATCCGCGAGCTCGTCGGATGTGTAACAGGTATGGTATATGTGAGGTAAGTTGTGCTTTCAATCGTTTTCTTGTCATTTTGAGCAGGCTTAGCCAGCTTGTATTGCATCTTTGAGCCTCAGCCCACCCTCGAACGGCGGTCCTGATTTCGTTATCCTCTAGAGGTGGTTGAGAAGAGAGCTCCTCTTCCAAAGTACTTTCAAAACAAGTGAAAAAGTGCGGGAGAGAGAAGGAAGAACAAGGGAAAAAGGGAAAAGGGAAGAGTGGAAGAAGAAGGAGTAAATAAATACAGAGGTGGAAAAACCCAAACAAGTTACCGGTTTGTTGCAAGCGCTTGTCTCAGAAACTCCACACTATTTGAGTTCACAGAGCCGCAGCTTCAAGTTGAAGCCATAAAATCCAATATGACCACTGAATATATCTCCTCCTCCCAAGTCAATGACTATGACTATGTCATTGTTGGCGGAGGCACAGCTGGCTGTGTCATTGCAAGCAGACTGTCTGAATACTTGCCACAGAAGAAAATTCTTATGATAGAGGCTGGGCCAAGCGACTTTAACAATGACCGAGTTCTGAAGCTCAGTCAATGGCTTACACTTCTTGGGGGCGATTTGGACTATGATTATGGGACCACAGAACAGCCAAATGGCAAGTGTTTAGGGATGTGAAATTGTATTTCACTAACAGAGCTACAGGCAACTCATATATCAGACACTCTAGAGCAAAAGTGCTAGGAGGCTGCTCGTCTCATAACACTCTAATCTCTTTCCGCCCCTTCGAGTATGATTGCCAACTATGGGAAAGTCTGGGTTGCAAAGGCTGGGATTTCAAGACTATGATGCGTCTCATAGACAATCTCCGTAACCAGATTCAACCTGTCCACCCACGGCATCGCAACCAAGTCTGCAAAGATTGGATTGAATCCTGTTCCACGGCCCTTGATATCCCAATCATCAAGGACTTTAATCAGGAGATTAAAGAAACGGGCAGTCTTCAACAAGGAGTAGGATTCTTCTCCATATCCTATAACCCGGAAGATGGCCGTCGAAGCTCTGCTTCCGTTGCATACATCCATCCCATCCTCCGTGGGGAGGAGAAGCGTCCTAACCTCACGATCCTCACCAGTGCTTGGGTTAGCAAGATCAACGTTGCATCCAAGACCGTGAAGAGCGTAGATGTAACTCTCAAATCTGGGGAGAAGCTCACCGTTACCCCCAAAACCGAAACCATTCTCTGCGGCGGTGCGGTAGATACCTGCCGACTTATGCTTCTTTCTGGGATAGGCCCCAAAAAACAACTTTCCGATCTCGGTATTCCCGTGATCCACGACCTCCCAGGGGTGGGCGAGAACCTCGTCGACCACCCTGAGTCTATCATCATGTGGGAGCTCAACGCGCCCATCCCACCTCAAACCACGATGGACTCAGACGCTGGGATATTCCTTCGCCGAGAAATCAAAGACGCCGCCGTCACCAACGACGATCCGTTCCTCAACCCCAAGAAGATCCCCGATGGCACCATTGCAGATATCATGATGCATTGCTACCAGATCCCATTCTGCGTAAACACCGCCCGCTTGGGATACGACGTGCCGCTCAATGCATTCTGCATGACGCCCAACATTCCTCGCCCGCGCTCACGTGGCCGCATCTATCTCACCAGCAAAGACCCGAACGTCAAGCCCGCTCTCGACTTCAGATATTTCACCGACCCGGAAGGCTACGACGCCGCGACCATCGTCGCGGGCCTGAAGGCCGCGCGGGAGGTAGCCGAGAAAGCCCCTTTCAAAAACTGGCTGAAGAGGGAGGTAGCTCCCGGGCCCAAGGTGCAAACTGACGAGGAACTAAGTGAGTATGGGAGACGGGTAGCGCACACGGTTTACCACCCCGCAGGCACGACGAAGATGGGTGCAGCGGATGATGAGTGGGCCGTGGTCGATTGCGAGTTGAAAGTTAGGGGGCTAAAAGGGGTAAGAATTGCGGACGCTGGCGTCTTCCCAACCATGACGAGTATAAATCCTATGTTGACGGTCTTGGCTATTGGAGAGAGGGCTGCTGAATTGATTGCCACTGAAGCTGGGTGGAGGGGAGATGCTCGGGCAAGGCTATAGGGGGTGATGGGGTTCATGTGATTGTCTTATCATTTTGTTCAAACATTACAGTGGCGGAGTTGGCCGTGAAATTGAAAAGCTGGACTAGATCTTAAAATACTGAATATAAAGAATGACAGTAAGCGCTTTACCTGGCCGGCTGGCTATGGGAATCGGAATATTGAAGGCTCGAGAGTTCTAAATAAGTGGGTGACTTGAAGTAACTGCTCGGCATGGAAACGATTGCTTTGTAAATCAAATTATCTATCATGATGCATTATAATGATCCCTGCCACATCCAAATGACCCTGTTTAGGCAGTCGAACGCTACCCTTCTTCCTACAGTATCCAAGACACAAGTATTACTTCAGCCATACGCCACCCAAAACAGTCAGCCCACCAACGAACGCTATGCAAGCACCCATCCAGTATTTCTCTACGCCGCCTATTGAAGAAGCCCCAAAGGAATAGTATCTTAGTATGTAAAACCTCCGTAATTTGAATTCCTTCCATGGTTGGCATTGTTATACATCGTGCTTGAATATTCTGTCTCTTGGTACTCTCCGTGATCGTCCTCGGGGAGCAGTTCTTTAACTTCCCAGTTGTTTTGCTTGGTGCCGACGGAGAATTCGAGATCCTCGCGGGTGATGGAATCCCAGTACTATGACAGGTATTAATAACATGTCATCGGAGGACTTAATAAGGGTGCAAGGGACATACCTTGTAGACCATCATGACTGCACCTAAGTTGCAGAGAGTAGAAAAGAATAAGCCGTCCAAGTAATGTTCTACAGCTTCGCAGATCTGGTTACCGAACACATACATCATGATCTGGCCAACAACGAAGAGGAGTACGCCGAAAGCGATGTCCCCTAGTGGCCAGCGGTCCTGAAGTGTGTTGACGACGAGAATGATTTGCATCACAACATATATGAACAACTCAATCGCAGATACAAGGTACAGCACAACAAAAAGGCCCACGCCTTTCGTCGGACCAAGACCTGACCATCCCTTGAACGTCCCCAACGAGACCAAGAAGGTGACTACGAACATCGCAGATGTCACGACTCGGAGAAGCCAGACGGATAACGTAGTACCATCCTCATACAACTGGAACCCGACAAAGCCATTTATGAGCAAGCAAGCGCAGAGTGCAGAGGTAAAGCCATTTTGCACAGCGATGAAGTACGGCTGGGCACCACTTCCAGGAGGCACAACGCCCGCGTCGAGGATAAGGGATAGAAACGTCAAGACCATGTAGATGTAGAAGAAGAAAATGATTTCCTTGCGACCTATTTATAGATACATCAACATCAACATCACCAAACGATCTAGGCCGAGATTAGAGAACCTACCAACTGCTGTGAATTTGCTCCGGATATGTAAGATCATAATAACGCACATAACCAAGGCTATGATGTGTATTATGCAGGTCGCGCCTTGGAATATAATGGTGTTGGCCACGTCGATATTCCGGGCGTAGCAGTCTGCTTCGACGCCGTGGGAGCCGGCGATGGTAGAGATGCTGCCTACAACTGAACATAATGGCACCGCTGCTCGAGTGCAGATCTCAGTGAAATTCCCAAACCCCATGTTTCCCTTGGTGTCTTTCCCTTTATATGACGAGACTGGTGTGTTGCGAAGGGCCTGGGTCTCGGGGCCTAGGAGTGCGGCTTGGTGCTTGTTGATGATTCTGCGAAAGCGAGTGTGATAGTAGAGGAGGTAACGAAGGCGAAGCTCCTACTACTATGTAGATTAAAGTATCCAAAGCGAGAGGCGCTGAGGCTGGGAGAGCAAGTCGTTGCGGCGGGAGAGATGCCAAACAATGTCGTTATACCCAACCTCCCCTGGCGGTTGGCGGCGAAACGGCCTTCTTAGCGCAAAGGGGTTGCGAGACCCCTACACGTGATCTCGTGTACATAAAAAGTAAGAGTACCTCAACGTACATCGCATGGATACATCTAACTACAGTATTATATGAGGGTGGGGATTATGTGAAGGTGCCATCATTGGGATTCGACATCACGAAGAGATAATGGAGCAGGACTCCATGTTGAATGGCCGGTTCAACGAAGGGGGATCGCGTCTCTTTCTTTCCATGGACCTACCTGCTTATATATAGGGACGACGTGCTATCTAGCAGCATTGAAGATGAACACCACCAGCATCGAAGCAAACGTTCTCAACTCTAACCCTTACCATACCGCCTCGACTATACCTACTCAGGAAGAACTTGTACGAAGCTGTTCAGCCAGCCATTTGGCACATTCCCTCCGCCTGCATAATGGCATCTTTGAAGAGTTCATATCCGGGGCTCACATCAAGACGTGTATACCTGTGAGGCTGTGACCTCTCGAGCCTCGGCTAGAGCTGCTACATCGAAGTGATGCTGGCCAAGGACATCTGACCACGACGATGGAACAGGTTGAATCGATGGGTATTGACAAAAGCATGCCAGAGGAATCCTTCCTACGGACAGATCCTGGATAATCTCTCGGTGAATCCCACGCCCTTGAGGAGCCCTGATTCCGCAAACGAGGCATAGGATACGAGCAAACGAGGCAGGATTGCTGTTGAAGATCAGTGCGTGGGTACTGGCACAACAATCTCAGTGTCCTGTCTGATGCTTGAGTGCCTATCAGTCAAATGACCCAGCCATTTTCCCACAGTTTCAATACATCCCATGAGAGGCTTTGAAGTTTACCCCCCAAGGAATGTAGGTTAGGAATACGGGCGTATGCATCGAGGTTGTCAAGGGAGACAGCCATGGTGGGATCATTCTGCAAGGCTATGTCTCTGCCTTTATGTACATGTTATTACTGCGGTCAGAATATTCGGACAAAGGAACATGGCCTGCTCATCGTATACGATCTGACTTGTACAGAGCACAAAGTACCAGTGGAGATTGAACTTGGGCAATGCCCGGGATGTTTCAGAGGGGCAGGATTTCGAGGTATGCAGGTCAAAGTCTCGGTGACAAGCCTTGAAGCATCATGAGTTCAGGAATTCGGTCGGCCGCTGCAAAGGCAAAAAGCAAGCACCGCTGATCGGCAAATACTGGTGGTCCTTCGTTCGTTGAGGATCAGGAATAATCAGGATCTCGTGTCGGATGGAACGGGCGTTTCTCGAGGGAACAAGCATGTCTGCATGCGACGTTGGACGGTTGGACACGGCTGGCAATCATCAATCATTTTGCGCATTTACGGGAGTAGTATGGGGCGGCAACACTACTGGGGGATCGCTACTGATAAGTATACTCTACTACTACTATACCCTACCTTACTTATTAGCACATAACTCATAGCCTACCTACGTGTACGGCGTACCGCACAGCACAGCTCCCGCGCAACATGACGCCGCGGTGGAGTCGACGGCGATTGGCCAGTCTAGGCCAGCCCCGATGCTGAGTGAGGATGCTGAGGATCCTCATGGTGTGCGGATAGCGGTCTCCCTATGCGCATTGCATGATGTCCTAGACCGAGACCAAGACCAGCCAGAACCAAAGCACCAGAGATTTCGATGATTATTGATGATCGATCAAAATCTTTGACACTCCATCCGAGTCTGTGGCCCCCTCAGCCTGATCCCGGAATACCCATATCCGCGGTGGCTACCGCAATAATCTAGATGGATCGCGAAGTGTTTCGAATCATTTACGTGTATTCCTCCAGTCATGAGGGTCTTGAATGATTTCTGGCTTGAACTACTGATGATCTGCAGCTCAGAATCCAGAGAAAAGGGAGGGGGAAAAGGGGTGGCCAGTACGAGCCTGATGCAACACAGATCGTCGAAGCCCGAGCGTCGAAATTTCAGAAATCTGTTCCAGATATCCCAACTTCCTAAGCAAGCGTCTTGTGTTGTTGAACATGTACTGTACCAACATATAACCCTTACAGTACTTACGGATTAGATTAGATCCCCGAGTTCCTACAGCATTGTACGGGGTACATGCTACTGTACGGAGCACTATACGGTGGCACCTATCAGATTGGACGGCGTCACGCTAGCTCCAGCGTCAAGTCTCAAGGGATTACAGAGTAGGGATTTTCTGGGCCGCACTGCTACAGTCTTGACTCTTCGCTGGTCGAGCTTTTGATCATAGGTATTTGTTACCATAGTAACATTCAAGAGGGTTTCACCACCCGGAACTGCTGGAGACGGGAGGTACGGCGTACAATACAAGCGTTTAGTACAAGCGTCTTTGCGAAGCCTGTGAAAAGCGTGACCGTCAAGTCTCGGGTACGGGATTTGCCACGGGTGACTACAAGTCTATCTTCCTTGAGGTCTGCATAGGTACATACTGGTGGCAATCATCGTGCGGATTATGCCTACAGTAGTATGTGACTTGTCTGTCTAGATTGGATTAGGCTCCGAGGTCGATACGCGGTAGCAAATTTCGAGATTGATATCGACATGCTGTGCCGTACTACTCCGTACTATGGTACTGGGGAACGGGGAGACTGTACACAGTAGTGGAAGTTGCACAGTAACTGTTGGTTCCCAAAGTGTGATCGATTCCCTGGTGGCGCTTTGCTCTGATTGTGCCGGTGAGCCTCCACTAACACAACGTAGGGCTTTTCACCCCTATTATCCCTATATTGCGGAGTATATTATTGGAAAAGATTAATGCCCCGGGCATGCCAACAAGCCAGCTGAAAGGCGGAAGGCGAAAAGCAGGAGGGGGTCGCATGATGACCTGATGACGATCAAGTCCCAATCATCCATGGGCCACCGGTGAGGGGCGAGGGGCGAGCGGCGAGGGGCGAAGGGAAGGACTGTACAGGACGATTCACGAAGCACATACTGTACTCGTAATGTGCTCCGTACCTCTATGCCCGTCCGGTCCACCGTCCACCCCTCCAGCGAGGAAGTGGGAGGGAAGCCGAAGACCACGGCACGGCGGAAATGTGCTCTCTCGGGGTGTGCGCAAGTCTACAAATCATCATGACACGGGGATGGGGTTGTCGAATGGTCATGACTGGGGCAATCAGTGACCACCATCCATGGCCACAGTCGTTGGAGCCCTTCTGACTCAGCCAAAGGACGGTTCGGCGTGGCGATGAACGGGACGGTGTTGACAAAGTGGCTGGCGACTGGCGACTGGCGAGTCGCCAACACGGTCCCACGGAGCATGAAGCTGTGTGATAGGTGCGCACCGCACTGGCCTTGATAGGTTACACCCCATGCATTTCACCGCCTTGCCGGGATCGAGGGAATGGAGAGGTGGGGATGATACGGCTGTATCGAGGTAGGGGGGTTTGAACGTGAAGGACAGAGATACAGCACACAGCCAGGAATGAGATTGCGTCCGTCTTACTTTCGACTTTCGAGATGCACAGGGAGAGGGGTGATACAGGATGAGCAATGGACAGGAGTAAGCCTCCAGGCATTAATCACATACCTCCGTATAGCAAAAGCAAGCATAGTATAGCATACATTGCTGGGCAGGATTTGGCCGGCAGAAAAAAAGCAGCCAAGGCCTCCCTCACGAAGTCCCCGTATCAAAGATCACGGGGGCCGCTTATTACGGAGATACACGGTCTCAGCCTGAATAGCGAACCAAGCGGTTAGACGAGAGGGAGGGAAAACTCTGAAGTCTAGATGATCAGAATCAGACTGCCTCTGTGTTATTGACCAGCTATTACGGTACAGGTATGTGTGCCGTCGGCCTTTCCTTTCCTTGCCTTGCCTTGCCAGACCAACACACGGCGTCTTGGATCTTGGATCATCGGTCTTACTTACTTGATGGCTCATGCATCAGAATCCAGATCACAGCAGGCTCTATGATTCCTTGAGCAGGCTCTCATCCACATCCATGATCCCGTATGTACAGTAGTGTGTCCAAGAGGCCAGCAACGCCTCTACAGATGGAGGCCTCAGGATGGAATCGTAGGACCGCCACAACTTCTTCCAAGGTACGGGGCTACAAAGTGCTCGCTTGGAGTTCGTTCTAGGTACGCTAGACCGAGTTACGCAACACGACTATTTGCGTGTCTTCTAGGTTCAAAGTTCGAACAGCAGCCAAACCATGAACCATGGGTCGAGACTCGAAGAAAATTCCCTTGATGGGGAACTGCCTCCGCACCACCGAACGCCCTTCAATCATGATTCATCCCAGTCATTTGCTGGAGCCTGGAGGTCATCGCCGTGCCGTGGGCACAGGGCTAGAGCCTACCTAGGTAGTTCTCAACTTCTTCCCCCTACTCCGTGCTACTCGGTCTCTCCACCTTTCGACCCTTCGCTTTGTCGCTCTTGTGCTGGCTCCTGCAAGCCCCGAAAAAGACTAATCACGAAGAGCCAAACACCATGGATTGTATTGTAGATCGCCAACGCCGTTACGGCGCAGAGTCAGCAAACTTTGCAAACCGATCTTCATTTGACCAGATTGCGGGCGCGGTGATTTGCTTCTTCCAATTCCCATTGGAGGCTAGGTAAGCTGGAGAGCCCACACGACCACACACAACATGCGCAGTGGCTACTTACTACTGTAGACGACTATCTCTGTTAGCACCCATCTCACGGTGCAAAGGCCATGAATCAAAGCCAGCCGACGATGCGTTCTCGACGTTTCTGGGGGAACCAGAGGCGGCTAGGGCTTCATTCTCCGCTGGAATTATTGTTTGCCCCCCTGCTCAAAGGCACTCGGTCAATCAGTATATGCACAGCACCCATAGATGAGCAAAGGATTCAGTCCTATGTCGGGCGTACAGTACGCAACGACAGTAAAAGAGAGGGAGATATTGCGGCCCCTCAGGAGTCAAGGAGTCAATCAATATGTGTGATATTATACTATGTGACCGTGTAATCCTACTGTGTGATCCGGAAGGCTTGACGCTTGACAGGTAGGTACCCAGTCAATAGGTTTTCTCGGTGAAAGCCTAATGATGATGATACGAAAAAAACACATCATGCACATACCTTCTCTGCCCCGAGTGTGTTCAGCCTTTGAAGGTGTGAAAAGGGGTCAAAGCCGGCCGTCAGGCTATCCGACCATCCACAAGCCTCCTCCGTACAGTACTAGTAGCCCAGGGAGCAGGCGTGAACCTAGCAAATCCATGGGAATGATCAGAGAACCGGGAAGAGAAAAGGGAGGGGGAAGAGGGAAAAAAAAGGAAAAAAGATTATACATCCGTACCGCCGCGAGGATGGATGATTACGGAGTATTGGTGTGCCACCTTCATCCACCCATGGACCATGGTGCCCTAGCCATTCTAGATTCCCATCTGCTCCGTCCCAGGTATTGCCAATTACCTCCGTATGAATCCTTACCCTGAGAAAGTCTCATCTCGTATCCAATCAAACCCGGACTCCGGCTCGCGACCAGCATGCGGAGATCATGGCTTCTGCATCGAACTGATCAAGGAATGTGACCAGAGCCAAGCAGCGCGAGAGGGAGAGAGAGAGGCGCCGTGTCCGTGTCACGGTCACTTAGCAGTGGCACACGGTTCTTTCGCCGCCCACAAGCCGCGCACTCCCTCCCCATCTACAGAATAGGGACCCAGCATCCTCAGCCACCGGCCGTGACGCCGTCCGAGTCTCCAAGACATCTCGAAGAGAGTCAAGGGGGAATGGATCGTGGCCCTTGCCTGACCTTGGGCCTTGGGCCGTGGATCTTGGCCATCCCCACCTCCCACTACTCGACTGTCTACGACGACAGGACGTCGTCGTAGTAGTAGTGAGTAGTCGCCCCTCTGCTGCCCTCCTCGCCTTGCCTTGCCTCGCCTTGCCTTGTCTGCGCGCCGCCCATGCCAGTCTGTGGTGGTGCTAGCAGCTAACGTTTCTGCGGATGCCGCAGCATGATTGATGATTATTACTCCTCCTCCTCCTCCGTTCCGTCGTCTGGCGCGAATCACCACGCGCGGCATACGGCCTTCGATTGCCTGCTCGTTTTCGGCCGGGCCCCGCGCTGATTGGCGTGCCGCGTGAGGGACCCAGCCTGTTGCTGGGCTCGGCTGCTCAGGCCTTTAGCATGAGGAATGGGGGCGTAGCTCGCAGATGGATCATGGTCATGGAGGCTGGAGGCTGGAGCCCTTTCAAACACGGCTACACGACTATCACTCAACATACCTTGAGTAGCGCGCGGAGGAGTCGTTACGAACTTACGGCGCGCGCGGATTATTACTCTGCACACCCTGGGCCCCAGGACTCGCCCTCCCTTTGCTATTCTGCTTCCTGCATTTTTATTTTTATATTTTATTTTTATTTTTATTTTATGAAAAAATGATTGACCCTCACTCCTCTTCTTACTCAATCAACCCCTGCTAGGCGTCCCCTTCGTCGGCGGCCTGTGACATCAACCCGGCTGGGCCTTGCGAACCCTTTGACGCCCTCTTTGAGGTCGGTCAACCGTCAGCCTCCACTTCGTGCTTCTGCTTCGTACTTCGTACTTGCTTGCTCTCTCCGTTATTCAACACTAACGACTGACTACTTCTCTTTCTCTTCTCTCATCATTCATTGTCCTTCTTCTCCTGTCTAGAACCAATTCCAAGCCCCTTGAAATTCGTCATTCCTCAGTCTGCTTTCATTCTTCCTTTCTCCCAAAGCCTACTACCTAGCTCCTGGGTACTCTTTGCCTTCCGCTCTGGTGTAGCCGGAAAGCTCCAGCTTCCCGTCCTCTTCTAGACATATCCTTTAATACTCTAATATCCGACCCCGCCGCCGCTTCTTGACGATAGCAACTGTCCCGCTCTCCTCCTCCTCGCCGTCCTCCTCCGCCTATTCACCCGCATATCCTCGATCTCCTCTTTCGAATTCACTGTTCGATCCAAGCTGGCGCCCCTCCAGCCTCGCGAAACCTTCATGGCTCCCCATTGATACAGGCTTTACGTCAGGCGATCCCATTCGCAAGATCCGGGGCAAGAACGCTAAAGGGAGTGCTGGAAACTCTGCGAGCGACATTCCCCAGTTAAGAAGTTCTTGGGTAGCAGGGCAGCTGCTCGTATTCCCAAAGCCTGTCAAAAGCAACCCACTCCGTTGTTGCCTCTCGTCTCATAGGAACTTCCCCGCCGCAATCCATCTCCATGTATCGAACTTCAGCAAGGCCGGCTCCTGTCGAATTCCTTCTGCCTCCAACCCACTCCATACCCTTCGGGATTGATCGTAGGAAGGATATCTGTCTGCAGTCTATACCACAACTTCCGACATCCTATTTTGAAGCACCGATCAGAGACGGGCTTCGAACTCCTCCTGCGGACGACATGAGTACAACATACCAACACACACAATACCACGATCATGCTGGGAGGCAAGATGGCACATACTCCACGTCCAGTTCCTCCAGGCAGAGCTATGCTGGCTCATACTCAGGTGCAAACACACAACCAAAACCTTATGCTGTCCTGGGTCAGCCTACACAACTTTCAGCTTCCACTTTACGGAACGAAATCCAAGCTTGTCAGACACCATGCCCTCAACCACCGAGCCCACAACTAGCCAACGAGACGAATGCTCTGGCAGACACAGACGGATTGCCGCGCAGGAAGAATGCCAACAGTGAAATGATCTCACCAAACCTGCAAATCCCATCGTCAATCAATAACAGTGGTGGGAGTTTGGCTGAATTTGCAGCCCAGGTAATTATATATACTGTTTGTCTTTGGGGCCAAACACTAATGGTGCTAAGATTACGTGCCTGTTCTGGTTTGAGTCGACAGAGACCCTCCAAAAAGCTGAGAAGTTATCGTCGTCCTCTTCTCCGGTAAAACGACTTCGAGACGAGGCTCTTCCTTCAAGCGGTTTCAAGAAATGGGTTGCAACTATACTTTCGACAACACAAGTAACACAGAACGTTGTTCTGCTGGCATTGCTGTTCATTTACCGACTCAAGACTATTAATCCCGCCGTCAAAGGAAGAAGTGGAAGTGAATATAGGCTACTGACTGTGGCTTTGATGTTGGGCAATAAATGTATGTCATTGAAAAAGAAGCTTCGAGGATTTTACTAACAGTCACAGTCCTGGACGATAACACTTACACGAACAAGACGTGGGCCGAGGTGTCTGGAATATCCGTCACCGAAATCCATGTGATGGAAGTGGAGTTTTTGAGCAACATGCGATATAGTCTGTTGGCCTCCAAGGAACAGTGGCAGGAATGGCAGAAAAAGCTTGGAAAATTCTGGGTGTATTGCGACAGAGCGTCAAAAGCCCCATCATCACCTTCTCCTTCAACAGTTTCCAGCCTTCAACCTACGTTGCCTTCGCCGCCACACTCTATGCAAGCATCCCCTCCCTCGATGACAAGCATGTACCAGTCCAGCTCAGGGCCCATCGCATATAACCAAAACTGGCCGATCAATAATTACTCGGCTCCTATCGTTTCGCCGCTGTCCAATATGCCAGACTTGAATGCTCGGCATTCACGAAAACGAAGTTTTGATGGCGATTCAGACGAGCCTGCCCCAAAGCGGGTCACGAGACCAACGGTTCCCTGTACAACAACATTCACCACTGGGATGCCACCCCTTCGACAAGATGCTCCTCGCCTACCTGTTCCGAATTTGACAATTTCTACAACCCAACCGCCATACAACAACAGCTACAGTGGGGCAACGAGCGTTTCGCAAACTGTTCCCGTCCTCCCTCCTCTAAACGGCCGGGCCATGGCAACTGTCTATCCATCTACTCCGTCATGGACACCACAGCTACCCCTGCTCACACCTACGGGACCACCAGGCCAGCAGGGGACCCATACCGCCAGTCCCAATGGTTATGCCACACCGTCCCGCCGACAAAGTCCACACTCCGTCCACGATCTGTTGTCAATGGGCTCCTCTCCTATATCCACTGGTTATCCAGGTCATAATCCGGGCCATATCAGCCCATCTTTCTATCTCCAGCAGCGGGCCTCTCCCTATAGACCCGTTCGCCATGTCAATACCCTTCTCTATCCTCCGCCATCCGCCTCGATGCATGATTATTCGATGAACATGGATCAGATGCATTATCAACCATTAGGCAAAAGACATGATATGAGAGCGGGCGTGGTTCCTGACTACGTATCCCATCCTCCTTATCAGCAATGGCCAACCCTCCCGCAACTTAATTTCCACTCTTAAACGGTCACGGTTTACAGTACCTCTCTCGTCATGACACAGATTGGGGCATCTGTCCAACCACAAGACCGCGCCCTTTTCCATATTACTAGAAGAAAGTCGAACCCCAAAGAGAGGTTCGCATATTGCATGTGCAGGCGTTTTTGCAGCGAGCTCCAAAAATGAGTAACGCTCTATACCATTGCATGAATCAACCGGTGTTTGGGTCACGCGTGTCGATGCCAAAACGCTCGACCGCTTATGTATGTATTATTTCTGGGAATTTTCTTTGGGGGTCTAGGTAACATGGACCCAGACCGTGCGATGATCTGAAGGGATCATTGGGAAGGCAAGAAGTACTACGAAGAATTTTCCAGATAGCTAGACGGTTTTAGAGCCACGAATCTGCTAATCAGTAGTACTACTTATCTTTGCCTTCATCTTGTCTTTCCACTTGCATGGTTGTCTTGTGATAGTGGTGATTGCTTCGTGCCGCGTTTGTTCTTCCTGTTCAACAAGAGGCGAAAAGGGGTTTGGTAGCGGAGAAGTATGTGGTCACGTGGATTCCCAGGGGCAACCTTGGTTCGCTTGTAAATACGAAGAAACAAGTTCGCTTCTTTGCGACGTCAAGCCAAGGTTTGTTGCGCTCATTTGGAAGAAAAGAACAGAGTGCACCTGTCATTTTTCGCTATACCACTACAAAGAAACTCCAGGACTTGCTTGTGTCATCTCAAGATGAGAAAAGTAAGGCACACCGCATATATTTACTGCGTTGAGAGAGCTGCGTCAAAAGGCTCAAGATGAAGGACCCTCTCCCTCGATGTTTTATTTCGGGGTACAGAGATATATAGACCTACATATTTATTTTATTTACGTTTAGCTAGTCGTTCAGTCACTCTATTGCCGTTCGATTGGCGATTTATGGGGTGACATTGCCAGGGAGACAAACGTGAGTTGTCGACCTTGTTCTCTCGAAGCTTGTGATGGTTGCAGAGGGTGCTTTTTATGCGTAGGGAAGTCCCACGATGAATACTTATCACACAACGTGAATCTTACACACTTGAACTTCGGAGACGAGGTAAGCTCCCCTGAGGCGTCTGTCTCATCCTGTTGTGTTCCAACTTAGTAGCAAAGAATCGTATACATATGGCCCACGATTTTTTGGCGCCTTGGATTGAGTCTGGAGTTTTCTCGCTAGGACCTGCTGTAAACCATTTCTCCTGCTGTTATTCACTACTCCTTCTTCCTCACTTTCATTATTGGGATGTGCTAAGAGCCCGATCTACTAACACACTACCGATCTTTGGCTGCGGTGTGATCTGTGTTCTTCCTCGCGTCGAGCCTCTTTTTATTGCCCTCTTAGTTCGTCACTCCTGACACATCTGAGTTCCCCAGGTGGATCAGCGACCATGTCTTACATTCCTCTCAAGCAGCAGGTGGAGCAGGTTTGGGAAGGCTACCTCAATGCAGCCTCTCAAAACTTTCATCTCCGGGCTCACGAAGACGGCATTCTACAAGGTGAAAATGCCCCCAAAGAGCAGTTGGCAAGCGGAGGAGATGCCCCAGCAACCATTGAGCAAGGCATGCCACTTGAGAATAAGGATATTAGACAAGTCCGCTTTTTCGAGGACGTCCGCCTTGTGCGCCACATGTTCGATATTGTTGTTAAGACCATGTCCCCTCAACCTGGCCCTACGCTCCAAGCCCAAGCTCCTTTGCCCATGGCCAACTCCCAAGTCACCTCGCGCCCCAGTATTCTAATGGCCGAGGTTCCCAGCAACAAGATGATTGTCGAGCATCCCAAAAGTTCTGGCATCTACTACGTTCTCGACTGTGCTTTGTGCGGAAGGCACTTTCACAACGCTCAATCTCTCTACGCCCACATTAACCAGACGGATGCCGCTCATCAAAGCATACTTATGGGTGAAAAGAAATTTGCCAAGGCCGTCGCAGTCTGTGGATTCCGTATCGATGATGCTACTATGGAGGCTGTCAAAGAACACAATGCGTATGCCGAAGCTCTTTTTAATGTAAGTTTCTCCGTCTTCTCTCTTACTTTAGGGACCTTTCCACACGTGGCTATTCTGTTTGAGATGCAATCCAGCAATCTTTGTATTTGGCACTAACTCGTAGCAGGCACCTAGCAACCAGGGATCAACACACGAGGACTAAGCTTAGGTTTCATACTTTAAATCTGATATCAAGGGACACGGGGCTGGCTTGGTGGAAGGCGTCGTCTGGGTTCTCTCTATATCATAGGAGCTGGATATTGAAGTGACAAAGTGTCAGTTTGGCTTCTTGAAGCGAAGTGGGTCTAGGAGGGTTTTTCGCGGAGTTTTTTCAGCTGTCATGGGTTGATATTAAGGTCCTTAGGATCAATATGCTCGGCCGGGTTCCTATTCACTGTAAGGGCGAGTTGGAATGACCATGGAAATACTTTCCTCCTCTGTGGTTCATGAGAGAGGAAATCATGGTTACTTGCCGTCTAAGAAAATGTCGGACCCCCCCCCCTTCCCAACACCAAAAAATAAAAAAATAAAACTAAAAACCCCCATCTTCTGCCTGCCTGCTCCAGGGGAAAGAAAAGCCAAAAATAATAGTAATATATTTAAACGCATGGATCGGATATTCAGCCTTGATTCATGAGAGTCTTCTAGGGAAAGAGAGGAAGAGTGCCTTTGAGAACTAGGTAGGTAGTCGGCTACTATGCATCCATATCACGCACCTTGACCTCTAACAATAATAAAAATGAAAATAAATTATATGTATATACAGTCATTCGAGGTCCGTGAACAGGATAGATTCCTCCAAACACATAGAATATAGTCTACCCATAAATCACGCCTGATAACTTCAACAGAGCCCCTCATGACTTCAATATGAGAACGAGGTGACTAAGCTGAATTTTGATTGGGCCACCCCGCTTCTGCCCCCTCTCACCGCCAACTGTAAACCATATCGGGAAGCAATGCCAACCTCAAGCATCAACCTCATCGACAGCATGACAAAAGGGTCATGAATCATGAGGAAAACACTTCTGTTATGTTTTATCCACGGTTTTAAGGTGACTTGTTGTATTCTAAGTTTATTTTCTCAGCATACTGACAGAGGTGCGATAGGGAGGTGACGACACTTTCGGAGGTTTCCCTGAACACCTTCGAGCCCTCGTCAGCCATGGTCTTCCCAAGGTTGACGTCCACGCAATCGTATACCCCAAGTTCGAGACCCGGGGTGATCTGGCAGAATGCGTGAGCCGGTTCAGAGATTGGTATGTGTGGTTTCTTCCTGGACGGTTGTTCCAAGTACTCACATAAACCCCACTCAGGCTCGAGGAGAAGGTAATAGACATCGAAGTTGCGAATAAGACACCTTCACCAACAGTCGACCCGTCTGTCCGTACGATTCTGATTGGGCATTCGATGGGGGGTATCGTGGCGGCGGACACGGTTCTTGCCCTAACGTCGAAGGGCATCATCGACTCGGAAGACTCGACAACCCCCCATCTGAACTCCTTCATGTTCCCATACATTCAGGGCGTCCTGGCCTTCGATACCCCGTACCTCGGTATCTCGCCGGGAGTCGTAGCTCATGGCGCAGAAGAGCATTATAACGCTGCGACATCCGCGCTTACGCAGCTAAGTGGTTTGGCAGGAGCGCTTTGGGGTGGCAAAGCGGCGACTGAGGAGACGAAGGACGCGAAGAAGAAGGAAATCGCTGCAGCATTACCAGGCCCATCGGCATCAGATGCGCCCGTTCCAGCATGGCAGAGGTGGGGAAAGATGGCTCTGTATGCAGGAGCAGGTGCGGCTCTGGCTGCTGGAGGGACGGCAGCATATTTAAAGAGGGATCAAATTACAGAGGGCTGGTCCTGGGTTGGATCGCACCTGGAGTTTGTGGGTTGTCTGGTGAAGGGAGAGGAGTTGCGGAAGAGAGTTGCGGGAATGACAACACTTAATAAGGAGCTAGGCGTTGGGTTTGGAAATATTTACACACGGCTGGGAAAGAAAGCCTTGAGTAAGACCGATGGGAGCATGGTCGGTAGTGTCATTGGGAACCAGAGGACGTTCTGCAATTTGCCCAAGAAGGAAGGGAAAGAATTCTGGCATGCAGCTATCAATGATGAGGTAAGTACGCCGAACGAAATTCTAGGGACTGCAGCTGACCGGCACGGAGGCTAACGACGAAACGGGAGCTCATATCTGTAAGTTGAATATCTATCGAGGGGTTCTAATAGTTCTAGCTAATAGTTTCTAGCTATGTTCAACCCCAAGGATAATCCGGGTTATTACATCTTGTCAGAAGGGGCCAAGAGATTAATCATCCGATGGTCTGAGGGCAACGACTGGTACGAATCGAGCTCCGAGAATACAAAATCTTCTGGCATCGGTCAAGAGTTACGATGAGTCGAACATCTGATAAAGGCGTGCCATCTGGGCATGGTACGTCAGAGCCGGTGGTACTCGGGTAATGACAGGGAGGGTTGCTTGGGGTCTGCATCGTGGCCAGCTCGTCGGCCGACTTTTCGACTACACGGAGCTTTTACTCAGCGCGAGGACAATAAAACTTGACTGCTACCAGATATTCCAGGTCGATAGATGATCTCCGTCACATACTGGATCACAGGTTTCATCCTCGTCGCTTCCAAAGGAACCAAATGGAACTTTGTGATATCAGAAGGATTATCAAATCGCTCAATGTGGCGCGAAGGGTTTTGATGGCTCTTCAGAGCCGCAACTACTTTCATGTCGATCGGCTCAGGGCTGTTGCGAGACGATGTAGAAATGGAACCTCCATTAACCACACCGGAATACAGGACATGAAGCTGGTTCAAGTCTTATAGCAAAGGGGTACTTTAAAAGTAGATTTACAGTAGATACTGCATATTCTATAAGGCACTCATGTGAGGACGCCATACAAATCGACAATCGCAAGAGACGTGAAGACAACGGGATGGCGGCTTGGGTATTTGATAAGTGTACGCTAGGACTGAATTCAGTTCCCAGGTATCCCGGGCTGTTTATAGAAGATTCCCCCTATAGCATGGCTTACAGCCCTACCCTACTCCTCAGACTCTATGCCATCTATTTCTCTATCCTTCGTACTTGTAATTAATTATGCGCTCATATTTTCAAACAACGCTCATGCAAAGAGCCAACAACGCCACGCTATGCATAGTCTCTAGTCTCCCGCCTCCCGTCTCTCGACCTAGACAGAGCATTGCCTAATCCTTCTTGCCCTTCGAAGAAGTTTTACTTCTCCCTGAAGTTTTTCTATCCATATCCGTCTCCGGCGTCGAGACCTTAAAGGAGAAATCCGTCTCGCCAACTAGATCCTTCACATGGTCGATCAATCTCGCCAAGTCATCGGTCACAAGGCTGGAGGCTACATGCAGAACAGCTGTGGAGGAGATTATTAGTGTTATGGTTCTCTGGGTATTGGGAAAAGGGATACGTACCGTATGCTGAATAGCCGGGCTCTTCGATGTGTCGGGCGTCCAAGATCCCTTTATCGAGGGCTTCTAGACGTCTAATCAGGTTGTAAGGTTGGGGTGCTGCAGAAGATGGGAGTTAGTGATTGCTCTGATAGGTTATGGCTGTGGTTTGGGGTTTGGACTTATAGGTCCTAGGAGTGCTTCACTTGTGACAAGCCGTCTCAAGAGTCTAAGAAGTCTGAAGGCTCGTGTTTTCATCCCGAATGGGGAACTTGTACGAAAGAAACTCACGTTCTATGTATGGTGGCAGAGCGGAACCTTGTTTAACAGAAGCTGAGAGGAGGGATAGAATGGATGTGATCTGGTGAGTTGTCGGATCTACGTTATCGATGAGCGCGCTGAGATCGTTGACCCAAGCCCGTCGACTGGTGCGGTCCATGTTTGGATATTCGGTTCCATCATCTTTAGACCAAGATTCAGTCGCATACGACATGAGTGAAAGATAATTCACGATGCTAGTACACCTTAGTTAGTACTTGATACGGTCACATGTCGATATAGTTTGGTTCAGACGGGAACTCACTTCGATACTCGTAATGTAATGCCTTCATAGGTCTCTCGTGGAAATTTGCCCCCAATCGTGATCTCCCATTTCTGCCAATCGGCGTGCTGTTTAAGAGATGGTAGGAGCATCATCAGCTTGCCAAATATTTTGTGGCGGAATTTCTTTAGTTGTCGTCCGGGGCTTGCTTCTGACTCCATATCGCCTTCGGTATCATGCATTCGAGCTCCGATGGTGGAATGCACTACACTGTAGTAATTTGCAAGTAAATAGAGAGTGGAACCGAGGTCTTGTCGGAGCCAACTGCGGTCGGAGAGTGGGTAAGGGAAAATCGTCCAGATGAATGCCACGAATGAGCCTCCCGCGACACAAGCCAGACGATAAGGGGCGAGTTCGTAGATAGGGTAGTATGGCTGTCCGCTCGCAGTTGCAGCTGCAATACCAAGTTTCCGAACTTGAAGCTCATAGCCTATGATCAGAACCTGGGTGATTATGGTGACCAGCCATATGGCGATAAAGCGCTGGAATTTCAAGAACAGATACATCTCAAGAAAGATGAAGAACCACAGCATAACGATGATTCCCGGTGTCTTCTGGTCAACTATGTACCAGATCACAATTGATAAGACCATTGACGCCGTTGTACCTACCACTCTTCCGAAGAAGCCAAACATGCTCTGTCAAATCAGTCAGCAGTTGATTTCTTTCGACAGGATTCTCGATTCGAATAACATAGCTGAGGAGGTTTGACAATGAGGGTCTTTGGATTTAGCAATACGTACCTGGCCGGTGGTCATATTCATGCCGATTGCAATTATAATCATAGCCCAGACTAAACGCTGTTCGATGAAGAATGTCTGTGTGTCCTTCAAAAAAGCAACAATTCCGACAGTCAAGGTTGCACAGGCTACTCTAAGCCCAAACGCACTCTCTACCGATCCCAGGAACCTTGGAATAGTACGAACTGCGTTTCCAAAGTGTTGCTAGATGACCTTAGCGTTAGCAATTTCCTAAAACAGACACTGGAGAGGAGTGGATTATGGTTTATAAGTCCCAAGGCTATTAATTTCCTGAAGACACGGCAGCTCACTGATGAAGCATGTCTCTTTACGCATAATAGATTTGAGAAGAAAGTACTGTTCGCTAGGGGTTCTTACCCAAGCGGTCTGAGGTGGGAGATGCTCAGGGTCCTTTTTGGGATCGAACCCAGATCCCATATAGATGATGTTGGTGCCCGCTTCCATTGAGTCCGGGTTTTCGGTGTCGGCTAGTGCATCTTCCTTTCCGATGTCGAGAATCCATTTCTTGAGCCTTGTCTTGCCGGGAAAGATCAGGCGATTCCTTTTCATTGTACCCTCTTCAAGCTTCTTATCTGCGAACCTAACCAGTGCTGTGATGGCTGTGCCAGTCGAGTAAAGGAGATTTTCCATGTACAGAATGAGGTATAGCTGCTGCTGATCCCGACGATGTTGAGCTTCGTCTGGTGTCAAGTCGTTCTTTCCAATGGGTACGCTCTTTGCGTGATCGAATTGTTCTTCAGAAAGACCCTTTTCTCTGGCCCACGCTCGCAAGACCTGGCCACGTTTGCGATAGAAGTCCAACATCTTCTGCTCCATAAACTTCGTAAATCCAGTATCACCAGGTCTCGGATCCGTGCCTTTCGCCTCTTCATCCTCCCCTTTCTTCTTCTTTGGTTTTGGCAGCAGTTCCAAGACAAGACCAGCGTGTTCCAGCCCCTCGTCCATAGCAGCTACAGCCACAGCAAAAGGCTCATGAAGGGTTTTCATTATCTCGTTCCATGTCTTCTGTGAGGAAACCCTCTCTTCTTCGCCACAGTGTTCCCAAGACTCCGAATGGTCCCTGTGACTCGACTTCTGGGGTTTCACCCATCCACGCCTTTCCGCGATTCTTTCAAAAATATCAGTGATTGTACCTATTCCAACCAATGGAATTAAGATCCCCCGAAACAGGGCAAATATCTCATCAATATCTTTGTCATCCAATTTGCCCCATGCTATCTCTCTCTTGGCAAAGGTCATATCACCGTGTAACCTCCCATGAAGGGCAGTAATCTCGGCAAGAGCCCCTTTCAACGCCTTTGCTTGAGGGCTTTGAATTAGATTGGATTGGGAATCTGAGTCCCCCTTCTTCTTCTTCTTTTTCTCCTTCTGGTCATCTCCTTGCTTCTCATTATCCACCACATTAGTGTCCGTTCTTGCGAACATCTCACTGCTTTCCAAGCTTTGTAAATATGTTGTCTGCGCTTTGAGAACGTTCCTGATTCCCATTATGTATCCAGCTTGTTCCTTGAATACTACTGTTCGACAGGTGACGGGAATGATGAACCAATTGACCGCTGTACCAATAGCAAATGCCGAGAGAAATCCCAAGAGAAGCTGCCTAATAAGCGATTCTCCTTGTTCAATCGTCGTAAAGCCCGGCCCGTAAGTAAACGCAACGTTTGTGAAGATTGAGTACATGATCACAGGAAACTGCAGAGCAGGCAGTTTGGCCCTGGAAGTGTTCACAAACCAAATGTTTGCAAACAGCCATATTGCGCAGACAGCGGCTTGACTGGAATTATATCGCTCCGTTGAGCCTGCTGGGGTCGTGTGCTTCCGCGCTTGCACCCCACTCCATATTCCCAGCAGGGATACGGCTGAGCCAATGCAGATGCCCAAGGTGTTCAAGATCAAAGTCTGTAAGAACTTGGCGCGCGGCATGATAGCCTATTGATCAAGTCAGTAATTGATACGTGTTGATCCAGAAAATGAATAAAGAAAATGGACTGGTAGGATATGCTATGGAGTAGAACCAAGGGGTCTGAGCCTGGAAACACTCACCATTGACAAAACAGAGATAACTGGCACGAGATAGCCAAGGGTGGTGTATATTTCGGCAATATCATTGGACTGATACCAGGCCACAGCTATTGTTGGCGGCAGTGAACCCCTTTGTTGTATGTTAGTTATGCATACAGATCTTAAGAAGATAATAAATTGCATATACTCACTTGAACATCATCAGCACTGTCCCCATGTCAAGCCCAATCTTTCCACATATCTCCTGAAATTTCGAGGGCTTCGGGGGCTCCTCGGACTCCTCTTCCTTCTCAGTAGGCTGGGGATGCCTGGGCTTTGAGCTATCGTCACTTGACAGCTCGGTGGTCTTGTCCTCTCCCCCAGGTGCGTGCCCCTCCTTCAACGCGTCGTCTTGAGTCTTATCATCTCGGACGGCGCGATTGTCTTTCACTACAGTTGAGTCTGCCATCTTGGCAGGTCACGACTCACGAGGCAGTGATGTCGGCTGAATAACGTCGACGGCCGCTTGGAAAGCAATTGAATTTCAGGGCTACAACACCAGACATTGGCAGTAGGATGTCGAAAAAGAAAGCCAAAAGAAATTGGATGAATACTTCCCTTCGATGCGAAACTTTGTTTCAACGTCCCAATGCCAAGTAAGAGGTAGTATACGCGCTACCCTGTATAGGCATGTTATTTGGGTTTCGTTTCGGAGACTATTGGTACCGATTTGGACGTCGTGCTCTGGTGGCCAATCAACGGCCACGAACCAGGGGTTTCATTATTTTATGCTTTTGTGCAGGAGTGACATAACTGTGCAGTTTAGAGGGTCCCTTCTATGTAATAGGGGTTCTACGCTGTAGTATTACATCTTCCAAGCCTTCATCGTCCTGAGGCTGCTCTTCTAATCATTTCTGCAGCAGCTTGTGCTCTGCAGGAGGAGTTGCTTTGCCTTCTGAGACAATCGTTCCGTAATGCATCACATGCTCTACTCCTTCAGTTTAGTCTCGCCAACATGTTCCGAATTGGGAAATATCAGATCTGGCCGCTGCGCCGCTGAAGAGCCGGTGAGGGCTCGAGTGGCATCTAGGCTTGTGCTTGATCATCCCTATAAATATCTCCACTTCCATCAAGCAGTAAATGTTATCTCTACCTGCCCCATCCATTTCCCGTGAGCAGAGATACAACTTACAATTGGGTCAGTTTCTGTTACCTGAGGATAGAGAAGTCATTATCTTCATTTCTATTACCGTACCGTGAAGAGTTAATTACAATATCAATATCTAGACCCTATAACATACGCCTCCCTCATAAGCTCATAAAGTGGGCGCTCTCTTTAGCCCAACGCAATACCTAACAAAAAGCTGGTCGAGAAAATGGGCGTGCTTGATACCCTTGGGTCTCTTCTTCGCAAACTCGTCTATCGCTGCCTGAACGCTGTATCCACACCTCTCGACCAAGTAACATACAATGAAATACCCCGTTCGGTTGAAGCCGTAGTGACAATGCACCCCGACATACCGCTCGCCGCTCCAATTTTCCTTCTCTGCTCGTGACTTCTGCTCTTCTCTCAATCGATCGACGAGTGTTACGAACATGCTGACTTCTTCGCTAGTCGGCGGGATCTTGGAGACTGTTGGGAGTTTATGGTATCTAATACCACCCCTTTCGAGACCTCGCGGGTCATAGACAGGACTTTCGTGGCTAATATCAATGATATCCTTAATCTGAGAGGCCCAATCTTTCACAAATACTTCGGGACAATGAGATTCATCTACTTCTCGCAAAGTCTTCATGGCGCGAAAGACCCCACCAATGGGGTCTGAGACCGGGGCTACCGCTTGCCATTTTGCGAGATTTTTGACATCCCATTTCCCAGCGGTGCTAAGGAACTGCAACTGCCAACCAAGAGAGAGTCGTGGCGAGACTTGGGTGCACAGAAAATCCGAAATAAGACCTGCAAGGATCCGTACCGTAGATGGCATGTACAGTAGAGCGTGTGAGGCTGGGGCAGGGAGGATCGTCGTTTTGAGCACTTTCTTCGGCTTGGTTGGTTGAGGGGGGATAATAGACAGTTCCTCGTCGGGTGTTGAAGGATCTTCATATGCATCTGTCGTCTTAGAGTTTCCATTGATGAAATCTTCCTCATGTAATGACTCGATCTGTCTGGTACTTGGATCGGAAATGTTCGCTTCGGATGCTATATCAATAGGAGCTGCGCTGTCAATGATCGGCTCGCTGTCCTCGTTCATCTCAATCTGAATTGGATGCGACTTCCCAAGGAATGACGCAATCTTCACCAGCTCAGCCGGCTTTGTGATGTTGTCCGCTTCGCCCGCAATGAGAAATACCGGGCACTCGAGTCCTGACCATACGTCACGACCAGGCAGTCCGCCTTGAGCCACATTGTTTTCATACTTAGGAAGGCTCCCTAAAGCCATACGTCTCCATACGGCAGATCTACTTTGATTGTTGAAGCGTTCCTGTAGCTTCTTAGTCTCCTCATCTGCATCTGCGCCAACGAACCGTCGAACGCTGGCACTTTCAGTCCCGCCGCGACGGTCCCATCTCCGCCAGAGATCGAAAATGGGCGTTGGTATATAAAGAAGTTTCGTGAAGGCTGCCACTTCCTCCTTGCTAGGAGGCTCAGCACGGGGGCAAATTGCAACTAAGCCCACCACATGGTCGGATAAGGCGCTGGGATGCGAAGACGTTTTCGATGCCAGAAGTGCAGCGAGCGAACACCCCATGCTATGTCCGATGAGAACAACGCCCTGCCCTGCATCTGCATCCCTGTATTCTTCGATGATTGTTTCCAGCAGCTCGGCCAATGCCTCGGTCGTATAGGCATCCCAAGAGGTCGGCGCGAAAGACGATAGACCACAGCCAGGTAGATCAATTGATAGACACGATGCTAAGTTGACTAAACTGGTCAAGAGAGAGTGAAACTGGTAGCTGGAGCCACCTAGGCCATGTATAAAGACGAGTAACGGGAGTGGGGCGGGTGTCGTAGGTAGCTTTTCGGTTTGCGGATGCCTGCGATAGAATATTCGGAGTGATGGGTATGTAAACCGGCTCGTGGTAAAGGATCGCATCTCGGAGTGCTTTTTTAACAGCCCAGGGTCAACAACTTCAGTATCTTGAATTCAGATAAGGGTCAGCTACATTCGACACGGGAGGACGGGGGACTTGCCATTAATCTCCACGCTCTTCTTGATATCAGACACGCCATTCTGAGATAGATCCATAGATCGCCACGGTATTGACGTGCTCTCTCTGTATCTTCTTCGGAGATACCAGACGCCTGGAAGCACACTACACAATGCCATTATCTGCGCCAACTTCCAGAAGTCGAGCTTCCCTTGCAAGATCTGCGGATAGAGGGCGCGGAGTCTTGACGCGAGAGTCTGCAGTTGCAAACCAAACTTGTTGGGAGTATCGAAGATGCGCCAAAGGCTGTGATCGGGGGAGGCAAGGGCCTCTGTTGGAAAGAGGAGAGGAAGCAGACATGATGGCAGCCCAAGGACTGACATTCTTGGGACTGGCGACGTTAACGTAGCGGACATCTAGAAGAAACAAGCTGGAGTCAAAGCTCCTTGAGACGGAGCCAATGGCGCCGCGAAGGCAGCCCTGCTGGGGGGTTCTTCTGGGTGGCAGCTGTCCGGCGCCACGGGCCTGGTCGCTCTAGAGATACCGTACCCGAGTACTGGTACTATAGCTTATGCCTTACTCGGGCAGCGGCATCATGGGGAGAGTTGTGAAACGGCGTGGCCTTGTCGAGGAAGATTTGTGGCTATCGTTGCTGTTGTTATCGGGGGGGCTGGATGTTTGGAGGACGCGATTACCCATAGAGGCTCGGGTATGACGCACGTTGGGCATTGGAGGGAGCGAATTGGCCCAGACGACGAGTCGTGGCAAGGGGAGAGATAGTGAGATCAACAGAGCGCGAACTCTCTGATGGTGATCGCGCAAGGGAGAGAGAGGTGTATATATATTTGGGATGCCCGGCGCCGACCTCAGTCGAATAAGAGTCACACATGTTACAGGAGGTCCCCAGAGATCTGGGAATTTCTAGCCGCATCGTGGGTGGCTGGAACGCTGGGGGGGGGCTTTTCTGCCCATGCTCTCTCGGCGCGTGCCGAGGTCTCCCTAGGTGAGGAAGGGTTAAGGTTCTACGGTGCACCGCAGAGCCTCAGGGTGCACTACGGGACAGCATTGGGTTCAGCTAGGCGGTTCACGTGCTGGTCGATAGAAAGACGACCAAAGTGATTAGTAATTGCTTACTTGCAAGTCGCAAGTTGCTCTGTACTCCAACAGTCAACTACAAGGGTGCCGCATTCCGTCCCCACTACTACACACTGCAGTGCGGAATACTGTACTTGAACTCCCGTGCATCGTCTACCCGATCCCCCCGGACCCATTCATTCATTCTCTCTGGATTCTGGTGTCCTTCGTCTCTTCTTCGAGCTGGACACATCGACAAATCCCGCTGGTCTGGGCAAACATCCAACACGCGTGCGGGAACTAGGTAGGTAGTGTAGTGCCAGAGCCAGCTGGCCCTCCTGGACTTGTTGGGCTGCAGCTTCTGTGCGAAAGAGAACGTCTGCAGACTTCACCGCAGCACTACTCCGCACTGGCTCCGTCGTGCGGCTTCATCTGCAGTAGTGGCTATTCTATAAGTCCCCCTCATTTTGCCGTCCACGGCTTAATGTTCATTTTCTTCCTCCACCCCTCAACGTCATTTTGATAGCTACCCCTCCTCTCCTCTCTTCTCTCAATCCTAGATTCCTCACTTTCTTTCTTGAAGCCTTGGTAATCATGGAGCCTTCAAATACCCAAAACGTTCCAGAGGAACCGCGATATATTCAATTTCCTCACCTCGAACATGGCACAGTTGTCGAAGGGAAGCAGGCCTTGAACAGATGGTCCTCCACCATCACCAGGGGCCATGATTTCCCCGGGGCCCAGGTTCGAAGCACCGATTTCAAAGACTGGAGATAGTGCTGATCTGGACAAAGGCAATGCTCTACGCTGCGGGCGTGCCAAATCGTGAAATGATGAAAACCGCTCCCCATGTGGGAATCTCGACCGTCTGGTGAGTTAGGCAGCATCCAAAGCAAAGACCGTGGCCGGAGACAGGGCTTCGCTTCTGGCTTCCTTCTCGCACTTCATTCTATTTTATTTTATTTTATTCTATTTTAATTGTTTTCTTGCTAAAGAAAGGAGGCTAACCAGCAGCACAGGTGGGAGGGAAATCCATGCAAGTAAGTCACCGAATCCAGGAGATAAGGAAGTAGTACTGACAGACTGTTTAGTACTCACCGTAAGTGTCATACAGCATGGAGAATCTTTTGAATGCATGTTGATTTCTTATCTCTCAGTACATGACCTTGGGAGGGCAGTGAAGGATGCAGTCCAAAAGCAAGGAATGCTTGGATGGCAGTATAACACCATAGGCGTTTCCGATGCAATCACAATGGGCGGTGAAGGTTTGTACAACCCATGGTTATTCTTTCGCGAAAGCTGTGACGATTAACGCTCTGTAGGCATGCGGTTTTCTCTTCAGACGCGCGAGATTATCGCCGATTCTATTGAGAGCGTTACATGTGCTCAGCATCATGATGCGAATATTTCAATACCCGGCTGTGATAAGAATATGCCTGGAGTCGTGATGTTAAGTAGAGCTCGCGTGAAGCTGCGGTCAATCATGCTAACATGTTCTAGGCCGCCGCCCGTCATAATCGTCCATTTGTGATGATATATGGAGGCACGATCAAGAAAGGGTTCTCGAAACTTTTGAATAAGGACGTCAATATATCCACGTGCTACGAAGCATCCGGCGCCTTTGTGTACGGGAAACTTAAAGCAGCTTCAGGTGCTGGGGAAAAGGGCCGAACCCCTGAAGATGTTATGGAAGATCTTGAGCAACATGCATGTCCAGGAGCGGGAGCTTGTGGCGGGATGTACACTGCAAATACGATGTCAACCGCCATTGAAGCCATGGGGCTGTCCCTGCCAGGATCATCTTCAAACCCAGCCGAGTCGCCCGCCAAGATGCGTGAATGCACGAAGGCAGCAGAAGCAATCAAGATCTGTATGGAGAAGAACATCCGACCACGAGATCTCATGACCAAGGAGTCATTTGAGAATGCTCTTGTTATTACTATGGCGCTGGGTGGCTCCACTAACGGCGTTCTGCACTTCTTGGCTATGGCTGGTACTATATATCAACACAATATGTAGTGGGCCCTGCTAACACCTTGATTAGGAACGGCTGAAGTACCACTAACCCTCGATGACATCCAGAGAGTCAGCAACAAGGTTCCCTTCATCGCAGATCTGGCCCCCAGCGGAAAATACTTTATGGAGGACCTCTACAACATTGGTGGAACTCCATCCGTCTTAAAGCTACTGGTTGCTGCCGGCTTAATGAATGGTAACATTCCCACTGTGACAGGCAAGACTCTTGCAGAGAACATCGAGAGTTATCCTTCACTCCCACAAGATCAAGTGATTATCAGGCCCCTGAATAATCCGATCAAGCCGACAGGTCATCTACAAATCCTTCGCGGGAACCTGTCTCCTGGAGGATCAGTAGCTAAAATTACTGGGAAAGAGGGCCTTGTATTTGTGGGCAAGGCGAAAGTCTTTGACAAAGAACATTATCTCAACGATGCTCTCAACAAAGGGGAAATCCCACGAGGCGAGAACCTTGTCTTGATCGTCAGATATGAGGGACCCAAAGGCGGACCCGGTATGCCAGAACAACTCAAAGCCAGTGCAGCTATCATGGGCGCTGGTCTGACCAACGTTGCTCTGGTGACAGATGGAAGATACTCAGGCGCCTCGCATGGGTTCATTGTAGGCCATGTCGTCCCGGAAGCTGCCGTTGGTGGTCCAATTGCGGTCGTGAGAGATGGCGACATAATTACCATCTCAGCGGAGACAAATACATTAAGTATGGATGTCAGCGACGAGGAGATTGCGAACAGGCTGAAGGCTTGGAAACCTCCAAAGCCAATTGTCAACAGGGGAGTCTTGGCCAAATATGCACGCCTCGTGGGGGACGCTTCGCATGGCGCACTCACCGATCTATTTTAGAAATGGTCCTTTTAGATAGCGATGGTTTTGTGCTCAGAAATTGCACTTATAGCTAGAGGGAATAGAAGAAATTCCGTAACCCTGAAAGTGGTGATATGTAGAAAGTGATCACGTGGCTCTGACATGATGCAAGTCGTCGGCTGCTCGAGCTTCCGACTTCATTCAACCTGAGAAGGGCTCCTTCAAAACTCATAACCTTGCAACAAGCCCGGCTAATCACAAAATACCTGCATATATATGCTGTTTTATCCCCATACTTTTCTTGCTAGAGCTTGCTTTATCAATTGAGCAATAATGGCGCTTTTACGACCCTCCGCTCCGTCCCTGTCGCGGCCTAGCATTCGCGACCTCTCAAGCTTCCTCCTCTCTCCACAAACCTACCAAGCACGTTGTGCGTCCCGTGTTACTCAGCGGCACATACCATCTCCATCTATTTCTTCAACCTATGCCACCTTGCGCAAGTTCTCCAGCGAGCCTCGCCTTCATGCCATCACGAGAAGCAGAAGCACAAAGCCAAAATCGCACGATCGCGGCCCGCCCTCGACGGAGGATACACAGACCGATTTCGGATTGTTAGACGTATTGGGCAACACGCCTGCCCCAAGCACGAGTATAGATGCGTGCTTATGGGATGGATTTCATTTGAATAGTGGAGTGAAGATCGTGGGTGGCAGCGGAGTGTTACTTGTTGCCGGAGAAGCTTTCTCGTGGAAGCCTTGGGAAGCGGGAACAGGAGATCGGAAGTTAAGAACAGTGAACGAGAAGGGGCAGTTTGAAGTTGAGGATGAGGCATGGGGGCTGCTAGAATTGGTGTGGCCGAAGCCTGGTATGTTGTTTCTCGGGTCCTGTTTGAAGTGGATGGTGTGCTGATATATGGCTCAGACCTCTTGATTCTGGGACTAGGAAAGGACATGAGGCCTTTAAGCCCGAAAACGAGACAGTATATTAATAGCTTGGGCATAAGGATTGATATCCAGGATACGAGAAACGCTGCTGCACAATTCAACCTCCTTGCCACGGAACGAGGTGTGGGGAATATTGCTGCAGCACTTGTACCCATAGGCTGGAGAGAAGGAGTAGGTATTGAATAATGAGCATCTTAAAGGAGGCACCAGTAATATTAGAACCCAGATGGCAGAAGCAGGATTTTAAGGTGACCTTTCGAGAGAAGGGGGATTAAGTAAGGGGTTCTGGCCCGGAAATCTACAGGTGAGTCGACTTTCGACACAAGTTTTCCCAGAAACACAAATGCCCATCTTTATGAATATAAGCAGCACAGTAGATCTGACTTGTTGACGGGACAAAATAGCCATTGGGGTAGCATCTCATGGTGCCATTTGAGCATCAATAAGGGCCCCATTGCCACACGAGAACCTTGCATGAAGTAATATTCTAGAACCGCTGCCGCTAAAATACTAAATGGTCGGCGAGTGCTACAAAGCCATTAAAACAACCCTTTTTCTGGCTATTACCTCGTCCAAGTTATTAGCAGTTAGCGGACTCCATTTCCATTGCTGGGGGCTATTTTGTCTCCAAATACATATACATCTACATATCATCACTTCTTTCCCAGCTAGTTCTTGCTCTGTGCAATTCTCTATTTATGCCACGAATAGTTTCAGTTTGTTCTTGTGTAAGCTAGAGAAAGCTATCGAGGTGCCTGTTCGATTCCTCGAGATACCCCATTTTCCGCGATCTTTCAGCAATATTTCCTATCATTCCACCTGATTTAATCTTCTTCAAAAACATCCTTCACAAAGGTGCATCACAAAGGTGCATCACAAAGGTACTTCAGAAAGTTGATCTAACAACAGGCGTCCCGCGAGTCGTCCGAATCCCCGTTTCACTGCAATTCCAACCAAATCCACACATAGTTCTATGTCCATTTAATCTTTCTGCCCCCAAATCTCGTCATGCTGTAAGATCCAGTTGCTTCGTCTTCGTCTTCATTTTCGTCTTCGTCCTGGTCCATGTCCATATCATCAAAAAATCTAGGCATGCTGTCTGGAGTAGCAAGTCCCTTGGTCCTCTTAGTTCGTGGGGTGATGGTGAGCGCGCCTTCATCTCGCTGGACTTTTCTCCTGCGCACGCATGGGCTATATTCTTCATCATCATCAGATTGCTCATATTGCCGCTTCGCCCTGGGGAGTCCTGGATTGTTCGCTGACTTGCTTGACCGACGGATTTCCTTCTGCTCGCGGGGAACAATGCTTGGAATTTTGCTTTTCAGAACAACCATAACATTTGTGCCGGGATGGTTTTTATTTTGAAACGCCCTTATTTGTTCCAATTCTGGCTCGGGAGCATCGTCTTCTATCTCGGGATCATAACTTTCGGTCGCATAGTTGGGGTACGTCAGGTAACCCCGTTTATCTCTTACTGGGTCTACAAAACCCAACGTTTTGCATACTGTCAGCGAAAATTTGATGCCAGTCACAAGTTCCATTATATGCTGGAACTTCTGACATTCCTCGCATGCTGGACGTGGTATTAATATTTCCGCCTCTTTTCTGGATTTTAGTTCATGGAGCTTGTATAACTTTCGAACGTCCAACTTCTCGCCCAGTCTCCTCGTCAGGAGACCACAGGCGAAGGCCATCATAAGTTTGGTCTCCACATGACTCGCAAAAGATGTCCCTATCGGCTTTTTATGGAATTTGTCGAACCCATCTCCTCTGAAACTATGACCGTGGTTGGTAGCGAACTCCATGACTTTTGCCGTCCAAATAGAAGAGTCTATAAGCCTTGGATGTGCTTCTGCACACTCCGTAAATCCCGAGAACGACAGAAGCAGCGGATATTGCTCGCCTGGTCTTCGCAAGAAACCGAGAACTTTTCGCATGGTATAATTTCTGGTGCTTTTGAATGTCTCTATTGGCGCCACTACCATCACTGACTTTTGAGCCTTGACAATATAGTATTTGTCAATGCCTTCTTGATTTCCTGTTGGCGCTTTGACGGCCGATTCCTTCACTCGAAACAAATTGGCTATTGCCGTTGCGCTGTTTTTTAATCGCTCTAACTCATCACCCTCGAAGCCTTGATCTGCGATGTAGTCCTCAACATCGGCTTCACTAGAAATCTTGCTAAGGCTTTCCAAGATCTTCAGGAATTCCTGACGTGTCGGGAGGTTTTGTTTGGCTGCTGCACGGGAAGTGCTCTTCTTGCCTTTTCTCACTCGTGTAATCCTCGTGCGAGTAGTCACGACGGTCTTCACAAGTGGTCTATCTGAGTCAGATGACTCGTCGATGATAATAACGTCCGATGGAGTTGCAGCTTGTTTTGCATGGCGCTTCTTCATCCTGGGAGCCATCTCGTACTTGAATCGCTGATTTAGTGAGGATCTTTTTGGTTGGGCTCAGCGTCTCTTTTGAAAAGTGAGCTGGTTCCGAAAACTGTTATTGTAAGCTAGTGTGCAGAAGTCTGTGTAGAAGTTCGTGGAGATGATTGAGATGCTTTGCGTGGGTGAAACATAAAAGTGAAGGTGTTTGTGGGAGCTCAATTATGTGGATTTGAAGCTTCAGAGTGAAGGGTGATACAGAGAGTGAAGAGTATGGGAACTGAAAGTGAAGTCTGATTGAGCCACTTCTTAGAAGAACAGTGTTTGAATGATAGAGCAAGGCTTGAAGCGCAGAATAGAGAGGGGTAAATCAAGATGGATGTCACTTACTTGCCTGTGGTTGTGGGTTGTAGTGGTTGTAGTCGTGGTAGTTGTGGTTGTGGTTGTGGTTGTGGTTGTAATTGTAGTTGTAGTCGTAGTTGTGGTTCTTGTAGTTGAGGCGGCTAATACAGGCAGGCTAGATCTAAGTGAATAGTGCGTTGTAGCTCTCGAAGTTGAGAAGATCTGTTGTCAGTTGCCTGTGATTGCAGTTTTGGCTCTGGCTGAGGTTGTGGTTGCGGGAGGTGTAGAGTTTAGGAAGCTCTGATCTGTAGGAGTAGTTCTTGTAGCTGTCAAAAGAGAGGAGAAGTGCAAGTAGTCTAGTCCTCGTGGATAGTTGCTTCTAGCCTCGAAGTTGAGAAGATATGTCAGTTGCCTATGATTGTGGTTTTGGCTATGGCCGTGATTGTGGTTGCGGGAGGTGGTAGTGTTATGGAGCTCTGATCTGAGGTGGTAAAGTGTAGGAAGCTCTGATCTGTAGGAGTAGTTCTTGTAGCTATCAAAACAGAGGAGAAGTGCAAGTAGTCTAGACCTCTTGAATGGTTGCTTGTAGCTATCGAAGCGAAGAAGATGTAATGGGACTAATAGTCTCTCAAGTGGATAGAGGATCGTGGTACCGTTTAAGTAAGGATGATATTGCAAATAATCTTCGTCTGATATATGCCAGCAAAGGTGAAGTGTCTGGTCAACACTACCCCATTAACATATATCAAGAATTTGGTGTGTAAATGACAGTCCTGACGAGATATCCGCTACCTCTGAGGAGTATATATGTGGTAGTAGCCACGGCTTTGAACGAGTTTATTGTCAATATTGTCTTCCAGATCACAGCTTTTAAATTTCCCCAGCACCATCTTGGCAATCTTCTTGGTGCTCGAGAGCAAATGCATCGTCCTCCTCAAGATGTCCTTCTCTTTCCGACTGGCCTGGAGTGAGCTAACACTCGGCCTGGATGCCAGCCTTTTAGGTTCCAATAGCACTAGCTTCCTGGGAACCCTTGGTCAATAAGGAATGATGTAGGCTTGGTGTATCATTTTGGCGAGGAGTGTCCCGCCCCCCTATTTCCTCCCTTCAGCAAAATGATATCAGAATCTGCTCGACAGCTGGCCGTATCAGATTACTTTAAGATGCTCTCCCCTCGCGACAGGTATCAATCTTCTAGGTTATCGCATCGGAATGTCACGAGCATTCTAGGGTCACCTCACGGAGTTAAATGGGTGATGGGGCCCTGGAAGGATCGCCGTAGTCGTCGCGGCGATATCTGCGATGGGTCTGGAAATTATATTGAAACATTAGAAAGGGCAGTCACCTATTATCATCAGCCAATGTAGAGAGCTCTTTAGGGTCTATTCTACTTCTCATCAATGTACACGCTGACTGGGCGTGACCCTGTTTTTGTGTTCATTTTGAATCTCGTTACAATAACCGCTTATTGAGCCATTTCCTGTCACGTACTGCCGAGGAACCCGTACATACAGTTTCGAAGGAATATTGGTATAACCAGCGACTTTTTAACGCCATTCATTGTATTCATTTCCTGAGTATCACTATGAGCCCACCCTGTATGACTACCTTGATCCATCCGCAACAAATTATGATATCGAAAGCTCAGCTAAGAAGCACCAAAATAACAGAATCTCCTCTCAAGAACCTATAGGTAACTGTTAGCGGCCGTCTTGGAATGCGCTGCATTGTTCGGTAGAGTGGAGGTCCAAGAACTCAGAATGGAAAATAGGAAAGCAGGAGTTTCGCTTACATCTTGCTGATAAAACGATCCTTATTGACCGGTCTACCCTTCTTCCCTGAGCTCGTCCTTGGTGTCTCTGTCCACATCTCCTTCACATTCTCCAACACCATATTGCAATGCCTATCGAATGCTTTGACGCGTGCAAGCAGCTTTCTGTTGTTTCGGCATGAAATGAGGACCTGTGTGTGGGATCGTACGGCGGTCTGAAGGATGGACAGAGGGCCAGAGGTAAACTCATGCTCTTCGAGCTGGGCGATCTCGAACTCGCTTTTCCAAGGTCAGCATATAAATTTCGTAGCGGTGGGGAACGCGATATGACGTACGTGAGCTCGTTGCGCGGCTTTGCCAGGAGTTCGCTATAATATATTAGCTTTGATACTGGTAATTTTTGGTTCCCGAACATACGTGATCTTTGCGTCCGCCATGATGTGGTTATTTTGGACGATGGTATTTGCTTGGATGCATCGTGAAGCTGTCGTTAGAAAGATATCGCGATATAACCTAAACGGGAATGGTGCATTCATTTAGCCCGAAAATCAAACCCGAGGTCAATGGAAATTCGCGGTAACTCGTACCCCGAGTTTTATGATGTAGCGAGTTGTTACTCCGCATTCTTTTAATACCCATCCATTTTCTTTGCCATTTTCTTTGGCATCTTCTTTTCTCAATGTTCACGAGGTCATTCTGCAGTAGAGCTGGAACGGCGGTGCGCTGTAGCTCAAGTCGTGCAGCGATGCCTTTAAGAGCAAAGGTCACAAACCCTGCTTTTGCGGGCAAGGCACAGGTATGGAAGCTGTTGAAGGGTTTGAGGATCTGTATTAATCAGAGAACTTCAGATGGCTACAGCCTCCGGCCAAGAATCATCATCGAAACCGAAGTCAAAGGAAGAAGTGCAAATCATCAAGGAGCTGCCAGGGGACGACAAGGAAGATGTGCTCTTTGATACCTTATTCGGCCTCCGAACGATCGAACTCAATCGGCCGAAGAAGCTGCACTCCCTAAATGGCTCCATGGTTCGGAAGATTGTCCCCAGATTACAAGAATGGGCAAAGTCAGATATGGCGAATGTGATTGTCATCAAAGGCGCAGGTCCAAAGGCATTTTGCGCCGGTGGAGACGTCACAGCTCTCGCCGAGGACAATAAGGCAAATGGAGAAGCGGGCCAACAAAGGTCGGCCGACTATTTCGCACTCGAATACAAGCTCGATCATCTAATTGCAACATATTCGAAACCTTATGTCGCATTTATGGATGGTATCACAATGGGCGGAGGAGTTGGATTGAGTATACACGCCCCATTTCGAATAGCTACAGAGAGGACCCTTTTTGCCATGCCGGAAACAACGATCGGATTTTTCCCAGATGTTGGAGCTTCGTTCTTTTTACCTCGGATGCCCGGAGCTGTTGGCACATATCTCGCTTTGACGAGTGAGAAACTGAAGGGGGTCAACGTATTTTATGCTGGTGTTGCAACACACTACATTCACTCGACTTCCTTGCCTGCCCTTGAACGCCGCCTGGCTGAACTCAGATTCAGAGACTATCTATCGCTTGATGAACGGTTGAATCTCATCGATTCCACTATTGAAGAATTCTGTACTGGGTTACCATATGATGAACCCATGCTTATCAGTGGCGAACTGCGGAATGCTATTGATCGCTGTTTTAGCAAGAACAGCGTTCCTGAGATAATTGCCGCATTGGAAGCCGAGGAAGGCGAAACGAAAGAATGGGCAGAAAACACCCTTGCCACATTGCACAAACGATCCCCTACGAGTGTTTATGTGACGCTCCGGCAAATGCGCCTGGGTCGAAATTGGTCAATTGCAGAAACATTTCAACGGGAGCACCAGATCGCGGCCAAGTTCATGCGCCATCCTGATTTCACCGAGGGAGTACATGCCCTGCTGATTCGGAAAGATGGGAAACCCCAATGGCAGCCTGCTTCACTCGAAGCCGTCAAGCCGGGGGATAACATCGCGGATCCATTTTTCAAGGTCGAGGGATCACAGCGGCTACGCTTGTTGAACAACGAAGACTTCCGTGAGTATCCTTCCAGACGGTTTGGCATGCCACAGGAGGATGACGTCCGAAGGCTTATAAGCCAAGGACCATGGAGCCAGAAGGGAGTAGTGGACTACTTTGTGAGGCAGAGACATGGGAAGCAAGGAGTGAAGGAAGTGGTTCAGGAGATCGTGAAGAGAAAAACAAAGAAAGAAGCTGGACACCTTCTCTGGATTGAAGGCCCTACTCCAGAGTTGTAGATGAAGCGGATTCGAGACACGGTGAATCATCTTGGGTTGTAAGATATGTTTACATAAGACCGAAACTCGATGTCGGATAATACAGCGAGTAGGTTGATTACGCACGGAGTATAGTCGCATGGGAAATCCGTCAAATCATTGTATAGGAAGTAAAAGGAGTGAACCATCATGTGATTCGGGTGTCCTCCTGTATCAGCCTAAAGGTTGCTGAGTCATGTGAAACGCGGGATATTTCTGCGCGCGGTAGGTAAAACATATAAAAGGGAAGCCGTGCCCCGCCCTTTTAAATACCTATTTTTCCTGGATGTCATTTTTCTTCAAGTTGGTGTGCTGGCTTTGATCTCTCACTTGCTAAGGCAGAGGTTCATATTGGTGCCTGAGGGATCACAATTTAAGCGACCGCCCGCCCTGAAAACATCGTTGCCCTTGGTTGCAGATAGAGGCCTTACCGCTTCCCTTTATTCCTGAGGCAGAAAGGATTATCCTCGCTTAAACTGTGCTAAACTCAAAGAGCACTAGTCGCCGCCAGCTCTAGCCTCTGGGTGCCCTGTTCAAAGCATTGGATACCATCGCGAGTACCTTACCTTACTACCTCGCCGATGTTCGAGCTCCGGAACGTACTTCTACAGGTGCATATGAAATTATACATACAGGAACTTCAGTCCGGACCGCGAATTATTTAAACCCTCTTTCTCCCCTACATACGAGCTCGAGTCTGGAAATACTTCTTCTTTCGTTTTCTTACTCGTTAACTTTAGACTTCAGCTCGCGATTCACGACCGTTCAACGTACGCGTCGCGAGGGACGCGCGAGAAATACTAGCCACCACAATTCCTTCGATCCGACTCATGACACTTATACCTCACTCAATGACTCCTCTATCACTTCTATAACAAGTGTCCACGGGGTCTGCTGAGCGATTGAGGTCTTTCAAACCAGGTGTTGCGGCCCGGAAACGCTCGCGATGTCGTCTCAGGGCGTTGGACAATCGCCCCATCCACAATCGCAAGAACCTCCGGCGAAGGCCAACGATGGCAGCGACGAGGATGGGGTCTCAATTAGACCAATGAGGCGTATGTCATGGGAATGAAAGCTTAAATTGGGGACCACTACTGACCGCGTTTTGCTTTGCAGTCAAAGTTCTCTACACCTTCGACGATCAAAACAAGACCAATTGTCTGGCTCGGGGACAGGATGTTCTTCAGATAAAAACTGTCGCCTTGGACGAAACCACGACTATAGGTATAATTGAATTGAAGACTTGTATCGAAGCTGTCGTTCAGTGCAGTCCCGAGATTGTCGCAAGACTTGGCCAGGAAGATTATACCGTCTATGCGTACGATTACTCTGAATACGATACCCCTCTCGTAGGACAGGGCATGCTTTCACGGACTCTGGCGGCTTCTTCTCTGACTCAGGACGCTACCGCTCATCAATTTCAAAAGCTCATTACGGGGCGCGTCTGCAAAAACGTCCTTGGGATTTTCAATAATGGCGTTAAGGAAACATTGGAGGTCAAGTTGCGGCTGCTGCCTGTTCCAGTGGTAATGCAGGGCGAATACCTTAATGCGATAGAAAAGTATAGAGAGTTGAACAAGCCAACTCCAATAGGCTTCGATCCTAATGAATGGGCATCATTGATGGCTGGAAAAATTGGAGGCCCTATTCCCAATGCTTCCAATCAGCGAGGCGGCATGAACATGGAGGTGGTCAATCAACTTCTCAGCCCTCAGTTGCAACAGCAGCAACAAATTTCTATAGACCAATTCGGCCAAGCCACAAATGCTGAGAATTCCGGAAACGAAAGCCACGAAGGAACAACGAAAAACGGCAGAGCGAAGACATCCCGCCCGTCCTCAAGGGCTTCTGTCAAGAGATCGAGACCAAAGGGGCGCCAACAGAAGACTGCTGCAGCAAGTGGAAACACGTCTGGATATGAAGAAGGCACAGATGGAGATGACAGCGTAGCGCCAAGGAAGAGGGCGAAGATCACCAAGGCGGACTGGAATAGCAAATCCTCGTTTGGCCCTTCAACAGACTCACTTCGAGTCGCTGCGAGCACTGCAGGCTCTCTGCGGGTTTTTCGGCCTATAGCCATGAGCCCGGCACCTAACGCGGTGACAGATTTGCAGGAAGCCCCACGCGCTCCAACACCAGTGCCCAACTCGTCCAAGCAACACCTGGCTCGGGGTCGTGCGCCCTCCAAGAGTGGCCTTCGCCGAGAGTCATTTACATTTCAGAATGAGCAACCCCGACAACACGTCTCTCCATACCCTCCTCTCGAGCCTGTTGTAGGAACAGAGGACCAAGTCAGGTACTCGATTGAATCAGCAGGCCCGTCCCCGGAGCGTAACGTCAGTCCCGGCGAGACACCTCCAGATATTGGCTCGTCTCCACCAGTGATGAGGACCTGTTCACCCATGAGGTCTAGTCCACCTTGCCCCTCCAGTCCTATTTTGCCTCAAATGCCCAGAACCGATTCGGGATTTATGAGTGGTTCCATCGACGAACTTTTCGGGGAAGATGATGCGACGATGCGTCCTGTCGAGGATGAAGATGTTGAGGTAGCTGCTAAACATAAGCGGCGCCGTACTCCTCGACCTCCACCCGGGAAGATCCACCATGGATTTGTTATCGAAGAAGAGATACCTGGTCCTATGGAGCTGTTGCCCACCAGAGTACCCCCCTTTAGGCAACTCAAGCCCAAGCCTGCGCCCAAGGCACCAAAATCTCGGACAGGCAGTGTAATGTCTGAAGATGGACAGCAAAGCCTTCCTCCTCTGAAGTCCGACAGCCTGCCACCATCTCGTCGCCGGACACCAAGCCGCCCAGATTCCGACCTCGCGGTGGCACAATCTAAGGAAGGCTCTCAACCGTCTTTGCCTGAACCTCAACAAGCAGTTGCCCATTATCCGGGTCTTCCACCCTCAACTCAATCTACCCAACCTCCACCTCCTGCGGCGCAGCCCCAGTCTCGTCCTGGATCCAGAATGATGGTGCGGACTGCATCAATGGGCTCGCTTACTCTCCCTACTGTTCCTGCAAGCGATCCTGTCCTACCATCATCAGGCCTTCAGCGATCCCAGACATCCTCTGAGGCCCCTCACCCAGTGACCGAGGCTCCTATGCCCACACAAGTGGATATCCCTGTGCAGGCGCCAACTCTTATGTCAATGCCCAATGAGCACAATAATGTACCTTACAGTCGTACGGTAAACGCCAAGAAGGTCGCAATCAGACAAAAACTAGAGCAAGCAATTGCTAATGGTGAGATGCCTCCATTCTGCAGCAACTGTGGGGCCATAGAAACCCCGACATGGCGTAAAGCATGGTCGCAGGAGCATCAGGGAGCCCCGGGATATTACGAATATTCCGATGAGCCTGGCCGGGTCACTGCCATTGTCATACGAGGACGTGATAGTGATGGGAGCCCCACTTCCTATCAACTCATCAAGAAATTCCTGGGTCCCAACGAATCTCAAAGTGATTGGAACGAATTTCTACTCTGCAATCGTGAGTTGTTCCTATAAATTTTCATGTAGCGATCATACTGACATTATTAGCGTGCGGCATTTGGATGTCGAAATATAAAAGTCAACGGCCGGAAGAAAAGTGGGAAAGCAATAAGAACAAGGCGGACAGGAATGGAGAGAAGAAGCGTCCTTCCTACCGTCAACCAAGGTCGAAGAAGTCGAACGGCGGCAATGCTCATCCTACCTCTGAAGGAAATTTCCCTCCATCAGATGCCTACTTCCCTCCTTCAGAAGTCTGTTATCCTATCTCTGAGATTCCTGGACAGGGCGTGTCAACTCCTGAAACGACCGACGCAACGCAGCAGCACGATCTCCAGATCCAAAGAGTTGAAATCCCCCCCAACCGCCAACGATCTACCAGTGCTCGTCCGATGAAACGATTACATGCAATGACATCGGACGCTGCTCCCGCAGCACTGAGGCAGGCTATTCAATCAAGTCCGGCAAGATGGGCAGGAACTCGTCACAGCCCTATCGAGGTTGACGAGGAGCTTGGATCTACTAGACGTCTCTTGTTTCCCTCGCCGAGGAAAGACGGATCACCGAAAATCTTGGGGGAGGTAGCAAGTAATACTACTACAGACCATTGCTCGCCCAAAGAAACCGGCGGCAAAGAGAATTGTCCGCCTGCGTTGGATGAAGACGCCGATCCCGAGATTCTCAAGCTCTTCGAGGAAGAAATAACTCGGCCAACGACACCAGTTCAGAAATCGGTAGCGCCAAATCCGTTCAAGACACCGACTCGACCAACCCCAAATCATAGGCCGATTACTCGGAGCGTGTCGAGGTCTATGCGGTCTGAAAAATCGCCCAATCAACTACTTTTGTTGTCTCAGCAGACACCGTCACGAACACCTACCAGTGCGCGTCGTCGATCGCCTCGTAACCATCAAATTGCCTTCGAGTCACCGTTCACCGCCACCCTCAACCAGCTAATGTCCGAGGCCAACAATCACACATCGCCCCCACGTCATTGTAGTTTCGAACTAGATTTCGGAAACCTTCCTGATTTGCCTCTTCTAGGCGACCCTAATCAACAGGGCGACCAAGGACAGGTAAATTTCAGTCTTGAGGACTTCTTCTCGACTGGTGTGCCAATGCCGAGCTCGCCGTCGAAAGTGTTCCATCTTTATGAGGATCCAATGACGATGGCGAATGTGGATTGGAGTGAGTTTAACAATTTTGATGCTAATATGCTGGAGAAAGGAAGCAAGGATAATGAGGGTGATAAAAAAATCGAGGATAAGAAGGAGCACGGGTCTGGGGAGGAGCCCGGAGAGCCAACACAGCCGAAGGAAAGCTCCGAGGAGCAACAGCACAGCTGATGAATTATGAAAGTGTTTTACGACTGTCAATTACATAGCGTGGTGTTATGGATTTGTCTGGATACCATGGTTGGGCATAAGCACATGGAGTATTGATTAGCATATTTTAGGTGGAAATCAGAGCATTGCACAGCAAAGCTTATAATTGAGTGCCAATGAGCAGTCAAAAAAAATTCATAGCTAGTAATCTTTGGACTTCGTGATAAGACCTGGTGAGACTTTGCAGTCGCGATATCATTCCCATTGTATCCGGTCAAGAGCATTCCCAATTCCTTGATCATAACAGTCACCTATCCCACCCATATCATTCAAATGCCAATACCAGCGACAAACTAACATAATACAATCATTTCTAATTCTCCCAGAATGCTGAGAGCCCAGTCCTTATCCCATTCTCGCGGCATTCTCTTATCACTCCGTGTAAAAGATCTCCTTGTACCGATGCGTCGCATCCACAACCGCATTCACCGCCGCATAATCTATGCCACGCATCAGCCGCCGCCAACCATCATCCCCTTCACTTCGCATGTCGATAGAATAACAGAACAGAAAACAGAATTTTGGAGCAGGGCAGGAGGGGGAGGAGGGGGAGGACGCACCGAGATTAGTACCCATATCCGTCGCCATCAACACCTTGACCGTCAGATCCTGGTTCACCTTCCCAACGATCTCGACTGCGTTTCCGGGCTTGAGATGAGAATCCTATTCCTCGCGCGCGCGCGGGCGGTGGTTAGCTGAGCAACGTCGCGGCTGGGTAAGATGGGGGGTAAAAACCCGATTCAGTAGCACGGTAACGACGCCTTCAGAGTCTATAAGTGCGGTGTCGCCGCGCGTCTGGGTCACTTTCCCAGTGATGATCACGGTCTTGCCGGTGAAGGCATCGAGGTATTGGGAGGTGATGCGCGGGGTGGAGATTTGTTCTGCCATTTTTTACGCCCCTGTCTCTTCTTTCTTCCTTACGGAAAAGGATTGCTTGCGATAGGATGAGGGATTGGGACGAGGGGATGTTGATGCGGATCTGGAGACGCGTTTGGATATGTTGAGGCTTGATCTGGTCTGGATGAGCGCGCGTGTCGTTGAAAATCAGGGTTAAGGGAGACGCGATTTCTCCGCATCGCGAAGGCACGTGTTGTTCGGATGGCGGTTAGTGACGCTTCTGCAACTCTGCCGTAGGTAGGGGCCTGGTGCCCGTCGTAAAGTCGCGTTTTCTTCGGAATTTTTTAACTTTTTTATGATGATTCTTTCTTTTCTCAATAGGTTATAGTATTATGCATCATTGGTATGCGGGTAGGCTTTAAGGTTTAAGTCAACCCCATATCTGGTTTGAAACCCATCCATTCAAATGCAGAATGATATCACGTGAAATTACCTCTAAGGCAGGGGAAACGTAAGGTACTTTGTACCTGTACTTAGGTACTTAGGTACTTACTTTAGACCCTTTACCCCGGTAACCCCTCTCAAACCCCCTGTTGGTGTTGATCATATCGTATCCCGACCAACCTCTCATCTTTCCAGAAGATCTACGGTAGGCCATGATCAAATTGATCAAATTGATCAGATCTCAAGAGTCCTCTGGAATCTTGACCCTCTCTGTGGTGTAGTCTAATGTACCTACCTGCCTTTCAAAGCCCAAGTAATATTATTCAATTGACGCTTGGAGTCGAGGGCTATCTGTTTTGATGAATGCGTTGGACAGGGAGGTAAGTAGTGAGTACCTATAAGCCAAAATGCATATCCCTTAAACCGGAGAAGGTAACCAGCTGGTTTTTGAGCGAACCACAAATAACCCTACCAGTACAGTAGTTCTGTAACAGTACTAAGGCCATTCAAAGCTCCAAGTTTAACCGCTGAATACAGGGCGCATCCACATCGAACTCTCATATTATTTGCCACAAAAGACAATGAACCAGTTCATGCTATGATGCCATGGCTTCGACGCGCGACCAGAGGATTGGCTAGCAATGCTACATGGGAACTCCCATTCCTCCATAGCCGCCGATCCTGGGGTTCGCTGCCAGGTACATGTACATACTGGAGGCTAAAGTATAACGCTGACGGACCCGGGAAATTCCCCGTAGCCAATGGCATGCAATAAATGCCATGAGACAGACGGAGAAACAGCTCCTGCACGAAGGATTGCGATTGTGGAGCCTTGAGGGTAAGAGTGGATAGCCCGATAAGAAATCTGATTGTTTGGTCGTATATGGTTCCCTTCGTATAGTGGAGCGGGCCGGACAGCACTGGAGCTTCAGTATTCAGGATTCAGGGAATTTTGTATACAGAGAGAGGGATGGAGAATACTCCGTAGCGTGGTGAGAAGGGCCAACTCAAGAGTCTAGAGTTCCCCAACAACACTTAACAGAGAGAAGGCCGATGCCATGCGACGTCGTCGGTGTCAATGTTGTCGATCTCGCCCGTAGGCTTGATAAGCTGATTGGAAACTTGGCAGGTTTGCTCTGTAAAGGACGGAGGGAACTCCGCCAGTCCGGTCTGGCACCGACATACCTTGGAATATCTAACTTACTCATATATGACGTTGGGCGGAGACATCTCCGAGCTCTCATCTCAACAGCAACAAACACGAGCAGAACCAGCTGCGTGCCATTGGCGTATCTTCTTGTCGATCAATAAAGGCACTCCATGAGATACACAGAGATATCAGGATGAAAAAGGGAAACGAGCAAAATGGAAAGTGGGATAGAGAAAAGGATGAAAGTAAACATAGATAAATAAAATCAAAATCTTGAAAGTAACCTAGGGGGGGACCCTCTCTTCCCTCTGATTGGCCAGCCCTCGCCGCATGGGAATTCGCAAAATGCCATCCCCGCGCAACGATGGAGAAGTTTGGACTCTATCGGGAAATCAGGAAAACAGGACATCAGACCAAAGAAAGGGGAAACGCCACGCACGATGAGGAATAAGCCGCATTTTGTGTGGAACTGCCCTCCACCACCAACCCATGCCGTCCTTTGCCCGGATCAAGAAAGGTACAGACAGAACAGTGGATTTATAAGAATCGTTGCAGGGGGATGAATGGGTGATCGGGAACGTAGGGGAACCGGATCAAGCACAACGCGGTCGAATAAGCTTCCCATATCATATCTCCAGAGGGCGCTTGCTCCATAAGCATTGGATCAGGGTTGCTTCACCGGGTTGATAGCCAGAATAGAGACGGTTGACCATGCAACGTCCGGGCCATCCTGGTGCTCCCTTCGGTGGATACCCAGACACACCTATGCGCTCTCATCTGCTCGACTCCCCCAGGCGTGGTGTGCGTCATTGTTGACCCCACTCGACGAGGCAATCGAGAGGGGCATGTTGGAGTGATGTTCAGTCGCATACATATACACATATATATCTATGCACATACAAGTCTCCACATGCATTTCTCTTCGAAAACAGGAGCAAGGAACCCAATTGAGAGTATGTGAAACAGATAGCGGTAGCAGCTCGAACTTCCGCCCTTTCCTTCCTACCTAAGCTCCTGCCGAAGGAACATCCAACAACGTTCGGCATTCAACATTCAACGCCAACCACCAGCTTCCCCAACTTCTATGATACTCAGCCAGAACTTTACGACCCTGAAGCACCGATCTTAATCACTCGGTGGTCCTTATTCAATCTTCCTTCCCGTCGACTGCGTTAGTATACTCGTCATCTCAGGTGGAAACCAGCAACGAGGACAACAGTCCTTCGAGAGCTCCTTGTGAGAGAACCCCAGAACAGGGCAATTGGAACATAAACTGACATTCGTGCTCTATCAGGATTTGGTTTGAGTGTCCAAGCCCTGCCATAGCACCACGAATAATATCAAAATATTTACTTAGCCTCCTTTCCACCCCAACGATCACCTGGACGGCTCCTCGAATATATGAAGACTTATCACCTATGGGAAACAAACCTTCCCTAGGCCGTCCTGGACCAGTCTTGCCTTAAAGCCCCAGGTTCATGCGCAAGAGCAAAATCATTCTGCACGAAATCAGCATCAGCAAAAGTTCTTTCCACACAAATTCATCCCGAACTAGCGAAACCCCGGGGAACCTGTACGCTTGCATCACATATCCATCGTTGTGTCCTTAACTCGACAATATGGAGGTTGACAATATCCGCAACGGCGGAAACTACTTCGGCGATATGATGCCTTTCAACAATAGTGCCAAACACTGCTTTGACGGCTTTGACACCGAAATAGCCATTGCAAACGAATTTCCGGACCAACCTCATCTCCTTACTTCCAATGGAGATCAAGATGTGTTTCTCGACGACTTCCAGAACAGTGGCTTTATCACGGGTTCTTTCGAGACGGGGTTCAAACCAAATACGGTCTCCCCACAAGCCATCTGGAGCGAGGAACATCTGCAGCAAATATTCTCTCAAGCGAACAGCTTTGGATTTCCACAGCAGCTAGTGCAACAGGGGGAACCGCTTCCGAAGCATCCAACCGATAATATTCTCGAATGCCCAAAACCGAAGCATGATACCAAAGGCCAAGGCGAAGAGCCGCCTGCCCCTCCTAAATTGAAGAGGGGCAGAAAAAAGGGGAAGAAGAAGGAACTTAGCGAGGAAGAAAGCATGATCAAGCGGGACAAGCTTCTTGAGCGTAATCGCCAAGCTGCTAGTAAGTGCAGGCTCAAGAAAAAAGGATTGACGCAAAAGTTGGAGGCCAGGGCGGAGGAGCTATCGCTTGAACAGCAGTCATTGCTACTTGAATTCCAGGAGGTCAAGGAAGAAACATTGAAACTCCACCGAGACCTCATAGAGCATGCCAACTGTAAAAACCCCATAATCGAGGAGTTTTTGAAGGTACAAGCAGCTATCGCTGCAAATCCTCCAGAGCAGCCGCAGTATACTATGATGAGAACAGCTACTCAAGAGAGCGAGATAATTTTGGGAGGCATGAGCCCTGATGTGCGCATGCCGTTAACCCAGCCGAGTAGGAGAAGCGGGTCATCTACTTTCGCCTACCATCCACACTCCCTACCTTCTCTTGACACTGGGGACCTTTCGTTAGAACTTCCCGATGGAACTCTCCACGAAGAGAGAAATCAAAATTCCGGTGTACTGCAGGAAGGTTCGATCAGCATGTCGCGACAAGGATCAGGCGCAAGTGCGGGAAGTGTCGGAGACTCTGGAATTAGCAATATGGGTACACCAGTCAAGTTGAAGTTCGATCCAGCTCAATTTGACGAAGGATTTTCAAACAACATGCCGCTGCACGTTGCTGTGATCTGAAAATTGCTTGATCTCGATGACCTAGGGAATGAGGGAGGGAAGCGATGGCGTCTCGTCTGAGGGCTTGCATCATCCGGGTCCCATCATCACTTGAGACATTTGCGGCGGCGTAAAATCGGATTCATTCTCTGGCAAGTATGAGTAGAGGATGGGGCTGGTGTTCTGGTGCAAAATGACTGCAAGGAGTAGTACGAGTGTGCGTTCCTTCGTTATTGGTGTCTAAGGCATGGGACTTAAAGCTTGAAAAGGAGGGCTTGGAGTAAGGATTAGCCAGGGGTAAAGGCAAATTCGGCGCCTCTCAAAAGAACATGGGTCTGTCATTACCATAGGCGTATAAAGGTGAGAATCTGGCATCTGAACTAATAGCTCGGATCAGGAGATCTCGTCAATAGCAAATATGGCTCTTTCCATTGTATAATACTATTGATACAAAGTGTTAGCAATGAATCTCTCGACGGTTCTATAGTGTGATCTGTTAATTCATGAGCCATCAGCCGTAGGGCATAATCTTGAGGCGGTGAACGGCATGGGTACGGTGTCAATATGTGCGTGACAAATTCCTGATGTCAAGGCACAGATTGCGAATTTGGCCGTTGCGTTTTTACCTAACATGAAGAGGAAAGAAAACATCGATGGTTGAGGTAATCCAAGGTGTGAGGTAATGGTACATATGAGCGGGCCACTTCGGGAGAGGCTCGAATAGGCAAACTTAGGGCCCAGTAGACGGAACGGGGGAGGAGAACTAAGTTGGCAACTCAACGAGTGGTGCTTCTTGAGTTGGAATGCAGTCTCTCCTTTAGCTCGACGGATAAGGTATTCCTTCGCTTGAAGAAAAGGGTTTTGGGGATGGGTTTATCAATCTCCATTGAGCCCCTGCGGGAGGGAAATAAAAATGGATAATAAATAGGGGAAAGCACCTACATCGTAGTAGAGAGGTGGACAGGGACTCGGGACATGGGATTTGTGTACTGTAACATGGATGCTTGACATGGCTTGAAGTTGTCATGACGTCGAGGGATCATCGAGGCAGTAGGGATGTCGTGGCATGTCAGTTTTTGAGGCTCGGCGTCGGTGACAGCGAGCAGGCCGATCACGTGGAGAGAGGTCGTAAAGATGAGGGCGACATGTTCTGATTGCCTTAGGTATAAGTTGGAGGGAAAGGCACTGATGAGAATGTGGAGTGCACGCGGCCTACCTAGCCTGGGATCAAGACCTGAGGAGAGCGAGGTACAGAGATTGGACACGTCAAATCCTAGGTTGTCTCACGCAGAAACTTCCAAGGAATGAATAATCGCAGTCGCTGTATTACATCAGTAATGTTACAATTGATACAGATAGACCTGAATCTATACACCACATCGAACCAAGATACGATACCTATACCGCGCTTCTAACCTTGGCCACTAAATCGCTCTGGTGCTCTGCCAATATCTCATCCAACGCCCTCTTCTCAATCACCACCCTCCCCAATTCAAGCAAGTCCTTGACATCAACATCTCTCACCATCTGAATCCTGCCATCTTCGCCCGCATGCCTCACTGCACGGAACAGGTTCTTTCGGAAGCTCCCCGTGATGATCAAGGACCGCCCGTAATCCTTCCCCCAGTGGTTGTGAGCAAAGATCTGCTTCGCGTACCGGGTCTTAGGATACTCGATATCCATCCCATCCTCGCAGATAATCAACTCCCCTTTCCTGTACCTGTAGCTGAGCGCCGTCCTCCACGCCAGATCGTACATCTTTCTCGGCAGATCCGTAGAGAAATCCCGCGGGTGCGGTCCAAAGGATTTACCACCTCCCTTGAGCATGGGTGACTGCCTCGTGCCTAGACGTGCTCTACCACCTCCCTTCTGTGGTCGGATTTTGCGGTGGGAGCCGTGCACTTCCCATCGCGTCTTTGAGCTGGCTGTACCTTGGCGGGTGGCATCACCCTCGAAGACAACGGCGCGGTGAAGGATGTCCCGGCGGAGAGGGAGATGGAGATGTTTGCTGTCGTAGGATTCGAAGCGCAGTGGTTCCATGGTAGGGAATTTGTAGATGGTTGTGAGCACGCTGGATGTCACTGGAGAGGGTTAGATTTGAGCGCTCTGACTTTGGTAGGAGAAAGAATACCTGGCAGGTCGGTAGCATAGCTGGGGATATCATAGATGAGGTTGTTGGAAGTCCCTGAAGCTGGCTCTGACGGCAATGGTGCCTCTGTTGCCATTGACCTCGTAAGTCGGGGTGCAAGACATCGCTGCATCTGATCAGTACGAGAAAAGCAGAAATGGCAGGCTCAAGAACTAACCGTCAGCGGATCCCTTGAGCTACTTGAGATAAATGAGCTCAGGGAATTCAAGCTTCTCGAGAAGCTCTGGAACCCCTTTGCCGCCATCGTCGTTGTATGAGGGCGATTTTGAAGACCGTTGTCGTTGTTCAAGGAGGTGATCCGAGCTAGCCAAAAAATTTCGGCTTGTCCCGTTGGAGTCGAAGTTCGGTGCTTCGACAAAATTATTGCAGTCGAAGTCGACGACAACCATCACAACGCAATAATGCCTACATGTCAGAAGGCCGCGAGGCCACTGGTAAGGTCTCTGCGGGATGCTCAATCATCATGCCAGTCGGTGAGGGCGATTCGCGCCTTCACCAGCTCCGCCCGATCGAACAATGAGGCTGCTGTCGAAAGCACCCGTCCTACCCCCGTCTTCGATCCAGCCACAGTCACATCGATAAAAGGAGAGAAAGCTCTGATGAAGAGTGGTATCTTCCCAATTGGATCGAGACGTCGTCGTGCTGCCCTGAAAAGTTCGGACAACATCCCGTTCGAACAATTACCATACCAATGCTTCCAAGAGGCTCGCAAAGTGCTTCAGGCGGATAGGGAGGAGAAGCTGCAGGCCATCCAGAAAGAGAGGCTGCGGATATCGAACCTTATGGCCCAGGATCCCTCAAATATCAGTGGAGGGGAAAAGCAGAAGCAGATTAGGCTAGAGAGTATGAGGAGGCATTTAGAATATCTGAAAATCCAAGCAGATATCAATGATCCTTTGATCAAGAAGCGGTTCGAAGATGGCGAAGGTTTGTGTCATGATGCTACTAAATTTTGTACTATGTGCTAATGCATTCACAGGAGATATGAACAAACCCATCTACCGCTATCTGGCCGACAGAAAGTGGCGGAAGTACCAACGACTTGTCATTGTCCAGCGTATAAACCAGCTCGGCATTGTTCCAGATTGTCTGCCACATTTCGAACCCACCGCCGACGTGCGTCTGGCTTTCAGAAAGCGCAGTGTCCTACCTGGCGAATTCGTTGATTCGCGTGTCAGCGAGGTCCCCGCTCGATTGAAGGTCCAGGTATTCGACAAAGGGGAGCGACTTGTTAGTGTTGTCGTTATCGACTCCGATGTTCCTGTCGTTGAGAGGGATAACTTTACATCTCGATGCCATTATCTGGCAACCAACATTCCCCTCTCTCCCACACAGACATCCCTGCCTCTATCCCAAGCCACGGAAACACAGCTGGTGCACCCATGGATGCCCCCATTCGCCCAAAAGGGATCCCCATACCACCGATACTCCGTCTTTGTGTTGCAGCAAGAGCCAGGCAAGACTCTTGACCCTGCAGAACTCAGGGAGAAAATCCAACGTGATGGATTCAGCCTGCGGAGCTTTGTTGACAAGTACCACGTGAAACCAATCGGCGTTAGCATCTTCAGGAGCTTGTGGGACGAGGGAACTGCTGGTGTTATGCACAGAGCCGGAATTGAAGGTGCAGATATCGAGTTCAAGAGAAAGAAGATCGAGCCTCTCAAGCCTAAGCAGAAGGCCAGAGGTTGGGAGGCAAGACATTCGGGCCCCAAGTATTCTTGGCTCAGAAGGTAATGAGATGGTGTATGAAAGTATGTCAATTGTATCATATATGTACTATTCGTTCCAGAGCGGGTGCTTGTTAGATTTGATATTTCACTCGAGAAAGACTCCTCCAAGAAAATATGAAACTGGATATATTTATGTTGTAACGGAACAAAAAGTTCGTGCAATGTCCATGAAGTTAGAGTCGTCAAGCCATCACGAAGTCTCATACCATCTCATAATCCGGCTCCGAGGATTTTACACCCGCAAGACCAAGGAACAATTCGCTCAAACCCCACGCTCCAGGATCGGGGACCTGCTCAAAGCCAGATCCACCAATATAGACAGTCCTACCCAAACTGGCTTTCATGCCCTTTGTGCCCTCAGCCCCTTTTTTGGATGCTTCTGCTGCTTTCTTGAAATCCCCTGAAGCGTTGAGAACTTCAATGAAAGGATGGAGCGCGTCGATCAGTGTTCGATCGCCAGGCTGCGCTGGTGTATACCGTGATAGAGCTTCCGAGGCCTGCTTCAATGCAGTTCCCCAGACTTTTGCTGTTGCTACTCCGGCCGAAGCCTGTTGTCTAAGATAGTGCACCAGTGAGTTCAGGAAGATGGCATAGAGTGCCCCTGAAGTCCCATCCATTGTGTTTTCAACAACTTGGACGATCTTGCTGAGGTCCACGACCGCATCGCCGGATAGTTTTGTTTGTGAGACCATTTTGAGAACCGCTATATTCCAGTCAGTAGAAGTTATAAAACGATCCATACTTATCAAGGACTGTAACATATGTATTGCCCAAGAAGCCAAACCATCCTTGATTGGCAATGTGTAGAGCAGAGACAGACAAACAGTAAACAAATGCACAACTTACATTCTGCTCCTCTCTTCAAACCAATCCCACAATCCCCATCCCCAACAACTGTGTCCATTCTCGTCACCGCTGGCTCAGCAGCAATAAGTCTTTCCAGACCAGAAATCAATGCCGCCTTTTCGGCTTCTGGGTCGATCTTCAATCCACTGGCTTGGATTTCATCCACGGCTGATGCTGATGCATCCCGAACCTGACTTGACTTGGCCTCCCAAGTCTCCTTCTTAACTGGCGCCGCCCACCCAGTAGCTTCGCATGGGGCATCCAACAATTGCAACATGCTAGGGCCTCCGATATTTGTGTTCACAACGTTGAGAATAGAGATGCTAAATCCGAGGCCGTTGAGACTTGTCATATATGTGCCAGACAAGACTCGAACAGGTTTAATATTATAGTTTTTCTCCAATTGGCCCACGACCTCAGCAGTGATCCCTCCCAGTTCCAGGACACTGACTCCACCAAGGTTGTTGATCAAGAGTACGACCTCATTCGAATTGACCCGCAGAAATGCTCGATCTTTATCTTTCTGATCCAAGAGTTGCTGAAGCATCCGCTCTACCAATTTGGGTAGCTCAACCTTCTCTCTCCCACTTCCGGGCTCATTGTGAATACCCATTCCAATTTCGACTTCCCCATCAGCCAATTTCTCCGAGGAATTCGGATCAGGTGGAGCTCTCCCTGGCACATGGACATGATCCAGCGAGGCACCAACACTAACGATATTCTCAGCCGTCAGCTTGGCAACCTTGTAGACATCTTCCAGACTTGCTCCTGTTGCAGCCAAGGCTCCCGAGATCTTATGCACAAGGACTGTGCCAGCAATTCCTCTTCTTCCCACCTTCCCAGCCTTGGCACGTCCAACACCAACATCATCACCAACGACCAACATCTCCACTTTCATACCGGCGGCCTTCGCCTTCTCAACGCCCATTCCGAAATTCAGCACATCGCCAGTATAATTCATGACGGTGACTAGGATCCCCTTCTGGGCGTCGACTCTGGACATTATGGCTCTCCGGATTTGCTCTGCGCTCGGGGAGGCAAATATAGTTCCCGCCACCGAAGCTGATAGCAATCCTTCACCTACGAAGGCTCCAAAGCTAGGTTCGTGGCCGCTACCACCGCCAGAGATGATGGAAACTTGTGGGGCATGGCCGGGTCTCCTGTAGATGATCTTGTTCTCGGCATCGAGAGCAACAGAAGGATTTGTTATGGTGAGGGCTTGGAGAGCCGAATTCACGAGATGCGTGGCATCATTGACAAAGTGTTTTGCGGACATGGTTTCGATCATAAAGAGTTGAGGATCGCCGTTCGACGTCGCTGGGAGAAGGAGAGGATCGCTTCAGCTGAGGAGTTCGGGAGTCGCTGTCTCTAGGACTGGGAGCTGGGATCTGAGAGCTGGTGGGCTGTTTGGAAGGGCAAGGAAGTGCACACCGTCTCGAGGTGCGATTTATGGGGTTGATCCGGCCATTAAGTCATTTCCCTTGGCCGTGGCGACGATCATGAATCAAGAAGCGGGGGACGTGGGGGTTTTGGCTTCCGTCCGTCCTGATTCCTGATTCCTGGGCCACGGTGCGATCACACGGAGGGGGCGTATTTGGACAATGAAGAGGCAATAGCCAAATGGTCGAATAGTTCCAGACTTTGAATCCTGGTCTTCCCTCGAGCCGCCCCTTGTTACCCCTCATCCGCGGAACCTTGGATTTTATTTACCCTTGTCCGTTTTGATACATGGCACGAACCCCCACAAAATGGGGTCGTCTAACCTTTCCCTCCAAGAACTTTTCCCACCAACGGTCAACTTCACCTCGCCTCACCTCGCCGCTGCATCCACGAACAAGTGAGGGAGGACATCTCTGTGATCTTCACTATGGCGCAAGTAGTGCCAATCGCTGTGCCGGGTCAACTCCTCGGATCTACGAGCGAGTTCCGTCCTGGCCCAGGTACTCATGTCCACAACTCCAACCTCTACGCTTCGATCCTTGGGCCCATCGCGACCACCGTCCCTCCCAAACCCCCCGGACCTCAGAAGCGACTGACGAAGATCACCCCGGCTGCCCCCACGCCTCTTCCGACGATTTCAATCGAGCGGGATATATCAAGCGCGAATGATGGGAATGCAAAGACGAGAGCGGAGGTTTTGCCAGAGGTCCACAGCACGGTGCTGTGCAGGGTGACGAGAATTACTCCAAGGCAGGCATCGGTTGCGATCCTAGTCGTTGGAGAGACAGTCTTGGATGGGGAGTGGCAAGGGTTGATTAGGGTACAAGATGTCAGAGCTACAGAGAAGGACAGGGTTAAGATAGTTGAAAGTTTCAGGCCTGGAGATATCGTCAGGGCCGTCGTGGTGAGTTAGCTAGGTGCCGTGGGCCGGTGATTGTTGCTAATCAGTCTTCAGATCTCGCTGGGTGATCAGGCGAATTACTACCTCTCCACCGCAAGTAACAACCTGGGCGTTATCATGGCCACTAGTGAGGCTGGCAATGCCATGTATCCCGTCTCTTGGAAGGAGTACAGAGACCCGGAGACAGGTGCGAGTGAGAGTAGGAAGGTTGCCAAGCCATTTTAGACTCTTTCATCCATAGTTCTTCACATGCATAGCGGAAGGAGTTTGGGCGCCTTTCGGGATATACCCCCCAGATCGCGGCAGAGTACAAGGGAATGGATGCAATCTATGTGCTTGGACTACGTATCTGTGCACTTGAGCAGAAGTCTCGAGTCTAGAGGATCGAGTCTCCGGCAAGCAAAGAGCTATTCACAGATTATCGAAGGCAAGGCCTTTAGCGCTCTGTGGCAATTGAAATAATCCAGTTTCACCCTACTGTATGTGCGGGTGGATTGGTTGCTTTTATCCAAGGATATACTACATCGTGGAAGTCCTGTTAAATTGAAGTGTGGAGAGGACAAAATGCATTGTACTTTATACAGACTATCATGGTAGCTCTCTCAAAACAAGAGCCTATAATGATTTCATATGTACAAGAGCAATTATAGAAATCCATCACTACACATAACAATCACGTATTTCTGAATGAATAAAGAGAGTCTCCACGTTTGCTAGGTAGATACCTAGAAGTTATCAAAGATTATGATTAGCGTGTAGGCTTGAACGTTGTGCAAGCTGCCCCCTCTCCTCGAAGCAAAAGATAAACAAACCAAACCTCTCTCTTCGCATTCCCATGAATACTTCAGACGGCGCGAGAAGTAACAGCGAAATAAAAAAGATAAAAAATAGAATACCAGCAAAACTCGGAGATCCTAAGCATAGGATCTCGTAGAAAACCATCTTTCAGGTTTTTGAAGCCGCCCATCCTCCCCCCCGCTGATCCCTATAGGCCATGACCACGGTGGCCTACTGTTGCTACACCCTGTGGTGCACTGGTATACAGCTGCTCTTTCGAGCCCCGCTGTTCGGACTCTCAGTAATGTCCCTTTTTTTTTTTTGTTTGTTTGTTTGTATGGAGACTTTTTTCTTTTTATGGTGAGCCGGAGAGGGCTCACCAAAGGGTCTGAAACCTGGGGGCTGCAGATGTTAGTTGTTAGTTATGCGTGTATTGGAAAGGGAGGTGAATCACTTACAATACACTAACTGCTCCATGCTGTTAGGTGAAATGAAACTCCTTATTCAATTACTTGAGTGTCGAGTCGCGAGGTGAGTCTTGCGGCTCCCGCGCTTAGAAAAGGGGGAAAGTTCAAGGCCCCAGCAACAACAAGAAGTAGATCCTTGATCCGATGACTTCTATATATGATTGCAGTCTAGTCTATGGTCTTTTGATACTATTGCTACTATTATTCTACATGATATTCTGTTGTCATTGTCACTGTAGCGCGTCTTACGTGCAAGTGATCTCGCTCAGTAGGTAGAGTCACGCGTCAGCATTCTATAATCTGATCTGTCCCTGGCTATATGTAGAAGATTCCTTTAACTAAATTGTTATAACGAGCTTTTAAACATAGAACCATGCATGTATTCGCAAAGTTGGCCAGAAGACTCGGGTTGCTTTACTGGTTTGTGCCCGATGACAAGAGCGTCGAACGAGCAACCTTATCCTCCCACAAGAAGGCATACATTAACTGGGAATAGTATAAACACTTCTTCTCGGGAAGATACTACGAACATTACAGTTTCAATGAGCATTGTATTTGCTTGCTAGTCAGTTATCCATTCCTGTCTTTTGTCCCCAGCTCCCATATTGGAACCCCCGAACGCGCCCTAGCAAGAACGAATGGCAACACCCAGTATTTCCAGTAGATAGGGATACCTTGGCCAGCCCTCAAGCTTCAACTTTTGGGTAAACCCGTCTGTCTCTCTCTCTTGAAGATGCAACCTTCCTAGCAAAGGATTCCCTCCACTCCTTCCCATCACTGATAATCACAGAAGCGTCCTCTAAGCCCGAACCACTATCCTTCCTCTGTATTTTCTTTGCTCTATTTTTCTTCTATCTCCCATCATTAGCATTCCTTATTCCTCCCATACTAGGAAAAAGAAAAGAGGAAAAAACTCACCTCCTTCTTCCTCCTCTCCAACAATCCCTCCAATCTCTCAATCTCCCTATCCCACCACTGAATTTCTCTCTCGATCCTAACATTCTCTTCATCCTCCTGAGCCAATTGTACCGCCCACGCCAGCAACAGGACCGTATTCAGAGTAACGAAGAGACAGCGGCTGAAGAGGATGCCACTTGGGCAGCGCATGATTTTCTCGTAGCCTAGATATTGGATTATTCTCTTGTTGGCGAGGGTGAGGACGTAAGAGATGGGGAGGCCGAGTAGGAGGTCCCAGAGTACTGCTTCGAGTCAGCGTGTTGGCTGGCTTGGTAGGTAGGAGGGGAAAGAAGGTGGGGAGATGGACCGAGAACCAAGCCGAGGTTGGAGAGATCAAAGAATTTTGTTTTGGGAGGTTTGATAGCAAGAGAAGGCTTGGAGTTCCCGACGGAAGACATTATTGCTGAAGCTCGAGCGAAGATCGAGATCGCTGATCAATTGTGTTGTGAGGTTGAAGACTGCGAGGATGATCCAGGGTTGGGACAGTAGGTGAAGACGAACCAAAAGAGATCAAGAAGAAAGTAAGACCAAAAATTGTTTGCTCGGCCATGTCTTGTAAATTTCAAAACACGATTCACTCACTGTTTGTCTCCGTTTAGAGGACAAACGAGTATAGACGGCCAGTACAACCAAGTATTGAAGACTATGAATACAATAATAACCCTTTCTAAAGAGTTATTTCAGAGACGGCAATGTAAAAATAACAAGGGTACAAAGAGAAAAAGGAGCAGCTCGGCCGCCGAACTTGCCCTCCTTTCAATATCTTCCCAAAGACCCGATATTTGACTCGATTTTAAACACCCGTCTCCGAATAGAGACAAACATAACTTTGCTCCAGATCCTAGGGACCTGCAGTGTCTAAAGCCTTCATTATCTGCTGCATCCAGCTACTGTTCTCTCTTTTACCAATAGCCGCATCTTGGACCTCGTAGACAACTGTATTACTACTCTCCTCTGAAGTCCGCACCTCAGAGCTTGCAGCACCGTCTATCCCACGTGGACCTCTCCGAATCGAGCCTACCGCAATGCCCCCATCGTCTCTATATTTTGTGCTCGATTGATCAGATGGAGCGGCCGATTTTTGAGGACAATCCCCGTTCTGTAGAGAATTGCTTCGAACAGAGGCTTTCCTCATCATCTCAATTTGCTTCTCAGCTACTTCTGCTCTTGATTTCCAGAATTGAACTTCTCTTCTGGCTTCTGTTATGCTTTCGATCAAGGTCCTCATATCCAGATTGCTCCGAGCGTTGAGTTGCTGCTTCAAATGCTGGAGCTCTTCCGTTTTGGTGGCCAATTGCTGCTGGAGATTTCGAATCTGCCCGTGTAACACCGAGTTACGTCGGGTGGGAAGCAGGGATGGTCTCCCTGAACTTAGAGACCTTACAACTGAAGGAGCATCACAGAAGGATGACTGAGGTTGCGCTAAACCTGCGGTACCAGTAGGATCAGTAGCGTCTGGATGTGTAAAACTGAGGTAAGATACATCCGACGTCTCTGGCTCAGGGACTAGCTTGCCATTGTTGGCGAGACCTGAAGTGTACTCATAGGATCTGGTCTTTTTTATGACCTTGGACGGAGTCGAAATAGCAATATGGCGAGAACGATTAGCTGCGTGGTTATTGACACCAAGAGATTCTCCCATGGAAGCTACAATCTCTTCAAGCGATTTACGAACTGGGCGCAGAGACTTCGAATCTTTGAGAGAAGATCTTAGCAATCTTTGGGGTGTTGGAATTCCGATTGTGATATCATCTTTCGAAGAATTGTTGCCTCGGTCAATACTAAATGGGTTGCGGATTGTTTGAATTGATTTGTCTGATATGCCGGACTTTTGAGATTTGGTTGGCGACGGTGTATTCTTCATATATGGAGCAACCAGACTGCACCTTGGGGACTCAGATACCGCCGGAACATTGGGAGGCCCTTTAGTATCAGGGTTCGTTGAGGGAAACCGAGATGGTAAAGCTGAACTCGCAGTATTGAATTTGGCAGTCAAAGCTCTGACAGTTCCGCGAGGACTTCCTTGAAGAATGTTGACAGCTTCATGAGGCTTTTTCGGTACTTTTGACAGACTGGCAGTATCAGTCTCATCTGATCTTTCAATATGACGGTTGCTCCGAGGAGTGTTATTTTTAGGTGATCTGTTCGGGGTTGCGACAGGAGTCCGCTTGACGGTTGCGAGACTTTCAACGGTTGAAGAGGTCTGCCCAGGGCTTCTTCTATTTGGGCTTAAACTGGGTTTAGGCTTTGGTGAAGGACTAGAGCCACAGCTCTCCTTTTCTCTGGAGGTGGACTTCCTTGGGAGGCTTTCTGTGCCACTGCTATGCTTATTCTTCTCAACACCACGTTTCCCGGGAGTTTCTAAGTTCGATCTATCGCATCCATCGTCTGCCGACTCTTCCTGTGATAATACTCGAGCAAGTACTGCGAGTGAAGCTAGGTCTTCCTCCTGAGATACCTTGTTCAAGGGATCCATACCGCCACTAACTGTCCAGGCAAGTTGGCGTCTGGATTCGCCCAAGTTAAGTTTCATTGGCTGAAGAAGGGTTTTGGTAGGCGACACAGAACACTGTCCAGGGTCACTATCTGCAATCCGATGCACTGGGGCAGAGACAACATGCTTCATAGTTTCAGACGGCTCTTTGTATGACGACACGTCAGGAGACGGAGGCTCTGTTAAAGATGTGCCTAATTGTTGCCTCCCTGGAGTTGTCTTTCCTGGGAGTGAGTGGGTTGATCTTTGAGACAGATAAAAACCCCGTTGCGAGTGATTTTGAGGGCTGTTCGACGTTTCTGGCTCAGACCCTAGTTCCCTGGAAAGACATTTGACTGCCTCTGTCTGGGCAGCATTAGTCGTATGCAGCGGTTGTACTTGGTTGGGTTGGACAATATTGGATGTACAAGAAGGTATGGCTGGATAGTTCGGCTTGACACGGGTCTCGTTGGCTTGTTCCTCCACGGTTGGAGAGAGAATATTGATTGACCCCGTAGCTGAAAGTCTATGACTGGACATCGGCCTGATTTTTGATCTGCTTTTCTTGATCACTAAATTACCGTCCTGTTCCGGTGACGACTGATCGCCTACATCCTCTTCTAGAGTGCTATTATGTCCTGTTGGTACATAAATATTAGCATACAGATACTCCTAAACAGCTGGAAAAACTCACGGTCTGTTGGTGCTGGAGACATGCTTCTGTCCACTCGTCTAATAATTGACTTGCCATTATCCCAGTCTGATGGCTTATGTAGCGTAAACGCCTCTGACGCCGAGGGGCGCAGAGGAGGCTTCTTCGAAACCCCGATAGCAAGACTCATACGCGCTCCGGCTCTCGTAAGCGCTTTGAGATCCTTCATTTGATGGACAACGTCTCGCCAATAGGCGATTAGCATTTCCGTGATACTATTGGCAATCCTGATTTTGTCGATGTGGGTATTGAAAGTCATACCATCTTCGGAGCTTTTGGTTTTCTTCTGCTTCTCCTTTCGAGATTTTGGGGCACTTACCGGAAGCAGAACTAGACCACCATGATGATTGGCAAGGTGCATGGTGTAGTTATCTAGCATATCCCCAATAAGGAGTGGGCCAAAGATAATGCCCAAGGAACCATATCCCATCAGGTCGGTTGTAGGCAAAGGCCATTCCCGATCATCTTCTCTACGTGCCGTCTCTGCTGCTCGCCCTATCACAGATAGAAGCCCAAAGACAGCACAGATGAGTTCTCGTCTGTACCGTGATCTTAAAGTGGCTACTGCTAAGGCAATGAGTCTTGCCCGAACTTTGCTCTGCTTTGTTCTTGGTAACTCGGGATCACCATGAAGTTGGTTTTGAATAGAAACCAAAACCTCGAACAAGGGTAAAGACCCAAGAATGCCACCTGGAACACCAGATAGGAATCTTTTGAAAGCGGATGCAACGTCGTGCACATCGCATTTGATATGATCAGGCAAAGTTGGGCAGCGGACAGTACCAGCGATGACTTCTCCTTCTTGGTCCACTGTGCAGTAATAATTATATAGAGCTGCGACAACGTTTTGGGAGCCAGGAATTCTAAAAATCCCCCTGGTAGTAGATCCTATGAATACATTAGAAACTGCCCTAATGAACGGTTCCCCTACTCACCATATTGTACCAGATATTGAGCCGTTGCACGAAAACATGTTGGTACCGCAAGACTACCAGGGGCATATTCTGGAGGTAAGTACAAGTTACTCAACCCGCAAAGGCGGACCAGCTCCTTCAAGTCCTTGTCTTTGAGTGTGTCCTTCTTCGGCTTCGGACGAATGGCGAGATCACTAATGCTGCGTTTATGTTTCAACTGCCTCTCGGCCCTCGGCTTGATGCTGTGTGTTGATGAAGTTCTCCGGAGGAATGTCCGTGAGAACCAGCCACAGGATTTGTCTAATGAATTTGATGAATCCACCTATTAGCTCTAGTCAGTAAAGAAGACTTGAGAGGGTCATTCCATCTTACATTGTAATCGTCCGGAGTGAATAACCGCACACCATGCTGATTGCTCAATTAGCTTTCGTTATGCCTGCCTGAAGCAAGCTCAAACCTTTTTGGCCAAACGGTTGTATTCATGGACAAAGAAGTCCCGATCCTCGACCTCATCTTGATCAGAGAGGGCATCTCCACTCGAGTCTGTCCAGGTGCTGCTGCTTTGTGTGATTCGCCGTTTGTTCGGATCATTAGGATCGAGAATCAGATTGCCGCCATCAAGAAGGTCGGGAATTGGAGGAGCGCTACCAAATGAATACCTTCGTCGTGGAATCTTTGGCTGTCGAAGTAACTTTTGGGCTATAGTCATATCATCAGAGATGCCGCCGGGAACGTCTATCTGTTGTGCCATTGTAACATTATTCAGTGAACGAGATACAAGACCATAGTATAAGTAGGTAGGAGAAAATTGAGTTTGGGAATTTGACCTGGAGATAAGAGGGTGTCTTGTGTTGTTGTTTTGTTTCGTTGCTCCTTATGCCCCATAAACATTCAACTTGAACGCCCCTGCCATGTTATGGCCGAGAATCAGGAATATTTTGGCTTTCCGAATTTAACACAACTGGAAGCTTAGATTCGTTCTTCCTCTTGATGACATCGTCGAGAAAAGCTAGTTCAGAGAGAACCATAACTGAAGAATAAAACCCCAACATGGAGATCAGGTTTGCCTCTAGTATCGCCGAAACGGAGACCTGCCCCGCTGAATTAAGAGAACCCCAGTGCTTGATTCATAACAACTACAGTGGTATTACCAAAGAAAAGGCACGAAAGATCTATAATATAAGAACTTTGCACGAACGACAATGCCAAAGTCTCATCCCGTACGCCTGATCGCTATGCAACGCATCCCTGCCCTTCATATTCATCATAATCCAACCCATTCGTGCTTAATCGTCGTCCTCGCCATACAAGAGGACATATTGTAAGATATCCGAGAGCGAGATTATTCCCCTCAGGCGATTCTCATCGTCAATGACCACCAGCCGATGGACTCTCGACTTTCGAATCGTGTCGAAAATCGAGTTTAATCTATCCTCCTCACTGCATGTATAGATCCCGGCGAAATCTTCCGCTCTTTTGAGTAATGCTTCACCGACACTTGTAGTAAGCTCTTCATATGCACCCCCTTTGATAATCGCTATCACGTCGACCGCCTCGAAGACGTTCAGGACACGCCTATCGGAGTCAATAATGGGCACGCTCGAGATGTTGTATTTAACCATCATGTGCATGACGTCGATCACAGGCGTATCCATGCTTGCCGTCTGCAAGTCGCCGTAGGTACCGAGCCCTATATCCGAGACACTCTTCTTTAAAAGCTCTGTCCCTTCAACATTGACTGCGATGAACTTGAGGATTCGATATTGTGTGATTACACTAACTACCATCTCTCGGCCAGTCTCATCATCAATGTCGACAAGTGGAATACGTCGAGCCCGAGTCTTCAGCATTTGGCGGCAGGCCTCATACAGAGGTCGCATCGGGTGGACCGAAAGGGTCTCCAACGGTTGGACATTGATAGCCTTCTCAATTTCTGCGCCATATTCAGTCCAGCTCCAAGTCATGTGTGTAGGTACCATGGGGCTTACCTCTCAGGCTGCTCAGCCGGAACTGGTCGACCTGGCTGAGGGCATCAGGATTCTGCCAGTAGTATTGGACGACGTTGATGTAATCGGAGGTTGTAAGAAGACCCGCGAATGTGGACGTGTGTGAATCCCATAATGGAGCCGAGACAATTCCTATGAGAAACCTTTAGTACTTGATATCATCTTTCATACAAGGTAGTGTCAAATTCCTACCGTTTTGGAGAAGGATGTTTAGGCTTTTCTTGACGAGCAGGTCGGTGTTGAGGATGATAAGACGGAAGGAAAGAGGGAGAACATCATAACTTGTTCGTTTCTTGAGGAAGTCTCGGATGGATTTCTACAGCGTTAACACAAGTCAGCCTCGCAGGGCCCATTGCAAAGTCCTGTTCCCCCAAATGCTCCGTATCACCTCGCGTCTCTGAAGCGTTCGATAGGGACGGTTTGGGACCACTCACCAGGCCTTGCAGCTGGTCCTTGTCCACCGGGGTCAACGACTCCTCGGCCATTGCTCGACTGTGTCCTCGGGGAAGAAGGAAAGTCGAGGGTTGAGCAATCAGGGACTCGTGACCATGTCTAGCGGTGGGCTCAACGGGATTGGGTGCCGCTGGCCGTGTGCTCTCAGCCGTATCAGGCATGGATGATAGTCTTAGATCGTGGGAGGCACATTGGAGATTGATAAGGGAACTGGAGCAGCGGAGAGGCCTCGCGGACCTATCTGGACTCGATCGTGAACAAAACAGATGCGCAAAGGTCACTTCGAAGTTGAGGGGGGCTTTTCGTTGGTCGAGCAAGGATCGACGTGGGGTTTGATAGTTTGATACGGGGTCACGGAGTGTTTCACGTGCGCGCGAGGGAGGTGGGCAGTGGCTTAGGTAAGGCGCCTATGTCACGACGGGTCGCCGTATTCTCGTCCGCCGTAGGATCACAGTAGTTGGATACCTCAGGCAGAGATAACCGGCGTCCGGGTGATCGCTGAATTATTTTTCCGAGACGGATCAGGTGCTTCATGACTCGTGACTCGTGAGCTTCCCTGGGTCTGGATTCTCTACCTGTCCACATGCGAAGACAATAGCGGCCTCAAACCCCTTAACAATGCATTTATGGGGTGAGGATTTTATGAAGGTTAAGGTAGGCAAAGCACTTGTAGTTTCTAACTTGGAGAGCTGAAATCCTACTTACCTTACTACACAATAGCAACTGCTTGGCTGAGATCAAGGTGCCGTAGGTAGGTACCGTAAATAGGTTTCCAGGTCAGAATCTGCCTTACAACAAGCGATCTTAGAGATACGGTGTTCCCATTGTGATATTGCCTGTCCTTTGGCGTACCTTACTCCTTTAGACCCTGGAGCCCTCTGGATGTGTCCGCGGTCAATGGGCAGCAGGCTATGATTGATGATTGAAATACCAATGCGAAGACACGAGGAACACATGTAGCCCGTCTGTTGACTGTTATCCGGAGACAAGGGAGTCGCCTGATGCATCCCCTATCTACATTGCGATGACGCATGTGACGGAGGTTGAGGCTTTACGGAGTACATGTACCATAGAGCAACTTACCTACCTTACCTGCCTTAGCTATCCATTTTCCGGTATGGGAGTACCTATGCAGGTTCGATACTGAGGTCCAGACCAGGAGGAAATGCAACAGCGGACACTCCACGCGGGTCAGGACACCTTCAAGACGTTACGCCACAGATTCCCCATGTACTTCTAGCTATAGGCAAGGTAAACAACGCGATGCCATGTAAATGAGGCACGTGAGGCTCCAAGGCAATCAATCGCCCTTGCTCTTGTTTTTGGCGACGTCCGCGCCGACGTAGATCCCTCCCAGCAGTTTACTCCGTCAGGTAGGTATCTCGGAAACTAGCCCAGGCAAGCTCCAAGGGATCTTCGACCCTACAACTTCAACCACCAACCTCATCACCAACCTTCGACTTCAGTCTTTTTCGCGTCCCTCCGTCTCGAATGCCCCTCGAGCCTCGACGTAATCCCGTCTCCGGTCCTTGCCCGCCTTGTGACTTTCTCCACCTCTGCGTGTAGCAAGTCGAATCCGCTTTGTTCAGCTGTCGCTTCACGTTCCTGCAGAACACTCAGGTTCGCGAGTAGGTAGAATCATCTACCCAATCCCCCCCCCGTCCTGCGGGGCCGAGTATCTGGAGATGGGTGTCTGTGGTTCTTCGTGCTGTGGAGGTAGGCAGTGCATTCTTATCATCCGCGAGGGATCTACTGACTATGATGCATCACTAGGCAAAGCTCGCGATGGCTTGTACGAACCTGTCTTGGCTGAGAGCGAGAGAGAAGCCGTGGCAGACCTTCTCCAGTATCTCGAAAATGTATAGCAAGCTTGCCCCGAGTGTATATCCATTGGCTTATAGTTGTACAGCGAGGCGAGACCGACTTCTTCTCTGGCGAACCCTTACGAGCCTTGAGTACTCTGGTGTTCTCTGATAATGTCGACCTTCAACGCAGCGCCAGCTTGACATTCGCCGAGATTACGGAACGAGGTACGTCTATACGGCCGCTGGGGGAAGGCAGCATATCAGGGGCGGGAGCATCTCCGGCATCTACCCCCTAGGCTGATTCGTCTGGTGTACGATCTGAATGCCTACTATGCTGGGAGCTTCTGCTGCCATCCTCAAAAGAGGTTGCGCTGCGAAATCTGCAAGTACGCATGCTGATCGCTTCATAGATGTCCGCGAAGTCGACCGTAATACTCTCGAGCCCATTCTATTCCTTTTACAAAGCCCAGATATTGAAGTACAGCGGGCAGCCAGTGCCGCATTGGGGAATCTCGCAGTCAACAGTATGTTACATACCCTCGTGTATGATCAGGCGATAAAATATCTGATCTGTTACAGCGGAAAACAAGGTACTTATCGTACAGCTTGGTGGTCTCACACCCCTCATCCGCCAAATGATGTCGCCAAATGTCGAAGTACAGTGCAATGCGGTTGGTTGCATCACGAACCTGGCAACACACGAAGACAACAAAGCAAAAATAGCTAGATCAGGAGCTTTAGGGCCGTTGACTAGGTTAGCAAAGTCGAAGGACATGCGAGTGCAAAGAAATGCGACAGGTGCTTTGTTGAATATGACGCACTCTGGTGGGTTTTTATATTTGACTGCAACATCTGGCCAAGACTAATAGGTGGTAGATGAGAACCGACAGCAACTGGTAAATGCAGGCGCTATACCGGTCCTCGTGCAACTCCTCTCGTCCTCTGATGTGGACGTACAATATTACTGCACAACTGCCTTGAGCAACATTGCTGTCGATGCCAGCAATCGAAAGAAACTTGCTCAAAATGAAAATAGACTCATTCAATCCTTGGTCAACCTTATGGACTCGTCATCACCAAAAGTCCAATGCCAAGCAGCGTTGGCTTTACGAAATCTTGCATCAGACGAAAAGTACCAGCTGGAAATAGTACGTGCAAAAGGCCTAGCTCCATTACTACGACTATTACAATCCTCATACCTGCCTCTCATACTTTCCGCTGTCGCTTGTATACGCAATATTTCAATCCATCCCCTGAACGAATCTCCTATCATCGAAGCCGGCTTCCTGAAACCGTTGGTAGATCTGTTAGGATCTACAGACAACGAAGAGATCCAATGTCACGCTATTTCTACTCTTCGGAATCTGGCAGCAAGCTCTGATCGAAACAAGGCCCTCGTTTTGGAGGCAGGTGCCGTCCAAAAATGCAAACAATTAGTCCTTGATGTTCCGTTGAGCGTTCAATCCGAGATGACGGCCGCTATTGCTGTACTAGCTTTGAGTGACGAGCTCAAGACTCATCTGCTAAACCTTGGTGTATTCGATGTCCTTATACCCTTAACAGACTCCCAAAGTATCGAAGTACAGGGGAATAGTGCTGCCGCTCTGGGTAATCTCTCGTCAAAAGGTAAGTCACAGCCCTGCTTTAGTCCATACTTGTGCTTACATTCGTAGTTGGTGACTACTCGATCTTTATCCAAGACTGGACGGAGCCGAATGGAGGTATTCATGGTTACTTGAAACGTTTCCTTGCAAGTGGAGATGCTACATTTCAGCACATCGCTATCTGGACCCTTCTTCAACTATTGGAGTCTGAAGATAAAAAGCTGATCAACCTGATCGGCAAATCAGAGGAGATAGTGCAGATGATTAAAACCATTGCAGACAAGCAGATCGAATCCGACGACGAGGGAGAAGAAGATGGTGAAGGAGAGGTGGTTCAACTTGCCCAACGGTCTCTTCAACTTCTTGGGCAGGGTGGGAAGCCCTCTCATATTGAAGGCTAGGCCAGAATAGTCGATTTAGAGTTTTGCTTTGTCTTGCATCTGGTATTGGGACGGCGAGGTGTTGGGCGTACGTAGCAAGGGATCATCTTATTAATAGCGAGCATTGGTGGTGCTAAAGGTACTTTGCATCACCACCTTTTCCTATCGTCAATCGCACACATGCTTTGCGGTCCTGCCATCATTCCACATGCGCGTCCTTTGGACGTTCTCTTTGGACTTTTTTGCAATTCATACCGAGTCTCTCTTACTCCATGTAATTAGATAGGACTTACGATATCCAAACTATTCAAATCACAACACTGTACTGTTTGACCTCTGTCCCTTAACCTAGGTTTCGATGCTTTGTCTAATTGGTGGAATGTGAACCCTTATACCTGACTCCTTGCAATGCAATGTTACCCAAGTACATGCTAATTTTCAACTGGTTTCAAATCCTCCCTGCCTATCGATCTTCGCTCCCCCCAAGGAAAGACGACCGCAAGTACTTTGCCCCTGATTAGACCCATTGGTAAAGGACCAAAATGCCTTGAATCTCTCGAATACGGGATGTTGTCACCAATTACCCAACAGTGACCTTCAGGTACCTAAGATTCTAATATTAACACCTTTCAAACATAAGGTAGAGTGTATCTCACCTGGAGCATCACGTTGCTCCTGCCAGGCGTATCCCTCAAGACATAATCTCCAGGCATCCCGAGAACTCTTTTGATAACCGTCTCCCCTGGCTCATAGACAGAGTTAAAGGCTACAACATCCCCGACCTCGATGCCTCTACCACGACGATACTGTTTGGAAATGAGTACATGGTCACCCATCACTTGTATCGTAGGGAGCATGGAGGCACCCCAGGTTGGCTCAACGCTGTATCCGAATTTCCAGAAGACATGGAGAGCTAACAAGCTTTGGAGAGTGGCGGTGGCGAGTCGAAAAGGATGACCGGCATAACGAGTGTGTATCCATTTAAATGTTCGAGACGCTCTTTGAAGGAATGCCATGGCATCACGGAGACATGTAAGGGTGCAGGTGATGTTGAGAGTTTAATGTCACGAGCTTAGTTGCAGCCTTGGTATTTAGGTTTCAATAGGCGAGTTGACTTTTTGAAGCTATTGTTGAGAGCTACCTTAGCTTTCTCCTTTTACTTGTATAGCCATTTACAAGACGGGACACCGAGATGCGAAGCCCAAGATGCATCTTCAGCGCAGCTACGGCTCTTCATCGAGTCTTCATCGCCCCAATTGAGCAATCAAACCTCCAATTCGCGCTCCGTATACCCTCATCAACTGCCTTCATATCACATTCACCCGCGTACATCCTCCCACAGCAGAGAAGATGCTACGCCGCGCCCTCATCCACCGAGCGCCGCCTCCCCCGTGATGACCAGATCAAATCATGGTCTGTGACTCTAGTGGATGAAAATGGCAAGCTCAGTGAGCCCCGCCAAACCTCCGCCGTTCTCGACAGCATCGACCGCAACAAAGACTCACTGGTCGTTGTAGCGCAAGGCGAGCCCGGAACGCCTCCAATCTGCAGAATTATGAACAAGAAAGCAATGCGAGATGCGGAGAAGGCAAAAGCAAAAGCAGCTAGGGGTTCTAGCATTACGACTAAGACGATAGAGTTGAACTGGGCGATAGATAAGGGCGACTTGTGGCATAGAATGGATAAGATGAAGCAATTTCTAAGTAAGGGCTTCAGGGTTGAGATAATGCTTGCCAGTAAGAAAAAGGGAAGACAGGCGACGGTGGAGGAGGCTGAAGAGCTGTTAAGGAAGATTAAGGAAGCGGTAGGGGAGGTAGAAGGATCGAAGGAGACGAAACCTATGGAAGGAAAGCTGCTGAAGGCTGCTACGCTATATCTCGAGGGGAAAGCGGTGCAAAAAGGTCAGAAGGCATAACAGGCATAGCCTCTTTCTCGACACATCTGTATATATATCGAGTACTGTAACCATAGATAATATCGCCATACCCTCGTTGTATGATAGTGGTATCAAGTCGCCCGTCTGAAGTATCCTCTTACTCCTTTACGCCAGCAATGCAAGATCCGTAACTCATCATCCGTAACTCGTCATAGGATTTCATCATCGTCCTCTGCGGGTCCCGTCAATGGTGTCGACTGAGCAGCAGCTTCAGCAGCCGGTTTGATAGATGGAGCATCGCCAACGTCAACATCCTCTTCCATACCGTCCATACCGTCCTCTTCATCAATCAAGTCCTCCTTCGCCAACTGTGCTGCTCTTTCCTTCTTGGCAAGTATATTTTTATTCAGCTCCTCCCAAGCCTTAGCCCTCTCTTGGACCGTCCTGGCCTTTCCTTTGCTCTTCTCCACTTTCTTCTCCGTCCTGTCCATCACAGCTTCTGCGCGATCAAGGCCCTTCTCCTGTCGCCTCCTGGCCTTTGCACTCAAGACTGCCTTTCTGCCATTTTTGGATTTCTTCGCAACCCCTGCGCCCTGGTGGACGGCTAGGATAGATGGTCGGTGGGGTTTGGACTCGGTAGGCGGTTTGACATTTTTCAGAGACTTGTCGGTGTCGATACTGGGCGACGATGCACGTTTTGCCGCCCGCGAATGTATTGAGGCGGCTGGAGAATATAGTTAATATATATTAATTTTGGGATCAGAGTTGGATTTCTCACCACCTTTCTTCTTTAAGGGCGCAGTTTTGGCCATTGTAATTTTGCTTTTAATTGTGAATGTGGGGTGATGTTCGAAATATTTTCTACCTAGGGACCTACGTACTCCGTAGAAGTCCACATGGTCCGTGCTTCACATGTCAAGCCTCGACTCTCCACGCGCCTTGCTCCACGACATAACTACATATTAGCAAAGAATGCTAGAAGACACTGATCCGCCACCGATATAAACTGTCTCCTTGACGGCTTCACGACTCCACGAACCTACTCCATGGCACAAGATATCAACACGACTGCCCATATGCCCTAGGATGTCTCAAGACCAGCGACTTTACGATCTATTCGACGGTGACCCAGACTTGGAGATCGAATATCACCAGGATTACAGAGGAGAAGACTCCTGGTCCAACTTTCAGCGCGCGGGCGTCATAATTCCCTTTCTATTATTCATCGCAACCATCGTCTATCATACGTTCTTCATTCTAGACTTCAACGTCTTGCCTCTCCCGGAGCTTGTATGGAACTGTCTAGTTTATCTCACGCCCTCTAGGCTTCTTGATGCCGTGGAAAATTACACGAACCCTCTTCGAATATCAAATCCTGCTCTCAGAGAGGTACCAAGGACACACGCAGCAAAGAGCGAAGCAATGCGTCGAATACTGGGACTGGACAAACCGGGAGGAATTATGGGCTCAGTGGCGCAGGCTGGGAGACGAAGGCTGTCGACGCTTTCTGGTATTAATATGGAAGCGGATGGGAAACCGCCAGGATTGGGGAACTGGGATAATTCTTGTTATCAGAACAGCGTCCTCCAAGGGCTGGCGTCGCTGGATTCGCTTTCAGAATATCTCACGAACCCTAGTATCGAGAATGGGGCCGTTGATGCAGGTTCAAGGACAGATCTGAAAATGACGGAAGCGCTACGGGGGCTCATCGCGACGTTGAACGATCCCGCGAATAATGGAAGGAGGATATGGACGCCGGCGACGCTGAAATCCATGAGCAGTTGGCAGCAGCAGGATGCCCAAGAGTACTTCTCCAAGCTTCTTGATGAAATCGATAAGGAAGTTAGCAAGGTGGCTGCTAGAATGAGAAAGTCCCAAGGTTTCGAATCGGACGATTCCTCCGCCAGCCCCAAGAGCTCTGAGTCCCTACCAATATCGACCTTGCGAAATCCCCTCGAAGGACTTATCGCGCAGAGAGTCGGTTGCCTGAGGTGCGGTTATTCAGAAGGCTTATCCATGATCCCTTTTAATTGCCTGACGGTGCCTTTGGGCAGATCATGGGAGTACAATGTCGCTGAGTGTCTTGACGAATACACCAAACTCGAGCAAATCGAAGGGGTTGAGTGCGGAAAGTGTACGCTGCTCAAGACGCAGCGTTTACTATCGACGGTCCTCGATCGAGTCAAGGATACTCCAGAAGACAGTCCCGTTCGTAAGGCTACGACTGAGAGGTTGACAGCAGTCACCAATGCATTGGAAGAAGATGACTATGAGGATAAGACGCTCCTTCAGAAATGCAAAATTCCACCCAAAAATCGAGTTACTACTACGAAAACTCGCCAGGCTGTGATAGCAAGACCACCGAAGTCATTAGCTGTGCACTTCAACCGAAGTCTATTCGATGAGCATACGGGGGAATTGAAAAAGAATTACGCCGAAGTCAGATTTCCAAAGAGACTTGATCTTGGGCCATGGTGCCTTGGAAGCTCTGATACAACTCAAGATCCCTCTGCAGAGGAGTGGCTCCTCAATCCAGACAAACCAATGATTGCTACGACTGGGAGGCCTTCGAGGTTACGAGGCCCAATCTATGAACTTCGAGCTGTAGTGACGCATTATGGAAGGCATGAGAATGGTCACTACATATGCTATAAGAAGTATCCCAGTGCTGCCACGGATGAAAAAGGCCGAGTGAAGGATCAGTGGTGGCAACTGAGCGATGACGATGTTAACAAAGTCAGTGAAGAGAGCGTCTTGGGACAAGGAGGTGTTTTCATGCTATTCTTTGACCGCATCGAGCCCGAAACTACATCATTATCAGAGAAAGCTTCGCTTGAACCGAATTCTATCACTGAGCCAACTGCTGCTACATCTGAGTTGAGGTTAGCTGCCAGCATACCTCTACCTAGCATGGATGATTCGGATGCTCTCGAAAGCGATGAACAAGAATCCACCCTTACGAGTTGGGAAGAGAGCACTGCTACAAGTGTTTCGGAGTATGATGACGAAGATAACGAAAGAGAAAGCGAGCGGCAAGAATACAAGCCTACAAAGGCGATTCTGATCCCGCCCTACATACAGCAAACTGGTGTACATAACGAAGAGGAAAGCGCTGGGCAAAAGGGAATCATGTCTGCCGGCAGTCTACTCATGGTCTGAACATCATATGGTGCAGGAACGGCCATTCTTGTAATTTTAGCATAGCGCGGCGTTGGTGGGGATTGAATGTATTTACAGACGCGAAACCTGAAGTGAATGAAGGTTTGGGGACACGGATCAACGGGTTCTGTAGACACGGTCCAGTGATTAATGAATTTATTTCGACTGTCTATGCCTTTCTTCTGTACAGTAGTAGTCTTCTGAATCATCGTGGCTGGACAAAGGGTGAAGCACAAAGAGCTGTAAATCCAAAAGCTGCTGTCTGAAAGGAAGGAAGGCTGTTGCGCAGTTCATGAATGAGCCAACCTAAAATCAGAATCGCGCCGTCCCACAGGGCGTACCTGTACCTGCATCGCATTGCATTGCTTCTCTTCTAGTTTTACGGAGCATTAGCGAGGCTATGGATCCCGCAAAGAGAAACAGGGGTTATCCGTTTGATATCCAGATATAAATATAGACAGACACCCTGGTTCCTTGACGACAGCCCACTCCTCTCCCCGCAGAGAAAGTGGTGAAGTCTTTCCTTTCTAGGCGACTCAACAAGCTTTGCTTTGCACTTTCCCTTTGCACGAGCTGTCAAGGCTCATTCATGACCCACCCTTAAGTCCAGAGGGAAGAAACACATCTCCTCCCAAGCACGAGGCTGTCTGACAAAACCACCACCACCACCGCCATGATGGCGACAAGTAAACGGGCTCACTCCCGCGCCACCAGCCCTCTCTCGGCGTCGGAGCCCGTCCCCAAATTCCTGAGTCTGCCCCTCGGCGTGCTCAACCAGAAATTCAAAAGCATCAACGCGCACGAGGCGTCCCTGCGCGCCGACCCGGCAGCCATCTTCTCGCACCCCATGGCGGTGGCGCGGAACCGCTATCCGGACGTGCACCCGTGGTCTCACAACCGGGTGCACTTGCACGCGCTCCCCTTCCCCTATATCAACGCCTCGCCGATCGACCTGGGCCGGCCGAGGGAGAATTTCATCGCTACCCAGGGCCCCCTGGAGAGGGATATGGGCCTGGGCCATTTTTGGGAGATGGTGTGGCAGGAGGCGTGCGAGGTCATCGTCATGCTGACGCGGGTGGTGGAGGAGGGGAAGGAGAAGTGCGGCGTCTATTATCCCGAGACGGTGGGGGAGGTCAAGGAGTTGGAGGGTTGGGGTAGTGTGGAGTGCGCGAGTCTGCGCGAGGAGTTCCGGACGGAGATTAGGGAGTTGAAGGTGGTGAAGAGGAGTCAGGAGGAGGGAGAAGAGAGGGTAGAGGAGAGGGTAGTGCGCCATTTCCTCTTCTTGGGTTGGCCAGATTACGAAATTCCCGTGACTCGAGAGGACCAGGATGCCTTGCTGGAGTTGATCAGGATGTCGAGATTTCAGATCGATGAAGTGAGCAACGAAGATGGAGAGAAAGTAACCCCACCACGGATCGTGCACTGCAGTGCTGGGGTTGGGAGAACAGGGACATTCATTGCGTTGGATTATCTGTTGCAAGAGCTTGACGATGGAAGATTTGACGATATGGTAAACGGGGAAGACGATGAGACGGATTCAGAAAAGCAGAATGTGGATCCTGTCTTTGAAACGGTAAAGAAGTTAAGAGAGCAGAGGATGTACATGGTTTATAAGCCTGGACAGTATGCATTCATCTATCAGATGCTGAGGCAGAGATGGGAAGCGAGAAAAAAGGGTGTTCAGACTCCATCAATAGGGGGAGAAGGTTTGGAAAACGTCCAGGTATCCCCGACGAAGAAGAGGAAACTGGTTCAGAACGGATCAGGTAATGAACTGGATGTGGATACGAAAGATGATGATGAATTGGACGTGGACACGAAAGAAGACTCATGAAACGAAGATCATCTTTATCAGTACTGTCTCATTCGCACAGTAGCATGTACAGCGATGGGGTCCCTATTGTATGTCTTCTATGTGTTGAATAGCGTTATTCAAGTCAATCTCTATTAGGACTCCATATTCCCCCTTTCCTTGTCGACTCTGAATCGAAGTATACCGCTATATCTCTTCTATTGAGAGAAATTACTCGCCGTTGCTCGGAATAGGAAACAAGCTACGTGGAATGTTCAGTTGTGAAAAGCATTATTATGTATTGCAAAATCTCCGAGAGATTTCATGGCCTCTTAACCTTACACTACTAATACATTTCTGGGGTAGGGACAGTGTATCGAGAATCCCAAAGATCCATACCTATGCTAGAAAACCATGCTGCGGTGCGATAATGCACAACATTAATTAGATTTCCTGGCCCCTCAGAATAGTCCCTCAGTCCCTTCTGGACTCTCTCCTGCTTCCTCGACTTCTACTTCTTTTCCTATCGCGATCCCTGTCTCTACTCTCACTTCTGTTTCTCCTGTGCCGATCCTTGTCCCTCTCACCGTCGCTATCTCTGTCTGCGTCCCTTTCCCTTCCACGACTCCTACTCCTTTCCCTCCTCGAATAATCCCGTTCTCTCCTCACATACGGGCTGCGGCTCCTACTCCTCGCCCTAGTCTTCTCCCGATCCCTACTCCTATCCCTTCTGCGACTCCTACTGCGACTCCTCCGACGGGGTTTTTCATCGTCTCGCGAACGTCGCCTTTCACGGTCCCTCTCCCTATCCCTGTCTCTGCTTCTCTCGCGCTTCCGTGTTGGACTCCGTGCAGTGATACTTGACCGACGATCGCTCCTGCTTGATGCTCCAGGTACATATCGATCGATGTCGACTGGACTCGTAGACCTCATGACTCTGCTTCCACGTCTGTCAATTGAACTCCTGGATCTGCTTCTAGCACGAGGTGATCTTCCACGATCTTTATCCCTTTCCCTATCACGAGACAAATCTCGCTTTCTGAGGGAAGTCGGGCTGGTGATATGACTATCTTCCCTGTGTCTTGGTGTCATGTGATCGTCCTTCTTCCTGTCACTTAACCCGGGAATTGGTAGCCCCTTTTCTCTCGCTTCCTTTTGGGCTGCGAGGTAGGCTTTGGCTTCCAGTTCTCGTTCCTTGACCTGAAGCTGCTTCCAAGCTTCCTTTTCTTCGAGAGTAGACATGTGCCTACGAGAAGGGCTTGCTGGACGAACTCGATCCCGGTCTCGATCCCGGTCTCGATCCCGGTCTCGCCTGTCACGACTACGTGAGCGATAGCTTCTTCGGCGATCACGGGAACGAGAACGATCCCGACTATCGTCCCTGTCTCTGTCCCTACTTGATCTGCGACGTCGGTCATACCGATCTCTGCTATCTCTCCGGCGACGATCATCTCTGTCCCTGCTGTCACGGCGCCTTTCACGGTCCCGACTGTCTCGTCGTGATCGCACAGACTCTCTATCCCTTCGGCTGTCGAACTCTTCATCCCCAACCCGTGAATCGGCTAAGCGCCGGTCGTCACGTTCCCTGCTATCACGACGACGTCGGCTCCGGCTCCTGCTATACCTCCGAGTTGAGGTGCGATCACGACTTCGGCTCCTGTAGCTGCTTCTCCTATCACGACTATCGTACTTCTTCTCTTCATCGGCAAGTTTTGCGACACCAGTTGATTCATCAGCTTTGGGCTTTGACGAAGATGCCTTCTTGACTTCTACTGACTTGGCGGGTGAATCTCGAGATATGGGGTTGATAGCTGAAGCAGGCATGCTCTTGCGTGGTGGAGGGGCGAGTGTCTCGTCAATCTCAAGTTCGAGCTGATGCCTCGATCTTTGTGCGACACGTTTCCCTTCCTTTAGAAGATCATTCAAAGCTTCTTGTTCAAGCTGTTCGATCTCCTCCTTCGTCAATTCCGGTTTCGGTACAGGATCCTGGGTCTCTTTCGTAGAGTGTTTGTGCCTCGAATCGTCCTCATCGTATCTTCTTCGGCGGTCATCCCGGTCCCAGTCCCGGTCCCTATCCCTACCTCTATCCCTTTCCCTTTCCCTCTCTCTCTCCCTCTCCCTCTCCCTCTCTCTGTCTCTGTCTCTCTCCCGATCTCTCTCCCTGTCCCTCTCTCTATCTCTCTCCCTATCCCTTTCTCTAGCTCTTTCTCTCTCCCTCTCCCGCTCACGTTCGCGCTCACGGTCACGTTCTCGTAATTCCCGTTCACGTTCCTCTTCACGTTCACGCTCAGCCCTCTTTCGCGCCTCTCTCTCTTCTTTTTTCCTCTCCTGCTCAGCCTCAAGCTTCTTCTCCTCTTCTCTCCTCCTCGCCTTTTCTATTTTCCTTCTCTCCTCGAGGAGCGCCCGTTCCTTTTCGCGTGCTTCCTCTCTGATCTTCTCCCGCGCTGCTCTCTTCTTAGCAGCTTCTTCGGCATACTGCTCGTCTGTCTTGCCACCCCTAGCCTCCTCTGCGGCCGCTGCTTCCTCGCCGATTTCCTCCCTTCTCAGGGTCCGGATCCCGGTCTCGATCTCGGTGAGATGCGCATCAATCAATTTGTCCAGTCGGGCCTCAGCCGATTGATAAACGCCCGCGCGGTCAACAGCACCTTCGATCAGGAGGGTTGCTTTGCTGCGATCAAGTTTCAGAAGTTGTGACGGGTTCTTCTCCAACTCCTCTTCCGCCACTTTGAGCAGGGACTGTGTGAACTCGGTCTCAAAATCCTGCCGCCACTGTTAGAAGTAAGAACTGAAACCAGCAACCTTGAGACTCACGCTTCCAACTAGATCCTCCCAAACTTGCTTGCGGAGAGTATCGTAGCCTCCCTTCTTCTTGAATGTATGCGCCAATCCCTCAATAGCAGCGCGGGTCGCAGAGGCAAGGGGCAGGTCGGATGTCTTCAGCTTCTTGCGAGCTGGTCCCGCAGTCGCCTTATCATCCTTCGTGTACGCCATCGCAGCGGCCATGTTAACAGAGCCTGCTTATGACATTGAGATATGGAGATCGATCGATCGCGGTGAACGAAAGATTGAAGGCGCGTCACTTCGGCAAGCACCGCACGCAGCGTCGCCAAAATGTCAAGGGACCTGAATTACTATCCAGCTCACGTGATTCGCCGGTAGATTTTAGCGCGACAAGCGACTTGAGTGAGCTTCACTTCCGACCTCAGCTTCGGACGCAGGAGCAAGCAATTGAGAAGGCACAACTACTCCGCACAGCCCGCAGCGATCGAAGCACAGGGACAGCGACTCCTCCAAACCCACACACACACACGATCGGTTGATCGACTCTCACAATGGTTTCCAAGGTCCTCTTCTGGGGCGGTTTCGGTCCGTACTTTCCATTCCCCCCCCACTACATCCGAGATATCAGGAACCCCGGCGTCCTGGTGAATCCCCTCTCTTTGTTTGGGCCTTGAAACTAATCATCGTTGTGCGTCCAGGCCTCGCGGTCCGCTTCTGGCAACTCGGCCTCGAGATGAGGCCTTTCTTCAACAAGGGATCGCTGTGGGCGTATCCAGTCTTTGGGGGTGCCGGTGCAGGTTTTGGGTACTGGTTGCAGAGCGTGGATGACAACCAAAGATCTATCCTGGAAGAGAGAAAGAAGTCTTTATTGGAGAAGAGGGCGAGGAGGGCAGAGAGAGCGGCCGCCGCGGCCGAGGCTGAGGCATAGGGGATTGAAATGGTGAAGGAATAGGGGAGCGCTCATATTAGAGAGGAGGGCATTGTACAAAGCTATCACGAAGTCCAGCAATCAACCACCATATATATCCGGAGATAGCTTGTTAAGGAAGACATGTGATGTCCAGTTTCCGAGGCAGGGCATTGTGAATATTGAACACTGCACAAGGCTTTTGGGTAATTCAAAAGTGTCAATTAATACAATATCTTACACCATAGGAGCCCATATTCTCGTGCTTAAAATGCGCATAAGGAGACGTCCATATGGCCTTTTCCCGCCATGTACCTCAATTGACCTAGCCTGACCCTTATTGACTCTCATTCCCCAGCCTGTGAAGCACTGGCACCGAAGTTGGCGGCACACTGCCTGATTCCGTGACTATCATATGGATGAATTCCGCCGGCGTGACATCATACATGGGATTGCATAGCTGGAGCTTCTTCACATCCTTCCACTTCTCTAGTGGCCCGCCCGGGATGACCAACTCGTCAGCTGGTGCGATCTCGTTGTGAACGATGGAGTCCAGCGCGACTCGCTCGGTAAACTTGATCGTTTCACATAGAACAAGTACTGGTTTGTCTGCCTCGTTGGCTTCCATGGCAACAAGCGCAGTTCCAATCCGTGAGAAGAGCCGGCCATTGCTCATCATCGCGTGAGCGCCAAGCAATACCTTTGTTGCGTCTTGGATGTTGTGGGCCAGCCCATTGATCAAGCAGTACTTGACGTCTATTCCCAATCCTACCAGTGCTGCTGCTAAATGCTTCCCCTCGAACAAAGGTCTCGAGTCAATAATGATCACCTTGAATCTCTTTCCATCTTCGTGCGCCTTAACCAAAGCTTTTTGGACTATGCTACTCTTAGCATATGTTAAGATAACATCGCCATCTTTGATTTTGTCAGCTGTGCTTTGAGCTATGACCTGGTCGGCAAATGTAACTCGCTCGCGGATAAATATGTCAATAGCTTCGCAGAGGCCCTTTTTGGCTTCTGCTTCTGGGATGTCAATATCAACTTTCGATATCTCCAGCTTTAGCCATCGGATGGCATTCCCCATAGATATTGAGAGCGGCCGACATGATGACAAATACTCAATGTTTGGCGACAAAACGTGGGATGTAAGATGTCGCGTGAGCGTATTGCCAGGGGGCGTTGTATATGATTCAATAACCTTTGTAATATTAGCAATGATTCTCCCGCAAGACAACCAGGACATGTAAAAGACACAGAGGCATTTAAAGCTCTCATTATCAAAGACTCACCTTCTTGAATGCTTGTAAGGTAGCTACAAGCCTTGCACAGCTCCCACATATCGTATAATTGCTCATCTGTAGCCCAAGAGCCAAGACTGCCGGGTGAACTTCCTTGCCAGCCCCCGCAATTGAAGTTGTCCTTGTCTTGTACAAGTGCCGGAAGAACTCAACGGTCTTGTCTTCCTCCTTTGGCACTTCAGGAGCAGCAGCTGCCCGTTGTACCCCTCCTCTGATTGGAATGTTCTGAGCATTTCCTGACGTTGATCCTGCTCGTTTGAGCTGTCCTTTGGCTCCCTTTTGCCCTTCAGCTTTTTGTCCTTGCCCAGAGGACGCGGGCAACGATCCTGCAGCTCCCCCTTGCCTCTCTTGTATTGCTTGGGCTCTCCGTGCAGCCTTCTCTGCCTTCGCTTGTTTCTTCAGCTCGAGCCCTGAGAGCTTTTTGGGCTCTGCAGGTGTTGCAGCATCTTGGGGCTTCGCTGAATTTGCAGCGCCTCCCTTGCCAGATGTCTGTGGTTGCGAGACTTCAGGCGTGTCTGGCTTGAGGGGCTCCGTGGCCGTGGGGGGATCAGAGGGCGACATGCTCGTATCCTCCCAGAGCGGGCTTTACGTTTGTTCTGTAGAATTGTAGTCCGTAGTTGTATTCAGAGACTCAATTATCTGTGTCGTGCTATGTGGAAATAATGCCCCCCAGGAATGTATTTGGTGCAGATGAGTCACTTTTGTCTTGGATCGGGGTAACAGTCCTTAAAGCCGTGGTGCTCAGATTTGTCAAGAGTTTAGAAACACAGGTAGATGATTGAGAGACGAGCTGAGAACTTGGATAGCAATAATCGAGTGAATAGCGTTTGCGGCTTAAATTCACCTGTGTGGTACCAGGCTGAGAATTTCGAGGTATATCACTAGCGCGTCTAATCCCTGCACGTTCCCGCGAGGCAAGGCACGGCTACCAAATCAACCTATCTTCCCAAACCAGACAACGTTGAACCTCCATCATTTCAATTACAGTATATCAAGATGCCTCCTAAGCGCATGACCGCGAACCCCATCAAGGCGCCTCGTTACCGTCCAGGCAAAGCTGTTCCCGAACAAGACTCCTCAGATTCAGAAGCCAGCGATGAGGAAGTTCCCTCCCAACCCATAGCCGCACCACCAAAAGTCACCACTGCAGAAGGAATCACAAGTAATCTCAGCAAGGTTGATCTCAATGAGCGGCGGAGGCTTGCAGCTGCGAAGGAGGCAGCAAGGTTGGAGGAAGAGAAGGCCTTGAAGGCGAAAGAAGAGGAGGGATTCGTGACTGAAAGCGAGGAAGAGAGCTCTGAGGAAGAAGAGGGTAGCGAAGAGGAAAGCAGCGAAGAGGAGAGCGAGGAGGAGGCGCCGAGGAGGGTTATGATGAAACCTACGTTTATTAAGAAGGACAAGAGGAATAATGGTACTACGACAGCGAAAGATACCAGAACAGAGGAGGAATTAGCTGCAGCAGAGGAAGCAAGGAGGAAGGCCGCCGCAGACGAGATTGTCGAAGAGCAAATAAGGAAGGACCTAGCCGCTAAAGCGGCTGGCAAGAAGAATTGGGACGATGAGGAAGATGACGAGGATGACGTGGACGACACAGATGATCTGGATCCGGAAGCAGAGTATGCAGCGTGGAAGCTGCGGGAGTTGAAGAGGATAAAGAGAGATCGGGAGGCAATTGAGGAGAGAGAAAAGGAATTGGCGGAGATTGAGAGGAGGAAGAACCTCACCGAGGAGGAGCGAAAGGCCGAAGACGACGCATTCCTCGCGAAACAAAAGGAAGAGAAAGAAAGCAAGGGCAAGATGGCTTATATGCAGAAGTACTATCACAAGGGTGCTTTCTTCCAGGACGACTTGAAGTCGCAGGGATTGGATCGCAGGGATATCATGGGTTCAAGGTTCGCCGACGATGTCCAGAATCGCGAGTTGTTACCTCAAGCCTTACAGATGCGGGACATGACGAAGTTAGGCAAGAAGGGCGCAACCAAGTACAAAGATCTCAAGACTGAAGATACAGGTCGCTGGGGCCAGTTCGATGATAGGGGTCCAAGAAAGGGAGGCCCTGGAGGCTTCAATGTGGACGAGCGATTCATGCCGGATAGAGAGAGGGGCAGGGATGGAGCAAGTGGTGCTAATAGCATGCCAGTGGCCGACCGGAAGAAAGTTGCTGGCGCACCTGAAGGTCCAAGATCGATGCGTGAGAGCAGTGATCGGCCGAGAGATGGAGGAGATTCTTATCGTCCCGGCAAGAGAGATGAAAGAGCACGTTCAAGGTCAAGGTCGCCGAGACGGGAGAGATACGACGATGACAGAAACCGGCGCAAAAGAAGCAGCTCTAGGGAGGTGGATCGTTACGAAAGTGACAAACGTCGGAGAGTAGACTCAAGATAGCGCTCATCAATCATCAAATTCAAGCTCACGGACACATTATGTTCCTCAACCCTTTTTCCCAAACCCAGTAGACGCCGTGACCCCCATAAAAACGACACCCTTTACTGTTCTCATATCCTTAAAATATCTACTCGTGCTCTCTCAAAAAGCTTGTGGCCAATCATGGTCTTCGAATGTCTCTCCTCATCGGTCATAGAAGCAGGATGTATTGTCAACCTCGCATATGTACCTGCCCCTCTTCGTTTTGAAAGGAACCCTGGATTGATAACAAGAACACTTTCCACAACCTGTGGAAATTAGCCAGGGACGACAGTACATTTGGGAGCTTTAGCATACCTTTGCAAACGGCGGCAGAGCACTTGGGATAATCATCAAGTCGGGGCGCACATTGACCATCTCACCCAGCTTCAAATAGCTCACATCAAGCATCGCGCCAGCGGGCTTTCCTTCCGCGGTACCCGTCTTAGGGAGGCTTTCCCGATCCGATGGAGGGAAAAGGGGGAAGAAGTTGCGCTGTTCAATCAGGTATTTCGGCAATCGGGCAAGCAGAGACGAATCTTTAAGTTTCCCTCCTATGACTTCCTCGTTCCGTAATTGTGTGAAGATGTCTAGGGATGAAATCCCAATAGAAACTTCGTTGAGTGATAGAGTCATTGGATTTCCAATGATCTTAGCAGTTTTGGGTAGGCCTAGGTCTTTTCGAGGAAAGGGTTCTTGAGGCCATGAGACATGTTTACTCACGGCATCTTTGACGGAAGGAACCAGAATGATGGTAATGTGGGGATTGGAAGCCACGAGCTGGTTCAATGCCGGAGAGATTAGGTATTTGAAGACAGTTGACATTGTAATAGTGTCTGGTTCCGCCATAGCTTCTTCTGGAAGATCAAAGTCGCCCGAGGCGATGAGAGGGTGATCGATGTCGATGAAAGGACCAGCAAGAATCAGTGCGTCGGCGTATGTGTCCGCTGCCTGGCTGCAAAGCGCATGCAGTGGCTCGAAATCCAGGTTGTCATCTGCTGTATAGGGTCCAGAACCTAACAGAATGTTCAAAGGCGCGGGAGGAGTGTCGGAATCCATAGCATCCGGGTCACCTCTTAGTCTTTGTATGTGAGCCTCGAGTCCAGAAGGCGTCGAGGCAGCAGATTTCAATAGGGGTACTTCTAAGACCTCGCTCACAGTGAAATCCTGACCAGAAGCATTAATACCCCTCAGCGCAACAATCTGACCCGGAAAGAATTGAAATCCTGGCAGAGAGTCGACTTTCAGTGGAACCCGCAGCCCTCCGCCCATCCGCCGAGACGTCTCCAATACAAGGGACGAAGCATTGAGTTTCCCCTCAACAGAATCCGACGCAATTCGTCCTATAGCAACTATCTCATTGGTGCTTTGATTTGCAGCACTCCCGAAGGCAGAATCCTCAAGATTCAGGTGTTCTTGGACAAGGCCCATAAACTCATCTATTCGATCATCCAGAATCTCAGACGCCTCGGAGGACTTCATAGCCAATGGCTTGTAGGAGAGCTTTTTGATGTCTGAATTGGCGACCAGCTTTATTCGTGGTTCCGCATAGGGGGCTATCGGTGGTTCTGGAACTGCAAGGTGTTGATTGAGGACTTCGACTTCCTGGCCTGCGTTTGTGCGGTCATTGAAAGAGGTTCTGTGGATGATTAGCCCCCACTCATGAAAACACCCTTCCGACATACTGTACTTGGCCACTAATCTTATCGCGTGGCGTCTTGAAATCAGGTGGACTGCTGGTAGGTTCTGCCTTCACTCTCGACATAGAAGGTGTTTCGAGATTCCTCCGCTTGCTCGTGGAATTGAGTTTATTCGCTGAGCCAACCCGTGGAGTGTTGGGTACAAGTCCATCCAATCTATAGATGACTTAGCACTGGAGCGATCTCGAAAGGTTCCCCTTCTTACATTCCAAAAACATCGCCGCTGTTCGTCACATTTCGAGGTGTTGCGCCTCCACGTTTGTTGGAGTTCAGAACCTGCACCTTATTCCGGTTCTCTCGTTCCAATCCATCCTGAACACTTTGCTTGAGGGCCCTCACAGTATCTATATTTAGTTTCATATCGTCCGAGCCCATTTTCATACTGTATGATTCCCATTTGTACCAAAGCTCTTGAGGATCGATCGAGTGTAACCGCATTATTGAGTTTAGTTCTGCGAGTACATCGGGTTCGAGATTGGGATTCGCTGAGGAAAAGAGCTCTTTGAGCTCCAAATCTGTGGATTCCGCCATAATTGCAAGTATATGCAGAAAGAAGAAAGTAGAGAGTTGTTCTGTTCGGTGTTGAAGAAGTAGGAGACGCGACGGGAGTCGCGTAAAGAGGTTCTAAAATTTCGCGACAAATGGATATAGCCACCCTGACCCCGCACATGATCCAGACGACCACAACTAAAACAAACGACATCCCTATTGAACCTATTCTATAGATTGACTCTTCTCTTGAATAATGGTTTGTGAGGCGTGTACGATTAGCAAGGTAACTTTACAGAGAGTAGCTGATCCTTTTGTTGCCCAACGTGTATGTGTAATATTATCTTTTGATCTTCATGAGAGCACAATTTGAGGGTCAACTTGTCCAGCCAATTCTTTCGTGTATTCCCAGCTCTTATTCGACAAGACATGAGCCATAATGTTATATTTCCAGGCCTTTGCTTGGAGTTCCAAATCTCAACTAACCTATTCTATTTTTGGGTCTTCTAAAAGTGATGAGCATAGAAGTGTGCAAAATGATGTAAAGAATCTTAGGGTACCAATAGCCCAGCCCAGCCCCTCTGAGCTACCGTTAGGACACGATCCCGTACACCATATCTATCCTCTAATCACAAATTTGTGGGCTTCGATATGTAGTTATCGAAACTGAGAGAATAGCGATGCTCACAAGGTGTAGTACGCCTCGTTGACTATACCTCGAAAATATCTCAAGTACATGATCCTCTAATTGCTAGTACCCTGACTGCCAATCTAAGACCTTGTTGGATACCCCTATAAGAACGATTGACTAAGTCTTAAATCTTTGGTGCTTTAGACTTCGTAAGTGAAGAAGGTTAAGGGGTCCGAATTGTAGGGTGGGGTTGAAAGGGATGCAAAATGGTCTTCGGACGACTTGTAATGACCCCTATTCCCTTATATTTATCAAGTTTCCAGAGCGTTGGCCATCATACGCTGCTCATTATTCGTATCCGAAGTCACGCAGCTAGATCTGATACTCAATTCTAGTCTTCATCTTTTTCAAGATCGAAAATGATTTCCGGGTGATAAATTAGAGTTTCAGTACTTACCGTCATAGTTTCATATCTCAACACGGGATTCTAAGGGGGGCTTAGAGAAGTGTACAGATTAGCAGGATCCTTGTATAGATGCACCAGATTCTAATGCTATTGAAAAGACACCACTTTTCTTTCGCGATTGAATCAATATTAAGCTAATATCAAAAAGAGGGGCGGACATTTTGTTGAGACGTTCGTTCGTGTGGGCCGGGCCGCAGGCTGCGCCAGGAAGTTTCTTCGTGACGAATCCATGACCACATTATCATTCGCTATGATAGTTGAAGCTTTGAGTTGAGAAGAGTTTTGGATTCACTAAATCCTATGGGTTGTGTGCTTAAACTGTTGGCAACCACGTCAAGAGATACTGTATTCGTAAATAGGAAATCGATAGTCATGGAGTCATAAGCTGGGTTTGAGGAGAAGGGCAGTGTGACTCCGTTGTGGGATGCCTGTGGTCTATGGTTCACTTTCCATAGCCATGCCACACAGTACCTAGTGTCTGCTGAAGCCCCCGCCTGCTTGTATCCATTGTTTACTAGAATATAGAAAGTTTTGAATAGGGGTTCAGAAGATCTATAGCCTCAGAGTAGCGCGAACCGCAGGATCATGAAGCATAGGGACTTGGGTGAGATCCCAGAGATCACAAAGAACCTTATTGCTCCTAACAAGCTCCGGGAATAGTCAGAAAGAGAGAATCGTGAAAAGTTACGAGCGGCTCCGCACCGTACACTCGTCGGAGCGCCCCGACACGTCCCCTGAAAAGGCTCAAACTCTGTTGAGTCCGGTCAAAAATTTTGCTTGTCTCTTTGACGGGCGGTGATGCGGCGTGGCCTCTAGTTTCTCCTCTTCATACCCGTTTTACGCTTTCAGGGGCGCAACCGCCGCGACGGCGTTTTTGAGAGCGAGTCACGGGCGCTGGAGGAAAGGACAAGGCCGAGAAAGGAGAACTTTTCCAAGCATCGAGTAAAATGGCGGCATGGCCAGCCTATCGGGAATTTTCCTGGGGCATGCCAAAATGACTGGCGCCGGGATTGGCTCGGGATGCGACACCCCGCTAAAAGGTTCATTTTTAGGGTAAGGAAGATTATTTTCTTGGTGTCGCGTGTAAAATCGACTCGTCGAGGGGTTTACAGATCGACGGGGCCGAGACTGAGCAGAGTGGATCCCATCGAGTAATCAGCTGGTGTACGGACCGTAGCAGGGCGCCAGGGCGAGTGGCGCAGAGCATGAAGCAAAACGTGCTCGTACGAGAGGAAGAGAAAATAAGACGCAATTATGATTCTTACTTGTGGTGTTTCTGTGGGTACTTAGGTAATGGCATTGAATCCGGGGAGGGAGAGTTGGAAGGTTGATGCAAACTCACAGTTCTCGACTCTCATGCAGTAAGGTATCCTGACATACTGGACGGTCCAGCACTCTACATACAGAGTAAGTGATTGTCCCCGTTGGCATCAGCCTACACGCGTCCTGGAGCTCGCCGTCGTTGTCATTTGCATCAGATATTGCGAGCATTCCGACTGCATCGAGTCAGCAGATTCCATTACTTCATCACTTCCCCCTCTCTCAGGCTCTCTGGCTCTCCCCTTGCGGGCTGAAGTGACCCGGCCGGTCTGTTGGCAGTAAACAACGCGCACCGTCCGGCATCGTGAGGAGAGGCGTCCAGCATGTGACCGTCCCCGAGGAGATCTGAAGTCGAGGATCAACAGCTTCGCGCGAGATTACCATGGCTGTAGTTGTTCTTTTGCGGGGTTACGACAAGCCACCTTCAGGCTGTCGGTCTCGATCTTCGCCTTCCCCGCATTTGCCAGAGACGAAGACGCCACGGCATTCGGGAGGCGGTCAGGCAATCGGCGGTTGGGGCTTGATCAGTTGGGAACTTGAAGTGGGAACTAGGCACAATAATAATAGTAATGATAACTGGCTTCTGTATTTGCTTTTGCTGCGTCGGGCCTCAGCCTCGTCGTCGTCCATGTCCGAAGGTCGAGCCTCGTGCTGAGACCAGGAACTCCCGCGGCCAGACGGCGGCGGTCCTAAGCACAAAGGTCGGAAAAACATCGAAAGTATTGGCGGAAGAAAGCTGCCGAGACCCTGACACCTTGACAAGCCCTGACGAGCAGAAAAGCGCGATGGGCTCTCCTGCTAAGACTTTAGCCTAGCAGGGCGAGGAAGGCCACAACTAAACGTAATCCAAACAGGGATTGCGTGCGCTTTTCGTTGCTCACGTAGTCATGAGGTTACGAGCCGATGAGCCCCAGGTCCAGCTTTGCACGGCAACGCTTCATAGGAGGCACATGGTGACATCGTGACACATAATTCCGCGTTTTTTTGGTGCCAGGAATTGGGAAATAACCATTGCTTTGCCCATAAGTATAAATGCGTGCCCGGCCCGGGCGCGGCGCCTCCAAAGGAGAAGAGCGCTTTTGTTTACTTTGCCCAGTAATAAATACAACATGCATTGCGCTTCACCTCTTGCTTAACTGTTGAGCATTTTGAGAGCTGAGAGCAGAGAGCATCCGTCGTCCTTTCCGCCCTTGCTCCGACTGACCGGTCATTCATCGCTTTATTTTCCCCTCTCCGTCTTCTTCTTCTTCTTCTTCCCCTTCTTTCTTTCAGAAACCTCCACCTTCCACCACCTTTGACCACCGTTGGCCGCATTCCCAAGAATAGTCACAGGCCCTGCCAAGCATTCTGCCGTTCTAGAGTGTTCCAGGGTTAGAGTCGGCCTAAGTCGTCATAACGAGTCGATCTCCGCATTTTTTTTTAGGAGGGGCACATCCGCAAATAAATATCGCCAGGGTCGCCAATTATTCGTCGCCAATATGCCGCACCGAGTCGCAGACTTCTTTCGAAAAAACTCAATTCCTCTCGATCTCCCCGTTGATTTGACAGGAAAACCCCGTCGCCTGTCAGGTAGCAGACCGTCCCTTTCAGATCGTTCATCAACAGCTTCTTCGGCTTCTTCCCTCGCTTCAGAAGACAAGAGCGCCAAAATGCCCGATGCCTACAAGCGCCTCTCTTTCCCAGGCCGCTCACACTCTCCAAGAAGCTCGTCCAAATCTCTCGCACATCAATCTGCTACGCTCGATGTTGTGATTGAATCTCCTCCATTGGTCTTCTATGGGCCCGCAGAATCCAGCTCTGGCGCATTACTGTCGGGTCAAATCGTCCTTAATGTCCACGACGAGGCGTTGCCGATTGATTCGTTTAAGATGCGATTGGCGCTGGAGGTGACAAGGAAGAAGCCGTTCCACGCACACTGCCAGGATTGCATGCATCAATCAACTGATTTGACGACCTGGAATTTCCTCCCAGGCCCTGCAACTCTACGGAAGGGTAGGTCAATGCCGTGTTTTTTTGCGGGGTGATTCTCGCTAACGAGTATTGCAGGTGAACATAGCTTCCCATTCAGCTTCTTGCTACCCGGCAGCCTCCTCGTCACAGTCAAGAACGGTCTCTCTATAATAGATTATGTCCTGAGAGCAACCCTGTCTCCTAAGGTGGGCGAGCCTCTGAAGCTATCCCATGTCCTCAATGTTAAGCGAGCGATATACCCCTCCGAGTTACCCCGCCACTCCATCCGCATTTTCCCTCCTACGAATCTCACAGCGAACTGCACGCTACCAGCGGTTATACACCCCATTGGTGAGACTACCGTACATATGCGCATGGATGGTATCTTGCAACGAAATACAGAGACCAAAACTCTGACACAGTGGAAATTGAAGCGATTGACATGGCGTCTGGACGAGACGCAGAAGGTTATATCACCTGCATGTACGAAGCATGCTGCGAAGTTTGCCAACCCTGAAGAAGCCAAGAAGGGTGTGGCACATCAGGAGGTCCGAACACTAGGTACAGAAGAGCTCAAGTCCGGATGGAAGTCAGACTATAGTGGAGCAGATGGTACCATTGAAATGGAATTTCCATTTGGGATCAAAGCCAACAGCAATCCGATCTGCGATATGAAGGCCGACGATGGAACCGAGGTTTCACATGTCCTGATCGTGGAGATGATCGTTGCGGAGGAATTTGCACCTCTTAAGAGGCCCAGTCAGCTCACACCAACAGGCGCTGCCAGAGTTCTGAGGATGCACTTTAACATCACGGTTACAGAGAGGGCAGGCCTAGGAATATCTTGGGACGAGGAACAACCACCCACCTATGAGAATGTTCCAGCTAGTCCTCCTGCCTATATAACGGCGAAGCTGTACGATGGAGAACCAATCCCAGACTATGAGGACCTGTCTCTGGATCACACTGTCGACGGTGCATCTGAAAGAAATGCTACTGCGGTCAGCGCTCCTACCGGTTCTGGACACTCCACCTGATGGTTTCGAAGCTTTGGTGATGTCTGGGACAGAGTGAGCTTATTTTTCGCATGTGGATTGGTTATGAGCGTGATATCATGGGAAATAGGAGTCGAGTTTTTTTTGTTGGCCCTTAGTGGCTAGGACTGAAGGCATGCATAGGCGGATATACCCGTGATTCATTTGAGCGGAATCACAATTCTCGGCGCATGGAAGGCAAAAGTGCTTTTTTCTGTTATCTTCTCCTCTCAAAGGTATCTTGGCGGTACAAGGAGTCGTTTTAGTAATTTTTGCAAGATACCCAGGACTGTTCCTAGTATATCTTTGGCAGTATCAGAACTGTCCTAGGAGCATTAACAAGACCATCTTAATATGAAAAGATAAGACCCATCTGCAGAATGTGATACTGAGTACAGAGTAGAATGCTTCCTGCTCTCTTACAGTACAGGACCTACCTAATAGTTGGACCTAAGAACTTGGAGGTCCTGTTGAATCATGGCTTTGTTATCATAGGTGATATTTGGCCATATAGCTTCTAAGGTGGTCGAGGGGATGTAGCTCGTGAGCAATATACGAACGTCCGAGAATTTGATAAGTCCATGGAGTCTAGGCACTGGGATAGTGGGCGCATTTGAGGCGAGGAGCTGGAGAGAGGTATATTCTGCAATTGTCTCCGTTTCCCATGATGATCTTGGCGACGATCTTGCATTTAAGGACAACGCCCCTCACAGGATTTTCCCACAACTTTTCGCCAGTCGATATCATTCTTTTCAAGGCATCCACGAGTGTTGGATTGAGGCATTTCTGGGAGGTTTCCGCTAGTCACGAAATTAATTAGCCTCGGTGGTTAAAGAGCTAGACTAAACCCCATTTGGGTAGTCAGGTGTCGCAAAACAGGTAACGATTGGGATCTTGATGGGTCCTCGCTAAATATAGGGGGAAGCGAGGGAGGCTAAGGAAACTTAAATCGCACTGTCCAGGACTAAAACAAACTTAGAGCTCTCATCCAAATTCCGACGTCCACTCATCCACTCATTCATCTTCGTTACGAATGAGATTCGTGCTACCGTTGTGGAATGATATTATAATTTACCTTGACCATCTCATGTCATTGCACAGACGAAGCTAGTCTGAGGGAAGCCCAGCAGAGGGATTGTTCTGAAAGGACAGGCGGTTACATTTCCTTTTAGAGCAGATATGACATTTTTTCCAAGTGGGACAGACATTGCTCTAAAGTAAATCAGCCTTCCAAGATATCCTCAGGGCTAAAAGAGCAATGAGTAGTGTTGAATCCATCTTTGAAGCGCATATTCCTGGTCGTTATGCTAGGCAACCCAATCCCTAAAAGAATAACAAGATGTAACAAAAGGAGTCACTGTAAAGCATTGCATGGCTTTGTTATTTCTTCTTTGTCAGGGCTTTTAAGAAAATGCACATGGTTGTTTCTGTTGCCTCTTGCTATCTACTTTCCTTGATCTTGGGCCTTTGATCATGACATTCTCACGATGTCCCCGTAACATAGGACGGGTGATTTGTGCTTTGGGTAGGGAGCTCCAATCCACGAAACAACTCTTCGTAACCAAATTTTGATATCCACCCGCGGCCTCCTCTCTTCTCGAGTCCCTCTTCTTATGTAATTCTACTGAATGCCCCTCCTTGTGATCTTCTGTACTTGTTTACTCGGTCTTTCCAACACGGCTCCTGGTCCCTCACCACTTTTTGGACAACCACAACTGAGGGATCTCGACGCGTCTAGCGATTTCATCCTTTGATCTCGTAAGCTTCCCTTCATCCTCTGAAACAGATCTATACTCAGAAACCAGGCAATCCTCGAAAATGGCCAGACCATTTAGCCAAGGTGATACACGTTCCCCATCTCTCCATTCATCTACACGCGTACTAAGTGGCCTGAACTATAGATCGCTTTCCGAGAAAGAGGAAGAAGACTTCAGGTTTTAGGCTTAGTCCGATTGCAGAGGTATTATAGGGCTTCCCAGATCCAGAAACTACACCCAAGGCTAATGTATACAGTCCATAGACCCACTAGACTTCTACGGAGGAATGCGCCCACGACCCTCCTCTGCTTCCGAGCTGTCAACTCCACTCGACAAGTTTACCTTATTCATGGAACTCGACATCAAAATCCGCACTAAGATCTGGGGTTTTTCTGTCGTCCCTGCGCTCGTCCCATGGGGCGGTGATGGAAGAAAAGTCCCCTCGATTCTCCACGTACACCGGGAGTCTAGGAAGTTGGCACTGAAGCGTTATTGGCTTGCTCACTGGTCCTTAAATCTGACCAACCAACCAAGATATGTCCACTTGTCGCAAGACATACTCTATCACGACTCGAGCGTCTCTCGACTCATGCCATGGGGCGACATGGTCATGCCACCTCTCTGGCTTCGCAATGTCGAACGAATGGCCGTCGACCTCCGTTCCACCGTTCATCTCGAAAAGGGCGAGTCCGGCAAAGTCTGGCGCGCCAAACCCGAACTCTGGTCCGACATCAAGCTTCGATGCCCGAAATTGAAGGAGCTTCTCTTCCTCTTGGAATCTTGCGCGGTTGCTGGTAGTGCTCTGGAGGACTTGGTTGAGGTTCGTAGCTTTTATGTATGTTCTTCGGCGGAGTTGAATAGGGCGGTTTCTGTCCTAAATTCTTTCGATAACTTGCCAGGGGAGGAAAAGCTCGAGGAACTGGAAATCAAGTTCATGGAGGCGAAATGAACTTAGCGCATTAGATGAAGATGGGAATGATATGAAACAGGTCTGAAGTTTGGCGAATTCATACCGGGTGGCCAGGTCCGGTTTACTCTACTCTTCTCTCTCCTCTACGTTACGGAGCTTCTCAACCTCGGGGTTTTCCTCGAACTACACGAGTATCCAATGGACAGAGCAAAATCATACGTTGTAGTTAGGTCTGAAATGAAGTTTCATACCCCAGGGCCTGTTTTTGAGATGGTCAGTGACGCAGTTCGTATGTCTAGTTGACAAGTAAGTTCAAAGCAAGCTATGATAACTCTATATTATTTCGTTAGCAGGGTCCGCACGAAGAACCCAGGGGCTTCATTCTTTCTATCCCGCAAGCTGCTAGATATCGATGCTTTCGTTCGGAGAGGACAAGGTTGGTTGGATATCTTTGGCTCCCCACCCTCCTCGGTGGGAGAAAAACATGTATATCCGTTCGAGGACCCGGACGAGGAGCCGTCCTCCCCCGGGGACACGCTGACGAAGAGGAGCAAGACGAGGGACCCCCGACCAAGAGACGGGCCCCAGCCAAATTCGCAGCATACCCAGGTACATAGGTACCTACCTAGGTAGCGGTAGAGGTAGCATCACGTGACACCCATTGAAAGGGAGGGAAAGCTTGTTGCACATCGCACCTCTGACAATCTTGGCAGCATCAACGTTGGGGTTTGATGGCAGTGAGATTAGCATCATGTGACATCAGAGGGCTTTGTTGCACATCGCATCAGCGCTCTTGTCCTGCGAGGTTTTGATGGCGCTGGAATTAGCGTCATGTGATATCATGGGGAAGTTTCGTTGCACATCGCAATTGCGCTCTTGTCCTGCGAGGTTTTGATGGCAGTGAGCTTAGCATCCCGTGATATTTTGGAGAAGTTCCGTTGCACATCGCAATCGCGCTCTCGTCCTGCGAGGTCTTGTTGGCAGTGAGATTAGCGTCACGTGATATCAGGGGGTTTCGTTGCACATCGCAATCGCGCCCTTGTCCTGTGAGGTTTTGATGGCGGTGGGATTAGCATCACATGACACTGGAGAGAATGGAAAGTTTGTTGCACATCGCATCAGTGATGAGTGGGGGAGCGTCGATGTTGGTATCCAGGTGGTGTTATATGCCGTGTCCTCTTGACTAAGGGGCACTTGCCCACAAGGGAACATCTGGCCAGTGCTCAAAAGTCTGATCATGAAGTAGCTGATGCATGGATTATCAGCTATCGATAGTGGCGTCTCTACAGATGAAGTGGGGGAAGCTTGCGGAGAGGCTGGCGCTGCCTTTACAATTGAAGGTTCGTGTGGATGAGCCGGGAACTTGGTTTGTGTATGGGCAATTATCACAAGTAGCAAACTCCCTTACACATACGTGCCTTATGATTCATGGTACCATTATTCTATGTCGTCTCTATGCCTGTATCCAAATACACACCAGTGGTATAATACATAATTCTCGGACTCAACTCAGCAACTCCTTGATATCCTCAATCCGCTGCAGCTTCTTTTCTTCATCGCTCATCATACCAAGTGAGCTTGCACTATTACGCAGATTAGAACTTTGCTCGTTTCATAAACGGGAGGGAGACTTACATAAACTTCTTGCGGTCCTGGACCTTCAGCATCCTCTCTTCCACACTTTCCTTTACGATGAACCTGCAAACCTTGACCTCGTCTACTTGCCCCATGCGGTGCACGCGATCAATAGCCTGAGCCTCGACGGCGAAACTCCACCATGGATCCATCATATACACCCTCTTCGCCATCGTCAGGTTCAAGCCTACGCCACCAGCTCGCAAACTGAGGAGGAGAACTATTCCTTTCTTGGATGTAGCAAACTCAGTGAGAACGGCAGCACGGGCCTTCTGGCTCATCGAGCCGTCGAGTCGGAGAAAAGGAATGGAGGCGCGGGTGAGAGCGGGTTCGATGAGAGAGAGGAAGGATGTGAATTGGCTGAAGACCACAGACTTGGTACCTGGAAGGTCTCTTCTCAAAGCTTTGAGATGGTTAAGAAGCGCACCGATTTTAGCAGAGGAGTTGGATCCCAATCTCTGCAAGCTGATTTTGGGCTTCCCATCCAAGCTGTCAGGATGCCCCTCATCCCTGACTACCTCAAATATATCGCGGGAATTGATAACTTCTCTGCAGTTGAAGCAGCGAGGCGATTCGCCTTTGTCCGTTTGATGCGTTATGTAGTCCAGAAGGCATTTTTTACAGGCCGAGTGCCAGCATCCTGTGACAGTCTGCTCGATCATTGGCTCTTCTGCGCAGATTGGGCATTCGTTCTCAGCCTCGTCACGTATTTGCTCGAGCACATGAGCGCCAAACCGATTTGCATCAGTAGAGTCTTCTGTGGCTGCAGTGAAGCGCTCGATCAGGGATTGCAGGTCCATATCGTCTTCCAGCCCACTGGCTGCGTTAGCTACTTCGGCAGCTTCTTCTTCATCTGCAACGATGTCTCGATTGCGGGTTAGGATAGGATGGCAGCAGGATTGGCGAAGTCGGAGAATCTGGGCAAAGATACTGGTATAGGCTTTCATAACTGTTCCGGCTTCAACGTTGGCTGCAAAAGCGCGTTTCGCGCGTGTAAAAATATGATCGTAGACCTCTCGTTCGGGCTTTGAAAGCTCGATCTCAACGATATCGATAGTCTTTGGAGGCAAAGGCACCAACGCCTCGCCCGTGGGTGTTTTCATGTCCTTCGTCCTTCGCAAGACAAGGGGTTCCAGAACAGTTTGAACAACATCAAGAGCCCGCATAAAATCTTTGGACTCGAATGGGACTGTAATAAAGGTCTTCCAGAATGAGAAATTGTTCCAAGGCTCTACTCTCAGGAAGCGGACTAAACTGAAGAGGTCTTCTAGTCGATTGACGATAGGAGTGCCAGTCAACACCCATCGATGCTCGGCTTCAATTTCATAGCACGCCTTAGAGCTCTTAGCCATCCTATTCTTGATATGATGAGCTTCATCCAATATCACACGGAAGTATCTCAAAGAAAATATTCCTGTTCCTCTGTCCCCGTTTCTGGCAACCACTTGGTTGAACTCCGAAAGTATGACACCGTAGCTGGTTATGATCACATTGGGCGCCGAAGCAGCGTTGGCCTCGCAGCATAAGGCTTGAAGGTTACTAGTTTTGTCGTTCCCATAATACACCATGCTTTTCAAAGTGCCCTCCTTCGAAGCATTCTCGGCCTCGCTCTGCCACTGAGCAAGAAGTGACATTGGCGCTACAACGAGAGTAGTGCATGGCGCTCGTTCAACAGAGTTCATACGGGAAACAAATCTTGGAAGATTTTTAACGGAATTTGGAGGTGACTTTGTCAGCGTTGCAGCAATTTCAGACTTATGAGAGTGAATTAAGCTCATCATCTCAATAGTCTTGCCCAGTCCCATCTCATCGGCGAGGATGCCTCCCAGACAATGTTGTTCTTGGACAGGGAAATCGAGTGAAAGCTCGCCGGAATAGGGATTAACGTAGAATCTTTCCTGGTTTACAACTTGAGGCAATTCTTTGTCCTCCATATCCTTGGTGGGCCAGAGGTATTCTTCCCAGAGAGGATGCATCGAGACCTCTCTACTCTCATCCTTCTCGTCTTTTTCCTTGGATATCATCCAGTGTAAAGCTTGCTTTTGATAATGCCGCAGATCCATGGCAAACGTCTCTGCTGGTTCAGCCGCCGGCGCATCGAAATCGAAGGACTGCGCCTTCTTGTAAAGTGTATCTAATTGATCTTGCTCGAGTTCTTTTCCCTCCTCAGCTTCTTCGGATGGAGGAGAAGACCCTGGGTTTTCACTAGATTGCCCCTTTTTGGTCTGTTTATTCTCATACTGTTCCGCTATCTCCGCTGCTTGAAGTAAACCGTCACGTTTATGTTTCGCGGTCGTGGCTGAGGTCTTAGATGGTAATAAATTCACCTCGTCAAACAACTTCACAAGAGCCACTTGTCGCAGTCGCAAATCCTTCTCTTCTGATGTCTCCTTTTCGGCAAATAAACCGGTCGTCCTATTATCCGATGGCTTGAAGCCGCCAGTGTCGAATGCGGTCTTGAGTAACGAACAGCGTAATTGCAGAAATATAGTGTCGTTGGTCCTTATCCTTTCCGGAGCGTAAACGCAGATACCTTCGAATCTGCAGACTTTCTGATCAATCAAAGTTGAAACCCAATTGGCTGTTTCTCGAGGTAATCGGCCAACCTCCTCTCCCCTCGAGTTTGTAAACCGCACAACAACATCCACTCGCTTGGCGGCAGCATTGCTCGGTTTTGGAGGAGTTTGAGGAACGGCCAGCCTTCCTCTTCCTCTACCAATGTGTGCCTTGGGTGGTTGTATCTTCTGACGTTCAATACGAACGACCTCTCCATGCTTAATCAAAGCCGTGCCACTCCTTGTTGCCCAGGCCCCCACCCCGAACGCACCAACATATCTATAATCTGGCATTGCATCTCGCAGTGAGGCTTTGGGACTTTCGGTTCTCATTGTGGAGGTCTGAGTCCCATTGCCACTCGTGGTCGGCTTCGTAAAGCCGTTAATGGCTAAAGGTCTAGGGTTCGAATCGTTGCGAGAAGGCCCAGATATCGTCGCAGCAGTCTTCCACGATCCGTCAAAATACATATTGACGGCTCTCTCCATATTATCCCCAGACGCCTCCCGTAATCGCCTCAACACGTCGGGTGCTACTCTGTCTCCAACGAAGCTTTCGAAAGTGTCCCGGTCAAAACCGAGAGCATGGCTGTTAGCATGATTCACATCTTCTTTTTCCGCATGTGAATTTCGAGGTTCTGCTATTCCGGTTCCATTTGGCACATCTCCTCCATTTTCTTCCGCTGCCGTGGATAACGCGTCGCTCCCGTTGTGCAGTGAAGCCTCTTGTGTTGAAGAGGTATCGAGGGTTTCCGATTTTTCTGTAAAGAATCTCCTCTTCTTGGTAGGAGGGCCTTCCCTATCCATAAAGTTCATGCCGGTCGATTGGCGGAGTGCTCAAGAACTTCATATAGATATATGAGCTTGTACACGTTGAACGCGAGGTTAAGTCGCGAATCGCGAACGCGAATCCCTTTTACGCGAGATCCAAAATTTCTGTGACGTTTTTGATCTCCATCACTCCGGAGGACCTTTTTGCCTGTCTCGTGCCTTCATCTAATGTAATACTAGATCAGATGCATTCTATGCGAGCGAGCGTACGACTGCAAAGATGCATCAGCTTGTCCCGTAATTCGAAGTGCACATATGCCACAACCCCCTACGGCACGCCAGCATCCAATCCCTCGATAATAACGGATTCAGACATCGAGGGGGCTAGGTCATATTGTGCTAATCTTCTGCAGTAAGTCTATGAGCCCTTTGGTAAAAACCAATATCTTAGAATGTGCCCAGGAAGTTCGATTCGCCCTCCTACACTCTCCAAACCTTCATTCCACCTTCTGCCAGAGATGCCTACCTCTCCATCCGAGCTTTCAACATCGAGCTCGCCCGGATACCAGATCTGGTCTCAAACCCCACCGTGGGGGCCTTACGAATGCAATTCTGGCGCGATAATTTGACTCGCACATTTGCGGGCACACCACCCAAAGAACCGGTCGCAATACTCCTTCATTATGCGCTCGTATCACTCCAATCGCGGCATCCTGGGATTAGCACAAGTGCCATGAAAGCATGGTTCATGAAGGTCATCAACGCAAGGGAGCAGTATATGGATAATCGACCCTACACGAGCATGGATGCGTTGGAGCATTACGCGGAAAGTACTTATTCAACACTCATGTACTTGACATTAGCTGCCTTGCCTCTACAGTCTATGACAGCGGATCATATGGCGAGTCATATTGGAAAAGCTACAGGAATTGCTGCTGTGTTGAGGGGCTTGCCGTTAATAGCCTTTCCACCACCTCCGAATAGCCATAGTAATAATTCTGCTTTTAACAGTGCCTTGGGTGGCAGTGCTAGCGGACGTCAGGGGGCGGTGGTCTTGCCTTTGGATGTCATGGCAGAAACTGGAGTCAAAGAGGAGGATGTTTTCAGGCAAGGCGCCGACGCCCCTGGCCTGAGAGATGCAATATTTAAAGTGGCTACAAGAGCGAATGATCATCTGATTACTGCGAGAGAGATGTCGAAGAATCTTCAGCAAGGCAAAGATGCAGGCCACGAATTTGAGCATCATGGAGAGGAAGGTCATCAATACGTCGAGTCTAAAGAGAGCTCGCACAAGGATGACTTGGAGAGAAGTTTTGGGGTCCTTATGCCTGCAGTGGCTACGAGACTCTGGCTCGAGAAATTGGAGAAATACGACTTCGACGTTTTCAGACCCGAATTGCGAGTTCGAGAGTGGAGACTCCCTTGGAAGGCATATTGGGGATACACTCGGAGAACAATATAATTTGTTTCCAAACTCCATGGCCAGAACACATCTTACAGCAAGTCTCTCGGTTCCGCCTTGTGCTTTGATTATTATAAAGCCTGCCTCCCCCTATGATCCATTGTGCACAATAAAGAAGGCCCCGACGTTCAATTATCTTAGGCACCGGATCATAAAGTACAACGCCCAACAGGACCACCCAACTTGTAAAATGACACCCTCCCAACCTATTCCTTAGTACCTCCATCCCACCCCTATTCTCTCAGACCCCGGCCCATATCTGGCATCTCTGGTACCGCACCTCCTATCTGAGAAAAGGCTATTGTTTCTGCATTCCCAGCTGCAAAAGTCGTTGACGTTCCTCCTTTGGATATTCCATCGGTTCGGGAGACACCCTGGTGGGATCTCAAAAGGCAGACCAGGTCTTGTCCGCTCGGCCGGGTCGTTGATCCGTTGGAGCTGGTCATAGATGATATAGCAATTGGGCCCAGCAAGGAGGGTTCCGTGACCGCAGAGGAACTCTATGCTCCAGTAGTAGCACATATCGACCAAACTGTACCGATTTCCGGTGGGAACCCGTCCGGACTGGAGTTGGGAGGATAATGAAAGCTGGATCCTGCTGGGCCATGAAATTCAGGACGTAGAGATCCATTTACTTATGGGTACAACCAAGACGGAAATCCATGGCTTGAGGTGGTCATACAGAATCTAGTGTGGCTTCTGCTCCTTTCGGAGTATTCCCAAATGAGTCTTTCTGCGTTGTCCTGTTCGGGAGAGCATATTTCTTCGTCTTATCTGCTAGAGTTATCCCGAATGCTCGAAAATAAACTGTCTATATGAGGCCTTTCCGACGTGATATGAAACTCGGCGGAAGCTATTGATACGCTCGGACGCAAGGGAAACCTTTTCGTAAGGTTTGTGATTGCACAATGACTGATTGTGTTTTATGTGAGGAGTTGAAGTAGTCGGTGATGTAAAACAGTAAAGGGAATGTTGGCAATGGTTTATGATCCCTCTTCTACAAACTAAGGGGTTGGCTGCAAACACAGAAAGAGGCGAGAGAGGGAGCTTTTCCGGGCCATGTATACAAATGCTTCATGTTTGATACACATTTAGCCGCTATGGAAAGAGTCTCACCTACAACTGAATATAAAGGTTTGTCGGGCAAACGAGACTGAGTTGTGTGACCCTCGGGGGGCGTTTGTTCTCAGCCACGTGCCAACGGCAATAATGACTTGGAACAGAAGGAAAGGGCTCAATGTAGAATATAGAACTTCTCAATCATGAGATCTCTCTTTCTGAACGAGGATATAACCAACGCGCCCTGGACGAGCCAATATATAGACCTAGAATCCCAATCAGGGAGCCTTGCCGTAAAGTTCCTCATGGTATCTTAATACAGACTGTAAATCTTCTTCACTTGGAATCCTTCCGGTCCAACCAGCTTCCTCGGTGTCTGCTATATTGAAACTCTTCGACCCTTTTATAAGTTCCTTCGTCACAGCGTCAACGTCAACGTCCAGATACTCTCGGAGAAATTCTCCGACATTTGTGTTCTCGTGGTTTCCACGAAGGTTGGAGGACCCAGCGGTGCCATATATGTTCACATCTACGGCAGAATGGCCGTGGGTCGACCATCCAATCTGTGCACGGCGGCTGACCATGTCCGCGAAATAATAAGCAGATACCTTAGGTTGATCGATAATGAGTTGCAACTCATCATCGCTGGCATCCAGAATTCCTAGACCATTCTTCACAAACTCCTCGTTGATCCAGTTCTTGAGTTTATCTCCTTCGAGTAAATTGGAATCAATTTCGCTGTTCAGACGACGAGCCAAGTATTCAGCTGAGCTTGAGACATTGGCAAGAACTCCAGGATACCATAAATATTCCGGGTAGTGTGCATCGAGTTCTAAGAGTATTATTAGTTGAAGAATTTTCAAAAGGAGGCATACATCCTTACGTCTTGCGGTGGCCAAGCCCCCAGTCTCGTGATCTATAAGAGGGTCAGTCAATGCACAGAGGTGAAAACTTAGAAAAAGAGGGTTCGAGAAAACTAACCAGAGGTAGCGACCAGAACTCCATCAACATGACTCTTTTCAAGAAATTCAACAACGCTTCCAAAAGCTCTGTCATATGCCATGACCTCGTGGACCTGTGCGGCTGGATCATTGCCATGGCCTGCATGATCGATTCGGCTACCTTCAATCATAAGAAAAAAGCCTTTATCTGAATCCTGAGTTGCAGCTTCAAGAGCTTTGAGAGCCACCTGTGCCATTTCTTCCAGCGAAGGATACACATCATCCATATTGCGTCGGTCAATCTCAAAGGGAATATTGTAGTCGGCAAATAAACCCAGCAAGGGTAGTTTTACAGCAGCTCCTCCAGCTTTTATATCATCAAAGTCTTGTCGATTATCAATGTAGTTCCATCCGTATTCATCCTGTGCAAGTTTCGTAATGTCCTGGTTGTCTGCTCTGCAACTTCCACTTGTTGTATTCGGCAAGAAATGGCATCGACCTCCCCCAAACATTAAATCAACGACTCTGCCGAGTGGATAATGCCCTACTTCTTGTTGTGCAATCAAATCCTCTTCAGATCGTATATTAGCATGGGAAGCAAAGCATGCGGGTGTTGCGTCAGTGAGAGACGTCGTCACGACCAAGCCCGTCATATAACCCGCCCTCTTAGCCGCCTCAAGGACCGTCCCGCAAGGTGTATGGTCTGGTAGAATAGAGATAGCGCCATTATAGCTCTTTTTACCACAGGAGAAGGCCGTAGCACCAGCGGCAGAATCCGTAACAAGACTGTTGCTCGATCGAGTTCGGGACGAACCAATAAAGTGCTCATCAAGGACTAGCACGTCGTCGATTGGAAGGCCGTTTTGGTATTGTCTGAAGCTTCGAGTAAGAGAGAGACTTGCAGGTCCCATACCATCAGACACCATGAATACTAGGTTTCGTTTTCCGGTGTGCTTTTCGGGCTTGTTCTGCGATGGCTGACATTTGAGAAGGATGGCCAGTACAATAACAGCAACTGTAGCCAATATAGCCCACGTGAATAAACCAATCTCGCGCCAGAATACACCCCGAGTCGTATTTGAGCGCCTTCGCTGATTTCCTAAGAGGGCATCGTCCTCTTGAGCTGCACGCTCTTCGGAGTGTATGGAAGAACGCCCCTCAGAAGTGAAGAGTGGCTCGTTGGCTGGCGGCATCGTGCAGAGTACTTTCTGAATATTTGCTGGGCGAGAGTCGGCCTTCGGCGAGGAATTGAAGGAACCCCTCGAAGAATGGTATTTCGAAAGCAGTTTCTTGCGTATCAATACATTTCGCTGTTGCACAGGGTCGATGTTGGCTGACTTATAAGTCGCGTTTGGCCACCGCTAGGTATGAACGCGTCTCACTTCGAGGCCCGTGATTTGTTCGCGGCCGCTTCTGCGAGGCTGACCCCCTGCAGCCTTGCAGTCTTTATATCACGACTCGGTGGTTCATTACTACCTTACCCTTCCTTATCTACCTACCTACCTGCCTCTATTGTTTGGCGTAAGAGCTGTTGAATAACTAAATTATCAGATTCAATTTATCGCAATATTTGATCCTCACATAACGACACGCCAAGGACACCTGGTTTTCCATATTCTGAAGAGGGACTGTACTACAAGCAACAGAACAGTACTATTCTGTAAGGTAGGTACCTGCTAGAAAATTGATCTTGCATTTCAACTCCGAATATTGGTAGTGGTAGTAGCATCTTAATCGACGAAGTGTTGCGTATCCTCACCAGACTTACTGCGTAGATTTGACCTGTAGAAATTAATGCATTGTCAAAGGTAACAGAAACTTATATTGTACAGAACTGTTTTTGATTGTGTTGAATGGAATAAAGAGAACCTAGAGATGCACCCGCGTCGGCCATTACTGTACAGAGGTAGTTTCAAGATTGGGAGGAATACCTGAGTTTTCGTTGCTTACCAGTACCAACTACGTACCACAGGGAATGAGGTGGGCGGAAAACGTTGTATGAGATGTGCTTCACAAAAAGTAGGTACTCGCAGACATGTAGGAACTGGATCGATGGGTGTGAGATATCAATTCTCGAGGCGATCACATCGTGTCATTTCATAGAACGAAGCTCTGAGATAGGCACAGCTAATTCCTACTGCCCCATGCATCCCGCCCAGAATAAAACCCAAAGAACAAGTTCAACCCTCCACTTAACGCTTCTTCTGTTGAGACTCCTTGAGCACCTTCTTGACAATCTTTTGCTCTTCAATCAAGAAAGCTCGGACAATACGATCCCGGACGCAGTTGGCACATCTTGAACCACCGTATGCGCGTTGAACAGTCTTCTTTGGTCTGGAGATTTGAGCGTACTCGCGGGGTCGGAGAGCGGGGATCTGTAGAAGCGTGGATGTTAGCATTTGCTGCTTAAACGTATGGCGAAGCTCGAAAGAAAAGTTCATCAATCCCCTGGTTGAAAGCATTGCAGGCCCTCATCCCATCGTAGTCTCGGGCAAAAATAAAGACTCCAAAGAGATGGCATTACGATCTGCCTGGTAGATCTTTCCAGCCAGGAACTCGTTCGTTCGATCATCGCCACAAGTCTCGACGCCCAATACCCATTTCCTTATAAGCACCCAAGTATTATCTGAATTGACTTACTCCTGGCAGCTTAATTCCACAGTCTCCACACTTGGGCGCAGTGCCGGCTTTCTTGATGTGAAGGTATCGAAGTTCTCCGCCGGGGGTCTTGACAACGCGGACCTTGTTCGATCGAGTGTTGTATCTAGGTATTAAATCAGTACGAGTCTTCCCTCATGTAAAACCACTGGTTTCTTCTTACGGGTTGCGGCGTCTGTATGTCAATCTGTTGGACCCCATCTTGTCGAATTATTGCTTCGATGATCGATTTTGGTCGTTGTCGTGGTCGTTGTCGTTGAATTTTGGGAAAATTCCAAGTTCGCGAAAATGTGTGGGAGGTTAGTGCGAAAATAGAGATGATTCGTCAAATAAGCGACAGCTAGCATGTAAGACTTGATGCCTGATAAGGCTGCCAGCCGAACAAGACGGCGCGCTAAAACAAGGTGGCCGCCCAGCGCGACGAAGATATTTCGAGTTCATCAACACCACAAGCAACATCTGTTTGGAGCGACACCCGTCAACGGCATCACTCAGTCACCAGTAGGAGTTTGGGGATTGAGGGAACTATTGCCGAAATGTCGTCCATACCTCCTCCACCTCCTCCGGGATGGAGCTCTTCTGCTCCTCCTTCTATGCCTCTGGGCGCGCCACCAGGTGCGCCACCTCCACCTGGTTATCGACCTCCTGCCGATCCCCAAGTTGCAAAATTCGCCCAGAAGAAGAAGGAATGGTTAAGGATGCAAAGGAATCGATTTGGGGAGAAGCGAAAGGGAGGCTTCGTCGAAACGCAGAAGGCCGACATGCCTCCTGAGCATTTACGAAAGATCGTCAAGGATATAGGAGATGTTTCGCAGAAGAAGTTCAGCAGCGACAAGCGCAGTTATCTTGGGGCATTAAAGTTTATGCCACATGCAGTTTTCAAGCTGTTAGAAAACATGCCCATGCCATGGGAGTCGGCGAGGGAGGTGAAAGTTTTATACCATGTGAACGGCTGTCTGACCTTGGTTAATGAGATCCCGAGAGTCATCGAGCCAGTCTTCCATGCACAATGGGCTACGATGTGGGTATGCATGAGAAGGGAGAAGAGCGATCGAAGACATTTCAAACGAATGCGGTTCCCTCCTTTCGATGATGAAGAGCCACCTCTGTCCTGGTCAGAAAATATCGAGGACGTTGAGCCGTTAGAGCCAATCCAGATGGAGCTGGATGAAAACGAGGATGGTGCCGTCATTGAGTGGTTCTATGAAAATCGACCACTTATTGATACTCCACATGTGAACGGTCCAAGTTACAAGGAATGGAATCTCACATTGCCACAGATGGCGACACTATATCGACTCAGTCACCAACTCTTGAGCGATATTGTCGACAAAAACTATTTCCACATGTTTGACCTAAATAGTTTTCTCACAGCCAAGGCGCTCAACGTCGCCATTCCAGGGGGTCCAAGATTCGAACCCCTTTACAAAGATGTTGATCCAAACGATGAGGACTTCGGAGAATTCAACGCCATTGACCGTATCATTTTCCGCGCTCCCATCCGAACCGAATACCGGGTAGCGTTCCCATTCCTATACAACTCTCTTCCACGAAGCGTAAAGCTCTCGTGGTATTCTTACCCTCAGGTAGTCTACGTCCGTGCCGAAGATCCAAGTTTGCCCGCGTTCTATTTCGATCCTGTTATCAATCCCATATCCTCAAGGTCGGTTGCACCAAAGAACATCACAGTCAGCCATGAGGATGAGATATTTGGATATGGAAATAATGAAGAACCGGAGGAAGATGCCTTTGAGCTTCCCCCTGACGTCGAACCTTTCTTGGCGGATGAAGAGTTATACACGAGCGAGACTGCCTCTGCTATTGCGCTTTGGTGGGCACCTTATCCGTTCGATCGACGATCCGGCCGCATGGTCCGAGCTCAGGACGTTCCACTAGTGAAGCAGTGGTATCTGGAACATTGCCCCCAAGGCCAACCCGTCAAAGTCCGAGTTTCGTACCAAAAACTCTTGAAAACCTACGTTTTGAATGAGTTGCATAAGAAGAAGCCAAAAGCACAAAACAAGCAGAGTTTGATGAAGTCATTGAAACAAACAAAATTCTTCCAACAAACCTCCATTGATTGGGTTGAAGCTGGTCTTCAAGTCTGCCGTCAGGGCTTCAACATGCTCAACCTTCTTATCCATCGCAAGAATTTGACGTACCTACATCTCGATTACAATTTCAACTTGAAGCCAGTCAAGACCTTGACCACCAAAGAGCGAAAGAAGTCCCGATTTGGAAATGCTTTCCACCTCATGCGTGAGATTCTCAAGCTTACCAAATTGATAGTCGATGCGCAAGTTCAGTACCGTCTAGGCAACATTGACGCATTCCAGCTTGCCGATGGTATACTATATGCTTTCAACCACGTTGGTCAACTGACGGGAATGTATCGATACAAGTACAAGCTGATGCACCAGATTCGATCATGCAAAGATCTAAAGCATCTGATTTATTACCGATTCAATTCCGGTCCCGTCGGCAAAGGCCCGGGTTGCGGCTTCTGGGCTCCCGCTTGGAGAGTGTGGTTGTTCTTCATGCGTGGAATCATCCCTCTCTTGGAGCGTTGGCTCGGAAATCTTCTTTCTCGGCAGTTTGAAGGACGACACAGCAAAGGGGTTGCAAAGACGGTCACGAAGCAACGTGTGGAATCACACTTTGACCTCGAGCTCCGTGCCTCGGTCATGGCGGATTTGATGGATATGATGCCGGAAGGCATTAAGCAAAACAAAGTCAACACTGTTTTGCAACATCTCTCTGAAGCCTGGAGATGCTGGAAGAGTAATATACCTTGGAAGGTGCCAGGATTGCCAGCACCGATCGAGAACATCATCCTCCGTTACGTCAAGAGCAAGGCAGATTGGTGGATTTCTGTGGCCCATTATAATCGTGAGCGCATTCGAAGAGGAGCAACTGTCGATAAGACTGTTGCCAAGAAAAATCTGGGGCGCCTAACTCGACTCTGGCTCAAGGCTGAGCAGGAGAGACAGCACAACTACATGAAAGACGGCCCTTACGTCTCATCTGAGGAGGCCGTGGCCATTTATACCACAACTGTCCACTGGCTAGAATCGCGCAAATTTTCTCCTATACCATTTCCTAGCGTTTCCTACAAGCATGATACCAAAATCCTTATTCTTGCGCTCGAGCGTCTTCGAGAAGCGTACTCTGTCAAAGGCCGACTGAACCAGAGTCAACGAGAAGAGCTTGCTTTAATTGAGCAAGCATACGACAGTCCCGGAACCACATTGGAGAGAATCAAGCGCTTTTTGCTCACCCAGAGAGCCTTTAAGGAGGTCGGAATAGACATGAACGACAATTACAGCACGATCAATCCCGTCTATGACATTGAGCCGGTGGAGAAGATCAGTGATGCATACCTTGACCAATATCTGTGGTATCAAGCGGATCAGCGCCACCTCTTCCCAGCATGGATCAAACCATCTGACTCGGAAGTCCCACCATTGCTCACCTACAAATGGGCGCAGGGTATCAACAACCTAGAAAAGGTTTGGGAAACTGCCGACGGAGAGTGCAATGTGATGATTGAAACTCAATTGTCCAAAGTCTACGAGAAGATTGATCTGACTCTCCTGAATCGGTTGTTGAGGCTCATTATGGATCACAATCTTGCGGATTACATCTCATCAAAGAACAATGTCCAACTCACCTATAAGGATATGAACCACGTTAACAGCTACGGTATGATTCGTGGTCTCCAGTTCTCCGCGTTCGTCTTCCAGTACTATGGTCTTGTCCTTGATCTCCTGCTATTGGGCCTACAGCGTGCAAGCGAAATTGCCGGACCTCCACAAAGCCCCAACGACTTCCTTCAATTCCGAGACCGTGAGACAGAAACCAAACATCCTATCCGATTATACACCAGGTACATTGATCGCATTTGGGTGTTCTTCCGGTTCACAGCAGATGAGTCGCGTGATCTTATCCAGCGATTCCTTACTGAGCAACCAGATCCCAATTTCGAAAATGTCATTGGCTATAGAAATAAGAAATGCTGGCCAAGAGATTCACGCATGCGTCTCATGAGACACGATGTCAATCTCGGCCGCGCAGTCTTCTGGGATCTTAAGAATCGTCTGCCCAGATCTGTGACTACCATTGAGTGGGACGACACATTCGCCAGCGTCTACAGTCGAGACAACCCCAATTTGCTGTTCTCTATGTGTGGTTTCGAAGTCAGAATATTGCCCAAGATTCGCAATCAGAACGATGAATTCCCGGTCAAGGACAGTGTGTGGTCCTTAGTTGATAATACCACGAAGGAAAGAACAGCACATGCTTTCCTCCAGGTAACCGAGGAAGACATTGCGAAGTTTAACAACCGCATCCGCCAAATTCTTATGTCTTCTGGATCCACCACCTTTACAAAGATCGCAAACAAGTGGAACACTAGTCTCATCGCACTCTTCACATACTACCGTGAAGCTGCCGTCTCCACTGTTAATCTTCTCGACACAATAGTGAAGTGCGAGACGAAGATCCAGACCAGAGTCAAAATTGGCCTCAACTCCAAGATGCCTTCTCGATTTCCTCCTGCCGTATTCTATACCCCGAAAGAACTTGGTGGTCTTGGTATGATCTCCGGATCACATATCCTCATCCCCACAAGTGATAAACGCTGGTCTAAACAAACAGATGTTGGTGTCACCCACTATCGTGCCGGTATGACCCACGATGAAGATACTTTGATTCCCAATATCTTCAGGTACATCATTCCTTGGGAGGCTGAATTCATCGATTCTCAGCGAGTTTGGACAGAGTATTCCCAGAAACGAGCGGAAGCCACCCAACAGAATCGTCGACTTACACTCGAAGATCTGGAAGACAGCTGGGACCGTGGTTTGCCACGTATCAATACACTCTTCCAAAAGGACAGAAGCACTTTGAGTTTTGACAAAGGTTTCCGTGCACGTACCGAGTTCAAGACTTATCAGCTGATGAAGAGCAACCCATTCTGGTGGACTAGTCAACGCCACGATGGAAAATTGTGGAATTTGAACGCATACCGAACTGATGTGATTCAAGCACTTGGTGGTGTGGAAACCATCCTTGAACACACACTATTCAAAGCCACTGCTTTCCCATCCTGGGAAGGTCTCTTTTGGGAGAAGGCATCCGGTTTTGAAGAGTCGATGAAATTCAAGAAGTTGACCAACGCCCAAAGATCTGGTCTCAACCAGATTCCAAATCGGCGTTTCACTCTCTGGTGGTCCCCCACCATCAATAGAGCAAATGTCTACGTCGGTTTCCAAGTCCAATTGGATTTGACCGGTATCTTTTTGCACGGTAAAATTCCAACTCTTAAGATCTCACTCATCCAGATCTTCCGGGCCCATTTGTGGCAGAAGATCCACGAGTCAGTTGTCATGGATTTGTGTCAAGTGTTTGATCAGGAATTGGAGCAACTAGGTATTGAGACTGTACAAAAGGAGACTATCCATCCGAGAAAGTCATATAAGATGAACAGTTCTTGCGCAGACATTCTGTTGTTCGCAAGTCACAAGTGGAACGTCACCCGACCATCAATCCTGTTCGACACTAAGGACGTGATTGAGCCAACAACTACCAACAAATTCTGGGTAGATGTCCAGCTTCGATATGGTGACTACGACTCTCACGACATCGAAAGATATGTACGCGCGAAATACCTCGACTATACGACCGACAGCATGAGTATCTATCCTTCCGCCACAGGTCTCATGATTGGTATTGACCTTGCTTACAATCTTTATTCCGCGTATGGTCAATATTTCCCAGGTCTGAAGACACTTATTCAACAAGCTATGGCAAAGATCATGAAGGCGAACCCGGCACTATACGTCCTCCGAGAGCGTATTCGCAAAGGTCTTCAGCTGTATGCTTCGGAGAGCAACCAAGAGTTCCTCAACTCTCAAAACTACTCCGAGCTCTTCAGCAACCAGATTCAGCTCTTTATCGATGACACGAATGTGTACCGTGTGACAATTCACAAGACTTTTGAGGGCAATTTGACGACTAAGCCCATCAACGGCGCCATCTTCATCTTCAATCCGCGTACAGGTCAGCTCTTCCTGAAGATCATCCACACTAGTGTGTGGGCTGGTCAGAAGCGTCTCGGACAATTGGCAAAATGGAAGACTGCCGAAGAAGTGGCTGCACTCATTCGATCTTTGCCCATCGAAGAGCAGCCAAAACAATTGATTGTCACTCGGAAAGGTCTTCTCGATCCTCTCGAGGTGCATTTGCTTGATTTCCCCAACATATCGATTCGCGCGTCTGAACTCCAGTTGCCTTTCCAAGCAGCGATGAAGGTTGAGAAACTCGGTGACATGATCCTTCGAGCTACCGAGCCACAGATGGTGCTTTTCAATCTCTATGATGAGTGGTTGAAGAGTATCTCATCTTATACGGCGTTCTCCCGTCTTATATTGATTCTTCGAGCTCTGCACGTGAATCCGGATAAGACTAAACTCCTCTTGAGACCTGATAAGACCGTTATCACTCAAGAACATCACATCTGGCCCACATTATCCGATGAGGATTGGATCAAGGTTGAGACGCAATTACGAGACCTCATTTTGAATGATTATGGCAAGAAGAATAATGTGAACACCTCGAGTTTGACGAGCAGCGAAGTTCGAGATATCATTCTGGGCATGGAGATCAGCGCCCCATCGATGCAACGTCAGCAAGCTGCTGAAATCGAAAAACAGCAGCAGGAGCAGCAGCAGCTCACAGCTGTAACAACGAAAACCCAGAATGTTCATGGGGAAGACATCATTGTGACCACAACCTCGCAATTTGAACAGCAGACGTTTGCATCGAAGACCGAGTGGAGAACCAGAGCAATTGCAACATCCAACCTTCGAACTCGGGCCAACAACATTTATATTTCGTCTGATGATATCAAGGAAGACGACCATTACACTTACATCATGCCAAAGAACATTTTGAAGCGTTTCATCACCATCGCCGATCTCCGGGTGCAGGTGGCAGGATACCTCTATGGCTCGTCCCCTCCGGATAATGATCAGGTCAAGGAAATTCGTTGTATAGTCATGGTCCCCCAGATCGGTAACACACGCGACGTTCAGCTGCCACAGCAATTACCACAGCATGAAACCCTGGAGCAGATGGAACCACTTGGAATTATCCACACAATCTCTGGCAACGAGCCTCCGTACATGACCGCCATGGATGTCACACAGCATGCTCGTCTTATGAATGCGCACAAGTCATGGGACAAGAAGACAGTCAGCATGACTGTTTCCTTCACGCCTGGCAGTGTCTCACTAGCATCATGGGCCCTGACGCCTCAAGGATATAAATGGGGTGTAGAGAATAAGGACATGGGAAGCGATCAGCCCCAAGGGTTTACCACAAATATGGGGGAGAAGTGCCAGCTTCTACTCAGTGACAAGATAAGAGGATTCTTCTTGGTCCCGGAGAACAACTCCTGGAACTATAGCTTCATGGGCAGCTCATTCGGGTCAATCGAGAAGAAGCCGGTGCACGTGAAGATCGACACGCCGCTACCGTTCTACAGCGACCAACATCGACCTCTGCATTTCCAGAACTTTGCCGAATTGGAGGATATATGGGTTGACAGGGAAGATACATTTGCATAGAAGCACTATGGGCTGTAAGATGCAGTGAGATTTTGAGGGACAGTATCAGGGCGGGAAGGTAAATTTGGAAGTGTGGTCTCTATTGTGTTGGTGATAATATCCGATGTAAGAGGTCTTGGTTCCGGGCGTTAGGTCGGGTGTTGAGGCGTCCTGTAACAACAAAGTAGCCTGTATAATTATAAATTGTCAACGTTCATAGGAAATATTTTATTGAACAGATGTTAGTTCCAAGTGCTACTCACGTGTTATACGATCAGCGTCCATGGCTCTCGGGCACATGCGAGATTCCTGACGCAGGAACAGGAGGCTGGTGCAGCCAGGGACCTGCATTGGCGGTGGCGTATGGTGTTGGTCAAGTAATAAAATGGGAGTTGCACTTGATTGTTGATTATTCCTTTGAACAACATGGCTTCTTCTAATCGCTGCCCCCTCGGTGCCCTTCCCCTACACACAATTTCGTAAGTGTTCCAACGACTACCGATTGACCTATTCTAGAACATGGCCTGGCAAGAGCAGGTCGCCTTGTGCTTCTGCTGCTGCTCGCCTCGAGATCCGCTGCTTGGCCCTGGAGATCCTTCATGCCTTGATCGTAAATGTACGGACGACCTCCACACCTTCGGAAACAACTGTGGCGACACTACCGGCATCATAAAATTATGGTATAATCCCAATGTTAATGCGAGTACCTGATGGCGAGGGCCGGGATCAAACGAAATACACGCTTCGTATCGCAAATGACGCTGACGGTCATCAGCGATCTGCTGGTAGGGCCGCCCATTTCCAGGGCCATGGTAACTTGGCAAGCAGGCCAGGGCTCCTTTCCAGCTCTCCTTTTTCCTCTTTGCACATGGCTGTCCGTGGCTTTCTTGCAAGGGCCCTGGCTTCGAGGTATTTATTTCTGGACATTTCAATAAAGTCAATTATGTTAATTTATGCCTGGGCCCTGGGGAGTCCCAGAAGAGCAAACGGCCGTTAGACCTGGCAGGGGAGCCTGGGGACGTCTATTCGTCCGCCATCGCCGCCGACGATCGAAGACAACATTGTCTTCGATCCGCGCTGCTGTCCATGTCTCTTCTTGCATGACGGTTTTCGTCATCTCCGCCATGAATCTCTTTTCTGCCCAGTCATTTGTTAATAACGTCCGTAGATTCATCCCTGCGCATTGACTCGCTTCCGACTTTCAATGCTTGCATTGTATAGGCCCCCTACCTCCGTGCCATCGAAGCCCCTTCTTGCCGAGTAAGCCTGGAAGTGCCAGCCTTGGACTCTCTGCCGTTTGACGTTGTTCTTTGCAGTTTTCCAGAATTCATGGGCCGGGGAAGCTGACCCACGACGGCCCACTACATCCCTGGGACTCCCTCCTTTTTGCCCCCCCCCCCGGACTGTCAGGCGGCCTTTGCTGCCCAAGTTTTCCTTCCATTGTACGCTGCTGGTCCGCGTGTTTTTGTGCTTTGTTTCCCAATTGGGGTTTGGAGGACCTAGGCATAATCCTAAGTGCTAAATGTCTGCTCACGCATCGTTTCTCCTTGCTGCTCCCCACGGCTACCGTCTGGGACTATAGCGAATCGCTGAACCGCCTTGAAGTAACTCTCGAGACGGGTCAGAAAGCTTATATTATTGGCCTACGACAGTGTTGTTAATGCCTAGTAAAGTGGAATATCGGACGATAGATATAATGCAAAGGCATGCCCCTTCCTACTGCTCTATATATCTCCTCGTTCACTATACTACTACCGCGTTATATCGCGAGACAGCGGCCCTCACGGAAGAAGGTGTTATCTTTTTTGTTTCGAGTCTCTCACCGCACACCGTATAATATTACATCAGATGCATTTTTCGGTTGCTCACTCATCAAGCTATATTGGAGCATTATATACCCAACTTTCAAAACGCGACAGTCGCAGTGCCCCAAACAACAAACAGGCAACACAGCATCACTAGCCTTCTGAGAACATAACGTGGCCCAGCTACCCGCTAGCACATAATATCTCTGCCCCCGGCGACCTGCGAGAGCAGTTCGCTGAGGAATCCATGCATGTCTCTCTATGAACCCGGCCGCGAAGGCCACGATCCTTATATCGACTATGCTTCACAACCAGAGGGCCAGCCTGAAGAGCGCGTCTACGGGTCGCATGTCCAAGATATCCAACAGGGCGGCCCTCAAGGCCTTAATACACTGCACGAGCTTGGTGGGGCCCAACAGCAGCAACATCCTCATCATCATCAGCAGCAACAGCAACAGCAACACCCACATCATCCACAACACCAGGTATTACTCGGCCCGCATGTCATGGCCCACCACCAAACTCCTCAGTTCGGTGGTGGGCAGGGAATGTTACCATACGGGCCGCGGCAGATGCAAGCGCCTACCGGAACAAAGAGGCAGCGAGACGAGATGGAGTTAGAGATGGGAGTTTTGCCAGAGGCACCGATTCAGGGCGGCGAAATGCAAAGCATGTCTTCGATGTCTCAGCAGTCGATGGTGGGGTATGGTGGACAACCAGTGCAAGAGTATCACGCTCATACCTTGCCAAATCAAGGTCACCGGTCGAAGATGCCTCGGATGGGCGACGTTGATTCGAATAGTATGATGGAACAAAGCGGCGCGCCGAGTGTTGTTGGGATGGAGGGGATGCCTCCTCCAGCACCGCGACCCCGGGGTCCAAAGCTGAAGTTTACGGCCGAGGACGATCAATTACTTGTGGATCTGAAGGAGAATAAGTCCTTGACCTGGAAGCAGATCGCGGAGTTCTTCCCTGGTCGATCTTCTGGCACTCTACAAGTCCGCTACTGTACGAAACTAAAAGCCAAGAGCACGCAATGGACAGAAGAGACGGTGAGTATTGTGTGAGACATGCTCGGACCCCTTTATCTAAACTAATGTCCTTGCCAGGTCCAAAAACTGCGCACGGCTCTGAATGACTACGAGCAGGAGAAGTGGCGTATTATAGCCCAGAAACTCGGCGCCGGCTTCACATCCGCTGCTTGCAAGGAGAAGGCCAGTGAGTTATAGCGTTTAGCGTCTCCAGCAGAAGCACCCGCCTCTGATCCTGGGGACACCGAATACTAGCTGCGAGGAGCCGGGAGATGCTTCACATTCAGATATCTATCTACCTCCTCCAAAGCAATACCCAAGACCTCCACATACCGACATCTCGGACTGATCGAAGACTGGAAGCCATCTATCTATCTATCCATCCTTCGATCTACACCCAGCGATCCATCTCATCTGTATGACCATATATATACATAGGTTCGATTCGACACACGTTCCTTACGCGGCGAGACCGCCACCATTTGACGAATCCTTTTTTATTTCTCTATTTATATCCATATATATTCGACATCAGTTGGTGTTTTGGGTTCCTCCCCTGGGTTGGGAGGTAGGACAGGAAGGCAGGAAGGCAGGACAAGGAAGGAAAGGACGGAAGGACAGGAAAAGACTGGCATCCGGAGGCGCAAGCGTGGTAGATTATTCTCTTGGGCGAGTATATATCCAGATAGATGCCTTTTTTGCAACTTATTACTTAGTTTTTAGTACCATATCCTAAACATTCAGACATCCATATCTCTACCTCTCCCTCCCCCTTCTCCTTTTCCTTCCCCCTTTCTCCCTCATTTGCCCACACACCTCCAACTCTCCATCTCCATCTCCAACTCCATCCTCACCGCCGCGTCAGCAGCAACAAAAAAAGAAGAAAAAAGAAAAAAGAGAACCAAAGACTCCAAGCCCAAACCCGACAAAAGCACCCGACTGACTGACAGACTGACGTGTTCCGCAACGACAGGTCCAAGCAGAGCCTCGCATCGCACAACCCGCCCGCCAACCCTGCCGTCTCCGTTTCAGATATGCCGAAGAGCCGCGCATGAACAACGTCGTTCCGACATTCCGTCATGCATCTTCATGCGGGAGGTCTTTTTTGGCGTCGTCTGGTTGGTCGGTGGGCAACCGTTTCGGTTTCCCGAGTATGCAGCTTTGACAGCTTGATGGGGGAAGGGGGGGAGGGAACGGTACTGCTTTGGTGTGTTGGGTATGAGATATATACTTGTGGGATGTTGGGGAGGGGATGTTGGGGAGGGGAAGATGATGTGCTTATATATAGAAATATAGTTTTGGTATTTGGTGTACTACCTCTCGGGAAGGCTTGGTTGTGTGAATGTGCTTTGATCTCGGATACTACTTACTGTATGACAGGTTTTGGCAGCTGGTTCTAGGTAAATCCTACACATGCCTGATGCGCACTAATTGCATGAGGCTTGGTTGGACTGTTGTTGTTCGTGGTTAAAGATCCTGCCTTGACATCCTTTGTAGGACTGGAGGGCAATGAAAAGGGGAGAAGATGTTTTTCTTTTCTTTTGAGAAAAGAAAAGGGGAGGGGGGTTCTAGCCAACTAAGTCCAGATTGTATCTATAGCAGATATCCGTGATTGGCAGTGGTATAAGTATCAAGACACGTTCATTTCGCGTGGATCTGCTATCGAGACCCAGCCCTGTATGCAGGTATCCGTCCCCCGAATCTTGAGATCTTGTCCTTTCTGCAGTGTATCAGCATCAATAAATACGCAGTACTTACACACTAGTTCTACTACCTTCCGCCATAGACGCAATGCAAAATATAGTCACTCTGATCGACACAGCTGAATGCGGACTGCGAGATTGTGAAGCACTGCCGGCTGTCTGGTTGGAGAACATAAGCAGAGGAAATCAGTTCCGCAACTCTTCAATACTATAATAGAAACCCAATAAGACAAACAAACCAACACGGTTTCTCAGTCCATGATTTCGGAATACAAAAATCGTGATATACATAGCACAAACCCTATACCTATAGCAACTGCATCAGGGAAGGAAGGAAGGAAGTGGGTGAGTGACCGAATGAGTTCTCCAAGAACTCGGGGATCATAAAGAACACCAAGACAAAAACTTCAAGAGGAAGGAAAGAAATAGCAGCAATAAGTTAAAATTCCAGATAGCTAACTGACAGGGATCTAAGAGAGAGGACGAGGGCCAAGCCAACAAGTGCTTCCGGTTGGCTTCACTTCTTTGGAAAGCAAAATGATACACCTCGGATTGAGGTTACTGTGTTTGGAAAGTCTAGGAATGAATGCCAAGAAGCGGATTGAATAAAGGTAGAGGTGGTTGAAGAGCTGAGGAGGAATGGATGACGAGAGGAGTATGGATGAGAGGGTTAAGGGGTGAGGCTTTGTTAGGGCGAAGAAAGAGAAAACGTGATGTGTGGGTGTTTAGAAACAAATAGGTATATGAAGAAATGATATGAGATTAGCATACTTGAGTATGGCCTTCTTTGCCATCTTGCTTCACCCACATATAGACTTGTACTCTGATACTCATAACCTCCTATATCAAGTCCCAAGCCAGAAAACCCCCTCGGACAGCAACTCCGCCACGCACAGACCACCCCCTCGCAGCCCGTGACGCCAGCATCACGTGCAAAGTTAATGCCTGACAGCCTGACGGCCATCACCTCACATTCCAGACTTCGGTAATCACAATCTTTCGACTTCCCTCCCTCCAACCCGCAACGACCGGAAAGCATCAATCTGCCTCCAATTGCCCAGCACCATGTTCCTCCAACGCACCGCGATCGCCGCCGCCCGCCGCGCGGCCGTCAGCCCCGTCGTCAAGCGCAGCTTCAGCACCTCTCTCGTGCGCCGTGCGTGTGCTCTCCCATTTCCATTCTGCTGCTGAGTACATCATCGTACGAGGAGGCAGTCGGGAAGACAGAATAGAAAGAGAAGAAAAAAAACTGACGGCGAGCTCTTACAGTCACTACCCCTCCTCCTAGCGGCGCCAACGAGGGAAAGGTTAAGAAGTTCCAAGGTGCGTCTGCTGCTTGTTTTCATCCGCAATTGGCTTTCGGGATCTGCTATGCTGTGGTGGCCATAGCTTAGCTTTGCTTGCCTTGCCTGGCCTGGCCTTGCTTGCATACTCTATGGACTGGGACTGTTCTATGTATATGTATTTGGATGTATATGAGAGAGGGACACACACACACAAGGGAAGGAAAGAAGCTAACCAGCACCCAACACCAGAGATCAAGACCGAAGAGGATCTGCTCCCCCCCGGAGCCCTGCCCGGCACCGTCCCCACCGACCTCGAGCAAGCAACCGGTCTCGAGCGTCTCGAGATCCTGGGAAAGATGGAGGGCGTCGACATCTTCGACATGAAGCCTCTGGACGCTTCTCGCAAAGGTAGGATTCTTGGGTCCAGGAAATCTTCCCTCCCGGCCGTCCCCACCTTCCCGTGCTGCGAAATGGAATCACCTTCCAATTGGAACACCACACAATCTTCTGATGGCGGGAGCTGTTCTCTTTTTTACTTTGTCTTGGTTGATGATGTCTGACCGATGATGATCGTGATAGGCACACTCGATAACCCCATCATCGTCAAGTCCTTCGGTGATGAGCAGTACGCCGGCTGCACTGGCTACCCTGCCGATTCCCACGTCACCATCTGGCTCACGGTACGTATCTTCTGCTCCCCTCCTTCCTCCCCTCCCCTCCCGAGCCGCTCGAGGAAAAGCCTTTCCCTCCGCCGATCTCACTGCTTACTTAAAAAAAAACTAGATGTCCCGCGATCGCCCTATCGAGCGATGCCCAGAGTGCGGCAACGTCCTGAAGATGGAGTACGTCGGGCCCCAGGATGACCACCACCACGACCACCACCACGGTTACGAAGAACCCAAGACCTTCGCTGATTTCGTTCGTCCTGAATACCGATAGATAAGACGTGCAGGGGTGGTGGGTTTTGTGTGAAGGGGGGGAGTGAGAGTGTAGATGAAAAATGGGATTGATTGTAGTATAGTCAAATGGAGAGAGATTTTTCGGATAGCGTGTGCTATTAGAACCTACTACGTATGACGAAGTTGTTTTTTGTTTTATATTTTGCATCTCTCACAGTTTCACGGTGGTCAGTGACAAAGAAAACGCATCAATCGTTGTTGTGATTTGCATCCATTATTATCTATTAGCGATTGCCACATCTCGATTCGTATCCCGTTTGTGCATATAAAGCACACGTCAACGCCTGCCTCTATGCTTGCTTTGTTTTGAGTCCTCTTTTGTTTTTTCTTTCTTTTTCTTTTTAGACTCAGGTAAAAGAAAGAGCTATGATAAACTGCAATCGCTAACCTCCATTTCCCATGCATGCACCATTTTTGTAAACAACTTCGTGAGCCGTGATCGTGAAGGTGAACCAATATGAACAAGAAGTCGTATGTTGTGCGAATTCGTTAAGCACACTATGAGAAGTGAACCGCTGTGACGGGGCGGTCACCTGACACTGACTCATTTCGGAAGAGAGAGAGAGAGAGAGATGCTCTGCCCAAGGTCTGAACGCTGGGTATCGTAAGAGTGAGAGAAGGGGGGAGAGAGAGAGAGAGAGCATCTACGAAATCAAACTATTCTTTCTGGACTGTGCGGGGGAGGCCGTTATGTGCGGCTCGCCTCTCCGCCCCCGGTCCGCTGCAGATTCTCGGCATCACCATCGGGTTTCCCGGGCCGATCTGCAGGATCGGGGACTTGGGGATCCTTTCCCTCATCCGCTCTATCGTCCTCCAACGTATCGTCGGCCTGTGATCGGCTCGTAGAAGAAGAGGAATCCTGACGGCCCGCGGTACTATGGATGAGAGGTCTCGATGCCACACCCAACCTACGGCTCTCGGCCTCGTTCTCGCTGACATCCTCGCTTGGCCCGCCCTCGTTTCCGGAGCTACCTGGACGTTCCAATGCGGCCTTCTGCAGAGCATTGGCTTTTGCAACCATCTGCGATGCAGCCTCCGCTGCACGTTCAGCCCGAATCTGTTTCTTCCACATGCTGGCATAGCGGCCCTTCATTGCGAGGAGCTCTTGGTGGGTGCCGGCTTCAGCGACCTTCCCAGCATGAAGAACCAGGATCTGTTCAGCGCTCGTGACCGTAGACAACCGATGGCTATAGAAGTGTTAGCGATTAATCCTCTCCCACACACGCACGAGGTTGGGGGTATACTCACGCGATGACGAGCATGGTGCGGCCCTCGGATAGAGTCATCAGCGCCTCTTGGATGTTCTGCTCGGTGTCGGAGTCCAAGGCTGCGGTAGCTTCATCAAGCATGATGATCCGGGGGTTCTTGATGATCGTCCGTGCAATTGCCACCCGTTGCTTCTCCCCGCCGCTCAAGCGGAGGCCACGCTCTCCCACCTTCGTATTGTACCCATCGGGGAAGGCCAAGATCTTGTCGTGGATGGATGCAGCTCGGCACGCTGCATAGATCTCCTCGTCCGAGGCGTTGGGGTTGGCGTAACGTAGATTGTACATGAGGGTCTCGTTGAACAGGATGGTGTCCTGCGGAACCACGCCGATGTGGCGGCGCAGCGAATCGATAGTAACGTCCCTAACATCGTGACCGTCAACCTGAATACTCCCGTGCTGCGCATCGTAGAAGCGGAACAGGAGCCGGAAGACGGTCGACTTTCCGCCTCCGGACTCCCCCACAAACGCAGTCGTCGTTCCGGGGCGGCAGGTGAAGGACAGATCCTCGAGTGCGGGTTTCCGCTTGTCGTATGAGAACTTGACGTTCTGGAAGCGGATGGCGCCTTCACATGTCGGCATGGGCACGGCGGTAGGAGAGTCGACCACCGTCGGCTGCTCCTTGAACAGCTCCAGCAGACGCTCCCCACTGATCATGGCGCTCTGCACGCCACGGTAGAACGACCCAAAGAAATTCAGCGGCTGCTGAAGCTGGGCCATGTATGTCATCAAGCTTACGAAGTCTCCGACATCACGCACGCCGGTCGTTACCTGGTACGCGGCAATGAAGGAGGTGGTCAGGAGCCCGGTCATGAAGACCATGTTCTGAGAGATATTGAGGATGTTAAGGGAGACGATGACCTTGTACTCCATCTTCTGGAAGGCGGATACGGCAGAGCGGTACCGGTTGAACTCGTACTCCTCGGCATTGAAGTACTTGACCGTCTCGTACGAGGTCAGAGAGTCATTCTTGACGGCCTCTTCCTCGCGGCCGAGGTTGGTCATCTCTCTCCGCTGCACTGCTCGCCAGCGCGCCATGCGGATGGTGAGGTAGAGATAAGAGAATGTGATTATGCTGACGACGAGGGCATAGTATGCATCGAATTCATACCCAAAGTAGACAATAGCCACTCCAAGATCGAAGATCATGGGCAGGACTTGGAATGTAATCTGTTCGAGGAAATTGTTGATCGCATTGCCCTTGTTTAACGCCGAAAGCACCTCCCCGGTCCGTTTGCCTAGGTGGAAGTCTAAACTTAGACTATGCACGTGCTCAAAAGAAGCGGTGGTCAGGGCTTGATAGGAGTACTGTGAGATGGGGATCCAGAGGACCGATCTGGCCGCACCGAGGATCCCCGACGTGCCCTGCAGAAATCGGAAGGCGATCAGGAGGGAAATTGAGACCCACGGCATCCCCTTCTCTCCATCCTTGCCGGAGAGCTTGTTGGTCACGGTTCCCATCTGCAGAGGAACGGCGATGTTGACGGCTCTCTGAAGGAGGACGATGCCGAAGCACGCTACGACAATCAGCTGCAGGCGCAGCGACTTGTGCGGCCAGAGATAAGGGAAGAAGAGCGAGTAGCCCTTCAGGTACTCGTACCAGGTGCGGTTTGGCGCGGTGGTAGGTTTGTAGAAGGCGGGATTCTCCTCGGGGCTCTTGCGCCCGCTGGCATGCTCGTCCACACCGTCTCCCGCCGTATTGCCGTTCTGCGATGATCCATGTGGCGTAACAGACCCCGCATCCCCGTTCCCAAAGTCTGCGCTGGGGTTGTGGACGTGCGCGATGGTCCCGTTTCCACGGACGTGCCCATTCCCATTTGCGCGCCCATTGACAAGAAGGGGGGCTGTCTCACCCCGGTTCTGCCGCTGACAACCCCAGCTCCGATTCTTGTAGGAGCGTTCGATAGAGAAGACGATATAGAAGGCCACGAGGAATATGAGCATAATGACCCGGATGGCATCGATGGTGATGTCAGCAATCTCCCAGTCGGTGGCCCCCCTGTGGAATTTCCTATCCCACTCCTCCTGCAGAGAATTGGTATCCAGATGGGGGGAGGTGTCGAGGGCGATGGTGGTCCCTAACAGCACAAGCTCCGCGACGAGCGCAGCGACCCACGTCAGCTGGTGGGAGATGTTCGGGGACGGGGTGGTATCGACTAAGGAGATGAGAAACATGCTATAGAAAAACGCCGAACCGCAGACGTAGATCTGTGATGCGATCCAAGAGCGTCAGCCAGCACTCCACGCAGGGGAGAGAGAATCCAGTTGCCACGTACCGCGGTCGCTTTCCCACACCACCAGCCATCCTCACGCATCTTCAGAGCATGGATGACAATGTTGGCGGCGTTCGCGATGAAGGTGGCTATCACGCCGGCCGCAAGCCAGTAGAACAACAGCTTGCGGAGGGGGCTGAAGTCTTGTCGTTTCCTCCGCAGGCGCTCCTCCTCCTCGGCCTTCCGCTTGGGTGATCGGGGGAGAGGCTTGCCGCCGGGTCCCGTCACCGTAGGCTTGCCCGAATCCGCGGCCGGGTCGGCGGTGAGCACGCTGTTGGCGACGAAGGCGACGACGAAGATCAGGCAGAGGACCCATGGGTAGTTGAAGTGGAGGATGTCGAGGAGGGCGACCGTGGAGGGGGTGGACGTGCCATTAGACTCGAGGCCGGAGCGCAGCTGGGGCCCCTCACCTGCCATTAGGAATTATAGATTATAGGTCTCTCGAATCCTCCTTTCCCTTCTTCAGTATTGCGTCTGGTGAGGCGAACGTGAAGTGTTCATGACCCCTTCGATTGGGCCGGGCTCGAATTGAGGAAGTTCAGGTTGGGGGGGGGGGAGGAGCCGCGACGCTTCGGGTAGGGGAATTGCCACCTGAGAAGAAGAGCAGCAAGTCCAGTCAGCGAGAGGCGTAGAAGGTCGGGTTGGGTTGAGAAAAGAAACCGTGACACTTCTACAGCTGGATGTGCAGCACGCAGGTGGTGGGGGAGGGAGGGAGGGAGGGAGAGAGGGGAGTTGAGAAGGAAGACCTGGCTGGCAGGTATGTTTGTGTGGTTTGTCGTTTGTGTGGGGGGTGGAGGGGTGTGTACCTGTAAGAAAAAGAGTGAATGATAGGCGATGAGGGTCGAGGTCGAGGATCGCCAGCCCCGCCGATCGCAACAACGCGCAGGCCGGAGAAAAAAACGAGAGGAAGGCAGAGGTGCCAACAACGAAAGAGCTGGCCACGACTGAGCAGAGCAGCGCAAACAGAGCGGAGCGGACGGCCACGCACGATTCAGCGGGCGTCGACTATGGGCGGGGAGGGGCGGACGGGTACGGGGTGGGTTGATGGTTGATGCCTCGGGCTGCCACAGACCAGTTTGGTCGGGGGGAGGGGAAGAGAGATTCGATTGATTGTAAGAGTTGTATGTATTATCGTATGTATTGTATTGTATTGTATTGTAGTGTAGTGTATGTCTGTGTGTGCGTGTGTATGGGTATTGTACAGAGCGAGACAAGAAAAGGGACGGACGGGTGACAAGGCGAGAGAATAGTTCAACTCTTCTTACTCCAGCGGGCAAGGAAGGGAAGGCTGGTCGCATGGTTAAGCTTAATGCAGCTTCTGGGGTTCGACTTGGGGGTTTCCTCACCGCCTTTGGAAGAGGCTTGGCTGCTTTGAGCAGAGAGAAGAGGCAGAGGATAGCTCTACCTTACCTTAGTTACAGGAAGGGGATTCGATGATGAGATATGGAGGAGGGATCTGACTATGGACTATTGACCAGAGGAGGCGACGGAAAGGCCAGAACTTGGAAGGGCGGGAGCGCCGGGCGATCTGTCGGAAGCAGGACGCATGGATCGATAGTTGGGGATATTGGATGGCGAGAGTCGCTGTGGATGTGGATGGATGGATGGATGGATGGATGGATGGATGGATGTATATGTATATGTAATGCGCGGTGGATGTATGTACGTATGGATGTATGCACTACCTACCTTACCTATGTATAGACGTATGTAGGTCTGTATCGACCTAGACATGGGGAAGGTATCCGTATGTATCTCTCCTGGCGATACTTGACCATCCGTCTCATCAGACTGACTACCTTAGAACTCAACTGTGTAAGCGCATACGCCCGACACGCTGGCTCAGCGGGAAATCTAGCGTTCCCAAGGCCCAAAGCCTCAAGGTCTTTAAGTCCCAAAAGCACAAGTAGCTTGTGGTTCCGAGCCCCGTAGTCCCAAGCCCAAAGCCCCAAAAGCCTCAAGCCCCCCCAAGCCCTGCACAGTAGTAGACCCGAAAGCCCCCGTCCCCGACTTCTCCAGCCACTTCTCTTGCCTGGTGCGCCACAGCCCAGCCTCGCACCGCAACCGAAGCAGAGGCAGAACCCATGATGAGGGGAAAAGTCCTCGGCTTACTCGACTATCAGGTAAGACAGGAAGGTATATAAGGGACTCGGAAACACAGCAGGAATAAAGGAACCATCCATCCTTCTCCTCATGATTGATCGATCGCCACCGCCACCTTCACCTTCACCTTTCACCCGGCGCGGCCGAGGCCCTGACCGGATGCAGTGCATAACAAACTATGCATTCAGCTGCAATGCTGCATGGACACGTGGTTTTCCGACACCGACCTGATCGCCGTGGGCCCAGACGCCTCAATTGCCATCTCTTGCCCCTTTACTAAGGGTATTCTGCTCCTTCCCTTTTCCCAACCTGGAAGATGCTCATCTCTTGACCGTCTACTGTATTTGGGAGAGACCATCGTCTAGATACTGTATCCCCTATATCACCCTATATCAGATATTCCCCCTATATCCCATATCCCCCCTATTCTCCCCTATATCCCCCCCTTTATCTCATATCCCCCTTGATCCCACCCAATGTGCAGCCCTCGCCACCGGATGCACTCCCCGCTGCCGGACCCATGCGCTCCGACCTCCCGAGCCTCCGATGCGCCGACCGCACCCGCACCCGCACCCGCGTCCGCCAACCCGTCTCGGGTGCATGAACATGTTGCGAGGCATCCAGCATTCAGCGGTGAGAGATGAGGGATGGCGAAAGCTGAGAGGAGAGATGAGATGCCCGAAGCAGTGTTCGGGCTGTCCTCTCTCACGGTCTCCCTTTTCTCAACCACTCCGCTGGACTCGGTCTCTGGCCATCATCTATCTGGCCTCTCCCTTCTTCCCTCTCCCTCCCCTCCCCTCCCCTCTCTCGAGTCTCCCCCCTCCTTTACCATAGTCGTGGGTCGTGGGAGCTATATGTAGGTCACAAGCCGAGCCGCCCTGTGCAGATGCTGCTCTGCTGGACGAAACGGATCCCTCCCGCCGTCTCGCCAGGGAAGGGGGAGAAAAGCAACCATCAGACTGGTGGGGAATTGAACTTGCAGCTGGACGGTGTAGGCTGTAGCCCAGTCGCCTGCTTCGAGTCAGGCCGGATTCGTTGTCTCGAACGGGAGATCCGCCGCCTCTGCTATAAGGTTCCGAGTCGTCGGCATACCCTCTGAACAAGGAGCCCGCTGTCTGATTGATGCCACGCCGTCGAGGGGGGCAGAGCAGGGTGAGCATGTCATTGTCACCACAGTTGAGGGTGCAGACGGCGAATGTTTCTCTGACGTTGCTCACGACGACCTGTCTCCTTTCGCGCAGATTCCAACACGGGAGCTCAAGAGAGGTAGAAGCTGGGCCTTCCTTGTCATTTTCGTCCTCGTCTTTGCGGTGAATGAAGGTGAAAGGAAGCTGGCAGGCTTACGAGACACAGCATTGTGGCATTCTCCTCAAGAAGTCTGCCTCGAGTCAGTATTGGCAGCATCCAAGACCACACAGGAGAAGGATTGCACGAGACCTGATGCCAAACCTTAATCAACACCATCCAGCATCACGTGGAATCGATGCGTGCATGTCCACCCAATATCTCTCCAGGGAAAAACTGGGATGATTCGAACCTACGCGCATTCCAGATGCTCACATGGCAGGACACAGGTCAGATATAGGCAGTGTGTAAGTACAAGGATCCCAGCAGGTTTCCCCCCCCCCCTTCTTATCACCTCCCCGATGTATGTTCCGCATCCGTCTCGACCTACAGCCTACAGGCCAGAGATGTGGTCTGACCAGACCCCGCTATGGCCTTCCTTCTCAACGGCAGGTTTGGCTTCCCCGCATGACACGTTGATGAGAGGATCAAGTCAATTGCAGGTAGGAGAACAGCTTACATGTCTGGCCTTCATGTCTGGATCATGGTCTTCTCTGAGTAAGTGAGCTACATACATAATTCGATATTTGTAGTTGGTGATAAGTCAGAAATGAAAGAGCAGAACATGCATTTTCGCCTTGACAAACCAACCAACATGCATGCATGCATGTATGGAGCAGGATATATGTGCGTTTTGTGGGGGTTTTTCATTCACGCGGGGTAATCTACCTACCTAGACATGCAGACAGATATAGCTATGATGCCTGCTTGTCTGTTTGTTTGTTTGTTTTATTCTTTTTCTGGATAGACGGGAGTTGGCTACGGTTATAAGATAGTAGTGTAGTGTGGTTGTAACAACCGGCTGGCTGGCTTGGTATACATAGATATAGATAGATAGATGGGTGGATAGAATTCCAGTATATGGATCCATATTGATATCGAATATATCGCTATCTGGAATCACAATACAATACAACCATACCTTACATCTAAGAAAAGCTTCAACTCTTCATCATCAATCAATACCATATTACAATGACAGAATCAATCAATCAAGCAAAAGAAACCTCTCTCCCCCCCCCTCCCCCAAACTTGAATCTCGAAAAAGAAACTTGAATCAATCCCGAAAAAAAGAAAACAAGAAGAGCAACCCATCCATCCATTCTTCATTCTTCATTCTTCACTATTAAAATATAATATGTTATAATATAAATATAATATAAATATCCTCGTACCATACCCCCCGCCCTCCCCTTCATACCCTCCGTACCCTACCCTACCTATCATACCCTCCTCATCTACCTATGCATACCTACAATACCCATTCCCCCCTCCCCTCCCCTTCCCTCCCCTCCCTCCCTCCTCCCCCTTCCATCAAAACC